TATAATCAGTGAACTTGGAGCAGCCATTATGCCCCGTTCGCCCGGCAGCGAGAATGTGATGCTCATCAAGAAATTCTTGTTCCGATGGGCCGCAGGGCTCAACTTTTTCATTTTACTTATCAGTGAAATCTTTGAATCGACGCATCGGTAGCAAACATGTACCTGCCAGTGGTGAACGGAAGGGATTCGGTTATTTCCTTCGGTCATTCAATGCAGGAACGGAGTTCGCCCCCATGATGCTCTTTTTGGCGATGAAAGTTTTAGGTGGTGGTATAAGTATATAGTACGAACACCATCTTCACACGTCCACTAATTTCGCCACTCCCTCACACCTATCCTCTAACAATATGACCGTAGTCTCCAATGATCCCAGTTTCTGGCCGGTCATTAACGTGTTCCGTATTTCCAGCTATTTTTGTGGTTTGTGGAGAGCCAGTCGGACAACGACAGCTGTACTCGATCTAATGTTTCTCAGTTGCCGCCTCTGCTGGGGTCATGTACGATTGGGGTGAGCAAGGTTATTTTTGAGGATGGCTCATGTTCTGATGGTTTCTGCAGCCCTGACTATCGGACAGGAGGTAGGTTGATGCCATTTTCGGAGCACCCACCTCACTCAGAATTGTTTGTGTAGATTGAACTCGTTTGGGTGAGCAGAGTCACACATCATAAGAACAACATAAAAATGCAAAGAGGTTTCTTTAGAGGCAACGCTGGTCACTCATGACAGCTCTTTATCTGAGTGTACGCAGCCTATGTTGTAAGTGTGGTCGGCAAGTCAGGCTGACTTGAATGTACTCTAGGTGCGCTATCTTGGAATATTATATGCTGTGTATATTTGGAATTCTAAATCATTGGCACTGCGCTAATCAATGATCTCCCACAACAAGCATCCAGATTCTAGGTATGCCTCCACGTGTTCACCGTGTTAATTTCTTCTCACCGGCAGCATACAGGGAACGTTCCGACAATATTGCTGACAGATTTTGTGAGTATTCTGAGCCAATGCTTGCCATTCCCATCTTAATCAACTGCACTTCAATGCAGGGGTGAGTCTGATTCTTGACTAGCTGATACAATATAATGACTGCCACAGCTGTGAGTTGCTTTTGAATGCATGATCCTCCGAGGCTGATCACCTGGATTTTTCAGGCCTGGTTTTATTCATCACACAAGATTGGGTGAATATCGTCGTGAATGCAATGCTGGGAGGTGAGTTGCATAGCCGCAATGAGTCAATTTTTTTTTGACAGAAACATCACTCAAGTCATCATGATTACTCGATTACATGCCATGTATCAACGATCCAGAAAGGTGCTGATACCTTCCGTTGTAGTCTTCCTGACTGCCACCATTGCCGCCGGAGTGTTGAACGTCATAACAACAATAGACCCTTCAGCAGGTAAGCTTGATTATCGATGAAAGACTTGTGTGCAACAGGCTCATTGACGAATACCAGAGGAGGTCATTCTCTCTGGCACCTACGAATGCTCTGTTGATTTTGCAGGAAATCTTCAACTACTGCCTCCCATGACTTGGATGCTTGGCACTGTATGGGAGGTCCTCGCACTATGTCTCACAATCTGGATTGCTGTAAAACACTTCCGTGAATTGCGACGGTATTCGGTAGGAGGGGTTATCAGGGACTGTTTCACAGTGTTGATACAATCTCACGTGGGTTACTTCGCAAGGTCAGTTCACAATGCCAATGTGGTCCCCTTCTTCCGCTGAAGTTCTGCACCTCTTAGCTTTATTGCTGTTTCTTGCTTCCAGATTAGCGGTGAATTCTCTCCAACGTTATCAGGGGTATGTTATTCTCTCATTGACCTCTCCATGCAACGGTTCATCATTCCTATAGAACCCAGATTCCCTGGGAACCCAGATATATTTTGGTTTACTTCAAATTTTCAGGGTCGTGCAGATGTTTGTGCTGGGACCACACCTGATACTTAGCATTCGAGAATACAATGCCAATCTCGTGACCGACTCCGATGCAGCAACCATCATGACTTCAATTGCTTTCCAGGAGCGCGTGCATGTGCCAACTAGTAGCAGCGTGTAGTATTGGAAATTCTCGAGACGATTACCACTGGCGGGTACTCCTGGTGAGGTGCTATGTGGGGAGAATTTTTTTCGGTTCTGAATTTCATCGCTGTACGTATTTATTTAAGTTGGTGATGTTCCATAGATTTGAAAAGAAGTGGGTCTAGACAAATCGCCTCATACATTGTTGTATCACTAAGTCTTTGTTCCAAGTTTCGTTGTGGTACCTATTTATTTGATGTTCCGAAGTATATTTCAAAGAGCAGTATCTATAGGACAACCGATACATATTACGTTGCATCGATGCATAACGCCCGGCGAGTTGGACTAGCTACCCACCCGCGCTCGCACCGAGTGGTAAACCGAAATCATTTGGAAGTTTCGCGACCTTGCTTGAAAAAAAGTCATTCCTGCTTTCCTGTGTCGTGAGGAACTCTATTTGAGGCCAAGAGACTCGAGAATATAAATATGGGGGCGTCCTTGAGTCGATCAATCGTCAAAATTCAGGTATGAGATACTTGAAATTCTATAGTGAGCGAAAGGTCGAATTAGAAGTTGGAAAGACCTACAATTAAACAAGGATGCAGGGAATTACTGCGTATACAATAGTGTATCGCATCTGACAGGTTCCATATCATCTTGTCGCACCTGGGGGGCGATGTCGATGACTTGGACCGTAGTTAGTACTCCTACTTACGAGTTTCAGTGTTCAAGTAGATTGCCTTGGTTCACACCGCATAACAGATCTCTGGGAAATGTAGCCTTAGCACTGTATATCAGTCTAGCGAGTGTTTGAAATGTACCGATTGACAAGTAAGTGCGCGCTGCATTGAAGTGGGGAGTGTCTATACTTACCCAGTTCTAAGTAATGTATCCAGGTGAGGACTTCACCAAGTGTTTTAAGTGGTGTTGACTATGCACCTGAGGTTAGCGGTGTAGGAGACGATCTGGCTGCAGCCCCATACAGCACCATATCCCCTTACTGGACGAAGTCACGCATACCTTCCACAGGCCATTGTGGACCATCACACGAGGTTGCAGAATCCATGCACTCATCGCATCGCATCGCAACGCACTATCCATCCATGTCCTGTCTGCATCCGTCCGTCCTCACTGGTGCGTTCTCATTCTTAGTTAGTCATTCCTAACCGTCGCAGGGCCAGTTACATATCAGTTCCCATACACGAGGCCACGTACCATTACTTACATGTATCTCCTTCCGACTTCGCTTGCATATGCGTCCGCTTACATGGTTCTGGTTCTGCACAACCCGTTATATATACTCGTCCCAAGCTCGTATGGACTTTACTTTCCTACATTCCCTCTCTGGTTGTGTGTTGCGGAGTCACTAGCTTAGTCTTACCTTGTCTTTCCTTGCTTGAGCAATCACTTGTTTGCCTTCTCATCCCGCGCGAACACTCGCATCGCCATCGACAGTTGACTATTGCTAGTCCTAGTTGAGTTCCTTTGCAAGGCGGTCTCTGCACATCTTCGCATATACCTGGTACCTAGTTCGCTCTACCCTATTACCTGTTCCAATACCTGGTACCCTACCCATTTCGCATACCTGGTACCCTCTAGACATTCACTCGTTTCTCCACATCTCCACATACCTCGCATCTCCGCGCATTCTCGCATCTCCGTACATCCTCGCATACACAGCTGTTCCATCTTCAGCGCATCACTTCCTTCTTCACTGTTCCCCTTGCTCATACTTGAGGAACTGCTCTCAGAGCTATCCCCTTGGGTCGACTACTATTCTCGCACCCAGCAGGATCGGTACACTATCACTATAGTGGACTTCTACGATTTCTCCCACATTGGTATCCTTGTGGGATGACGGCCCGAGGCAGATAGCCAGAATGAGTGCATAAGGCGAGTGATGCTGATGACGAGAACACATATCATGCATTGAGATTTGTGCTTGCCAGGCGGGTTGAGACAGGTGAGTTGTCTGTTTGCTTTATTTTTCACTTTTATGGTGTCATATGGACAGAATTTGCCCTTGTTGAATGAACTTGAAAGTGTTGTTGCGCTCCCAGGCCCGATCCAGCGAAGTGGAGAAAATGCGATGTTAATCAAGAACCATTCAGACGGCAGGTCACATCACACCCAGGCTTGTGTATTTGCTGTTCAATTTCACTGATATCATGGAACTGAATTGATATATCTGTAGCAAGCATCTATCTGGATAATGGAAGCGAGTTGCCAAAATGATGAACAGTTCTTTGATCTTTCACGGCGTTCAAACATTCTGCGCATGTGACTGGTTTGCACCTTCACAACCAACATATACGTTGATTCAATCAAGGAACCCTAGATCGAGTGTTCATTTCTACAGGACCTCAACTTACTTCGGTCAATCAATGCAGGAATGGATATCGCCTCCATGATGCTCATTTCGGGGATGAAAGCGCTGGGTGCCAGTGGTGGTATATCTAGTACCCACCAACCTCGCTGCTCCCTCGCCCCCATCCTCTAACAAGATGACTCTAGTCCTAAATGATCCCAGTCTCTGGCCGCTCATTAATGCGTACCGTATTCACAGCTATTTTGCAGGTTCGTGGAGAGTCAGTTGGACAATGACGGCCATACTCAATCTAACATCTCGCAGTTGTCTCCTCTATTGGGGTCATGTACGATTGGAGTGAGTAGGATCACTTTCAAGAATGGGTGATGTTCTTATGGTTTCTGCAGCCCTGACTTTCGGACAGGAGGTAGGTTGATGCCATTGTCGAAGCATCTATCTCACTCAGAATGGTTTACTATATAGATCGAACTCATCTGGGTGAGCAGAGTCACACATCATAAGAACAACATGAACATGCAATGAATTTGTGGCAGAGGCAACGCTGGTCACTCATGACCGCTCTGTATCTGAGTGTACGTAGCTTGTGTTGTAAGTGTGATCAGCAAGTCGGGCTGACTTGAAAAAATTCTAGGTTCGCTATCTTGCAATTTCATTTGCTTCGTTGTCGAACATTCACGAATACAAGTTTCACGTCGCGTGACACCGTGGAAGGTGAAGGTAGGTAGTATTCAGGACGCCCCGTCTTCATCAACGACTGAAATCCTCGGTCGCTGACAGTCTCAAATGGTTGTAGGCTTTCCAAGACCCAATGCACGATCTCTGCCCTTTGGTAATGTGTCAGTAGCGTGTTCATGTACATACTAGTGAGTACTTACTTGGTTTCAGTCTTTGTGTGTTGCCTATGTGAATAGGTCACTTTACCCTTAGATGTTCTTTCGAAAGAGGACGTTGAGCGAAAGTGATTCCGTGTAGCCTGTTAGAGTAGACTACCGATCCGTATGAGTGCGAGTATAATAGCTCGTCCCAAGGGGATTGCTACTGAAGGAAGTCTTCGCAATAAATGCGAAGGAATCAATCCAGCGGGCTTAAGATCTGTGCGGCGGACACACGGGTGAAGTCCGGTCTAAGGAAGGGAGTGTCCGGACGGAGGATGGTTCGTGTAGGACGGATATCTAGCGGTACGATGATCAAGGTGTCAAGGTGTCAAGGTCTCGAGGTGTCAAGGTTTCAAGGTCTCGAGGTAACGAGCTACCGGAAGTGGTCCGAGGTGCGGGAAGATGTCCGTTGCGACGCGGAAGACTAAGGGGACTTTCTTGATCACTTAGACTTAGATATAAATCCAAGGGAGCAAAAGGGAAGTGATATTGGTAGAATACGACGCAACTATTTATCAGAATCCGTAAGAACTCGGAATCCGCTAAGCGGCGGTAGCATAGGCGAGTCCGTAGCGCGGTAATATGTAAAGGACGGTAAGCGGCCTCATGTATGGGAAGTACAGGTAATACGGACTGCTGGTTGATTAGGGTGATAAAAGAAGACAAATGACGCACCAATGGGGATGGATGGACATGGCTAGGCAGGAACCAAGGGAGTCCGTTGTCGGTATCGTATCCGATAGGTGTCCGGAAGGACGGATGCCAACGGAAGAGGCTGGATGGGTGGGGATGCTAATACCTGACCAGGTGGGCTCCGGATTGGACATAAGAGGTGATTGTGAGGCTAGCGCCGGAATGTTTGGTACAACGTGATAGTGCCGGATTTCAGTAAGTTTTTGATGACGCCTTCACGTGCTGCTGCTGCTGATTTAGTCTCTTGTGCGGCATCATATGCCTCTGGCCCCCAGCAGCTCTTGGCGTGCTTGGCCATGTTGCTCGTCGACTTCGCATCACCCTTGTCGAGGTAGCGCCGAACGCGCTGTTTGCAACCCTTCCCCATGCACTGGAATACATGGGAGCGCCGCCCGCCAATATATTCAATGCTCGGTATTGGCTTGTAGAACGCATAAACCGGTGATGTCCACCCTTTTTTTAGCTTGTCTGTGAAATAAAAACTGATTAACATAATGGTATGCTCAGGATAATTAACTTGCCAAGCTCAGCTTCTGAGGTCTCGGCATCATCAGATGACGTCTCGGAGTCCACATTGATAGCATCCTGTATGCCATCCTCCTCTTCCGTTTGTACAGTAGCTCGCTGACTTTGATCCTGTTCAATTTGGATAGTAGCTTGTCGACTTATGGTGCGGGGAGGAGGGGATGCTTCTTCTCGCTCAGATGCAGAACTCGAAGATATGTGCTTCGTTTTTTTTTTGGCCAGTGAAGGCTTCCTTTTTAGCTTTGTCGTGCCTTCCGCAACAGCCTGCGCGGCCTTCTCGGTGAGTTTCTCGACCCGCTTATGAAACATTGTGGTGAATGGAGGTGGAGTGGGGCTTTCAAAGCCTGCGAGAGGTTGCGAAAGATGCGCTGGCGGCCTGTCAGTTTTTTTGGGGTCGAAATAAAGTATTTTTGATTCTGTATAGTTTCTAATATATGTTAGTTTCTAATATATGTTAGTTTCTAATATATGTTAGTTTCTAATATATGTGCAATATATGTGACAGGTGCAACATGGCTACAGCCTGACGGGTACAGGTACCCTGCCACGGGTACCCCACACTCGTACCCGCACCCGTACCCGTCAGGGACCCGTACCCATAACCCGCACGGGTTACCCATACCCGTGCCAATGCCTACCCCTAGTTAGTAGCAAACATCCGATAGCATCAGTATTACTAATAAGTAACATATATGGTGACACACAGGTGGGAGGGCGCTAGAGGAAGCGGGGAAGCGGAGGAAAGGAGATAGGGCAGATACCGAAGAAGGCACTAGAAGCAAAAAAAAAGGTGTCTATAGAGTAAAAATAGCCATTGAACGAGAACTTTACGACACTCGGCAACAGCTCGGCGAGGTGTGCTGTTCCGGTTGCTTTTCAGATCCGCGTCCCACCCCAATCATCAAAAGGGATGCTCAATTCTAAAATGTCGTTGTCGTTTGGTGTTCAATATTTGAGCGCCGCTCGCTAAACCTATCCTAAACGGGACTCGTACCTAAACCTTACGGCGCGCAGCGCCAACACTCGCAGTCTTAAAACACATCCTAAGCCTCAATAGTGCTACTAAACCTCATGATTCATGGTCCTAAGCCTCAGCAGGCCTAACCCTTATCTTAACCTCTCTATGCAGAGCAAATGCTAGTAGTGTATAATCAGTTCACTCCATGTTTAAGTGAAAGGTACAATATATTCATAACATAGCACTACATATACTCTGTTGAAAGGGTCAGAAAAGGTTTAGGAATGTCAAGGATTAGGCCTGTTGAGGGTTAGGAACAAGAATGACGAGGTTTAGGAGCACTGCTGAGGTTTAGGATGTGTTTTGACTGCAAGTGTTGGCGCTGCGCGCCGTCAGGGTTAGGTACAAGATCCCGTTTAGGATTAGTTAGCGAGCGGTACTTGAATATCGAACACCAAACGACAACGACATTTTAGAATTGAGCATCCCTAAACACGCTTCTAACAAGGTATCCATCTGCATCGTCCCGCATTTCGTCAACTTACTTTCACCATGCACAGCTTCTGCATTCTTGGATTCAGTCACCGAACATTAGACAGGACGAGTCTCTTTGCGGATTATGATTATGTGTCACAAATGCGTGGAAGAGATGGAGAATGACCACCCTCATCGCAAGTTATGCAAGTCCCTACCATCCATTGCAACAACATCCAAATCGCCCTCATTAATATTCCACAGTTGTCCCACAATAGAATCACCACACTCCTCCAATGAACTTCTCCGTACCTGATCTGCAGGCGATTCTATCCACCGCCGCCTCTCCATGTGATCCCAGACAAAAGAAGATCCCGAAACAACGATTAAGTGGCTATTCTGATGATAGTGAAACAAGTAATGCCGTGTCAAGTCTAGTCTAAAAAGTCTAGTCTACAAAGTCTAGTCTAAAATACAGACACCATACCCACACTCCAGCTCACTACCGTTACGTGCACCAAGGAACACGCGCCGTTCGTATTCGACTCTGAACAGCAGATCATATTTTTTTCATATGTTATGGGCTCGTGCGCAGACCACCAACGTTGCAATCCTACCTCTAATTACGCCTCAACACTAATCACTGACAGTATAGCTGCCGAGCATCCAGTATTACACACAGCTTCCGGTACTAGCGTCGTACATTCATCACATCAATTACGGATTGTGAATCAGGCCTCAGGGTTAGTACAACACCGTCTTTGGTATCCTTCTGGTATCGCCCCATGATGCTGATTTCGGTGATAAAAGCCTTGGGTGGTGGTATATCTAGTATGAACACCATCTTCATCTTCATACATCCACCGAGTTCGCTGCTCCCTCACACCCATCCTCTAACAAGATGACTCTAGTCTTAAATGATCCCAGTCTCTGGCCGGCCATTAATGCGTACCATATTTTCAGCTATTTTAAAGGTTCGTGGAGAGTCAGTCGGACAATGACGGCGATACTCGATCTAACATCTCGCAGTTGCCTCCTCTATTGGGGTCATGTACGATTGGGGTGAGCAAGATCGCTTTCAAGAATAGCTGATGAAGTTCTTATGGTTTCTGCAGCCCTGACTTTCGGACAGGAGGTAGGTTGGTGCCATTGTTGGAGCATCCATCTCACTCAGAATGGTTTACTATATAGATAGAACTCATCTGGGTGAGCAGAGTCACGCATCGTAAGAACAACATGAACATGCAATGAATTTGCGGCAGAGGCAACGCTGGTCACTCATGACCGCTCTGTATCTGAGTGTACGTAGCTTGTGTTGTAAGTGTGATCGGCAAGTCGGGCTGACTTGAAAAAATTCTAGGTTCGCTATCTTGGAATATCATATGTTGTGTATGTTCGGAATGCTAAGCAATTGGCACTGCACTAATAAATGATCTCCCGCAACAAGCATCGTGATTCTGGGTATGTCTCGTCATATTCGCCGTGTTTATTTCTTCTCACCGGCGGCATACAGGGAACGTTCCGACAATATCGCTGACAGATTCAGTAAGTATTCTGAACCAATGCTTGCCATTCCTGTCTAATCAACTGCGCTCCAATGCAGGGGTGAGTCTGATTCTTTACCAGCTGGTGCAATATAATGACTGCCACAGCTGTGAGTTTCTTTTGATTGCGTGATCCTCCGAGGCTGATCACCACCTGGATTTGTCAGGCCTGGTTGTATTCATCGCACAGAGTTGGGTGGGTATCGTCGTGAACGCAATGCTGGGCGGTGAGCTACATTGCTGCAATGAGTCAGTGATATTGACTTAACAGAAACATCACGCAAGTCATCATGATCACTCGATTACATGCCATGTATCAACGATCCAGAAAGGTGCTGATACTTTGCGTTGTAGTCTTCCTGACTGCCACCATCGCCACTGGAGTGTTGAGCGTCATATTAACAATAGACACTTCAGCAGGTAAGCTTGATTATGGATGGAATGCTTGTGTGCAACAGGCTCATTGACGAATACCAGAGGAGGCCATTCTCTCTGGCACCTACGAATGCTTTCTTGGCTTTGCAGGAAATGTCCAACTACTGCCTTCCGTGACTTGGATTCTTGGCACTGTATGGGAGGTCCTCGCACTATGTCTCGCAATCTGGATTGCTGTAAAACACTTCCGTGAATTGCGACGGCACTCGGCAGGAGGGATTATCGGGGACAGTTTCACGGTGTTGATGAGGTCTCACGTGGGTTACTTTGCGAGGTGAGCTAACAATGCCAATGTGGTTCCCTTCTTCCACTGAGATTCTGCACCTCTTAGCTTTGTTGTTGTTTCTTGCTTCACGATCGGCGGAGGCTTGTCTCCAACGTTATCAGGGGTATGCTATTCTGTCGATGATCTCTGCATGCAACGGTTCATCATTTCTACAGGACACATATTCTGAGATTTATTTTGGTTTATTTAGTATTTTCCAGGTAGTGCAGATGTTTGTGCTGGGGCCACGCCTGATTCTCAGCGTTCGAGAATATCACGCCAAGCTCGTGGCCGACTCCGACGCAGCAACCGGCATGACTTCAATTGCTTTCCAGGAGCGCGTGCATGTGCAAACTAGCAGCAGCGTGTAGTATGGGAGATGCTCGAAGTGATTACTGGTTGGGTACTCCTGGTCAGGTGCTATGCGGGGAGCCGGGAGGATTTCTTTTGGTTCCAAATTTCGTCGCTGTACTTATTTATTCAAGTTAGTTATGTTCCGAAGATTTTATCTGACAGAGAAGTGGGACTGGACAAACCACCCCGTACATTGTTTCTTCACTGCGTTTTTATCTCATATAGATCTTTGATTCTTCGATAACCCTCAATGTGAATATTTATTAGTGCAAGCAAGTTACATGCAAGGTGTCGTTACATATCTAGCAGATTGGGTTCGCAGGCTTCCGTCGCAACATTATGCATTGTAACGATACTGGCCATCGCATCACCTTTCCACTCCCCATCGTACCTCTATTCTACGTCCACGTGCAATTGCTTGACGAGCTGAGCGGTAGCAGCAATCTGTCTTGCTGTTCTCGTTGTTCTTGATCTTCAGTAGCCAAGACTCCGACGGTATATCTGACAAAGAAATTATAGATAAGTTCTCTCCAATTGAGAGTGGCGAAATAGCAAGAATAGTTAGACGTGAGGGAAGAACATACACAAGGAGGCCAGGTGGTCCGTGTGGTGCCGTTGAAGTGACCTTTGGGGTACATGTCGCCTTGTATGAGGTGCAGCTGGGGAGAAAATCGTGGAGGTCGAGGGAGTTGATGGTATTGGAGGTGTCAACCGTCGGGTCCGAGATATGGGACACTCTAGGGCATGTGAAAGTGAAATGAAAAGGATGAAAGAGGCTCACCTTATGTGAGCATGTGGGGAATTTTCATCCGCACATACAGTGTTAATATAGCAGCGCCTCGTAACAACACCTGGAGGATAAATTCTACCACTGCCACTGGTAAGTATAACATTATGATGATATCACTTCCGTCCGCCTGCAGATTATTGGCTCCATTCAACCAGGACTCGATTGTTCTTTTGAGAAATACTCTGTCATCAGCAAAGATCAGGGTGTACGATGAGCCTGCAAAAACTACCAAACCAAAAACCATAAGATCCGCCGACCTCCAAGACCAGGCCACTAGCCCTACAATTCAAATAACACAGTGGCACTATCTGAATCGCTTGACTCTTCCATTCCTGATCCAACCCACATCGTTGTCCCTGCGAGTAATTAGTTGGCATTTGCAGCTCCTTTTCTGAAAACGCACCTTCTTCAGACAGTGTGTCCCAGTCGCTCTAGAGAGGATGAGATGAGTATGGGTGAGAGAAAACGAGAGGCGTATAGCTGGAGATCGTACAAGCGCGTGGGCACTGCGTATAAGAAGGAAGTACATGAATGTAAGTTTGCCTTGCTATCCGAGTCCTCGCTTCCTCCACTGCGCTCTCTCATCACAAGCTCAATGAAAGGTCTTTATTAGTGACGGGGCAGCGAAAGACACGCTAGGACGAGGCAACGATAATAGGATTTGTTGTCCATGTGGTGTGTTTGCAAGAGTCGGAGTCATTGGTAGGTCAGCAGCCAAAGTCAACTTACCCGAGGCGGGCCGGGTGCTACCGGCTTCCTCCAATCAGCCTCCGCGTCGACACTCACAACGAGTGCTCGCTATCGTCTTACAAAAGCCTTCGTCCTCACCCGACTCGCACTACCCGACAGAGCTCAGTTCCATATGCTTCACCCACTACCCACAAAAGCAGTCTTACTCGTTATAGATGCCCTCCGGTTCGATTTCATCGCAGAACACCTGCCAGAGCCTGTCTTCCCTTTCCACCACAATATCCTAACTCTGCCTTGCGAATTTACTGCCGCTCATCCTAATCGATCATTCATACTCAACGTGTACTCAGACCCAGCGGCGACAACCCTTCAGCGACTCAAAGACCTTACTAGCCACCGGGTCTCTACCCACCTTCGTAGATGCCGGAGAAAAATTTACAGGCTCTTCCATTCACCGAGATACTATTAAACATTAGCTAAACGCCGTGGGCAGAAACGTATGTGCTAACTTCTTCTCCACACCCTGTTTCCCTGATACAATCCCAAGGCAAGATTGCTCTCGCCGGGGATGACACATGGCTCACAATTTCCACAGATGCCTTTCAGCCAAACATGACCTTTGCCTTTGACTCCTTCAACGTCGAAGACCTTCACACCACCTTCACACCGTAGATGATCGATGAGGGCGCCATCGCCAATCTTTTACCATTGATGCGACATCATCAAACCTCGTAAGATTTTGCTATTTGTCATGGTCTAGGTGTTGACCACGCCGGTCACAGTGTCGGCCAGACCATTCGGTCCTTGGAGAAAAACTGGTTACTCTTAGGCGCTGCACAGTGTCGGGACTGGTTGACTGATCAATAGAATATAGACACAATACTCGCTACCATTACGATTCAAGGACGCCCAAAGGAACTCCAAGCGCCATTTGTGTTCGACTTTGAGGCAGATCATATTTGTTCACATAGCAGCGAGCCAACGCACGGACCACCAACGCTGCAATCCTGCCATATACCAGCATGCCTTAATACACTAATTACGCCTCACCACCAATTACTGACAGTACACCTGCCGAGTATCCGCTATCTCAATCCACCTCCCCACACAGCTTCTGCGTTCTTGATTCGCTTCTTGAGAATGCCTCCAAGCATGTAGAAACGACTTTGGATGAGACAGGTCTGTTTGCGGGTTTTATGTGGAAAAGTTGGAGATGGATCGGTCATTGGTAGGAGTTCCGGGGTGCGTTGATATCCACCTACGTACACAAGTTGAACAAGGGCAGATATAGTTTTGCACAGATCGAACCTAAAATGAAATTGTAATTTGTAACAGAACGACCTCGTTCGATTCAAGCCGTGCACATTGCAAGCTATGCAAGAAATATTCCATCCCGACGGCACCTGAAACACTGATGCCATCACCAGCTGCAGGTGAGTTGTCAGTTTTAGGCATTTGCTTGCTCATTTCTGACTTTTCTGACAGCGTGCCAACATAACGCGACTATGGCATCTTGTCAAGGGACTTGAATGAAATGCTGCCGGCGCTCCGACCGACACTCATCAAAAACACCGCCAGCAAACTTTTATGAAATGAACCTGTACAATTTGAAGAACATTCCGCGATAGCAAGTGCGCATTCGTTTCTCCCAGTGCCTTGTCATTGCTATTTGTATACATGTAAGTCGCCGAAATGAAAACAGGTCTTCGATATTCTGTGCGTGTAACTGGTTTGCAGCTTCACAGCCAACATAGACGTTAATTCAATCAAGGGACCCTAGATCAAGTGTCCATTTCTACAGGACCTCATGCGGAAGTACTTGATTCGGGCAATCAATGCAGGAACGGATATCGCCTCCATGATGCTCATTTCGGTGATGAAAGCGCTGGGTGGTGGTATATCTAGTGCCCACTGGTCAACTTCGCTGCTCTGTCGCCCCCATCCTCTAACAAGATGACTCTAGTCCTAAATGATCCCAGTCTCTGGCCGACCATTAATGCGTACCGTATTTACAGCTATTTTGCAGGTTCGTGGAGAGCTAGTCGGACAATGACGGCGATTCTCGATCTAACGTTTCACAGCTGCCGGCTGTGCTGGGGTCATGTACGATTGGGGTGAGCAAGATTGCTTTCAAGAATGGCTCATGTACATTCTTACTCTGGTTTCTGCAGCCCTGACTGTCGGACAAGAGGTAGGTTGATGTCATTGTCGAAGCATCTATCTCACTCAGAATGGTTTACTATGTAGATTGAACTCATCTGGGTGAGCAGAGTCACGCATCATAAGAACAATATGAACATGCAATGAATTTGCGGCAGAGGCAACGCTGGTCACTCATGACCGCTCTGTATCTGAGTGTACGTAGCTTGTGTTGTAAGTGTGATCGACAAGTCGGACTCACTTGAAAAAATTCTAGGTTCGCTATCTTGGAATATTATATGCTATGTATGTTCGGAATGCCGAGCAATTGGCATTGCACTAATAAATGATCTCCCACAACAAGCATCCAGGTTCTTGGTATGTCTCCTCATGTTCACCGTGTTTAGTTCTTCTCACCGGCGGCATACAGGGAAAGTTCCGACAATATCGATGACAGATTCAGTAAGTATTCTGAACCAATGCTCGCCATTCCCATGTCAATAAACTGATCTCCGATGCAGGGGTGAGTCTGATTCTTCACCAGCTGGTGCAATATAATGACGGCCACAGCTGTGAGTTTCTTTTTATTGCGTGATCCTCCGAGGCTGATCACCACCTGGATTTGTCAGGCCTGGTTTTATTGAACACACAAAATTGGGTGAATATCGTCGTGAATGCAATACTGGGCGGTGAGCTGCATACCTGCAATGAGTCAGTGATGTTTGTTTTGACAGAAATATCATAAGTCATCATGATTGCTCGGTTACACGCCATGTATCAACGATCCAGAAAGGTGCTGATACTTTGCGTTGTAGTCTTCCTGACTGCCACCTCGCCGCCGGAGTGTTGAACGTCTTATCAACAATAGACACTTCAGCAGGTAAGCTTGATTATGGATGAAAGACTTGTATGCAACAGGCTCATTGACGAATATCAGAGGAGGTCATTCTCTCTGACACCTACGAGTGCTTTGTTAACTATGTAGGAGGTCGCCAACTTGCTTCCATTACTTGGATACTCGGCACTGTATGGGAGGTCCTCGCACTATGTCTCGCAATCTGGATTGCTGTAAAACACTTCCGTGAATTGCGACGGCACTCGGCCGGAGGGATAATCGGGGACTGCTTCACAGTGTTGATAAATTCTCACGTGGTTCACTTTGCGAGGTGAGCTAACAATTCCAATGTGGCTCCCTTCTTCCGCTGAAGTTCTGCACCTCTTAGCTTTGTTGTTGTTTCTTGCTTCTCGATCGGCGGAGACTTGTCTCCAACGTTATCAGAGGTATGCTATTCTGTCGATGATCTCTGCATGCAACGATTCATCATTTCTACAGGACCCATATTCCCTGGGAACCCTGATTTATTATGGTTTACTTCAAATTTTCTTCGTTGTGCAGATGTTTGTGCTGGGACCACGCCTCATTCTTAGCGTTCGAGAATATCACGCCAAGCTCGTGGCCGACTCCGACGCAGCAACCGGCATGACTTCAATTGCTTTCCAGGAGCGCGTGCATGTGGCAACTAGCAGCAGCGTGTAGGACGGGAAATGTTCGAGGTGATTACCACTGTTGGGGTACTCCTGGTCAAATACTCTGCGCGGAGCGAGGGGATTTCTTTTATTTCCAAGTTTCTTCGCCATACTTATTTATTTATGTTCTGAAGATTTGACAAAGAAGTGGGTCTGGACAACCCGCCCCGTACGTTATTGCATCACTACGTTTTTGAGTAGAAGATCTCATATCTTTGCTTCTTCAATACCCCTCAATGTGAATATTTATTAGTGCAAGCCAGTGACATGCAAGGTGTTGTTACATATCTAGCAGATTGGGTTTGCAGGCTTTCGTGGCGAGATTATGCATTCGAACGATACTTGCCATCGCATCACCTTGCCACTTCTCATCTTACCTCTATTCCACGTCCACGAGCAATTTCTTGGCGAGTTGAGCCGCAGCACCAGCATTCGTCTTGCTGTTCTTGTTTTTCTTATTCTTCAGTAGGTAGGACTTCGATGATGTCACTGACGAATAAATCATAGATGAGTTCTCTCCAATTGTGAGTGACGGTCCACCTAGCTGGCATCTACCTCTTTACAAAAGGCTTCCTCCTCACCCAACTCCCACTACCCGACAGAGGCACATGTAGCTCAGACGCATGCACTTCACTCGCTACCCACAAAACAGCAGTCTTGCGAATTATTCTTCAATAGATTTAAGACGAGTGTGCTCACTGCTCATTCTGGCTCAGTAAGTTCTCCGAACGTTCATCTGTAGAATCTCCTCAGATTGAAAGACGAAGAAAAGCACCATCAACAAATGCTACAGATTCATTCGGCACATCTTTCCGATCATGGGCTCCTCCCGACGTGGTTCAAATTGGCGATGGCTCTCATGGTGTCATCATGCCTCCAGATGATTGTACGTGGCTTGGATATCGGCATCGTGTCGCTTATCGAGTTCGATCAGTTTCGCGTGGAGGATTCTCTGTGAATGTTCGAGACCTCGAGATTTTGCATAGTGGCGGTCCAGACAGCGAATTGCAGTGGCAAATCGAGATGACCGATATCTTATTTGGGCGGCCTTACTAGTGGGTATTCGCGCCCATCGGGAATTCTGGAACCTCTGAAAGATGAGTGGGGAAGAGGACAATGTATGGTGTAGGGTTGATGGTTCCAGTGGTAAAGGATAAAAATGCCGAACTACCTTCGACTCGGAGTTGAGACGATTGCCACTGGTCGAAGAAGGTCGTGGCAGGGAAAATCTTGAATTAATGGCAAATGTTGAAGACAAATGAGAAACTGATTGCGAGATCATGTGTGGTCTTGGTGTGGTCACTGGCCAGGGTGTCATGGTACTTCGCTTTCAAAATTCAAATCAACTCCATTTGGTGAAATCTGAAAATTTGTTCCGGCCCTGCAGCAAAAATTTGTCATTTGTTCCTTGTCCTCTACATTGAATATTCAGCACTTTCCTCCGCCTCTCCATTTGAGATTCTATGGCTGTAACCAATAATCGCTGTGCCGCATGGTTTTGGGATATCATCGAGGCGGTTTGAACTTTGCAAGGTTGGCAGAAAAGCAAGTTGAGCATGAATTGCCATTCAAGCTGGATCCACTGAAAGGCGCACTGGCCAAGCGCCGGCGATACCTGGTACCCTGCAGGCAATTCAGAACAAGATGTAGTTCAACTCCCACGATAGATACAACGTTACGATAAACATAGTCCAATCAGATTGGCAATGAGAATTCATTGCAACAATCCCCACCTTGCTCGTGCGCATATATAGTAAAACTTTAAATAGTAATCATCTACTAGTAGCGAACTGCCTCAGCGCTCCCGGCCGACCGACTCGGAGTGCTCAGCCCTCGTACAACACCGCAGTGCGTTTCTCCACAACCACCACCACACTAACAGTATGATCATAGTCTCAAATGATCCCAGTTGGTGGCCGTCCATTAATTCGTCGCGTATTGGCGGCTATTTTGTAGGTCCGTGGAGAGCCAGTCGGATGATGATGGTGTCATTTAACCTTAGGCTGCGGTTTCGCAGTTGCCGCATCTGTTGGGCTGATCTACGATTGGGGTGAGCAACACATCTTTCATGAATCAAGAACCACTGACTCTTTATTGTGATTCTATGTAGTTCTGACGCTCGCGAAAGAGGTAGGTTGATATCATTACTAGAGTAGTCATCTCGCCAAGAATGCTTCTATAGGTTGAATTGATCTGGGTGAGTGGACTCTTGCATCAGAAGAACGATGTGAAGACACAACTAATCCGCGGCAGGGGCAACGCTGGTCCCTTATGACTGTGCTATATATGAGTGTATGCAGTTTGTGCTATCAGTGTGGTTGGCAAGTTGTGCTTACTTGAAAATATTTCAGGGGCGCTATTTTGGAATTTTATATGCAGTGTATGTTTGGATGGCTACTAGTAAGCACTTGGTGTTATGCTAATCAATTATCTGTCACAATCAGTGTCCAGATTTCGGGTATGTCTTCTTACAACCGTGTTTGCTTCTCCTGACTGGCAGCATACAGACAGTATTCCGACAATCCCGAAGACAGTTTTGGTGAGTACTGCACATCAATGCTTTCAAATCCCCTTCCATCAACTGTGCTCCCACGTAGGGGCGAGTCAGATTTTTGAAATTCCAGCCTGAAGTTAGTTTAATTCAACTGCTACAGTTGTGAGTGTGTTTCGAGCTGGTGATTCTCCGAGCCTGATCAATAATTTATTTCGCTAGGCCTTGTTATGAAACTCGTAGGAATTTGGATGACTGTGGTCGTGAATGTAATACAGGGCGGTGAGCTCCGCAGCTTTAATACCTCGGTGACATTGACCTGACTGAAACATCATGCAAGTCATCATAATCGCTCGGTTAAATGCCATATATCAGTGGTCAAAAAAGGTGATGATACTTCTCATTGTCATCTTCCTAGCCGTCTGCACCGCGGTCGGAGTAGCTATCGCACTAGCAATGACACATAGTTCAGGGAGTACGCTTAATAAAACTTCAAGCGCATCAGGATCATTGACTAATAACAGAGGTGCTCATTCTCTCCGGCACCTATGAGTGCACTGTTGACTTTCAGAGTGATCACACACTTCTGTTTTCCATCGCTTGGATACTCACAAATGTATGGGAGGTTCTCGCACTGTATCTTGTAGTCCGGATTGCTGTAAAACACTTCCGTGAACTGCGACGACAATCGTCAGGATGGATCATCAAGGACTGTTTCACGGTGTTAATGAAAACCCATGTAGCTTACTTTGCGAGGTGAGTTCACAATGCAAACGTGGCTCCCTTCTGCTGCTCTGCTGCTGAAGGTCTGTACCTCTTAGCTTTGTTGCTGTTTCATGCTTTGGGATCAGTAATATATTGTCTCCAACGTTATCAGTATGCCATTCTGTCATTGACCTCTGCATGCAATGGTTCATCATTTCTACAGGATCCACTTTCTCCGGACACTCTGGGTATCGCTGCTGTACTTCAAATTTTCGAGGTCGTGCAGATATTTGTGCTGGGACCACGCCTGATCCTTAGCATTAGAGAATATTACGCCAAGCTCGTGTCCGACTCCGACACAGGAACCGGCATGAATTCAATTGTATTCCATGAACGCGTGCATGTGGAAAGTAGCAGCAGTGTGTAGCACGGGAGATGCTCATTATCAATGGTCGGGTGTCTCTGCAGGGAGCAGGGGAATTTTTCGCTCCAACGTTCGTCGTACTTATTTATGCAAGTTACTTGATGCTCCGAAGGGGATCTGAAAGAGACAATACTTGTATGTATCGATAGCACAATATTTTATATCCATTAGTTGTTCGTCTGATAGTTCATAGGGTCATCGTCCTGCTCGTCATTTCTGGTGACACGCTTCAGTACTTTCTTGGGACATCGACTTACTTGTACAGAGGATAGTATGGAGCCAGGGCTATCAGCATGGAACAAGCATAATTCCACCAAGCTCTTTGCCTGGCATCGCTCTCTGAACGCCCAAGATATTCGCGGCCTGCCAACTAGATGCAACGACCTTCCTCGAAAAATCTCACGCAGGCCTATCGGGCATCTTCAACAAGCAAGGTAAGCTGGCCTCTGCAAAAGAGTTACTTTAAGGCCGATACTGCGAAAAGGTCAACCCCCATCGCGATTGTGAAGGTTCAAGAACCTCCCGCATGCTAGGCTTGGGATGTCAGTGATCGGTATTCATTGGATGTGAAGTCTATCAACAGTTTAACGCACAAAATACAAAATAAAGGGAGTCGTATATGTTGGATCGAGTGTCTTGGTCAAAATGATGGAGAGATAGATGTACCGAAAACAGCACAACATAAGTTGACAACGATGATGGCGCCGACATCAGTCCGGGGTATGAAATAGCCAAGATGGCCATACAGAATGCAATGTCCGTCACGGCTGGTTGAGGTGGGTGTGGAATTGCTCTGCGAGGTGATCGGTAGTGGCGTAGTCGTCGTCGGGGTATGGTGGTGGTGGTCGACAGTGATGATGTCGATTGTGGTAAGTCGGAGGAATCGTGGTGGTTTGCGTGGGTGTGGGGGCCGTAGTCGTCAGCACGGGGGTCCAGATAAAGTTTGGCGCACATGAAGATTGGGCTTTCGCTCTCCAAGCAGTTGATGAAGGCCACACTGTAAGACCGCACGTTTGTGCGCGAGTAGGAAGGGGGTGTGTGGACCGCTGGAGGATATAAGGAGAAATAGTTAGTTGTTAGAAAACGAGAGCGTGAATATAAGGAATGGAGCAAGATAAAGATCCTAGTTGTGAGCTAGGAAGGAGTCTGTTGAATAGCGAGTGCGAGAATAAAACTTCGATGCTGGTTATTATTGCGCTGGTTGTAAGGACTGTACATGGGCTAGTACTTATACTGAAAAACGGTAAGGGTCCTCGGGTACGGTTAAGCCGAGCGATTATGTGGCGACGGAGGCTGAAGGGAGTGGCGTCGCGCCTGACAGGGTAGAATAGTGAGATTTAAGAAAAAGGGCGATGAAAACGAGTGGGTAGTGGTAGGAATGGGTATCGTGTAACGGAATAACGAGAGATGCATAGGTTTTATTGACAGATATGGGATGGGTATGTTGCAAATAGGGTGATATTGACGAGAGAACGGATCCGATAGTCGAGTGGATCGCTAACGACGCGGAATTGACGACGAAGGGGTGACGGGGATCTTGCTGGTCGACATTGGCGGTGAACTGAGGTGGTGGTTGAGGTGAGTGGCGGTTCGGCAGTTTCCGGTGGTAGAGAACCGGCAATCCTTACAACACTGTGTGCTACTGACAGAGAGAAAAGAGGCCACTACAATAAGTAGTAGGCATTGCGGCGACGTCGAACTCTTCATGGGTGCTCTTCATCGTGCAGGCTCGGATCGGGAGTACAAGTTCTGAGCACTGAGCCACCGAAGTATTAGAACTTTGGTGTTTTATGAGAATCCGGTTGTACCATTGGGTAGTGTTGTGACCATAAGTTGCACGAGCCGTTGAGTAAATGGTCGCATCACCTCACACCAGCTGTCCACCCACGTTGTCACCGAGCGGCAAACTGAAAACTATGCACTCGGAAGGTTTCGTAACCAGCAAAATCCTTTGGCGCTCGAACTGAATGTAGGAAGGAATAGAGTTGCAGTCAAATTCATTAGGCATCGTTTAGTGATCGTGTATCAAGTCTCACCAAGTGCTTCGGAACTTCGTGTTTGTACGATGAACCATGTTTTTGGCGACTTCCAGCGTAATTTGGGTATCGTGGTGCAAAGCTGCCTGTGCGATTAGGTTCGTAGACTAAACGTATCTTATCAATTATATCTGGAATGATAGCTGACTTTACATACCTGCCCACTCCTCATCTCATCTCCATTCACAAAATTGTTTAACGAACTGAGCAGCAGCTGGAATTCGCGTAGGTTCGTGTTCCCTTCCCTGTTTCAGGGTTTCTGTTAACTATAGTCTTGCAAATCGCTGTTGAGAACTATATGAGTGGCACGGGAGCGGTGATATTTAGATATGATGTATGTGAATATGGTTGAGGGTCTTCGTACCATAATGTTTGGAGACTGAGAAGGCGAGTGATTGAAAATTACTTCTGGGAGAGCTCAGAAGGGAATGAGTGGAACCAGAGGCAGTATAAGACGATATGAGTGATGCAGGAGGCAAAACGGTGTCCCGATACGCGACCTTTGGGGTGCATGTTGCCTAGTAGCAGATATACCGTCATCGAGGGGATCGTCGGTAGGAGATACCAGGAATTGTAGAAGAAGTGAGGGTCGAGTTCTATGCATAAAAGAGGCTCACCGCGGGCATGCATGATGCGGAGAGTTTTCATCAACGTGCACCAACGATTTCGACCACAATTTGAATTAAGCTTCCAGCTCGCGGTTAAGCGTGAACGCGGCAAATTCCGAGTCGGTTAAACCGCATGTACTTGCTGTGTGGTCCTTTGCTCACTGATCCCCAGTGAAAACCGGACCTCACCGTATCGACGCGAAACGACGGATATATGTAGAAATATTGTCGAAGCTACGCAAATCGTGAATTTACGATATGTTAAGTTAGTTGACGCGCATTGTGTTGAGCAAACACAAAACAAACACCAATTTTGCACCAATTTGTCAATGTCTTGCACATTCGCAGATCAATCAATCATATGCACAACGTGATCGGCGCATCGTGTGTACCGTCGTAATATGAACATGTTCTTGTCAAAATCCTCGACTACCAGTACTTATGACAAGGGAGCAAGATAGCACCGAGTACTGGTGTGTCTGCCAGTTCTATTGCCATGGATTGCGGACAAATCTACGTTCTCGATCTGCGTGGTACCGGCACCTGCAAAAGGCTTCCACAGCAGAAGAAAAAACTGAGATACGAGCAGCACATCTTTCAGATAGGTTTCGCACATCAGTAGCTCTGCCGGCTGGGCCATCTTCGTCAAAGCAACCAAACGATCATCGTGACTTTGATGATTTGGATAACCCACCTCGAAAACGTATGCGTGATGATGCAGAGGTACTTAATTTGATTCTTTAATGCTACAACTGCAAAGTGATCTCATTATTCAGGTGGATTTCGAAAATTTTCGACCCGACAACTCTGATCTTAATGGTCCCCCAGACGAGCCTCGCCTTCCCCCAGATGAGCCTCGCCTTCCCCCAAACGAGCCTCGCCTTCCCCCAGATGAGCCTCGCCTTCCTCCAAACGAGCCTCGCCTTCCCCCAGAGGAGCCTCGCCTTCCCCCAGACGACCCTCCTCTGCCCCCATGGCAAAACCCTCTGAAAGAACTTGACTTTGATCAGCAGTCTGCTCGGCTTCCGCACCTTCAGCGTGACATGGAGTTTGTCTGTGCTCTCCAATGAGCATCTCTCAATGATGAAGTGGGGTTGACTGGAGATGATCTAGAGTGGTTACGAAATCCACCACAAACACCATGCCGCATTGAAAATCCATGCGACGAACTTGCCATCTCGATGTTTTTAGCCCTCGAGCATTCATCTGAAGCAGCGTACTCGAACATCCGAGCTGCAGTCAAAAAACGGTATCCTGATTCAGAAGTCCCAAGCCTTCACAGTGTCAAGAAGATGATCGCAGATCTCACCGGTATCAAGTCTATCATTGACCACAGATGTATCAATTCCTGTGGAGCCTTTGTTGGCCCTTGGGCTGACCTTGATGCCTGTCCAACATGTGGAGAAGCTCGTTACGACGAGAAAAAGCTCGAACGCAGCCATGGTCGGCTAAAAGTTCCTCGCGCGGTGTTCCAGACCATTCCGATTGGTCCCCAACTCCAGGCATTGTGGCGCGAACGAGGGAGCGCACAACGTATGAGGTACAGGAACGAGCAAACACAACAAATATTCGACGAGATTCGTCGGAACGATGGTTTTGTTGATGCATATGATGATATTCTCACTGGGAGTGCTTATCTTGACGCCGTCAGAGTGGGGAGAATCAAACCTGGAGATATGGTTCTGATGATCTCCATCGACGGTGCCCAACTCTATGAAAGCAAGATGTCCGATTGCTGGATTTATATTTGGATTATCGTCGACCACTCTCCTGATCCTTGATGAGGTCGCAGAGGAGATGGCTCGTCTACACCCTATTCTTGCCTTATGCGAAAACGGGTGGAAGGTACATGTGATCGCAACAGAGCGGTATCCCTCGTGGACGGCTACACACCTGGACAAGAAAAAAAGGAAGGTCCATGCCACAGGATTCGACTGTAACGATCGTGACTCATCGAAACGACGGAATGTATCTGGGTCTACCGAGCCCGAGTCAGATGGATTGAAGTCTCAAATCACTGCTAACGAGCCTACTGATTCCCTCTCCGAGTCCTTGAAGGTGAAACAGGACACCCTGCCGAAAGATGCTACCGTGACTCCCACCCTCAATCTGCAGAATGGTTCAAAAAGCGATATCGGCACTTCTGAGCTGGAGCGACGGTCTAATGATCCACCACAGCCACCATGTATTGAAGTGTCGACTACGTTGTCTCTTCCTGTGCCCTGTATCTCATTGATTAGCGCCGATGATTCGAACGAATCTCCAGAAGCCTCATCCCATGCAAACACAGCTAATTCGACCCCTCAAGATACTAGTAGTGGTGCCAAGGCCACGGTAAGTCATTTATTGTGCTTGAATTACTATGTACTGACATTAGTACTAGTGCGAGATTTCGTTCCCAATAATAAAAAACCCTCTGTAAGTCTGCAAAACCATCTTTCGAGCTGGCGCTGACTCAGGATACCGGTAGCGCAAAGCTTGCGGGGCAAAAACATCAATCTGTTGTCCCCAACCCTGTAGCTCCTCCACCCTCCGTGTCCACCTCATCATCCGCATCCACTTTGCCACCTACTGCACCCTCCACGTCAGCCATTGTTGAGTCCATAAGTGGCAAACGATTTCGACCTGGCACATCCAAGAACGGAAGGTGCGTAGCTTGTCAAAAGGCTGCAACAAGAGCTAACTTGCATTTACTAGGTCACTCTGTGTGCACCGCTGGTTGAAGCAGCTCGCTACTACTACAAACGGCTCGTCGGCGGACTTCAGGATCTACTGGTCCGGCTTGACAAAGGACAAGCAATTGGTACGTGCTCTTGCGATACATGTTTCACGGCTGTCATATTCCGTACCTGAAGCTTCTCGTCCGGTCCGGTCCGTCCGTTCTCTCGGTTCCATTCTAGAATTCATTTCCCTGTGTCCCCATTTGTATATGCTTCTTGATGCCCCTATACGCCCGGATCCTTCTGACAGTTAATATCCGGGTTCATTCTGATCCGTCCGTTAGTCTATTCATTTCCCTTTCATTTAACTTGTCCCCCCTGTTTCATTTAATCTCCGGCTCCATTCTCGATCGTCCGCAGCAGTTCATATCTGTTAGTACATTTTCTACATAGCCCTCTGATCCGAAGACTGCGCTTCGGCCGGAAACCCGTCGGATACACTACAGTATATAAACCCTTTGTAACCCGTAGTATTTCCTCAGTTCGAATATTAACTTAGACTCTGTTCAATCCTCGTGTCCTCTCGGCTCTTGGGATTATTACCCTAGTCCGATCCTCCGAGCCTCGGGATTATATCCCTAAGGCTAAATACCTCCGCCTCTACCTTCGGGTAGTCTGTACCTTGTTAGTTTCTACCCGGACGAAGTCTCGGGTAGTCTTCTCTCTCTCGTCCGGCCCGTCTATACCCTTCGGCCGACGATATCCAACCCCCTGTAAATTAGGGGCACGTACTCGGGTAAAGAGCGCAGCGCACGAGCTGAAGCTAAGCCCCTCCGGTCCGACCCGTTGAACACGGTCTTAACAACGGCATTGATATTTGTTTTAGGCATACGAGACTGATGCGCTAAAGCTGGTTAGCGACGACATATGGAACGGCAATACTGTCGACATCATCAATCGATTCTCCAGCGGTGCGCTATATTAATCGGCGCCTAGTAGTACGAGTAGGGGGTATTGTTTTTATAGCTATTATTCATTTGCTTGCAATGCATATCCGCATCGTTTTCGTGCGATTTCCGTCGTTTTATCGTGCAGTGTGAATACAATTAAGGATCTACGCTAATCTACGCCAATCTCGTATACGAGAATTGACGCGAAATGGTGATATCTCGGTCGATTAGCGTCGCTAGAAAATCGACTATGAGTCCCATTTTCGACGGTCATCTACGGAAATCTCGTGCTCGGAACTTGCCAATATTTCCATTGTTTTCCGTTGATACGGTGAGGTCCAGTTCTCACTGGGACCAATACCCTAGCATGCCTCAGTGTGCCATTCTGCCAGTTACTCTTCAGATCCTTGGATTTAGCGCCTCATCCTCGCATCCTCACCCCACCACAATCATCAAACACACTTCCAACAAGGTATCCCATCTGTGTCGTTCCGCGCTTCACCAACTGACTTTCGCCATGGATAATTTCTGCAATCTTGCATTCAGCCATGGACCATGCGGAAGGACATTATATGGGACGAGTCTCTTTGTGGATGTGTGGAAGAGATGTTGACGGAGACAGTCTATCAAGAGATATGGAGTGTCAGTGTGGTTCTGTGGTATCGATGTAGTTGGATCATGCAGCTCGCGAGATATCGACACTGCTATTGCAAAGGTACGCTCAACGCAAGTTGTACAAGACTCTACCACCCATTACAACAGCATCCACATTCATTCTCACTGCCTTATTCCACAGCCGTCCTACAATAGAATCACCACATTCTTCCAACGAACTTCTCCATACCTAATCCGCGGGCGATTCAATACACCGCCGCCTCTGGATGTGGTCCAACACAAAAAAAGATCTCGAACAACGATAAAGTGGCTAATCTGATGATATTGAAACAAGTAAGGCCAGGTCATTCTTAGGTGCTGCACAGTGTGGGGACTGGTTGACTGATCAATAGAACACAGCCACCATACCCACATCTAAACTCGCTACCGTTACGATTACATGACGCCTCAAGGAACCCCAAGCGCCATTCGTGTTCGACTTTGAACAGCAGATCACATTTGTTCATATAGCAGCGAGCCCATGCAAGAACTATCTACCAGCATACCTTAATACGCTTATTACGCCTCACCACCAAAGACTGACAGTACTCCTGCCGAGTATCCGCTATCACAATTCACCTCCCACACAGCTTCTGCGTTCTTGATTCGGTTCTTGAGAATGCCTCCAAGCATGTGGAAATGACTTTGGATGAGACAGGCCTGTTGGCGGATTATGTATGGAAAAGTTGGAGATGGATCGATCATCGGTAGGAGTTCTGGGGTGCGTTCATATCCACCCACATACAGGCAGATATGTATAAATGAACAGATCGACCCTGAAATGTAATTGTAATTTGTAAAAGAACGACCTGATCTGATTCTAGGCACGCTCATTGCATCGCAAGCTATGCAAGTCCCATCCCATCGGCACCCTAACACCTCGCCAAGAGACTTGAATGAAATGCTGCTGGCACACTCATCGCCAGTACATTTTTATGAAATGAACCTGTACAATTTGAAGAACATTTGGAATATTCCGCGATCACAAGTGCGTATTCGTTTCTCAGAGTGGGCCCTGTCATTGAACACTGTGCATATACATATGATAGAGATGGCGTGGCATTTTCCGAGTCTTGACATTGGACACTGATCGCTATCCATCATCTGCACAACGCAATTTGAGTGTAGTGCTTTTGTGATCATCAGTATCCTTGTGGGATGACGGCCCAAGGCAGATAGCCAGAATGAGCGCATAAGGCGGGTGGTGCTGATGACGAGGACAAACATCATGCATTGAGATCTGTGCTTGCCGGAGGGTGGCAGACGGGGTAGGACAGGTGAGTTGTCTGTTTGCTTCATTTTTCACTTTTATGATGTCATATGGACAGAATTTGCCCTTGTTGAATGAACTTGGAAGCATTGTTGCGCTCCCAGGCCCGATCCAGCGAAGTGGAGAGAATGCGATTTTAATCAAGAACCGTTCAGGTCACATCGCACCCAGGCTTGTCGATTTGCTGTTCGATTTCACTGATATCATGGAATTGAATTGACATATCTGTAGCAAGCATCTATCTGGATAATGGAAGCGAGTCGCCAAAATGATGAACAGTTCTTCGATCTGTCACGGCGTTCAAACATTCTGCGCATGTGACTGGTTTGCAGCTTCACAACCAACATATACATTGATTCAATCAAGGGACCCTAGATCGAGTATCCATTTCTACAGGACCTCAACTTACTTCGGTCAATCAATGCAGGAACGGATATCGCCCCCATGATCAATGCTCATTTCGGTTATGAAAGCGCTGGGTTGTGGTATATCTAGTACCCACCAACTTCGCTGCTCCCTCGCCCCCATCCTCTAACAAGATGACTCTAGTCTTAAATGATCCCAGTCTCTGGCCGGCCATTAATGCGTACCATATTTACAGCTATTTTGCAGGTTCGTGGAGAGCTAGTTGGACAATGACGGCGATTCTCGATCTAACATTTCACAGTTGCCGGCTGTGCTGGGGTTATGTACGATTGGGGTGAGCAAGATTGCTTTCAAGAATGGCTCATGTACATTCTTACTATAGTTTCTGCAGCTTTGACTGTCGGACAAGAGGTAGGTTGATGCCATTGTCGAAGCATCTATCTCACTCAGAATGGTTTACTATATAGATTGAACTCATCTGGGTGAGCAGAGTCACACATCAAAAGAACAACATGCAATGAATTTGCGGCAGAGACAACGCTGGTCACTCATGACCGCTCTGTATCTGAGTGTACGTAGCTTGCGTTGTAAGTGTGGTCAGCAAGTCAGGCTAACTTGAAAATATTCAAGGTGCGCTATCTTGGAATATCATATGCTGTGTATGTTTGTAATTCTAAACGATTGGCACTGCGCTAATCAATGATCTCCCACAACAAGCATCCAGATTCTAAGTATGTCTCCTGATATACGCCATGTTTACTTCTTCTCACCGGCGGCATACAGCGAACGTTCCGACAATATCGCTGACAGATTCAGTAAGTATTCTGATTCTCTGAACCAATGCTCACCATTCCTGTCGAATCAACTGGGCTCCAATGCAGGGGTGAGTCTGATTCTTTACCAGCTGGTGCAATATAATGACTGCAACAGCTGTGAGTTTCTTTTGATTGTGTGATCCTCCGAGGCTGATCACCACCTGGATTTGTCAGGCCTGATTGTGTTCGTCACACAAAATTGGGTGGGTATCTTCGTGAACGCAATACTGGGCGGTGAGCTACATTGCTGCAATGAGTCAGTGATATTGACTTAACAGAAACATCACGCAAGTCATCATGATCACTCGATTACATGCCATGTATCAACGATCCAGAAAGGTGTTGATACTTTGCGTTGTAGTCTTCCTGACTATCACCATCGCCGCAGGAGTGTTGAGTGTCATATCAACAATAGACACTTCAGGAGGTAAGCTTGATTATGGATGAAAGACTTGTGTGCAACAGGCTCATTGACGAATACCAGAGGAGGCCATTCTCTCTGGCACCTACGAATGCTCTGTTGGCTTTACAGGAAATATCCAACTACTGCCTCCCGTGACTTGGATGCTTGGCACTGCATGGGAGGTCCTCGCACTATGTCTCACAATCTGGATTGCTGTAAAACACTTCCGTGAATTGCGACGACAGTCGGCAGGAGGGGTTATCGGGGACTGCTTCACAGTGTTGATACAATCTCACGTGGTTTACTTTACGAGGTGAGCTAACAATGCCAATGTGGCTCCCTTCTTCCGCTGAAGTTCTGCACATCTTAGCTTTGTTGTTGTTTCTTGCTTCACGATCAGCGCCGACTTGTCTCCAACAATATCAGGGGTATGCTATTCTGTCGATGATCTCTGCATGCAACGGTTCATCATTTCTACAGGACCCATATTCCCTGGGAACTGAGATTTATTATGGTTTGCTTGGTATTTTCCAGGCAGTGCAGATGTTTGTGCTGGGACCACGCCTGATACTTAGCATTCGAGAATATAACGCCAATCTCGTGGCCGACTCCGACGCAGCAACCGCCATGACTTCAATTCCTTTCCAGGAGCGCGTGCATGTGGCAACTAGCAGCAGCGTGTAGGACGGGAAATCCTTGAGGTGATTACCACTGTCAGGGTTCAAATACTCTGCGTGGAGCGGGGGGATTTCTTTTATTTCCAAGTTTCTTTGCCATACTTATTTGTTTATGTTCTGAAGATTTGACAGAGAAGTGGCCCGCCCCGTACGTTATTGCATCACTACGTTTTTGAGTAGAAGATCTCATATCTTTGCTTCTTCAATAACCCTCAATGTGAATATTTATGAGTGCAAGCCAGTGACATGCAAGGTGTTGTTACATATCTAGCAGAGTGGGTTCGCAGGCTTCCGTTGCAACATCATGCATTGTAACGATACTTGCCATCGCATCACCTTTCCACTCCTCATCGTACCTCTATTCTACGTCCACATGCAAGTGCTTGACGAGCTGAGCGGTAGCAGCAATCTTTGTCTTGCTGTTATCGTTGTTCTTGATCTTCAGTAGCCAAGACTCCGATGGTATATCTGACAAAGAAATTATCGATAAGTTCTCTCCAATTGAGAGTGGCTAAATAGCAAGAATAGTCAGACATGAGGGAAGAACATACACAAGGAGGCCAAGTGGTCTGCATGGTGCCGTCGAAGTGACCTTTGGGGTACATGTCGCCTAGTATGAGGTGCAGCTGGGGAGAAAATTGTGGTTGAGGTTGAGGGAGTTGATGGTATTGAAAGTGTCAACCGCCGGGTCCGAGATACGGGACACTCTAGGGCAAGTGAAAGTCAAATGAGAAGGGTGAAAGAGACTCGCTTTATGTGAGCATGTGGGAAATTTTCATCCAGCCAGTCAACTCACCGAGACTCTTGGTCCCTGCAAGACGACAGGTCACAGATTTAGTTGATTGAATATGCGGTGCCATCCTAATGTCACTGCCCAATGAGCATCCCATTTCTAATAGCCAACACCCGCCACGACCTCAAAAGCGACAGCAAACAAAAACCCATGGGGAACCTAGAAAGGAGCGGTACTAACCGCGTCTTGAGATGATCATCGGCCGCGACTGCACAGTTACTCGTTTATAACGAAGTAACATCCCTTGACATTCGGACTACAAGTCACTGCTGTGACAAGTCGTTGGGTGATGCCAAAAAAGACAAATATTGTTGAAACAAGACTCGCGGAAGCAGTGAGAGGGTTGGTATGTGTCCGAATATATGAGCAGAAACATGAGGAACCAGCGTGTGCTTGACTCCATGGCTCGTTTGGAGGACTCTGAGAGTCTAAGTAGCTAGCAGCAGACGTACATAGTGAAATGATGTGCACTCGTCGTTCGTGTGAATGATCGCGGCAGTTGCCGCAATTGGTGCTTGTCCGTAAGAAGAACTTGTTCCGAGTCCATCGCCTTGATTCTCGGATGTTCGTTAAAATTCAACTGTGCCCCAGTCTCGCCTTCAATCTCGAATGTTCGTCAAAATTCAACTGTGTCCCAGTCACCCAAGTCGTGACTTGTTAACATCCGAATCATGATAACCGCATATGGCGCTGGATCTGTTCAACTATTCTTACACACAATATGCACACATACACAAAGGATTTACATAACACAGAGTCGCATACCGTTGCCGAGATGTATCAGGATGCTTTGGGATTAGCGTGACTTCCCGTTTTGGTAACACCGCACGACGACAAAATCGAGCTTGCTGTTGAGGACAGCGAGCTCAAATAGTTGCCCAATCCTTCACCCTTTTCACTGGTTCTTTTGAGGGAAAAAAAATCAACTGTAGCTAGTTAAATATGCTATTTTGACCATATATCTTCCAAACTTACAATATTCACCCATTCCTGTCATGTATTTATACTGGGCGCTCTGAGGGGCTTATTATGGGCTCAATTAATGATGTATTCATTGTATAAATATATTATAACTTCTACAAAGCCAGAAGTATTCAATTAGAGTCCAGAAAATACCAGAAAAGCGGTCAGGGTGGGGGGAGGAGGAGGTGGGGAAGGAGGGTTGTATTGTCCAAAAGTAAGCATAGTTAACTAGCTACAGTTGATTTTTTTTTCCCTCAAAAGAACCAGTGAAAAGGGTGAAGGATTGGGCAACTATTTGAGCTCGCTGTCCTCAACAGCAAGCTCGATTTTGTTGTCGTGCGGTGTTACCAAAACGGGAAGTCACGCTAATCCCAAAGCATCCTGATACATCTCGGCAACGGTACGCGACTCTGTGTTATGTAAATCCTTTGTGTATGTGTGCATGTTGTGTGTAAGAATAGTTGAACAGATCCAGCGCCATAACCGCATGCCTGATAGAGCTGCGCATTTTCTCCAGGACCCAGCCAGAAGTGTGCTGCTTAGCTTCACGGCACGAACTTAATGCTACCTACCTCTGTGTAAGTCTGCATACCAACATTCAGTCGACTAATCATGCTTGCAAGCTTGAATGTGCTCCCATTTAATATTTGCACCGTATGACAGTCACTCGTGCAGATTGGCTAGTTCGTCCACTTAGCTCCAAGTGGTGCTCCGCACTTACATAGGTTTCGGCTTCTTTGAATTATTATTTCTGACGATAAACACCGGTGCCGGAGGGGAATCACTCGGGCCCGCATTCAAGACAGTCATGTTCCTACCGCAAGCCAGTGAACCTCTTAGTCTTAGCGCTGCCACAGACATGGCTATAAATCTCCCAATAGATGACCTAGGTCCCACATCGAATCAAACACAACAGTATTCAACACAACAATGAACACATCTACCATCGCTTTACCCTCTCCATCAAGTCTCTGGACAACTGCACGTTTGGTTGGCGCACTCAATGTCGCTGGTTCCTTTGCTGCACTATGGGCTTTTGTCAAAGTCCTAAGGGTGCTTCGCTTGCGGTCAAAGACGACTCAACTGCGGGGTCCACCTCGTACCAGCTTCATATATGGTGTTTCCCGCGACCTCGACTCATCCCATGATAGTGGTGCAATGTTCGAACATTGGGCCACAGAATATGGGGTAGTGTATATGATTCCGGGTGTCCTCGGACAAAATATGCTCGTGTTGTGTGACCCAAAAGCTATAGCACATTTGTATGCCCGGGAGACGTGGACCTATATGCAGACGCCCTCTTCGTTGGCATTTATGGAGGCATCAGTATGTCAACGTCCTCTTCTTACCTCATCTATCTGATATCTTTTGTCAGCTCGGCAGAGGGATACTATGGTCTCATGGTGAACAACACAGGAAGTGCGTTCAGTTTTTGTCCTTGCGCCAGAGACTAATTGACTACCTGTGAATCAGGCAGCGGAAGGCCCTTGCACCAGCTTTCAGTAATGGAGCCATCCGAAAACTCACATCAGTGTTTTATGACTCAGCATACAAGGTAAGGACTCGCAATGTGGGAAATGTATCTCTGAGCTTGAAACGTTACAGGCCAAAGGTGCATGGGATACCACTATAGAATTGAACAAAGATGGGAACGCTGTCATTGAAGTTCAAAACTGGTGCGTAACTTTTCTGGCTTGAACAAAGTATCATTCCTAATCGAAATAACTTCAAGGATGAATCATATATCGTACGTGATGATTCTTTTTGCTATTGAAGCCTCGAATTGAATGACGCAATATCAGTCTGGATACGATTGGCATTGCTGGTTTCTCCCATGATTTTGGCTCGCTCGATGGCAAGCGCGCCAGCGTGACCGAGGTGTTTGACACTTTCGGAAGCAACTTGCAGGCCTCAGCATTGAACCAAGCCTTTGACCTGCTTGCATCAGCGTTTGCCATCTTCACCAAGATCCCCACAAAGAGAATGAAGCTGTTCAAGAAAGTCGGTATAACCATGGGAGAAATATCGGACGACTTGTTGATTCGCAGTCGTCAGGAAAAGGATGCGAATGTTGCCGAGAGAGACGAGGAGAAGTCCATCATTGGATTGTTGTGTATGCTCTTCACATGATTCACGGTATTCCCCTGATTGACACGATGGTCAGTCAAATCTGAAAGCCAGGATACTGAGCTCCATATGTCCAAGGAGGAAGTAGTGGCTCAGGTCCGTGGAGATTATGACAGCCATGATTTGAAAGCTGACATCCTGCAGATGAAGGTTTTACTTGTCGCGGGTTATGAGGCGACAGCCAGTGAGTTGATTCTTGTGCAGTGCTATCACATTGACTTATTCTTCCCTGGCAGTCGGTCTTACGGTAAGTCCTACTGTCCGATAATGTCTGTGCACATCATTCATGTGATGATCAGTGGGCGCTGATCGAGCTATCGCAACACCCTGATGCCCAAACCAGACTTAGAGAGGAACTACTTGCGTTTGGTGCTGATCTGACATACGACCAATTAAAGGCCACACTCCCATACTTGGATGCGGTTGTTCATGAAGTTCTACGACTCCATCCTCCGGCGCCCGATTTCATTCGTCTTGTGAGTGCACCTGTCTGGGTGCAAATAGATATCCTGACAATAGATATACAGGCAGGCACAGACGACATTATTCCCTTGAGCGAACCTGTGTGCAATGCATCCGGGGAAATGACGGATAGCATTTCTGTAGCAAAGGGGACATTGATCATGATATCAGCCGTGGCGATCAATCGCTCTTTGGCTATCTGGGGACCTGACGCAAAAGAATTCAAGCCTGAACGTTGGCTGGCTGAAGGTGGTATCAGCGGGAAGGCCAAGGAAGTCCAAGGCCATAAGCATTTGCTGACGTTTGTCGACGGCCCGAGGACGTGTCTTGGAAAAGATTTCGCGATTACGGAGTTCAAGGTGATTGCTACGGATCAGCTTGTTAGAGTTTCGACGTTACTCACTGCGATACAGACAGTTTTGTCGGTTCTGGTGAAGAACTTCGTGTTTGAGATGCGGGATGGACCGAATACTTGGGTCGAGGTTGTGAGGGGGATTTTGCCTCGTCCGCGGGTTGTTGGAGAAGATTCCACTGGAGTACCTTTGAAAGTTCGTCGGTATCAATGACCGGTTATGCTGCACTAGCAGCTTCACATATTCCTCACTTATTCGCGACTGGGACTCTTAAATGACATGTGTATAGCTCTGTCAGCCTGCAGAAGCACAGATGTGATCCACCCTGACGTTGACCTGAGGCTGTATGATCTGTCCGTCTTCGAACAACGCCTGTTCGAGAAGTCACCAGGACAAGAACGAACTACTAACAAGGCAAAACGCATCAAGAACCTCCTCGACACATGGATGATTCTTCACGAACATGCAGAACACGGACAACATTTTGCACCTTGGATTATACTTTTGATTGTTATATGACCCCCGTTGTAGTGTCTTCCGCTGTGCCATAAATAATGCATATCAATATTATCTCGCATTTTAACTTGCACCTCGAGTGATAGCGTGCTTTAAATGTACACTAGACATCAAAGGAAGCTTGCCCTTACTTATCTGTCAGTACATTTCAGGCACGCACCATACTGACGCCCTAAGCTCACAAGGTAAATCTCCCTAGATATTTTCGAGCACCAGCCGAAGAGTGCCAGACTTTCGGTGTGATCAAGCCACAACGGTGGAGAGACTATGTGTATTCGGCGACGTCTATCTGAATAAATGGCTACAATGTAGCATACACAAGGCTCTACAACTCAGGGGATATGTGGAAGCGTGCAGTGAATGATTACGGAGAAATATAATGTCAGGAGCAACGGAAGAGAAACTGGGGACTGCAGACCTCAGTGAACGTGACGGCGTGAAAGAAGAAAGCAAACATACACGATGCATTACTCGTCGTTGACCTTGCCGGAATTCTCGACATCACTTGACGGTGGCTAGCTTTGGCTTTAGGTGTGCCAGCTGCAGCTTTTGGCTTCCTGAGTTTGACCTCCTTGCCACGATTGGGGTTCTCGGGCGCTTCCCACCACATTGCTGCAATCTTTGAGACGTGTTAGACATGGGAGGGACGCATATATGCGCATATACGCACTCGGACATGCATCCTTCCACTCTTTCATGTGGGCTTGTACGAAGAGGTTGTATGCGCTTGGGGCACGCTTTGGTTTGTCTTCCTTGTCTGTGGTGAAGTGAGTATTGAGACGAAGAACACACTGTCCCTCGTCGTACTTCCATCAAGTTGGCGCATGACTACATATTTCAGCAATTGATTGCACTTACCATGCGCTGTGTTTGAAATTTGATCGGCTACAGGACGTCCATCACTGATTTGCGCCTTCCGCATTAGCATATATACCAATCAAATATGTATGATGAACGATACCGGAATGCATATGGAGATTCTCGCAGTCGCGACGCTTGCCGTTTGGCGAGCTATCACCTGAGACGGCAGTTGTTTATCTCGCAGAAACACATGACACTGAGTGCTGCACAACTGGATGGTTGTGGCGAGGCTTGCTTGTTGTTTTCCCTGCGTCTGGGAAGACGTGATTTCTTGCGCTTCTAAACCTAAAAAAATCTGTTCACGAATAGATGTCAGTGTCCGCCAATTAATAATGCGGTCCAGCACAGCATGGACGGGACATCGTGGGAGATAGTTGTAGAATACTACTGTTATGGCATGCGAAAGGGAAGAACCAGCGTGAAGTTCTAGCCGCAACCTACAAGCCAAACAGGCAGTGACAGCACTAGGAGTCGTCTGCTGAAGTATCTGTGCAACCCGACAGCTTGTCTGCGTTGAAACAAGCGCAAAGGCAGGAATCAAACACCCGTTTGGGGCATTGTGGCGGCGGCGGCGGGTGGTGTCGAGGTGGCCAATAGTGTTGATGTTGATTGTAGCAAGTCGGAGGGCTCGTGGCGATTTGCGTGGGTGTGGGGGCCGTGATCGTGATACAATTACAGCACTGAGATTCGAAATATAAAAACATATACAAGAGGTTGGTAACGGCCTAGCGGGCGCACGAGTCCAAAAGTAGAATATGCATTGATTGCAAAAACCCCGAACGTAGCGTGCAATACTGGTACACCTGACAAGGAGAGTATACAGGGCAGCGGCAACCAACAGTACTAGTGAAACAACGGGCCTGAGGATGTGGCGAAAGTCCACACGGAAGTAGGCCTACATGATGAAAAGGCCTCAAAGGTGCTGCTGCCTGCAGGATGCGGGATGTAGATACAGGAAGCCAAGGGAGGGCGCTAGAGGGAAACGGGGAAACGGAGGAAAGGAGACAGGGCAGATACCAAAGAAGGCACTAGAAGCAATAAAAAAAGTATCTGGGGGCCCTTGACTCTGAACCACCACCATGGTCAGTTTTTCCCACGCATAAAATTCTGGTGAACAGAGGATGAGAGCGCACGCGGAGGGAAGTCTAGTTAGATAGAATCTCAGTTTCTGGGTAGAAGACTCGTGCATTGACAAGTATGTACCTAGTTAGATAGACTAAATGTATTTGTTAGTTGCTACTGGAATAAACGGTATAAGGACTTACATCTCAGTTTCTGGGTAGAAGACTGAGATGTGTCGACGGCGGTACACGCACTTTATCGTACGGATGGAATGGGTGGAATAGGGTAAGTGATATAAGTCTGAGACATATCTCGAGGGGGGCGCACGTCTAGCGACGTCACGACTGCGCTCGTACCTTATTCCTCATCTCCTGTCTCCCTCGGACTTTTGGACTCCAACAAAAATTGTGGGCAAGGTCGAGCCACTAAGGCTCACAGCTAACAACTGGCCCCATACACATCTGAATCGTTCCAAAAAATACACCAGTTATCAAAACAATACCCGCTCTACATAAGAATTCCATCAACCTGAATCACATGTCAATACTCGTAACACCCAAGGACAATCCCCAAACACAGCTCACTCCAAACACGTCAAATATAAAAACAAAACACACCCAAAATGCAATAAAACCACAAAACGCTCCTCCCACAAAGACCCTAAAAATCCTAAGAACCGCCCCCGCGAACCATAAATACCCACCCCCCGCTACACGAAAACATCAAACACGCAAAATCCAACACACCAAGATTTTCCCACCAAAACACTGTCCTGAGGAAGGAAATGAATAATAAAAACATGATACTAACGAAAACAAACGCCACACCAATGCATCACCCCTAGGATACATCAATAAACACCCCACGTCAGAACCCACATAGCCCATAAGCACAAAACACACCGCTCTCACCAATAAACATCGGCCCTAAAAAGTAGTAAGATAACACCCAAACGTAAATCGACAGAGACCAAGTAATGACGCACAACCACACAGCATACCCATCAAGATACCTTGAGAAATTCACACCTCACCCGCAGATACATTAACACAAACTCATACCCCCACCTGAGATGAACCCGGCCACGAAGCCAACACTGACCCCCTACCTAAGAACCCCCGATGAAACAGCACTTAAAAAACAATGTATAAAAACTAACCTCTAACAATTCTGACAAACCGTCCAACTGAAGATGAAGGATAAAGAGACGACCTCAATAAAATCTCTATCACAATCCACTCGTCCCTACCCCAGTACCCCTTGTCCTGCACTCCAAACCACCCATTCGGGACCAAAGTATTCCCCTCCGAATACCCTCCCCGACAACGACGATATGGACCAAATACCTAACTTCCTACCACCCCCACCATCCCCAACAACTTCGCGATCCCCCCCAGACACACCAACACAACCCATGAGCGCGCCAGTTAGCCCAACAGCCCCACATGCAACGACACCAGAAGAAGAATCCATCCTCGCTCACTTAGCCCTCGCGGAAAAGAATAGATCTGTTCTACGCCAAGATGGCCCCAACCACTGAACCACTCTCCCCCAATTCACACCTACCCCCATCGGAGGCTTCCCTAAAATCCACATGTCCCATTCTGCTCAGATCTTCGACCACCTAGAAAACAAAGTCTTACTCGCCTGGTTCCAGGTCCAACACCCGAAATTCATGGTCCGTGTCTTCGACCACTCGGGAAGAGATGTTTTCGAAAAAGCCGCAATCATTGCTGAAAGAATCCGTGTGAACATCGCTATCATAGCAAACTTCGTACACCAAGGCGCACCCCCAGTACGAGTCTCTCCCCCACAACCCCAGGGCGGTAGAGACTCCAAAGACTTTCCCACCGGCTTCCTAGTTCACAATGTATCAGAAGAAACCAGGAATATCATCCTTGACCAACGTATCTGGGCCGCCAATGATATCACATTCGAAGCTCTCCCTTTCGGCTGTCCCCACCCCCCAGAATTACTATTCTGCCCCTCCGGCTTCACTACAGCCAATGCCGAAATCATCGGGAAAACAGTTGCGGACGTCTGGGCACATGAAGAAAACAGACACCGGATAAACAACATATTCTCAATGAGTGAAATCAAGGAAGAAGAGCACGTCTACAAAGCCACGTGGGACTTAATCAGATCCGTCCGCGTCGAACATCTGGATTTCAAGATCACGGGGGGACTCTCGGTTCCGCGTTTCAACATATTCGCGGTCAGCCCCTCCAATGACGCGAAGACATGGACCGACCTCAGAGGTTTCCTACACATCCTAGACTACCCAACGGGTCTAGACGGATGCGGGGTAGCTGTAGCTTTATCACCATGCCCAATCTGTCATTCCCTCGCCCACCCACGAGGCCTGTGCCCCTTCCCCAACGTACCTTTATGGAACGGCCCCAAAGTAGGGAGTAGAAATACCATTAATGCATCTAGACAAACCGGTAGAGCGAGAGGCGGAAGGTCCGGATGTAATACCTAGAACCACCCATCAAATCAACCCCAGAACGATACACTGTCATATATCAGAACATCTCGTACCATACGAAAACCCCATTCAGCCCTTCCCAAAACCCCCCACCATTCCAAATATCACTCCCTAGCTCACGTATGTAGTAGCGCAGTTTGCATTCCATAATCCTAGTCGTTTAACGCTCACAAAACCATTACCGAAAACCCACTATAACATCCCCGGCATAGGCCCAAAACCTATCGCGAAAGTGAGATGTTATAAACTAATCTCGATTCATGCGAGACCCAAATTGAAACCCTAAGACCCTCTGCCCACATATACTGATTGTGTGAACAAGACAGGAAAGCGAGAGTCGTCTCACCACGCATGGTGCACACCAGACCACGGAAACCTATTTAGGTTTGGATGAGCCGTGCCGAGAGGCTTAAGTTTCTCAATAGTAGGAAGTACGAGTGTTTTGGGCACAAATATTTTCGAACTTGACAAACATAGTCCCCCCGGGTAGCTGGGTAATGCTATCCCTGGCTTTTCTATAGTCGCATGACAAGCTAAGTAATACCGACTACCAACCAAGTAACAAACCCCCCCCTTCCCCCTTCCCCCCTTCCCCCTTCCCCCTTCCCCCTTCCCCCCTTCCCCCTTCCCCTTCCCCCTTCCCCCTTCCCCCTTCCCCCCTTCCCCCTTCCCCCTTCCCCCTTCCCCCTTCCCCCCGGTCATATCTTCGGTCATGGTATTTGCCTCCCCAGGAGCAGAGGGAGGTCTCTTTCCATCGCCCGAGAGCCCCCTAATGACGCCCCAGGGGAGTTCGGAGGCGTAGTCCATCCCCAGCCACACCAGGCAAGTGAAAACACAGCATACACCAACCCACACAAGCGTACACGCGCTAACATGACCCTCGCCACACTAAACGTCAAAGGTAGAGCCTCGACAACTCTGGGCACGAGCCCAATATCCAAGTGGTCTATAATAAATCAAACAATTAGAGAAGAAAAACTAAGTATCCTATGTCTACAAGAAACACACCTAACCAATGAACACGAAGAACAAATAAGATCGCTATACTCTAGACGTCTATTAATGCTCAACTCACAAGATCCGACACGCCCCGGAAACTCCGCCGGTATAGCCTTCGTACTAAACAAAGAAATGATCAACACGTCAGAAGCAAAACTAACAGTACTAATCCCTGGTAGAGCGATAGCCCTATCAATCAAATGGCACAATGAGGAGGTTATTAAAATTCTTAACATTTATGCACCCAACAATCACAACGAACACCCAACGTTCTGGAACACTATAAAGACAAAATGGTCACAAAATAACCTAGGATCAATTGACTTCATGGTGGGAGATTTTAATGTAACAGAAGACCCACTAGATAGAGCGCTATCAAGATTTGACAATGAACAAGCAGTAGAGGCCCTAAGAGAATTCAGAACTAGCGAAAACATACAAGATATGTGGCGACACACCCACCCAAGAACACGACTGTTCACGTTCAATAGTAACACCAATTCCATGTCCCATTTAGATAGAATCTATATGTCAACCACACACCATGAAAGCGTCTCGAACTGGAAATCATACCTATGCCCAATTCCCACGGATCATAACATTGTAACTACCCGCTTTGCCCCACCAGGTCTCCCGCACATTGGAAAGGGAAGATGGTTATGGCCACTTGAAATACTTACCGACAAAACCTTAATTGAAAAAATAGAAACATTAGGAATAAAAACTCTAGAAAAAATCGAAAATAAGAGTATAGACGGAAACCGCACCAAGAATGAAAACCCGCAATCAATATGGGAAAACTTCAAATCCCAAATGAACGAAGTAGTCAAACACGAGGCCAAAACACGCATCGCAAAAATTAACCGAAGAATTAAAAAAATACAAAAAGACATAAGGGCATCATCTAACGCACCAGACATCGACACCTCGATCGACCAGAGACAAAACAAAATCATCCTAGAACAACAACTTGAGCAACTAGACAGAAAAAGGTACAAAAACGCTCACCTAAAAGCCCAAGCACAATGGGCGCTGTACCAAACATTCCGGCGCCAGCCTCACAATCGCCCGTTATGCACGATCCGGAGCTCACCTGGTCAGGTATTCATGTTCACACTCATCCGGCCTATTCCATCGACTCCCGTCCCTCCTGGACACCTAACGGATACGCAACCCGCGACGGATTCCCTCAATTGCCCCTCGTCCCTGTCCATCCATGTCCATCCATCCCCATTGGTGCGTCATTTCTCTCCTTTTATCACTCTGATCAAGCAGCAGACTGTTTTACATGTACATTCCCATACATGAGGCCGCTTACCGTCCCTTACATATTATCGCGCTATGGACTCGCCTATACTACTGTCGCTTAAACGGATCCCGAGTTCTTACGGATTAAGATAAATAGTTGCGTCATACTCTGCCAATATCACTTCCCTTTTGCTCCCTTGGATTTATATCTAAGTCCGTGTGATCAACAAAGTCCCCTTAGTCTTCCACGTTGCAACGGACCTCTTCCCGCACCTCGGACTACTTCCGGTAGCTCGTTACCTCGAGACCTTGAAACCTTGACACCCCGACACCTTGACACCTTGACACCTTGATCATCGTACCGCTAGATATCTGTTCCTCGCGAACCATCCTCCGTCCGGACACTCCTTTCCTTAAACCGGACTTCACCTGTGTGTCCGCCGCTCAGATCTTAAGCCCGTCGGATTGATTCCTTCGCATTTATTGCGAAGACTTCCTTCAGTAGCAATCCCCTTGGGACGAGCTATTACACTTGCACTCATACAGATCGGTAGTCTACTCTAACAGGCTACACAGAATCTCTTTCGCTCAGCGCTAAAAGGAGAAACAATAAGTAAGTATTGGTCAAAAATGAACAAACCAAGACAACCGAGAGACGTGATACACAGACTGCGAATCCCAAACACAAATAGATATACAACCAAGTCAGAAGAAATGTCTGAAATCGCAAGAACATACCATAAAAACTCCAAGACATCAGCCAACACCTAAATAACAGCGTACACAGACGTGAAGCCATAGTAAAAACTATGTCAGAAATCCCAAATGAATAGAAGATGAACTCACCAAACAGCCCTCTAAATGAACTAATCACAGAACAAGACGTGAAAGACGCTCTATACTCATCCAAAGCCGGGAGCGCAACGGGCATAGACAGAATCTCGTATGAAACATGGAAAATACTACACGAAAGACATAAAGAACATCAAATCAAAAATAAACCAAGCTTTGACGTGATAAAAACACTTACCATAGTGCTAACTGACATCCAAACATATGGAATCACAAGAGACTCCAATTTCGCCTTAGGCTGGATGTGTCCCCTATACAAAAAAAAAGACAGATCAGAGATAGAAAATTACTGCCCAATAACTCTACTAAATACAGACTACAAACTACTCACGAAAACGCTAGCCATGCAACTCGCTAGAGAAATCCACCCCATAATCCACCCAGATCAAAGCGGATTTATACCTAAAAGATCAATATTCAACCCGATAAGACTCTCACAAATGATGACGGCCTATGCGGACATAACAGAAGAAGATGGAGTAATGGTTGCGCTTGACCAAGAGAAAGCTTACGACAAAATTAACCATGATTACCTAATCGACTCCTTAAAGAACTTTAACTTACCTGAAAAATTTATCAACACAATCCAAGCTCTATACAAAAACGCACATACCATGGTTGCCATCAACGGATTCCTAAGCACCCCATTTAAAGTATCAAGGGGGGTACGCCAAGGCGACCCCCTATCTTGCCTGCTGTTTGATATAGCAATCGAACCATTAGCGTGCACCCTTAGAAATTCAACAAAATTAAGCGGATACAACATACCTGGCCTCGTGCAACGCATAATCGTAAATATGTATGCGGACAATACCACGATATACCTAAAAAAGGTGATAAATATAAGGACCTAAATGATATACTACAAAGATGGTGTCTAGCATCAGGCGCTAAGTTTAATATGGATAAAACAGAAATCTTACCAATCAGCACAAAAACACATAGAACGACAGTTATATCCACCAGAAAGCTGAACACAGAAGATGACCCCTGGGAGAACTCAATAAAAATCACCCAGGATGGATCCCCGATCAGATCCCTAGGAGCATGGATAGGAAACGAGTTAGATAATGCAACACCATGGGAACCAATCCTAGATAAAATAGAGTCAACCCTACATAGATGGAATAAAGGAAACCCGACACTAGACGGAAAATGGTTAATTATTCAAATGTTCGTAGGCGGCATGACACAGTTTCTCACCAAAGCGCAAGGCATGCCGAAACAGATCGAAACCGCCATCACAAAGATCATCAGAAAATTCATATGGAACGAATCAAAAACCTCACCAATAAGCATGAAACACCTTCAGAGACCTCAAGAAGAAGGCGGCCTTGAAATCCTCGATATAACAGCTAGAAACCAGGCGATAAACATCACCTGGTTATGCGCATACATTAACATATCCCCTGACCGACCCACATGGGCATTTATAGCAGACGCACTAATACACACCCTAAAACCCAACGGCCTAAGAAGTCTTGATGACGTCCAAACTTTCCTCACGACATGGTCCCCGCCATCCCAAGGACCACACGCAAACCGCCTACCAAAAGAGATAACCACCATGCTAAAGATGGCAAAAAAAACATAATATGAGCTTCACACCAATAAAAGTATCTCACTCACTCAAACAGCAACTTCCCGCATGGTTTCATCTTGGAGCCCCCCCAAGAACGTACAATAAACTGAAAGATCAATGCCTACAACAATCACATAAAGTAAGAACAGTAATTGATTTAATGAAGTTAAAAAACAGACGCACCACCAACACAAATCACCGCGAGAGGAGCAACTGTGCATGTGAACCTTGCAAAACTGATAGAATAGAGGGATGTAAGAACCCACACAAATGTACAATCACAGCAGCAACGATACTCACCAAAATCATTCAAAAACTCAACCCCCTCGACTCGCCACCAGATGACGGCCTCACGCTAACCCACCGACGAAAGGAAAAAAACGCACACGTGATTTCTCAACAATGAGGAGACATAGTCTTCGACCCCTAGATAACAGAAAAAAAGACCTATCAGAATGTTTCAGAATCTTTACAAAGACAACCATGAACATACCGACCCCAGCGTACCACCTCCAGCACATTGGACCAAGAAGAGGGTCACAAGAACAAGCGATTGAAATATACACTGACAGATCGTGTATGAACAATGGAAAAGAAAATGCGAGATGTGGGAGTGGAATATGGTTCGGGGAAAATCACCCACAAAATAAATCCATAAGAGTCCCAGGGAATTCTCAGTCTAATCAGGCAGGCGAGATCGCAGCCATCCTTATAGGACTACAAAATGTCAGTCCCCTTACCCCAGTAACCTTTATTACAGACTCACGATACGTTATAAACTGTTACAGTAACATGGCCCCCTATCTTTTTCTGACCCTTTCACCCTGTCACAATGTCACACCTTCACCTCTTCACGATTCACCATGATGCTTGATGCACTTCCTGATCCCCACCGACCCTGACCTTCTGTGATAGAAGCTAGACACTTCCTTTAAGACCCTTGATCTATGGCCTCATGGCCTTACTTCCTTTTCCCTTGATGTTCCCATAGAACCCCTTCCCTAACCTCATGGACTCCTGCCTGATCCTGCCTACCCGATATACCTTTCCTGACCATTGTACGATTACCAGACCTGCCCTGAACACTGTGATCTTTACCTATATATAGTCGATCCACTTGTACTATTATTCCTTAACTTGATTCTACTGGGTTTTACCTTGACTTGTATATTCTCTTGAGTTAACTCTCTTGAGTCTGATCACAAACCCTCTATACTCTTGGATCGCTATCCTTGAGTCCGATACATCCTCTCTTAGACTGTTTGTCTTTGAGTCGATACTGATCCCTCGTCTAGACTTAACCGTCGAACACGAAACCCTTCTTCGGCCGTTGCCTTAGAAGCTTACCTCCCCTTCCGTTCTGTCATAACCTGACGGCTTAGGCTACCAGGTATATTGACGTTCAATCGATACACGATATGATAGCCTAGGACCGTCGTCCTTCGCTTACCCATCCCAGTCCAACTACGACCGTTGTCGTAACATAAACGGCCTAACAAACCACCTCCGAAACTGGGAAGATCGGGGCTGGATTGACATAGCAAACAGCGAAATCTTCAGAGCCACAGTATACCAGCTAAGGAAAAGGTCAGCAACAACGACCTTCAGATGGATTAAGGGCCATAGTAACAACAAAGGAAACAATGAAGCAGACAAACTCGCTGAAATAGGTGCACTAAAAAACGAATACAACCTCATGGACACAACGGTTCCACCCGAATTCGACCTACAAGGAACAAAGCTCACCCATATCTCCCAAGCCCTAGCGTACAGACAGATGGTATCATCCCCAATCCTTGAACACAAGCGCTCAACCCTAGGCCTCCTCGACATAACACGATACGCCATCCAAAACATATCAAACACACTGGAAACAGACAGATCAATATGGAAAGCTAGAAAGAACAAAGACTTATCTAAGAAAATTCCAAATCTTCACGTACAAAGCACTCCACAACGCGTTCAAAGTGGGGGACTTCTGGACTAGCATCCCAACCTACGAACACCGGGCAAAATGTCACATATGCAAAGAAGACACCGAATCAATGAGTCATATGCTCACAGAATGTAACAGCTCAATACGAAAGCTCATATGGCGCCTAGCAGAACAAATATGGCCCACCAATATCATCCCATGGCCGGATATATCGATAGGAATTATCCTGGGATGCGGTGCGATATCAATCCCCCACAAACAAAATAAAGACGATCCAGATGACAAAAAGAAAGCAGAATCAAAAAGAGGAGCCGCAAGGCTACTCCGAATAATCATATCAGAATCCGCTTATCTAATATGGACCATCAGATGCACCCAGGTCATTCAGGGAATATCCCTCGACGAGTCAAATATAACAAAAAGATGGACTAAAGCAATCAACGATCACTTACAAATAGATAGAGTAATAGCTAGCAAAATCAAAAGGAACCAAAAATACTCCAACCTCATCAACACTACATGGTCAAATATAATATCCCCCGGAAAATCCCTCCCACATAATTGGGTCACATCACTCGAGGTTTTAGTGGGTATAACACTACCCAGGCCCCCGCAGACCGAGGTAACCTAGGTAGTTTACAGAGTCCCACACACCCCTACCACAAGTAGGGAGTGCATAAGTGCATTTTCCCTCGGACCGGTGCCTTGAGCACCGCTATAAGCGTTTATATAGAGCTAGACAGTGTCAGTGGATATATAATAGACTCGCTTGTCCAAAAAAAAAAAAAAAAAAAAAAAAAAATTTTTATCCTCGTTACAGTCCTTCCGGAAAGTCTTGACTCACGTGTTCAAAATGGTTCAAAAATAGTGAAAATGTCGAAAATTCAATTACAGCTGTGTGCAAAAACGTTGACAGTACGCGCGTGACTTGAGTACATTAGGAAAATAAATTAAAAAATCATAACAATTCGAAACACTGTGCTCACCACTATGCCCTTCTGAAAAATTTGTTGTGATATCAAAATTGCAGCTGTCAAGCTTCATGAACAGAAGATTCTCTCTCTCGAACAAATACTCGACTGTGTTGGCTTTTCAGAAAGTACATTTTGGCGGATGCTCAAACTTTGGCGTGAAACAGGGGACGTTGTTCGACACAACTATGGTACTCCTGGCCGTCCTCGAACACTCACTTTTGATGACGTGAACTATCTACTTCGACTCGTGAAGCACCGGCCTGACTGGTTCCTCGACAAACTCCCAATCTTACTTAGTGATAACAGATTCATTTCGGTTCACTACACAACCATCTACCGAGAGCTTTCACATGCTGGAATGTCCTGCAAAAAGCTGAAGAAGATCGCAAAGGAAAGAAATGAGGCCAAATGGGCAGATTTCATCCGGAGAATGGCACAATATGAACCCGAGGAACTTGGATTTCTGGACGAGACATCAAAAGATGAGAGGACTTTGGGAAGAATCAATGGGAGGTCATTGAAAGGCACTCGCGCTGTGAAAAAACAGGTTTTCGTTCGTGGGCATCGCTTATCTGGACTTGGGCTGCTCACTATCAATGGCATGGTGGCTGTCTCTGTTGTCGAGGGTTCATTCACTGCAGCAACATTCAAAACATTCATTGAAGGGGATGTTGTAAGTGTTTTTTTATCATTCCCAGTAGAACATCTCTTATATTCTACTAGCTGCCATTATGCACCCCGTACCCAGGTAAATTGAGTGTGCTCGTCATGGACAATTCCAAGATACACCACGGAGAAGGTATTGCAGAACTCATTCGCGAAGCTGGTATGTGTCTTGAGTCACTGCTCGTATTCACTCATCGAGCATTGGCAGGTGTTCGACTCGAGTATCTACCACCTTATTCCCCTGATCTCAATCCTATCGAAGAAGCTTTCTCCAAGATCAAGTCCTTTATTTGTCGTAACCAAGAATACTTCTCGGATGATGTCGATGGTATCATATATGACATGTACATCGCAATGGATGTGATCACTGACTCCGATGCCGAAGGATACATTATGCATGCTGGTTATTTCTAGACTCTACAAAACACTATACATGACAGCACAAGGTGTACAATTACAGGACTGTTGAGCAATGCAGATCGCAACACAATGATGTCTAGACACGATCACAAAAAACGACAGCGAGAATCCATTTGCAATGATGAGGCCGAACTTACTGGCTCCAATGTTTCATCGCTGCTTTCATTGCAGCAATCTCTCCAAATTTGAAACCCATCTCCCATAGTTCCGGAACAATGAAGGTCAAAGTTTCCGCACTCGTATATCCGTTTTCGTGCAACCTCGTTCGGATCCCATCACTAAGCTTGTATGAAGCACAGAAACCATCCAGAGAAAGGTCAGGACCATGACGAGATCCAGGCTGGAGAAGAGAGTGTTGATCTTGCATTGTAGGAGGGGGATGTTCCTTGGTTGGTTGTATGTTTGTTGGATGGAACACATTGAGTAATTCCGGAGGTATATTGAAGTTGAACACCGGAGCAGCTGTGGCAGTTGGTTGGTTACGATTCGCGAGGCGACGCTGAAGCAGCACATACTGCAGTCACTTTACCCTTGATAGAAACAGACAGCCCAGGTTGAAATATCCCTGTTCCTAACAGGCCAGCAGATGCGGGCCCATCAATAAAATGTTCTGTTAAATACAGGTGGGCCCACGTCAAGTGTTTTACCTGATACAATCAAGTGGGCCCATGGTATGTGGTGTAGTAGATAAGCATAGACATTTCGGTAGACAGTGCATGGTAGGCAGTGGATGTATGTGATAAAATCAGGCGGGCCCATCGTAAGTGCATATGTGATACAATCAGGCGGGCCCATCGTAAGTGCATATGTGATACAATCAGGCGGGCCCGTCGTAAGTGCGTATTTGATAAAAACAGGTGGGCCGGTCAAAGTGTGTTTGTGATACCAACAGTGGGCCCATGGTATGTAGTGTAGTAGATAAGAAGTCAAAAACATCGGTCAAGAAATCTCTGAAATCCAATACATCGGCCGAGATATAACCAAAGTCAAAAACATCGGTCGAGATATCTCCGAAATCAAAAACATCAGTCAACATCAAAAACATTGGTCGGCATCAAAGACATTGGTCGGCATCAAAAACACCGGTGAACATCAAAAACATCGGTCAGCATCAAAGGCATCGGTCAGCATCAAAGGCATCGGTCAGCATCAAAAACATCGGCCGACATCAAAGACATTGGTCGGCATCAAAAACATCGGTCAACATCGGTCAACATCGGCCAAGATATGACTGAAGTCAAAAACATTGGTCAAGATATGGCCGGAATCCAAAACATCGGCTGAGATATGACCGAAATGACCGAGATATGCCCAAAATTCAACACATTGGTGATAATGAAACAAATATTATGATTAACTTGACATCTGCCCCACATTATTCACACACCCCATATTTTCGCAATTTTGCCCACATTACCCAACAACACCAAAGACATTGCCCATTTTGGGAATCTCCACAATATCAATTATTCCCACACCCTCCTAATATCACTGCAGCTTCACCATTATACCACAATAGCTTCCCCTTCATATATTAGTAGTAGTTTGGTATATATATGTTCAATATAATTTAATAGACCACTTTTTTGTATATTTGTATGCCTGCTCCTCCTCCAGGACCCTTTCAAAAGGATGTAGGACACAAAACATTCTCGCACTTTTGCCCCTTTGAGAGGGAAGTGTCCTAGGGCATTTAGAACATGTTTAGTAGTATATATGAGGAGATTGCCAACTTTATTTGACCCCCTGAAGCGCCCTACATCCATGTATATGGCATATATACATAAAAGTACAAATTTTGTTCCTATTGCTTATGTCTAGGTGAATAGACCTTGAAATTATATCCCCATCATCTGTTCAGCAATAGAAACAATGTATCAGGAGCCCAGGATCATAGTAGAATCCCTTATTGTATAGTGTACCCCCCCTCTCCTGGTGGTTTACCCCCTGGGAATTTTTTTCCCTGTAGTACCGGACCTCAAAGATAGTAGGGAGTCCATTCCTACGCTTATTTGTAGTGTATATATTATACATCCAGCCCAGGACACACATAGGATCCTTCTACAGAACAAAATGATAGAAAATCGCATTTTTGACATTTTTGATGTTTTTCAGTATCTTACCCTTGCACATCTGGTCAACCCTGTTCATATATCATTAGAATAGTATATATACTTCCTTTCATGATGAAGATCAGTTCAAAATAGGTTGTTAGTTTGAGATACTGCATATGCTTGCTATTTCTACTGATAAGATATCAATACCTTCAAAACATCGAAATTTAATAATCAGAAACTGGGTGTACATTTACAATATATTCAGTATCATAAGTATAAATTTACAGAACAATCCAACAAGAATTGAATGCTGAGGAAGTGAAATAGATAAGAAATTGAGTGTGAGAAAGCTCAAAGACCCAAAACATCGAAAATGGTCAGTTGAGCAATAGTAGGACTTTAAGGCTAGGTCAACACACATCTACACTACATCCCTTCCACTCACCCCCTACCCTCAGGGCAATATGTAGTATTGGTTCCTTAGGTAGTTTACAGTCTATCTTACATATATTTAATGAAATATTCAACTTGAATTATATATAAATGTGACTTTGTGCAGTTGCCTACCTGTTGCAAAAGCTGAAAGACCACTCCAGGATCAATTTCAACCGATGATTTTGGGCCCGGTTGCCTAAAAATGGGTAGTACTCATCTAGGTGAACACATCAATGGTCTAATCTTCAAAAATGGATCAGATCTGATAAAGTTATGAGCCATAGTAATTCAGATTTCAGTTATATCCACAGTCGGCCGATGTTTTAAATTTATTTAGCTTATATCTTGGTCAGATGATAGCCGATTGACAAAATAATACTACCAATATGCTTACCTTTACTGGGGCTACATCTGTTGTTAACAATGTTAAGCATAAAAACAACTTTTGGTCGGCCGATATTGTGGATCTTGGTCATATGTTGGTTGGCAATGTTTCGTATTTCCTTAGCTTATATCTCGGTCAAATCACAACCAATTGACAAGATAAGACTACTGGTGCGCTCACCTTGACTTGGACTACAACTTTCATTTTTCTCATTATCTCTGATGTTTTGGATTTCAGCCATATCTCGGTCGGCCGATGTTTCAACATGTTTCGGCCATATCTTGACCGATGTTTTTGACTTCAGTCATATCTCGGCCATATCTGGACCGATGTTTTTGATGTTGACCGATGTTTTGGACTTCAGTCATATCTCAGCCATATCTGGACCGATGTTTTTGACTTGGGCATATGTTGACCGATGTTTTTGATGCCGACCAATGTTTTTGATGTTGACTGATGTTTTTGACTTTGGTCATATCTTGACCAATGTTTTTGAGTCCAGTCATGTCTCAGCTGATGTGTTTGATTTTGGAGATATCTCGACTGATGTTTTTGATGTTGACCGATGTTTTTGATTTTGGTCATATCTTGGCCAATGTTTTTGATGCCGACCGATGTTTTTGACTTCAGTCATATCTTGGCCGATATTTTTGATTTCGGAGATATCTCGACCGATGTTTTTGATGCCGACCAATGTTTTTGATGCCAACTGATGTCTTTGATGCTGACCGATGTTTTTGATGTTGACCGATGTTTTTGATGCTGACCGATGTTTTTGATTTCGGAGATATCTCGACCAATGTTTTTGATGCAGACCAATGTCTTTGATGCTGACCGATGTTTTTGATGTTGACCAATGTTTTTGATGTTGACCAAGAGGTGTGCGATACAAAGGATCACGACACCAACATGTCAATTTTTCGACAGAGAGGGGGAGGGGGTCCATGTGGCCAAAATTTCCTTATGTAGTATGATTTTGTCGGATTGGGACAGTGAGATGATCGAAACATGACATTGGAATATGAGGACCCGGGAAACAGCTAATACTAGTACGCAAGGCATGAAAGCAGCGTGAAAGCAACGGGAAAGCAACGGGAAACATAGCAAAGCATAATGAAAACGAGTGAACAAGTAACTAACAAGTGCAGTGAGCAACATCTGAGTCCAATTTGTAGACATAGTGTGCAGAATCAACCTTGACGAACTCTCTTAGCCACCGAAGCGGCAGAGGAAAACTTCTGAGCATTGGCCTTCCGCTTCTGGGTAACAGCAGATGAACTGTCAGGTCCAGGGATATTCTCCTTGCCCTGGATGAACTCAAATACGGGTCGAGAAGCGACTCCGGCCTTTTTTTCTTCGGCAGGAGTGAGAGCAAGCGAATCATACACAGCGCGGGGAAGGGGAAGTCCAATTGGCCTACCAGGTTGTGCATATTCAGAGTGCTGCAGGTCAATATGGGCTTCGAGGTTATAACGCCAGACCGCTGGACACCAATCAGTAGCACGACCGAGATGGACACATATCTGGCAGACGACGGGGACATTACGACACGGGCGGCTGTCAGAGCCCTTATTAGTGCTCCCATACTGGAAGGTCTCTTTGCGTGGGCACTTTGACTCCCACATGATCTTGCGAGCTGTCTCCTTGAATGTAAGTGCGCAGTCGGGGTTGTTTGAGTCGCCACAGAAGCCACAAGGCAACGGGCCGTTGATGGGATTGACAACAATATTGGCGACCTTACGAGCTGCACGGAGAATATGCACACCCATGTGCGAACGGATGTCCTTCGTTGACTCGCAACATACCGGACATGCGCTCATGACCGTCTTGCCATGTCCCGTAGTCAACAGCAACTCAGTGCCGGCGGCACAAATAAGAGCATCAGAACCTTGAAGAAAAAATCAGCGTAAGGTTACAGCAAGAGCGAGAGACGCTTACCATCATGAGACTTGTAGGGAAAAACAGAGCTTTCAGAATTGAGACTTGAGATCGAACTGAGGGGAACTTTGGAGTTGACAGTTTTGTTCCAGAGTAGTGCAACGGCAGATTGTAGGTCCTCGTCGTCGAGTGACCATGTTGTGCCCTTGGAGTTTACCTCCTGGGTGTGTTGAGGTGCAAGATGATCAGCGGCAATGACGACCCAAGGATTGACGGTTTGAACAAGGAAGCCTGGAACAGTGACAGTGACGACATTGAGAGTATGAATTTCTGTTCCTGGTACGACAGATGCTGTTTTAAGATACACGCCATTCCAGATCCACGATAAGGTTGAAGACGAGGATGATGGTAAAAGAATCATGATTTCACCGGCGACTTTCACATTGCCCTTGAGAGACGTCAGCATTGCCATTTTGACTCTACTCCTGGGGGCTCCATTCTCAGAGATGGTGGTAGCGCGAACCAGAGCAAGAGCCAGTGACTTCATGCTAGTTCGAAGAAGCGTGATGAAGAGATCACCGGTGACGAACTGATCACCGTGAAGCAGCTGACCAACCTCCATGGTGTTCTCGAAGTCCTTGTTCACAGGCGTGAATCCGCGAACACGGAGCAAACGAGTCTGGGCTTTGGGAGTGAAATCTAGGGTGATCGTGATACGGACAACCGATGACTTGTGGACCCATTTGTTCATGCACCAGAGGTAGTCTTCAGCACGGATTCCTGGCCCATTGGGGGGAGAAGTAGGTGAGGGGGAATTTTCATCATCCTCGGGCTCATCCACCAAACCGTTTCCATCCTCGTGCTCGGCGTCAAGTGTGTTGGCAAGTGATTCCTCAAAGGTGAGTGGCGGCTCGTCGTCATCATTGCTGATGGTGTCTGCGGTCTCGCTGGACACGACATCTTGCTGGAGTGTGTCGATGTTGGGAGGAGGTGCAAGGAGTGATATGTCTTCGTCATCCTCTTCATGAATAGCAGGGTACCTGCTCCCACCAAAGACGCACAGTAGGTCTATGCCCGAGCCTGGGGAAAATAAGGTCTGAAAGTCATATGCGGAGGAATGTATCTGCGACCGAGAGAGAATTGAAATGGCCTCATCCCTCCCTTGGTGCCATGCACTTGGAAGGTCACAATGACCCACAACAACGTCACCAACCCACATAAAACGGCTGACATGGTCAACACCGTCTGCTCGCTTGAGATTCAACCGACGATGGCCATGGGAGAGGTCGGAATTGCGTGCATACACTCCTCCAATATCTCAGGCAGCGCCAAGGCGATCAAGAACTTGTTTGTAGTTCATTGCGTTGTTGTGCCCCCCGCACATTCGGAGGAATGCAAACTCGAGTTCGAGTGCATCATCCCCGACATTGAGAAAGAAAAAACGTTCAGATGGATCGAGCTTCTGTTGCTTCAGGATGCAGAAGACCACGTTCTTGGCAAATGTCTCAGAGTCGTAGTATAGCTGGTTAGGCATCAGCCCACGTCGTTGATCACGGTAGCATGCAAAGAGGAGATGAGCGAAGCGGCTCAAGTGCACGACTTGCTCAGTCAGTGAGAGGTTGACATCGATGAATGGATTGAGGAGACTGCGGAGAATTTCAGCTAAAAGTTTGATTGTGTCGAAGTCAGCAATGACATTGACGTCGTCGGGGATGTTCGGCAGTGATGCGAGTTTGATGACAGCACCCATGAGTTCCACCGCACGAGGCACGTCCTGGGGATCGTCGGGGTAAACAAGCTTCCGAGCACGACTTTCATCTACATCAGGCAGCCAGACAAGGTAGTGTTCGATCATGGTTGCATTGATGCAGCGACCATTGTTAAGATGCATACCAGCACGAGATCGGAGGAGGGTACAATAGCCTTTGAAAGTGTCAGTAGATATCAAAGTACTAGTCATGACAGACGCACATTTCATGATATGTTTGTAGTCAAAGTCTAGTGTCACTTCACCTGGACCAGTGAAGAGATTAACGCCAGGAAGATTCGACATGTGCCATAGAGCGGTGAGAAGGGTGAGAGTGGGATGTGTACAAATGTCCTGTGACCAGCCTTGCGGCGCATAGCGTCACCGTCAGTTGCAAATGACCAAGCTGGTCCAACCTGCTGAGCCGCTCCAGAATTATCCCAGGATTCGAGGATAGTCTTGAAAATGAACTCCATGTCAGCAGCGCTCTCACTCTTGCAAGTGGGCGCTGCCAGGACAGGATAAACTCCCTCTTCGCCAAATATGTGAGCTCCCGCGACAGTCACCTCCTTTCCAACGTGGACCTTCTGAGACTTCAGCGCCTCAGCAATCCCAAGGGCAGACTGATACGTGTGAAGTGTTGTGTTGACAAGATTCGAGTGCGTCCAGCATAGACCGCCTACACTGTTCAATTGTGATATATAGACGGCTGCTTCCTCCTGTGCCGTTTCATCGATCATCATGCTGACACCACGCATTTTTGTTGATGCAGCGTTCTGACGAGGAACAATAACAAGGTTCTTGATATTCTCTTGGATGGTCATGGTTGAGATCCGACTGATAGTTGGAATGATTTTGACAAAAGACATATGGTTGCGGAGAGTGTGTAGTGATGGGAGTGTGAGCCGCTGGTTCAAGGCATAAAGCAGATTCCGGCCACCAAGCCGGACGGCGAGAACGGCAAGGTCAATGGCCTCTTGACTGTGTCCTCGTGGTCGGTAACCATGCTCAATGGCCTCTTCAATCATCCGAAGTATTGTATGGATGCTGGTACCATTCCGAAGTGCAGTTTGGAGAAGGTTGCGAAGCCAGGGTATGTCGCACTGGGACAGTGCCATGACCAGTGAAGTGTGATCTTCCAGTGTGGAAAGCAGGCGCTTGATTTTGTGTCTGTCATTCAAACTCTGAAATCAATTGTGAGCCTAGAAGCACACATAGAAAAAGACTGGTTGTCTCACCTGTAACTTCAAAGTGTTCGTGTTCTGATCACGCTCACATATAATGTCGAGAAGTTGAACCGGAGTGAGAAGACTATGGCGGGTGTGTGGTCGACGAGTTCTCGCGTTCTCCGCAAGTACCTTGACTTTTGGCTCGAGGTGAGCACAAAAGTCACATGGTCCAGCATCATCACCAGCCTGACCAGTGCAGTCAAAAGAGCGTGCAAGCGCCTTGTGAGAGACAACCTCAAGGTCAAATGAGAGTTTGTCCAGTCCCTCCGCTGTACGTAGCCATGGAAGATTGGCTTGTACAGGTGTGCCATCAGACGTGGGCCAATTAAGGATGTGGAAGCCCGGACAAGGTGACAGCGCAATCACAGTGGGAACCGAATCCTCCGATGTACCACTGGGAGGAGTAGCAGCAGCAGTGCTAATAAATGATCAGTAGTAGGATAACACACGAAGATCAACTCACGGTATGACGGGTACTTGCGACAGAGTAGGCCTAAGAACAGCAAGTGCTACTCGAGATTCCCTAATGGCACTGCGAACCTGTAGTTTTCGATTGCGACAAGCACCATAGTGCTGTTCTAAGGCCATGAATTGACCACGACTCGAGAGCTTGACATGGCTACGAATACCAGACTTGATCCAACACCCGCGAGGACAACGCAGTTCCCAGACTTTTGAGTCGTTGACTTGGACCTCGAGTTCATTGTATTGAAAAAGTGTAAGAAAAGCTTTGCCAGTAGCCTCCATTAAGAGGTGTTCCTTGGTGGTTGGGTCAAGAGTTGAAGTGAGATTGCTGGAGTCGGACGAAGATTGAGAACTTAAAGCTGGAAGCAAAGAATGAGACGGCGTGTAACGAGAGGGATGGACTATGCGTGTCAAACTCGAGGCGGAGTCAGATGGAGTCGGATCAACAGACAGATACTGATAAGCCGTGAAAAGTGTTGCGCCAGGCCGCTGTGATGGATTAAAGTCATTATTAAAGTCATGTGCTGAGGCACCAATCAAACTCGAGGCATCAAACGTAAAATTAAAACCGGACTCAGAGTCTGCTGGCATGATGTTGGGCATAATGGTATCAAAAGTCCTGGTATTGAAAGCAAGAAAGGAGTATCATAAGTGAAGGAAGAGAAGAGAGATGCAAACGAGACGTGACGAGAGACGCATTCATTATATACGAGTTGACCACTCGATCACTTACAGTCCTTGCGTCATAGCTTATTTTGGAAACTTGTTAATTTTGCTTGCTGCAGCTATTAGACACGACCTCACATTCTTTCTGGTGTTATCTTGCTAATATATGTATCTAGGACTATGCTAAAGACAATTTAGATACAATGTTCCCTTTGCAAACTAAGATAATATCAAGTTTCCAAGGTGCTGTGCAAAGACTCAGCGAGAACTGCATATTTCAACCAATTGAATCCGATCAGGACCCCGAACACTGATTTGGGGGGGAGGTGCGAAAGGTGTGAGTGTTCGGATTTCGCCGAACGCACACCTCTTGATGTTGACCGATGTTTTTGATGCCGACCGATGTTTTTGATGCCGACTGATGTTTTTGATGCCGACCGATGTCTTTGATGCTGACCGATGTTTTTGATGTTGACCGATGTTTTTGACTTCAGTCATATCTTGGCCAATGTTTTTGATGTCGACCAATGTTTTTAATGCCGACCAATGTTTTTGATGTTGACCAATGTTTTGACTTCAGTCATATCTCGGCCGATGTTTTTGATGTTGACCGATGTTTTTGACTTCGGTCATATCTCGGCTGATGTTTTTGATTTCAGTCATATCTCGGCCGATGTTTTTGACTTCGGTCTCGGCTCACTTGATCGCATCGGCCCACCCGATTAAATCAGCCAACACATCATATCGGCCGACCTGATTCTATCAGGGATTCATGTCCATCGGCCGACCTGACTTCATCACAAACTCATATCCATCGGTCCACCTGATAGCATCAGCCAACACATTCTATGGGCCCACCTGATAGCATCGGGCATACATTTCGATCGGCCGATTCGATAGTATTGGTTCCATCGGCTCACTTGATTGCATCAGACAACAAAGTCTGTCGGCCAACATGATTGCATCGGGCATTCATGTCAATCGGCCGACATGATAGCATCAGACATTCATTTTCATCAGTACACCCAGACAATAGCTTCACACCCATCATCGGCCGACCTGTACACTCGGCCACTATATTCAACATGGGCCGAGCTGATAACATCACACAACACCCCATTTTCCCCTGGTGATCGGCCGACATGTTTACATCAACTATCACAATCTATGGGCCCAGCTGTAAATATCAACTCTTTTTGAGCCTACCAGCCAACTCGTTAGACACGGGTGCACATTTTCGATCGGCCAACATCCGCTGGCCTGTCTCGAACAGGGATATTTCAACCTCGGCTGCCTGTTTAATACAGGGTATGTGACTGAATGGGCTTGAAGCAGTGGAGACAGCTCGTCGAATTGACGACCTGGTATCATATTGAATTTATGGTGGTTAGGTGGTGATTCCATGTTTGCGAGACTATCATCCTTGTTCTGTCAAACAGCCAAGAATCACATGAATAACTAGCAAATGACACGAAAATTATTGAGAGAGTACCCAAGCAGCTGCCCACACAGCGAAGTGATCATGCCCGAGTGGAAAGTGCTCGGAGTGCTCGGGGTGCACGAAACAATGGTCTGAGGAGCATCCTGCTTTCGAACACATCCAACGATTCTGAAGAAGCTGAATTTTCGAGTTAATCTTCGTGTTGAGCACAGTCTCGATCATGGACTTTGGCTTCTTCTGCAAGTGTCATTTATATAATGTTCAGGCAAGGAAGACACCACTTACCTCGGCCTTTGATTTCTTTTTCAGATGGTCATCTTCGTCCCCAGTGTTGGCATTATCACTCTCACTATCTCGGCTCTCGTCCGAGTCCTCGTTATTCTTCAAGGACTTGGTTTTCTATGACAATATTAGTGCATACATTGACTCAAAAGCCTACATTACCTTATTTTTCAGTGGATGAGCCTTGATCACAAGATTTACTGAGGGATTCTTTTGCTTCGATGCGAGGTCGAGAAGAAACTGATAGTCTGAAGGTGAACATAGTGGCATAGAAGATGCTTGAGTCTGTGGTGTGGTCCATGCAATAGAATAGTGTTCGAAGGCAATCATCTTCGGTTTCAGACCCTCCGAGATCTTTTCGAGAACTTGTGCTTTGATGGTGTCGAACTCGAGCTCGGGAGACAGCATCAAGAACGTGTTGATTGACTTTCGTTGTTTTTCAGGCTTTTGCATCTGGGTGATCGAGTACATGGTGAGATAGTATGTGATGGCTGATTTCTTTGGTTCGGCACGTGCAGTTTCGGCTGTGTCGGACTCGGAAGCTTCACGAGTGTTAGATACCTTGAGTACCTGCTGATGCAGCACATATACTCACCTATAGTCTTGGCTGGCTGCTTGCGAGGACATCCTCATTTCTTTGCAGGCTTTTTTGCAACTGGTGAAGGCTCTTCAAGTTGATTGTCTGGGTCGCGGCTCGTGTCTGTCGGAAGACTCAGATCAGTCAGAGACATTTCACATTCAGTTTCGAAAGCAGTGTCCGAAAGTTCGGAAAGGTTGTTGAAGATGGAAGACATCTAGTGAGAATAATCAATAAGATGATAATAGTAAGCTACGGGAAGACACAATGCATCGTCGAGATGCGGTTGTAAATTGGTGGCCTATGACATTTTTTATTTAATTTCCTAATGTACTCGAGTCACGCATGTACTGTCAACCTTTTTGCACACAGCTGTAAATCGAAAATTCAGCAAACTTGCACCACTCTCCTTCAAAGTCGAGCAGAAAAGCATAACTGTCACTCTTTTGAACGTTATATTATGTCTAATACAGTAACTGAATGCTCCGACGACTATTAGCTACTCCCCTCCGCGTAATATTGTCCACACTACAGATAGCCACTATGCATATACCAGCCTCGAGCATTTTCAGCATTTATCTTTTTGATCGCGACTGATCCTCTGGTAGACCATGACGAGTCTGAGTGACAAACGTGTGAGATATTATGTTTTTGAAGCCATTCAGAGGCATACAAAACTCGAAAGTGATTTATTGCAATTTACAAATACAATGAAATTTCCTAAATAAAAATAAAAATAAACAAGTGTCTCTGAAGTGGCTGAGTGCTGAGCGCTGCGCTCAGATCCACGTCACGCGCACCAAATTTAACGTTGACGCATATGCGCATTGCATCACTACCACTATGAGCCAGCCTGAGTCTGACATTGCTGATGACGTTCGCGACCGTACTAGAGTCCATGATGATGATTTGGAGGCAGAAAATGGTATGTTTTACTCACAGTACAGGTTTCTGACCTTATATTCACGCAGAGCCTTCTGGCGAGAGCATGTACAACAACGGCAAGGGCATCGCAGTCTCTGTGACATTTACCCCACTCCTACCGCCTCCAGCCACCGGAGAAAAACACCGCAAAAATGCTAAATCACAACCGATAAACCGTGCCTTCTTCATCCACGAAGATTCGACCCTCCGAAACCTTCTCGATATAACATTCGAACAGTATGATATCTCCGACAAAATGATGTATGGTATTGGCAATCGATCAGGTATTCTCACTGCTATGAACTTCACCATCACCTATATGATCCTTCACACGAACTACAAGAATATTGTTCTTGGAAACCTCAGCGATTTCACCACAATCATTGAAGAAGTCAAAGAGCACCGGTCACCGGCCTTCAAATTGATTATAGTCGAGACGAAGGTATGTATTTACCGTGTCTTTCAAGAGGTACTATGTAGTGCAGTAAGCTGAATATATGCTAGTATAATGATGGCGAAGAAACGGAAGACGATGAAGATACCGAAGGTGAACCCGCGGGAAAGAAAGTGAGATAATCCTATATCTTTTGAACACCCTCTTGTCACTCACGTCGTGAAGGCTGCTACAGGCCCAACTGACGAAGAGATGGAGCAAAACGAAGCCATTGCAAACTTGACTCGCCAGTACACATGTGAAGATTGAGTATGTGGTTTTCGCATCTGCTGGCCAGCTCCACCGGAGGCCAAGCACGTCAACTTGACACCGTTACATCTCAACACGTGGGCTGCTGCAATGGTCTGCATGATGTTCCGAAGTATATAATCCTTACATGTCACTGATAGCCATTGTTATGGGTTAGGTTGGTCCAAACAAGCAAGCAGGTGTCGATTTAGATAATCCACCAAATACGAAGATTTTCGACATTACATACACGGATCCAACTGACATTGCAATGCTCTCACGACATTGTCTCAACGCAGTCACACAAACTCAATCCTCCGCACCCAGTATTGTCATCAATAACAACTTCAAGGATATTGTTGGCCTCCTGAATGGTGACCGTGGACCTGATCCCGCTATCAAGAATCCCCCGCAGCTTCTCCGTCAACAACCTGTTGCTCTTCAACCAAAACTGAGTTTGCTCGAGTTTTGCAAACACTTCGACCTATCACTGTGGCTCCATGAGAAGTTGGACAGCATTGACGTGACTGGCCCACACTGCCTTCAATTCCTTCAGAATCACTGTGTTTTGCCCTTGAATTGACAAAGTTTGACTAGACGGGTGAGACATATAAGGACAAGCTTAGTCACAGCCTCGAACTAAGCAGTCTGAACATTTCTTCGTCTCTCTATAGCTACTTCGCTAGCACCTATCTACTCGAACCCGTTGACTACATGAGCTTCCTATCTTGTAAATAGCCGACTCCTCCTTGGAAGACATGACCAGTTTCATCAAAACGTGGCCCAGATAGCTGCACCATGTGACCACCTGTATCGTACTGGTAAGGACAGACATCGGAGAGGCCGATCCACACTTCTGGGCAAGGGTTTCCTGCAAAAATGTGTAAGTCCCTCACTTGCAAGCTTTAACTCTTACTACCAACATTCCCGAACGCTCAATGGCGAGAAACGAGGTAAATCTTGTATAATGAAATTTTTGATGTTGTTTTGCAAACGAAGGCTCCTGGAAACGTGATATTCAACTCTTTTGCAGCTGCCGGCATTCCATGTGTGCCGGGTTATCACGGCGTGAACCAAGATGCTGACCTATTATTCACAGAAGCTGGGAATATTGGTATGTACCCTCTTCCATGCTCTCCTCAGAACCTCCCCGCTGAGTGTGTCGTGTTACACAGGTTACCCAGTCTTGATCAAAACCATTCATGGTGGCGGTGGCAAGGGTATGCGTGTCGTCTCATCTCCATCTCAGTTCAAGGATGCTCTCGCTAGCGCACAGCGCGAATCCTTGAAAAGCTTCGGTGATGCAGATGTGCTCGTAGTGAAGTACATCGAACGTCCCAGACATGTTGAAGTGCAGGTATTTGTGGATACACTTGAGAACACCGTGAACACTACGAAGACCTTTGCCCAGCTGTCGAAAGTCCCTCAGCCGAGTTAATGGCACAAGCAGCATTGTTTGTCGCACTACGAGAGTATTCGATTCAGTCTACAAGCCTTGTGACGCCGTGGACGATGCTGACTTCAAGGCGCTTTGGCGGAGACGTTTATGAGCGTACTATTTCCATCCAGCCCGATGATGCATCTGCAGAGCCCACCCGAGTTTCTCTCAAATCCATCTCTTCAGGCCACTTCGACATAGCTGTTCACTCTGCCACACCAAAGACATTCACAGGTGTCTCAGCACGCCTGGTTTTGCCTACGACCGTTTGCTATTATTTGCCCATCTCGTGATACCGCCAATGCCCCCACTACACTGCGATGCCCCTCCATCTTCTTCAACACAACACCTGTCTTCAAGTCCCAAAGACAAACTGTCTTGTCCCACGAGCCCGTAACCATTCTTCGTCTATCGGGGAAAACTGCGACTGCGCTTACGCGCTTCTCATGACCTTCAAAAGTTCGAAGGGGTGTGGTGCTTGGAACGAGCTTCGACATTTAACTGGAGGTTGGTAGTGTTGAGCACGGTCGAGGCGGACTTTGGAGCGTTTGTGAGCGTCTGTGTCTCAGCTGCAGAGGTGCGTGTATTGTGCGTTTTTACCTTACTTCAATACATTAATCTGCCTTGTTTCCATAGACGCCCAAGACACGAGCTGGTTCGCTTCCACAAATACTCCCTATTGTCACACTTGCTTTCCTCGACAGTATACCCTCCCGCTGCCTGAGCACTATATACATTCGTCTGACTCTTGTCTCCACATCTTCTAGCATGGGTGCCCTCGCATCATAGTGCGATTGCTGCTTCTTGGTGCTCGTATCTGGCCGACAACCATCTATCCTAGATGACCGCATCAATATTGTTGTTTCTGTTGTTGAGCAGTGGCTCCAACACATCACCATGTAACTTGCCCGAACACTTGCATACACCTTGCTGCAATATGACCTCTTCATTTCGTCGACTCCCAGGATCTGTGTGTGCACCAAATGTAGCTGACTTTCTTTACCCTCATGCCTAAAACCAGCCACTCATTACTGGAGGTTGGTAGTGTTGAGCACTGTCACGCATGTCGCACCGTCGATGCATTTTAGAACAAGGGTTCACGCAGGGCACGGCAGAGCTTATTTAACGCGTCGAGGGGGTAGCATATATGCGCGCCACATGATTGTATTACTCTATCAAATCAGTATCCATTTTGATCAGTATCACATGGCTTGTTTGACCTGGGTCTAGGTCACCTAAGACTGGCTAGCTGTCACATAACATGGCCACAAAATCGAAGCAAAACAAAGGTTGTACTGATGGACTTCATACATATAGTTTAGCCTTGGACTACATCACCTTGCCACAGCCAGCTAGATGTTCAAGCAAGTAAATTTGTTGTCATTTAGATAGTTCATAGTTATAGAGTTAGCCGTACATAGCTAATATGCGAGACGCTGGACTTGTCATGGGTTCAAGCTGATGCAACGTGACCATGTTCTCACATTTTTTCATACTACAAATACTCGCTGGCTACACCCAGTGAATGCTGACTTGCTTGGTGCTGGACTATCTCTTGGCGAGCTTGCAGATATTCGCGATGCCGAGGAACGATGGATGTTCAAAGCTTAGTTTGTATTGCTCCTCGTATATTATAGCTGTGGGTGCTTATGGACACATTGTTATGTGTATCATGCTACTGTACTCCACCAATGCTAGTTTGTTCAAGCAAGATAACCTGAGTGACGAAAGAAGCCCCAAGACATATCTGGTGTTATAACAGAACATGCTGTGTATAGCTCGTAGTAAGCAGCCTTGGGCCCATGGAAGCCTAACCCGTGGCGACGGAGATGTGATTTGATCACGGAGAATGCTTGCTCGATGGGATTGAGATCCGGGGAGTATGGTGGTAAGTATTCAATTCGACATCCTGAAAGTCCAGTGAGACAACCTGAGCCTCGTACTACAAGCTTCGTGACACTGACCATCAGCATGAACAAGCTCATCAATTTCCTCTGCATGGTGAATGTGAGCATTGTCCATAATCAACACACTCCGTGGCCCTGGAAATGGAGTGGTGATAGGAAGCTAATAAGGACAGGTAATCAGTGACACGCTGCACGTTCATAGTCTGAAAAACTAACCACGTCGTTGCGCAAAAAATTCATAAAACTCTCGCGATTGAATGATCCTTCAACAACTTTTGCAGCAACTATGCCCTCATCAAGAGCTAATCCTGCCACCATTGAAAACCGACGTTTCCGAACAAATGGTTGATGCTGCTCAGCACGAGCACCTCGTGCAGCACGTCCCCAATGACGTGAATATGTACGGTCATCTTTCGAAACTTCGTCCAAACAGAGTAAAGAGGCTGGCAAGTACTGTGACACACGACAAACGAAGTCTGCATGACATAGAGGGTCACATTCAGCTGCAATCTTCTTGATGTGCTTGAGATTGACACCAGCATGCTCAAAAGACCGGTGAATGGTGGATAGTGATGTCCTGTCATATCCCATACATGAGGCTTCTCGTCCGGTCCGATCCACCCGATTCCTCGGGTCCGTTCTAGAATTCATTTCCCTGAGTCCCCATTTGTATAGGCTTCTTTCTGCCCCTATGTGTCCAGATCATCTTGACAGTTAATGTCCGGGTTCATTCTGATCCGTCCGTTAGTCTATTCATTTCCCTTTCATTTAACTTGTCCCCCCTGTTTCATTTAATCTCCGGCTCCATTCTCGATCGTCCGCAGCAGTTCATATCTGTTAGTACATTTTCTACATAGCCCTCTGATCCGAAGACTGCGCTTCGGCCGGAAACCCGTCGGATACACTACAGTATATAAACCCTTTGTAACCCGTAGTATTTCCTCAGTTCGAATATTAACTTAGACTCTGTTCAATCCTCGTGTCCTCTCGGCTCTTGGGATTATTATCCTAGTCCGATCCTCCGAGCCTCGGGATTATATCCCTAAGGCTAAATACCTCCGCCTCTACCTTCGGGTAGTCTATACCTTGTTAGTTTCTACCCGGACGAAGTCTCGGGTAGTCTTCCCTCTTTCATCCGGCCCGTCCATACCCCTCTCCCTCGTCCGGCCCGTCCATACCCTTCGGCCGACGATATCTAACCCCCTGTAAATTAGGGGCATGTACTCGGGTAAAGAGCGCAGCGCACGAGCTGAAGCTAAACCCCTCCGGTCCGACCCGTTGAACACGGTCTTAACAGTATATTCGAACTCACACTTTACCGAGTATACTTATCATCATGGCTCCCACTCAGACAACCAGAACCAACCTCACCGCGGCCGGTTTTCTAGCCAGCTCACGTAATGCTGCGTCCGACGCACAGAACTTCACCAGCTTCACTCGTCGTCGTACGAGCGTACTAAGAACCCCCACGGACAGTGTCTCGCAAATCATAAACCGCCCGCACCCAGAAACTCCTACTCGCCCGACAACCCCCGGACCATCAGACCCGGAAGGGCCTGACGACGGTGGTGATTCAGATCCGCCGGGCGATGATGGGGATGACCCATTTGGTGGGCCCCCAGAGGATGAAGACGATGGGCTAACCCCCGCTGACAGAATCTTCCTCCGCTTCTCTCAAGCCATTGAGAACCTTGCCTGCACTACACGGAAATCCCCATCCGAAGACTCCAAAGTCAAGGTTCGGGAACCCGATACTTTTGACGGGTCCAAACCTCGCAAACTCCGCGCATTCTTCGTCCAATGCGAACTCAACTTCCAGAACAAAGTCCGCTCTTTCTGCACGGACCGGGCTAAAGTCAACTTTGCCCAGTCCTACTTGAAGGGCATGGCCCTGGAGTATTTTGAACCCGACCTCCTGTCTGGTGCAACTAATGACCGCCCGGACTGGATGGATGACTATGCTGAGTTCATGCTAGAACTCCAGACCAACTTCGGCCCCCATGACCCGGTCGGGGATGCAGAAATGCAACTCGAACAACTCATTATGCGCGACGGACAGCGCATTAATAAATATGTAGTAGAGTTTCAACGACTTGCTTCCCAGGTCCGAGGTTGGGGCAACGGAGCATTACGCCGTCAGTTCTATAACGGACTTCCGGCCCGCATCAAGGACGAGATTTGTCGTCAGGGTAAACCCGTGACCCTCGCCGAGTTCAGATCCCTATCCCAGTCCATCGACGCCCGATACTGGGAACGCAAGGGCGAGACCTCCCGCGAGGTTAAACCATCCACATCCGCACCTCCAACAAAACCATACGTACCTCCTACCCGATCCTTCGCACCCGCTACTGACCGGACAACCCCTTCCGGAAGTAAACCCTCCAAGCCCTCCACCTCCTCCTCACAGCAACCGGACTTGTCCTCAAAATTAGGCAAGGACAGTAAACTGACATCCGAGGAGCGCCAGAGGCGCATGGACATGAGGCTCTGCCTTTTCTGCGGTGGACCCGGCCATACGGCCCAGGACTGCTCCAAATCGACCTCGCGCGCTGCCAAAGGCCGTGCAACTACAGTGGCCCCGGATGCTATTCCCGAGGCCCCTGTTAAGGCAAAAAATTAGTCCGTGACCCTCCTGACTCCGCGCGGGGTGAGGGTCGCGTTGACTCAACCCGCGCATTGGAGTTACAACTCAACGCTGTCGCACTCACGAACCCATCATCACTCCGTCCATTTGTATCCATATCCGCATATCCGAACATTGCCCAATTTCCGGCTTTGATAGATTGCGGGTCCTCACACTGTTTCATAGAGACAAGCTTCGTCCGAAAGCACGGACTCTCTACCTATGCTATTCCTCCGCTCTCGCTCCATTTATTTGATGGTACTTCTAACGCTACCATTACACAAGCAGTAGATTTACCGATCCGATTCGCATCCGGTGTAGTAACCTCCGATACATTTTATGTAACTCCTTTGGATTCATCTTGTCTTATCGTCCTTGGATATAGCTAGCTCTCCCGACACAATCCGTTGATTGACTGGGTTAAGGGCAGCATCGAGTTCCGGACGATACCGCATGGAATGCCATCGACTCCCCCGACGTCATCAGATCCGGATTCACCGGACATCCTTCCTCCGACTTCACCGGGCCCTTCGGGTCCTTCCACTGATAAAACCGCTCCTCACATTTCCTTAGTCAATGCAGTCGCCTTTTGTCGGGCTTGTAAACTTCAAGGTTCGGTCCAGTTCAGCATATACCTTCGTCCTACTGGCGTCGACCTCCGGTCCGCTTCACTCTCGTCCGAACCCCCGGACCTATCTGGGGTCCCCTCGGATTATCATGAGTACGCGGATGTATTCGACAAAGGCAAAGCCAGCCAACTTCCTCCTCACCGGCCTTACGACCTGAAGATCGATTTAGAGGACGGCTCTGCCCCGCCCATCGGTACTATATATTCCCTTTCCCCAGTTGAGCTTGTAGCTCTCCGCAAGTTCCTAGATGAGAACATTGCAACTGGTCTCCTCTGCTCCTCTTCTTCCCCGCACGGAGCTCCGGTCCTTTTTGTCAAGAAGAAGGACGGATCACTTCGGCTCTGTGTGGATTTCCGAGGCCTCAACAAAATCACGAAGAAAGACCGCTACCCACTTCCCCTCATAGCCGACCTCCTAGACTCTCCGAGCCGTGCAAAGGTCTACACCAAAATCGACTTGCGCTCGGCTTATCACCTTGTCCACATGGCGGAAGGTGATGAGTGGAAAATCGCGTTCCGGACCCGTTACGGGTCCTACGAGTGGTTGGTTATGCCCGAGGGACTCACTAATGCCCCAGCGGCTTTCCAACATTTTGTCAACACTATCTTTGCCGACCTACTGGATGTATATGTCATCGTATATCTTGACGACATCCTTATCTATTCTCACGACCTCGCATCCCACAAACAACATGTCCTTGAAGTCCTTCGTCGGCTCTGTAAGCATCGCCTATATGCAAAACCGGAGAAGTGCGAATTCCACTCCGACTCGGTTGAATACCTCGGCTACCTACTTTCCCCTACCGGCCTGACCATGTCGTCCGAGAAGATCCAATCCATCATCGACTGGCCCGAGCCCCGGAAGGTGAAGGACATTCAGTCCTTCCTCGGGTTTGCCAATTTCTACCGACGGTTTATCTTTAATTACTCAGACATTGTTGTACCTCTCACCCGGCTCACTCGGAAAGATGCCCCCTGGGATTTCTCTGATAAATGCCGGACGGCCTTCAACACCCTCAAAACCGCTTTCACGTCGGCTCCGGTGCTTACGCACTGGATGCCCGATGTCCCAATTGTTGTGGAGACAGATGCCTCGGACTATGCCATCGCTGGAATCCTTTCTATCGTTTGCCCGGACACAGAACTTCGTCCGGTTGCATTCTATTCCAGGACATTAACGGCTCCCGAGCTCAATTATGATACCCACGACAAAGAACTCCTCACCATCTATGAAGCATTCCGGTCCTGGCGCCATTATCTTGAAGGCTCGGCCGAGCCAATTGATGTTGTCACGGACCACAAAAACCTTAAATACTTCGCTACAACCAAACTCCTTTCTTGCCGGCAAGCTCGCTGGTCAGAATTCCTTCATCAATTCAACCTCATCATTCGTTTCGGCCGGGAAAACTCGGTGCTAAGCCCGACTCCCTAACTCGTCGTTGGGACGTCTACCCCAAAGAGGGGGATAAGGACTACGCTCGAGTTAACCCTCACAACTTCCGGCCCGTATTTGCCACGGAGCAACTCGCTTCGTCCCTACGAGCATCCGACCTAGCAATCCCAGTACTACGCGCATCAGTATTAATGGATGTTGAACAACTCCATATGGATATCCTATCCGCCCTTCCGGACGACCCTATCGCTTCTACTCATCTCCTGAACCCTTCGGACCCGAGATGGACAGTGGACGACAATGGGTTCCTCTGTTGCGATAACCGCATATTTGTTCCCGAATCCAACGACCTCCGTTTACGGGTCCTACGGAATACCCATGACCACCCCCTATCCGGTCACTTCGGTCAGAACCGGACCCTAGAGCTAATCCGTCGGAAGTATACTTGGCCGGGAGTACGTGCCTATGTCAAGGATTATGTTAAGTCCTGCACTACGTGCTCTCGGGCTAAAGTCCCTAGACATAAACCCTACGGCCTACTCAAACAACTCCCCATCCCCGAGAAACCCTGGAACTCTATTTACATGGACTTTATAGAACAACTCCCGTCCTCGGCCGACTTCACGGCCATCTTGGTCGTCATAGACCGCTTATCTAAACAAGCCATATTCATCCCTACTTTCGATACAATCACCTCCCCGGATCTCGCACGACTTTTCCTGTTACATGTATTCTTCAAGCACGGAGTCCCGTCCCATGTCACCTCCGACCGAGGCACGGAGTTCGTCTCTCACTTCTTCCGCTCCCTCGGGAAAGCACTGGACATGACCCTGCATTTCACCTCGGGTTATCATCCAGAAGGCGACGGTCAGACCGAGCGCGCCAATCAAACCCTCGAACAATACCTCCGGATCTACTGTAATTACCAGCAAGACAACTGGTCCGAGCTCTTGCCCTTGGCAGAGTTCGCATACAACAATGCTCCTAGTGCTACCACGGGTGTTTCCCCCTTCTTCGCTAATAAGGGTGATCACCCGAACATATCCATACATCCAGAACGAGACCTCTCATCCGCCCGGGCCCTGAGAATACGCCATTGACCTCGATGAGCTCCATCAATTCCTTCGGGATGAGATGTCTTATGCGCAGGATCTGATATCAAGGCCCGGCCGACGCTAGACGTAAGCCCGCACCGGACCTCCAGGTCGGACAACAAGTCTTCGTCAAAGCCAAGTACTTCCGCTCAAAAGCCAAGTACTCGCTCCACCCGTCCGTCGAAGAAACTATCCGAAAAGAACCTCGGACCCTTCGATATCATCGCCCGCCCGGGCACCCATTTCTTCACAATCCGTCCTCCCGGACGCAATGCTGATCCGTACATCCCGTCTTCCATGTTTCCCAAGCTCGAACCCGCAACCCCGAACACCATCCCTAACCGAATCCAACCACCTCCCCCACCCGTCTCAGTCGACGGGGAACCGGAATACGAGATCTCTGAAATCCTTGATACCAAAATCGACCGTAAGAAGACGGACATGTCAACTACTTTACTTAGTTAGGTGGGCCGGTTATCAGGGGACGGACGAAGAAACATCGTGGATCCTCGCTACCGAACTTGGAAACGCGTCCGAACTCGTACAAGACTTTCATTCAGCATATCCGGACAAGCCGGGTCCTATTGTTGTACAGTAAAAAAACGAAGAAATGATACATTGTACATAGGGAAGAGACATCCGGATCATCCGGACCACCCTACTCCTCCATTTCACCCCCATCTCCGGATTCCTCCTCTTCACCCTCCTCAGTCCCTTCCTCAGTATCCGGCCCCTTCTCCAACTCCCTCTCCCTCTGGAAAAACATCCTCATCTCAGTCAGAAAGAGGGCCTGGAAGACCCTTTGTTGCTCCAGGAGCCGGCCGATGGCACCGGTGCTACTTTCGGCCGCTTCAACAGTCCTCTCGAGAAGACTGTTGGTCCGGGCCAACTCGGCGACCATGTCGTTGACGGCCGCCACCCAAGCCTGATCATCGTACTCCAGGAAATCCTGCTCCTCGCCAATAATGCTGGGTAAGGGGCCGGGGACGATCTCAACAGAGTCGTCCGAAGGAACCGGACTCCTCTGACGCCTCTTCGCCTTACCCTTAGGAGACGGAGTCCCTGCAGTACGGGGCCGCTTCTTACCCTTGCCCTTGTCAGTATCCGTCCGGGCGGGTGGCGCCCCACCATGGCACTTCATCTTCGCAGTGCGACAGTGGTCACACGCGTTGACCGGCTTCAAACATCAGTAAAACTCACATCCGGACGAAAGAAGTCCACTCACCCGGCCCGTGGCAGACACGCCCGAGTAAACGCAGGCCCGCTTCTTATCGGAGCAGGGCTTACAGGGTCGTCCGACGTCCTTGGGTCCGACAGAAACCTATGTCCATCAGACAAAAACATCGGCCGAGAAAATTCGCTACTCACTGCAGGCCCGGACGAAGCGGACTTCTCAGCAAGCCTCTTCCGGGTCTCCTCTATATCCTTCTTCTTCTGCTCCTCCCTTAATCTCTCCTCCTCCTTCAGCCTCTCCTCCTCCTTCAGTTTCTCCTCCTCCAAACGCTTCCTCTCGGCTTCTACTTCTGCAAGTAATCTTTCTTCCTCCTGGGCCAGCTCTTGCTGCGCTGCGTTTAGCCGGGCCCAGATGGCCGCAAGCCGGGCATTGGTAGCCTGGGGTAGAGTCGGATGGGGTCTGGGACATGGTAGTGGAGTTGGTGGGTGGTAAGAATCAAAGGGAATGGCGTCCCATCAAAACCCTCAACCCTTTTATCAAATTTTCAATAAAACCCGGGTCCGTTCTCGCGCTCTTATCATCGGATCGGACATCCGGCCTCGGCCTCGTGGGCTCGGCCTTAATGGGGGGATACTGTCATATTCCGTACCTGAAGCTTCTCGTCCGGTCCGGTCCGTCCGTTCTCTCGGTTCCATTCTAGAATTCATTTCCCCGTGTCCCCATTTGTATATGCTTCTTGATGCCCCTATACGCCCGGATCCTTCTGACAGTTAATATCCGGGTTCATTCTGATCCGTCCGTTAGTCTATTCATTTTCCTTTCATTTAACTTGTCCCCCCTGTTTCATTTAATCTCCGGCTCCATTCTCGATCGTCCGCAGCAGTTCATATCCGTTAGTACATTTTCTACATAGCCCTCTGATCCGAAGACTGCGCTTCGGCCGGAAACCCGTCGGATACACTACAGTATATAAACCCTTTGTAACCCGTAGTATTTCCTCAGTTCGAATATCATCTTAGACTCAGTTCATTCCTCGTGTTCCCTCGGCTCTTAGGATTGTCTTCCTAGTCCGACCCTCCGAGCCTCGGGATTATATCCCTAAGGCTAAATCCCTCCGCTTCTACCTTCGGGTAGTCTGTACCTTGTTAGTTTCTACCCGGACGAAGTCTTGGGTAGTCTTCTCTCTCTCGTCCGGCCCGTCTATACCCTTCGGCCGACGATATCCAACCCCCTGTAAATTAGGGGCACGTACTCGGGTAAAGAGCGCAGCGCACGAGCTGAAGCTAAGCCCCTCCGGTCCGACCCGTTGAACACGGTCTTAACACTGGCTCGTGCAGGCATGTGGACCAACCGAGATTGATGCAAGATGCCGAAGATTACCCCCCAACCACCATATTCGCCTATTCATGAAAGGCATTACTGGCCTCTCTCGTGTTAGCGGTGCCGAGCATGCCCAAATATGCTGTTTCATTCTCGGTGTCATTATTGATGCTCGACTTCCCGGTAATTTATCTTCTGCGCGTCTTTTACGTGCAGTCCGCGGTCTCCTAGATTTCCTCTACTTGGCACAGTACCCGTGCCATAGTTCAGAGACATTATCTCTCCTCGACGAAGCTCTTGCCCTATTCCACGACAACAAACAAATATTTGTCGACCTCGGTATCCGGAATCATTTCAATTTCCCTAAACTTCACGCCACTCGTCACTATATATCAATGATTCATTTGTATGGCACGACGGATAACTACAACACCGAGTACACTGAACGTCTTCATATAGACTTAGCTAAAGATGCTTACCGCGTGACAAACCACAAAAACGAGTTTGCGCAAATGACTCGATGGCTCGAGCGCAAAGAGAAAATCGTTCGCCATGAGAAATTTATTCGGTGGCAACTCCACGACACTCCTTCTCACCATCCTCGACCACTGGACCTATCATTTGACCGAACACAAACATTGACAAAGCACCCAAGTGCTAGAGCTGTGTCTTTTCAACGTTTAATCTCGGATTACGGTGCCACTTACTTTCGCGAAGCACTCGCTCGATATGTCGCGCAACAAAACCATTTAGACGAACCCCTCTCTCGTAGACGTCTCGAAGACCTCGCTGCAAATGTACTCCTGCCATTCCATTCAGTGGCTGTATACCATAAGATCAAGTGGCTATCTGTTGACGCTCGAGGGCATGGTGACCCACTCGTTACGGTAGATAGTGTCCATGTCAAGCCTCGTCGCACTGGCACTCGCCAACAAAATGATGCCCTACCTGCTCGTTTCGATACAGCGCTTATAAACGATGGTACTGGTCAGTCTGTGGGTGTCGAAGGTAAGGCTCAATGCTTATAGCTCATATTACCTTTGCTTACTAGTATACAACAACTTGCATTTTGCAGGCTATCGTGTTGGTCAGATTCGTGCAATTTTCTCGCTTCGAGAAAGACACGCACAGTCACTATTCCCGCCGACAAATCAACCTCCCAAACACCTCGCTTACGTGGAGTGGTTTACTCCATTTCCTTCGACACCAGATTCAAGACATGGCATGTACAAAATCACGCGTCTTGTTCATTCAGGTGAGCGAGTTGCTAGCATAATCCCCGTTTCGAATATTTCCCGCAGTATACACCTTATCCCGAAGTTTGGACCGGTTGCACCTCGTCACTGGACGAGCAACAACGTCCTCGAGCAATGCAGTACATTTTTTGTTAATTGTTACAAAGATAGACATAATTTTGTGACCCTTAGGTAGTACACTATAAACTCGCAATAATTTTTTGTAAGCTATGAACATTATCGTGTTTATGTACATCTACCTCTAACTTGTGATAAGTTATCTGACTTAGATGTATTGTGTATATTTGTATCTAAGTTAGGACGGGAAGGTTTCCCTGATGAAAGCAGACTACGCGACATGGATGCGTGATTTGATCAGTGAATATATTGACTACACGCCGTCATCTTGTACCACTAAAGAGGCTTTCGAGATAGATTCAAGTTCGTCGATGACATCCGACTCGATGTATTCATCGGTATCCTTTAGGATGCTTAAACAAGGATGCCAATCTCAAGCCCATTCTGCCTTTGTACAGTCCTTCAACACTTTTTACAATTCTGCGACATGACCGAACAATCTTGACTGGAAGGGTCCGAATTCTTCAATCGTAATGGGTTCCAGATGTGGAGCGGGGCCAGAAGCCCAGTCAAAAACAGACTTCACCAGCACTCCTGTGGCACAGACGATGAGTATGCGCGTGTGGACTAGGCATCCCACTAATGCTAACTGGACGAGCACAAAATCCAAACAGGTTTCATCAGCCTATTAATCGGTGATCACATTGAATTAATGTTAATGTTCATGCGGAAGGAATCATATTCAAAGCTCTTTGTATTCGTCCTCATACATGCACAAAATAAAGTATAATATAACAAGATCAATGAAATAGACATACATCACGGAGAGTCATATGAGAAAAGGGGGAAACAAATCGAACAAGGCTACCGTGTAGATAAAAAGATTGAAAGAATGAAAGATCTATACCACATGCACAGATAGATGAGTTCGTGATGAAACTGAATGAGTCCGATATTGTCTCGTACCAGTCAAGGAAAAAATCAAAGAAGATGATGTAGAGAATGAACGTACACGCCAGAGATGAGTCCATAATGAAAACGAGTCCCGTTGTCCGTCTCGTATCAGAAAAGGAGAAAACAAATCGAAGGTCACAATATCGAGGAGGAAATGAGAGGAATAAAAATGCGTGCCAGAGATAAGTCCGTGATGAGAGTGAATGAGTCCAATGTCTGTCTCGTACCAGTAAAGGAGATAAAAAATCGATGATGACGTAGAGAAGAGAATGAAACATACATGCCAGAGATGAGTCCATGAGCCGTACCAGTCAACTTGAAGGGAAATACAGATCGAAGAGGTAGTAGAGAAACGAAAATCGGCTTGCTCTGATGGATGTGTGCGTGACCGTGGCGGTGGCCATAGAATGTCGTCTAGTAGGGGATAGTAAAGAAGGCCGAGTAGTGTGTCGTCGAGATTGGTCGCGGGGACCTTGGGCGTCGAAGATGCGCGACATGGTGTGTGCATAGGCTTGTAGTGGCCTTCAACTTCGTGGGCGGTGAAGCTCCGGTCGTAGGGGACGGAAGGAGGCCGTCGTCCGGATTGGTCGTAGGGGACCTGATGTCGGAGACATGGTGTACGTACGTTGTATGCGAGCGCAGAGGCAGCCTTAGAACACTTGGGGTGGTGAGCTCCAGGTCGTAGGGGACAGTGAATAAGGCCGATATGTCTGGGTCTGCGTTGTCGATTTGGTCGTAAGCTGTCGAAGTGGAGTGCTAGGAGAGAGAGGCTTGAATCGACCAGCTGCGTGCTTCGTAACCAGAATTAGAGGCTTCAGCTTTGAGGTGGAAGGCGGGCGATCGGAGAGAGAGAGCGCCTGCATACGTTGGGTAGGTGTTGTGTTGCGGTTGGTGACCAGAATGAGTGGTCGAAGCTTGAATGGGCGAGGTGGGTCATCGAGAGTGAGTCGACCAGCTGCGTGCTTCGTAACCAGAATTAGAGGCTTCAGCTTCGAGGTGGAAGGCGGGCGATCGGAGAGGGACAGCGCCTGCATGCGTTGGGTCGATGCCTCCATAGGATATGCGGGTTCGGGGAGCGGGGGATACAGAATAGTAGGTGTTGTGTTGCGCTTGGTGACTAGAATGAGTGGTCGAAGCTTGGATGGGCGAGGCGGGTCATCGAGAGTGAGAGCGTTCATGAGCGAAATTAGGATGTCGAGTGGCTGAGGTTCAGAACGATCGTCCTAGAAACTCAAGCATCAGGTAATGTAGAAATCGAGGCTACGCTGCGTCTTACCTCCGAGTCGTGGACAGTGCTTTGGTCATGAAACGACTTACAGTCGTTGTCGCAGGGTAGGAGTGTGATGTTGGAATCAATAGACAGACGTTTGCAGTAGAGGTTCGGCGAAGTGAGATTGATGCGAGGCGTACAGGTGATTGGAGCGGATATTGTTTCCGTTGATTCGATTACATGCGAAGAAAAAAGAGATTGAGACGGAGATGGCTGTAATTCGATTAAACGCGGCGGAGATGGAGGCAGAGATGGCTGTGGTTCGATTAAACGCGATGATGGAGCTGGAGATGGCTTTAATTCAATTAAACGCGATGGAGATGGAGACGGAGATGGCTGCAAATAATGTAGTTCGACAGGATAAGGCGTAGCGGAGGCGGTGTTGTCACAAGTGGATGGAGGATTAAAGTCGGCGTCGCCGACCTTCGGAGCGGCGGGTATGTCCTTAGCGTCCTTGCTGAGAATCCTCTGAGCAGCTGCGTCGGCGGCGAGAACAAGCGTGTAGGTCGACATGCAGATAGAGTATGCAATGAGGCCAGCGGAGACCTTCTCTGCTTCGGACAGGACCTGAGCGGTATTGTCGACGACGGTCCGTTTGAAGCAAAAGACCGTAAGAAAGCCAGTGACGGCGACGCGGGCAGTAATAGTCGTAATGGAAGAGATCATAATGGCTGATTGAAAAGGATGAAGATCGTAAGAATATGCTGGTACGCGTAGAAGAGGGGAATAACTGAACTGAGATTGATATGCGAGAGTACGCTGTATTTATACCCTGGAATATCAATGGAATATCAAGGTTTGTGCGCGCACGATAAACAAACTCGATCGCGACGCGTTCAAGTCACGCGCTCGGAAAATCAACCAGTATATAAGCAAGCGTACGACCACTATAGCTGAATTCCCCACCTGACCAAAGCGCAATACTTACCAAAGACAAGGCCGCTCGAAATATTTGATGTCATGGTTCATCTAATTCACATCGTGTATCACTCCGACAAACTCTTGCCCTAGTGACTGCTCATTTCACTCATAGGGGTTGTTGGGTCGAAGCACTCGCTCATTGATTTGGATAAACAAATTCTGCGGCAGCGATTGTTGAACGAAAGCCGACGCCGTTGTACTGCAGAACTCCGCCCACAGTACACGAAAAGGGTTACAACATGGACTTTCGCTGACCAGCGTGTAAATCATACATTGATACAAATCCACCGCAGCCCTCGCGATCTCATCCATGAACTCCTGATTTGGCATTTCCCTCCGTGAGGTAATGGTATATTGCAGACGGTTGACTCTGTGTGCACGCGTAAATTTCGGCACACGAACCTAAGCATTCAACGTACCGTCGTATCCAGTCATATATGCCACCCCAAAGCCCTCAGGTACAATTTCAACCCATCCGTACACTGGGAAATGGTCCGAGAAAATGGCGCTCGTGCTCAGGACCCAGTGTCCGGAGCGTTTGTACAACGGATCGTTGTACAGCTCGGGAACTGCCTCGCACTCTTTTGATAAACTAATTCAAATCACAGGACTGTGCCACCGAGAAACGTGATAAGTCCCCAGTATTCATCGTCTGATCTGCAGGAATAGACAAGTTAGAGATAGATCCATTCCATGCGGTGAAATGGAAGACACCGCATGGTCTCACGTCGTCGCTACAAGCAATATCCCGAAGGACCGTGAACCACCTATGATTCATAACTGGCAGTCTGGCACCTAATCTCGAACCGACGATTTGGGAAGATGCACTAACACTTCCCAGAACGAGTCCGACTGTACCCGGTTGTCCCAGAACGTCTGGACTAACTGGCACCAGGCACGCAGCCCGGCGGCTGCCCGGGTGAACATGATATGCTCACTGCTGAAAGCGGTAGTACTGACGTTGAAAAGAACGTTGCCACCGTGGAAATCAGAAGTGGCGAAAGACCTTAGCTATAGCGGGACCAAGGGGAATCTGCATGAATATCAGCTGCAAAACGCGCCATTATCGCCCGACACCAAATATACAGCGCTGCCGAAAGGATCCCACGAAACCCGCAGCCGAGGACAGCGTGCTAGAAGAATTAGCCCAAGTATACTATGAGAACTGTAGCATTGACAGTGCCTGTTACTGAATGTGTGTTTATAATCGAGGAAGAAGCTTATAGCCCAGACTCTGAATCTGGAGGAAAGGAGGGAACCAAGAACTAGCAAGTCCAAGACGCTATCGCCTCACAAGGCCCATCGAGGACAAGAATTCAACGTTCTGGCCAGCCAGAAGAAGACATCAATTCATGGCAGCAGAACTGTACACAGCGCTGGCCGTGACGAGGTGGGAAAGAGTGTATAGCAAGGAGCTTCGGTCAAAGACGTGGGCCAATGGGATGGAATGATGACGTAAGACATTAGCACCCTCAGAAGGGTTAGTAACGCGGGCGTTTGCCCTCCATACTAAAATGCGGTGACTACTGCAACTGTTCAGTCTCCATTTACAAAGCCTTCCTTCGCCCGCCGCCGGCTCAGCCTCAAAAGCTGCCCTATAAGCAATCCGCTACCGCAGTGCTGGCGCTTACTTTCTCTTCCCTAAAACACCACATCACAATCGAGAACAGTTCCAGCTTGACATAGGCACCAGTCATTACACATAATTTGCCCCTCGTGGCTATCTGAAGCATGTCTGTCATATCTGGCATTGTGTCAAGCGTCCTGGAAAGGACAAAGCTCGCAGCTCTCGGAAACGTCGAACTTCCTTTCGTGGATGATGAACCGCTTGCAGCCACTAAGGTAGATGACAGTGCCGTAGGAAAATGTGAGCTACGAATAGAGGGAATGACGTGCGGCGCATGTGTAGAGGTGAGTCCGTATTAAGCCGATGTATCATACGTATACTCATTGGTTGTAGTCTATCGAAGGCATGCTTAGATCGCAAGCTGGCATACATTCAATCAAAGTTGCACTTCTTGCTGAAAGAGGTGTGGTCGAGTATGACCCCTCAATATGGACACCAGAGAAGATTGTCAATGTGAGTCCGTCACTAATACATCAGGCGTATGCTGATCATTATTGGCAGGAAATTTCAGACGTAGGATTTGATGCCACTGAAATACCAATGGCGCGGTCTGATATGGTTACACTACGGATATACGGCATGACCTGCGGTTCATGCACATCAACTGTGGAATCTGGCATACGCGGGACGCCAGGGGTCACTAGCGTCGCCGTCTCACTCACCACCGAGACCGCCAAGATAGAATTTGAACCCAGTCTCGTCGGCCCTCGGGAATTGGTCGAACGCATAGAAGATATGGGTTTCGATGCAATATTGTCAGATCAAGAAGACGGCACGCAACAACAGTCCCTTGCCCGAACCAAGGAGATCCAAGAGTGGGCCAGCCGCTTCAAATGGGCGCTCACATTCGCAGTGCCGGTTTTCTTCATCAGCATGATCGCGAATCACATACCATTCATCCAACCTTTCATTAATCTTCATCTATTCAACGCTATCTATCTCGGCGATCTTATCCTTCTTGCTCTTACGACTCCTGCACAATTCTGGGTCGGTCAGAAGTTCTATCGAAATGCATTTAAAGCACTTAAACATGGTACCGCAACCATGGACGTCTTGGTTATGATCGGAACCTCCGCGGCTTATTTTTATTCCTTATTTGCCTTACTCTTTGCGGCATTCAACACCACACCTGACTACCGACCTTTTATCTTCTTCGACACAAGTACTATGCTCATCATGTTCGTATCTCTCGGGCGCTATCTCGAGAACCGCGCAAAGGGCAAGACGAGTGCTGCTCTGACAGATCTCATGGCCCTCGCACCAACAATGGCCACGATCTACACGGATTCTCCAGCATGTACGCAAGAGAAACGGATTCCTACGGAGCTGGTGCAAGTAGGGGATACTGTCAAACTTGTCCCCGGGGAGAAAGTGCCTGCTGACGGAACGGTCATCCGAGGATCATCCACTGTGGATGAAAGCGCCGTCACAGGCGAACCGGTTCCGGCTTTGAAACAGCCTGGAGACAGCGTCATTGGGGGCACCGTCAACGGCCTCGGGACTTTCGACATGCTCGTGACCCGTGCAGGCAAGGACACAGCGCTCGCACAGATTGTCAAACTCGTCGAAGAAGCACAGACGTCCAAAGCGCCAATCCAGGCATTCGCGGACCGTGTTGCAGGCTTCTTTGTTCCCGCCGTCATCTCGCTCGCAGTACTCACATTCGTTACGTGGATGATCGTCTCTCATGTCATGAGCGAGGATAGACTGCCAGCAATGTTCCAACGGCATGGCGCGAGCCGGCTAGCAGTTTGTTTGCAGATGTGCATATCAGTGGTGGTGGTTGCATGTCCGTGTGCTCTGGGACTGAGTACACCGACTGCCATCATGGTTGGCACGGGTGTAGGCGCGAAGAACCAGATCTTTATCAAGGGTGGTAGGGCGCTCGAGGCCAGCCGGTTCATTAAACGGATTGTGCTGGACAAAACAGGTACCGTGACGCAAGGGAAGCTCACTGTGGCGGGTATGGCATGGGTGCCCCCACGCGATTCCTCTGAGTTCTTACCTGATGACAATGTCGGCGCTCAATCTTTGTCATTCAAATGCGCCGACGGCACAACTACTCGCGCAACTGTCATAGCAATGGTTGCTGCGACGGAGGGCAAGTCCGAGCACCCTCTGGCGAAAGCCATCGCTGCTCATGGCAAGAGTCTTCTTGCCGGCGCCGATGTCCAATCACCAGCATTAGACATGAAGTCTTTCGAGAGCGTGACTGGCGCTGGCGTGAAAGCCCTCATCACATCATCTGGTTCCAACTACACTTTATACATCGGAAATGCGCGGTTCATCGCACAATCCGACAGTGCGCAGCTGCCTTCCGTTTTGACGAATTACGAGGCACAAGAGAGCAAGCTCGGTCGCACGGTGATCTTCGTTTCTTCGTCTCGGGCATCTTCTGCTCCGTTGCCCCTGCTTGCAGTTTCTTTGTCGGACGCTCCCAAGCCCTCGTCTGCGCAGGCAGTCAAGGCACTACAGGCCATGGGCATTGAGGTGAACATGATGACGGGTGATGGGATGGTCACAGCGCTGGCGGTTGCCAAACAAGTGGGAATCAAATCCGAAGGCGTTTGGGCCAACATGAGTCCCAAAGGCAAGGCGTCCCTTGTTACGGATCTTATGAACCAAGGCAATGGTGGTGTTGCAATGGCATGTGTCTCCACCCTGCTTGGATGTTTTGAATCTGACTTGTGCATCTTATTCTTTCAGGTCGGTGACGGCATCAATGACTCGCCCGCCCTGGTAGCTGCCACAGTCGGTATCGCACTGTCCTCGGGAACCTCCGTAGCCATCGAAGCTGCCGACATCGTTCTCATGCGCTCTGATCTCCTGGACGTCGTCGCTGCGCTCCACCTTTCGCGCAGCATCTTTTCGACGATCCGGCGGAATCTCGTTTGGGCGTGTATATATAATGTGCTTGGGATCCCACTCGCGATGGGTGTATTCTTGCCCTTTGGGCTGTATATGCACCCGATGCTGGCAGGTGCCGCGATGGCGTTCTCGTCGGTGAGCGTAGTGACGAGCTCACTGATGCTGCGATGGTGGCGACGACCGGTGTTGAGCGTGATGCCCGGGGAGACGGTGCATGGGGAGACGTTGTTTGAGAGCGGGAGGAATGCGATGGACGACATGTGGGATTCGGTGAGGGGAATGGTGAGGAGGCGGAAGGTGGAAGAGGGGTATAGCCAGCTTCCGATGGAAATGTCGGAGAGTGTTTGAGTATGATGGGGTTTTGTTGTATGTATACTTGATGTATACCTAGTCTCTCTCGGTGATTGCGCAATGCGCATCATGGTTATCTTATTTCAGTTAATACTGTGTACCCTTAGAGTTCCGGTGCGCTGGATAAAAACATTCAGTCCTTCGGCTGTGTATGTACTCTTGGTCATACATATATAGCGTTTGAGCCTGCGATCAATAGTCTGTAAATGCATAGCCTGGTGTTAATAGCAGTTGCATTCATGTCACTACCGATGTTTTAGCTTTCGTGCAAAGTTCGATCCTGTGACAATGGAAGATCTGTGGATGTCAAATTTTCCTGCCATCAGATGGCCACTTATTATCAATGCACCAACCAATGTTACGTTAACGCCGGGACCTCTCTTGTTAACTTAACTCTGTTGCTGCCGCGTGTTGTATTTTCTCATATGCTTCCATCCCTTTCAAGTTTCCTAGGCTGTTCAATTGAACCATTTGATGTCCGTTGTCGCTAGTAACGGCGGCGGCGGCTAGTTGACTTCCCTCAAGTGCTGTGTTGGACCCTTGTTGTATCGCATGAAGTACGAACCTGCCCAGAGAGGCCCTGACGGTGATGCTGACTTCCTTTGATTTTATAGGACGTACTATGCACTACCATGCACTGTATACACTATCATACTGCTCGACGCTGTCGTGAAACAGCTACAGTCCAAGTGCTTTCCGAGAGCGAAAGTGATAAGATTCGATGACTTTACGGATCTAGCCGTGAGTCACCCTGGTGACCTCCACCCTCCACTGACCACGCCATCGGCAATGCCTACAAAGTTGTGTCATCTGATCTTGCATCTGATGAGGAGAAAGTCTGGGCATTGGCAATGCCCGAACACACAATTGTGAGCGCTTAAACCTAAAATAGGTGTCCGTCTGACTCCGTCGACCCAATTCTTTGCATGAAATCAACTTATCAGGCTATATCAAGGGTTCAAGGCTATCTGCCACCAGGTGCCACATGTTCCTGAACTCCTGAGTTCAGCAAGGGCATAGTCAACTTACGGAAGGTATGATCCATTATTCCCATCTGCAAGTCCCTTGGGTAATCATTTATAAACCTGTTTCTTTGTCGCCTTCCACAACCTCATTCACTGCAGATGTTTCACCTCACAGACGGACAGTCTTCGGTAGAGGTTCGTATTCTTTGTGCACGTACACGATTTGACAAATAACTGAAGCGCAGAGTTTTCATACCGCATGGAGCGACGCTGAAGACGACCTCCGACCTGGAAGCGTGGGCGAAGAGCAAGTCAGGCAGGCGATTCAAAATATTGCAGACTCAATACTTCGCGACATGCCCATCCGGTTGCTGAATACTGACGATGGAAAGATCTATGCTCGCCCCGCTCTTATCACGAAACTCGGGGAGTCGGGTACATTTCACTCGCTACTCACCCTCACCACCACGAGGTCTACTCTGAAACAAGAGGAGTACTTCTTTGAAGTGGTGAAAAGCTTCTTTGCATATGCCATGCTCTCCCACAGATGGGAGGGCGACGAACCTGGCTTTAAAGATATCCCACAGGAGGGCGTCTATACGCTTTCTACATCGAGATTCGACAAAGTCCGCAATTCCTGTCGCAAGGCGCGCAAATATGGATTTCATTGGGCATGGATCGACACATGCTGCATTGATCAGAGGAGCAGCGCTGAAGTACAGAAGTCCATCGCTTCCATGTTCTCGTGGTATCGCGGGTCGGCACTGACAATCATCTACCTTTCTGACGTCGCGGAATCCAGCGATCAGGCGCTTTTGCTGAGTAAATGGTTCCGAAGGGGCTGGACTCTTCAGGAATTGCTTGCCGCCAAGGTCATCCGGCTCTACAAGAAGGACTGGACCTCATTTTCTCAATCCACAGCATTCAACCACAAGAATGTTGCTGAGATCTTGGATGCGTTGGAATCTGCAACTGGGATACAGAAAGCCTATCTCAAGTTCTATTGTCCAAGCGTCGAGCACCCTCGAACGAAGCTGAGATGGGCTCGTGATCGAGTGACCAAGGAGAAGGAAGACGAAGCATATTGTTTGACGGGAATCTTCGGATTCACTATGACGGTCAAATATGGAGAGGGTGATAATGCATTTGCTCGACTCTTGATGGAGATCATGAAACGCACGGGAGATGCTACTCTTCTGGACTGGATCGGGCAGCCTTCGACCCTGAACAGTTGCCTTCCTTCGTCCCCAAGATGCTTCTCGGATGCTCCTTTCGCAATTACGGAAATGTCATTTGACGGCCTCCCTCGCCCTGTTTTGAGCTTTGCGTCGGCTGCAAAGCTCGTCTATGTGTTCAAAAGGTCAGTCCGCAGGGCAAGAAAGTGAGTTTTCCCAATTGAAATACGCATTTTTGCTTACATGCTTCATGTCCAGCTCACCCCGTCTTCATAATGGTCACAACACAACTCAGGAGCTAAGCGGTGATGGGCCTGATGACGATTGCGCTCCACAAATTGCAAGGACTGCAAGCAGTCAGAGCTTTTTTTTGCTCAGACGATCTGCAAGCTCGCCGTTTGGCGAGATGATGCCCCTTGCAAGACTGCTGGAGAAGCCTCCTAGGCCATACCATCTTAACCCTGAAATTCACATCACTGTGCCGTGCTTTTTGCATGAAGTACAGTCACTTTACTTCACGCCGGACTCGGGATCATACTATTGTCGTGCAAACGGCATCAAATCATTCAGTCTTGTCACGTCAGAGATATTGAAGACATCTGCAACCGACCATCCTTCCCCATCTCGTTATCTGCTAGCACGAACCTGGGATCCACGACTGTCTTATGGATCTTCGCATATAAACCGCGCCAGCATGTCGCTGCTTCGCCAACGACTCAAGAACCCGTTCTTTGCAACGCTGCTGGAACGTTGCGACGATGACCGGTTCAAAAGAATATCTACAAAAGAACGTATCGTCGCGGAGCTTGAGCTGTTTCCCCCACAAACCTACGGAGTGCGGTCGATTGATCTTAAATGATACAACGAAGTATCATATTCCTTGGTGCGTCGTCAATGTCTTCGCATGCATGATTAGATATATCCAAGCCAAGCATTATTTCTGACCACGTACTGATGTATATCCAGACATTCTACTAAAAACTTATAGCATCATTATATCGCCTAGACACCATGTTTATTGTGCAATTTGTGTCGATTGCCTCTAACTTATTTGCACAACTGTGATATTATTTAATATCGTACACTGGTATTGTACTTATTCCAATGTTTTTAGCACGAACTCATTTCGTTCCCTCCTTTACTGGTATGAGACGGACAACGGACTGACTTTAGTTTCATTGATCTTGTTACTTTGTGTACCGTCGGACGATGTAGGCTTGAAAGCAATTTTCTTATGTTCTGACTCTAAGTTAGTTCTTATATAAAACATACGAAAGGAAATGATAGGGGAGACTATAAAACGGTCAATCATGATGATCTGCGCCTTAAGGCACGTTCAAGTTTCTGATCCCATCTACTTAGCTAGTAGCCTAGCCACCCTTCACTACAAGATCTACCAAGTGATACAAGAATAATATCTCACGATTGACGGTCTGTCTCCATGTCACACATTGGGAGTGTATTCTTGGGAGATTTCCAGCGATTCCGTATACTATCTTCCACGCCTCCGTCATCTCCTCCGCCCGGCCAACTTGGACATCAAATGAGCGTCGCATCTGCTTCCCAATCCCTCGAGGAACTCGTGGAACATCATGATAATGTCCAATCAGAGCTGTCTGCTCAACAGCCGACTGCTGCCAGTGTTGTGACACCCCTACCACAACTCGAACCATCAACCGCACCTCCAGTCATAGATCCCGTTTTATCGCTGGAACTGAGACTCCGCTGGCTCGAAGCGTTGCTTCTAGGTGTACGACAGGATGCGAGGGATCGTAAGGGAAAGGAAAAAGTGGGACCAGAGCTCAAACACGGTGAAACCCTCATTCGCTTAGCCGAGAACGTGCAAAGGCGCCTCGACAGCGTCATACAATCCAACGACAGTCTCCAGAGGTTCATGAGCAAATGTAAGGTTGCATACACGTCTCTCTCATCACATTCTGACGCGTTCTTCCTAGATGACCTACATGCCCATCTACTAACTGCAGCGTTCGCCCTGTCAGGGGTGCTCCCTGGGCCAGCCCCGACGTACGAAAACATGTCACCAGAAGAACTAGAAGCGCTCCTGGTAGAGATGGAACCAGAAATTCGAGCTGCTGACAGGGACATGCGCGAGATCGAAATGCTAGAACATAAAGGTGTCACAGCAGCTGGAAAACTTGCAGGCAAGTCGTGCTGACCCCTCGCGAGATCTCATTTTCATTTTCTTCATTCAGACTATGAAACGTTGCAGCCTCGTTTGGACGCGCTTTTGAAAGCGCATCAGGAGGATATTAGATTAGCTGCGTCGTTGGAGAAGCGAATAGCAGTTCTTGTCGACAGACATGCTACTCATGTACGTGTTTTTTCCCCGTTCATCACCTTCAGCCAGCGTTTGTGTTCTGATTGACTATTTTTCAGGTGGACGCGCTCTCAGAACTTTTCGTAGCATGGGATGACGTCCTCACCGAAACCGAAAATAAAGTCACAAAGCTCGAACGCGATCGTGACGAGCGCCAACGGCTGGGTTATGTATAGACAGCCTGGACCACCACGTCTTGATATCACACACATACTTTACCCTCCTTATAATAAACAGAAGCATTGATGATAAAACAGTTTCATTCGTTCCTAGGTAATCAATCAACTACATTACTCCCACTTCTTGGGCCAAGAAATAAAGGAAACAGCCATGGGAAGCGGGCGTGGATATATCATGAGAAGTCGCACAGTTAAGTAAGTAACAAACAGGGAATAAGAAACATCCGAGGAATCATAAAGTGCGTATCTTGACATAAAGACGAGACCGCGGGGGTTACATTAAGGGGATCCAGAACCGAGTAATACTTAAGGACAAGGACGGTGAAGGACGGTGGCGCAAAGGAAGGAACGTAATGGGTTGAAACCATACTAGAATGACCACAAAACATAACAAAACGAGAAAGCATGAACACAAATAAGATATGAACCCAGTGACAGAACATAATACGGAAAGAAAATGAAATAAAATGAACAAAAAAATGAAAAAGAGATCATGTCTTAGGGGGGTATTAGTCGCGCGCCATCCAATCGGTACTCCGAGAAACCAGCTCTATGGAGTTGTCGATGGTCCAAAACAGGCGCTCGGTAGCGCTGCGTCCACTCCAGCTCTTCTGGTCACGCAATATCATGGCCTATAATCATGGCCAACGGTCAGTCCTGTCAATGAAAACTTCAAAGAAAAACATGGACGCACCTGTTGTGCACCGAAATTCCGTTGGTCATGTGCAAACAGCTCGACATTTTCTTCTAAAGCCTCCGCCAAAATCTGCAGGTCCTGGAGTATGGCCTGCATCGCACGCACCGCAGCGAGAGTGAGGATATCCTTGCGGTTACGCATCGTCGTGCCTTCGGTATTCGGCGGAGGAAGTGTTTTGGAGATGCTTTGCAGTACAGTGTGCAAGATGCGTTTGGTCTCGTTCATGATCTTCTGGGCCTGGGGGTAGTTCTTCCTCGAAACGAGGACGAGAGCGCGCGTGATCATGTCGGATGCGAGAAGTTCCATTCTACGTCGGACGATCACAGGATCTGATGGTTTGACTGGCTTGGGCGAGATAGAGGTAGCTTGAGGAAGGAGAGTGATCGTCAAGAGGACGGGATGGGCGAGGCGTGAAACTTGTTTAGATGCGCTGGGATCATAGAAAGACCCATCAACCTCGAACACTGGAACCTCATCAATCATCCGATCCATCATGCCATCCACAAGATCGGCACCATCTTCAATGGCCAAAGAATCAAGACCCATGCTCTGCACAAATTGATCCGTGGCATTAAGCGCGCGATTACCGTTCTGCGCAGAAGGACGGCGAGTTTCGGTGTTATCGAGCTCACACTCGATGAGCATCTCTTTGCATTCGCCATAGCGAAGCTCGCCAACGTCGATGTCGACGTTGTGGCCATCCGTCGAGAGGATGGATGAAGGCCCACCAGAGACCTTGCGGATGCGGAAACGCTGACCGTCGACAATTTTCATGTGTAGCTTCATGTTGAGGAGGCCAATGGACATCATGCCGCCGACACAGCCAGCGAGACAGCTGCGGAGGTCATACCAGTCCTTTACGAAGGTGTATGTCCCACTGGTATGGTTCGACATGAGCCAGAGAGAAGCAGGGTCGTGCGAGCGACCATAGCCAAACGAGTGAATGGGCATGTTTGCAGCTTCAGCACGGGCGAGGACAAGATCCATCTGCGCACGTCTCGTGCTGTCTGCAGCATCGCTCACGAGGACCATCCCCGAGATAGGATTACGAGACTTGCGTTGAAGTACAACATCAAGACCTTAGGGAACACGGTCAGCAGAAAGTAGAGATGAAAAAACGATCACTCACCATGGTTAACCGCAGTCACAACGTCTGTCTTCTCCTCTTTGGAAGCCCTCACCAGGAACTCATCATCTTGCCCCTCATCTGGACGGCCAATCTCATCGATGAACTTGGACAGCCTCCCTCGGCTGAGTGACTTGCCAACACAAAGGTAAGGCGTCTTGCGCACACGTCCACCAGGTCCCACTTCAAAGGTGACGAGACTCAACCGATCCTTGGTTCCGAGAGCAGCGAGGATAAAGTCCAGTGATGCCTTGATAACGCGGAGCTTAAGCGCTGCGGTGCTGCGGGGAGCATTCGGTGGAGGTAGTGATACGATAAGGATAAGATCAAGTGCCGGGTGTGGGAGGGGAGCAAGTGAATTGGAGGGTCCAGCAGATACATGCGGTGCAACCAGGCCTGAAGGATGCGTCTCATAGTGAGAAAGTACATCGTCCTCGCCGAGGGGTTGAAGTTTGCTGTGCATTTGTCTAGATTGAGGTTGCGGCACGGAACCATGGGAGGTCAATGAGGACATCGTGGAGCGTGTGGAGCCCTGGAGTAAACTGTCGACGGTGCTGGGTGAGGTGGACGCAGTGCTCCCGCTAAGCATTCGCGCAGCCTTTCCTGAACCCCCGAACTCATCCATGTCAAGGCCACGGTCAATGGGCGGCTGCGGTGGTGATGCTTGATGTTGGAAGGAGTTTACAAGGCCCTGGATCTGGCTCCTCCAAGCATCCATGGAAGAGCGATCTTTGAAAACGAGAATGAAAGAGTCGAGTCGCTCATCCTCCATTTCAATCGTGAGGCTCATCTCCCCGCTTGTGCTCACCGTGATGCGCTTGATATGTCGAACATAAATGCGACCCTTGAGGCGCAGGACACCCTTGTTGGACTGGGCGCTAGACCCTGAAACTGAAGTCGAGGTGTCGTTAAAAGCTGGCGACGACAGGAACCGGCCAAGAGACCGCTTTTTCTCTTCTACAACGCAAATGATGGCCTCCTTGAAGAGGTAGACGAAAAACTCCCGCACAAGGGCATCTCGGCGGACAGATAGCATGTCATACATTTGCAGGGGGCCGAGGCCAGACAACGCGTGGCCCTTCCAATCAATTATCCGGTTGCGCAAGTCCTCAACGATAGCGTTGAAAGGTGACGATTCTCCCTCCTCTTCCTCCGCTGGTGGGCCCGGCCTATAATGGGAAGACTGGGCCTCATTTGTAGATGACCAGGGCTCGGAACATGGGTCATAACGTTGTGTTTGGGTTGGGCGTCGCAGAACTTCACTTTGTCTTTGGGACGGATGAGGCATCTCTGTATCGGCTCGTGAGAGGGTGTGAGTACTCCGAGCACCATATGCATCCGCCATGACAGGACCCGGAACATGACTTGTTCCACGCCTGGCAGGTAACTCGATTACAACAATGCAGGTTAAAGGTTGACAAGCTTCGCCATTCCGGGTGATGGATGAAAATTCGGGGCGGACTTGGATGGAAGGTGCGACGATGTAGTGGGATTCGCTTGGTGTTGACTTGACTGAGACAGCGTGGTCTATTGGGTCATCGTCTGTGGGATCGTAGGGTTGAGGAGGTACTGGGCTGCGGCGGGAACGTGTGCCTGATAAATCTCGGCCAGGATAAACTGCGGGTGCATGGGGATCGCCCATGCCGGTCAGAGCGGCGAGTTCTGTAACGTGGTGAGATCAATGGACAGCTGCGGCTAGTTATGACTGACTATTATTTTTGCTGCTGTCTCCGTCGCCAATCTTCATAGGTCGTCTGCAAACCCCACAGACGCCAAGATTTGATTTGCGAGGCACTGTAGAGCGAGATTGTGCTGGTGGTGGTCCGTATACAGCAGTAAAACATGCCTATGGGAAAGGAGCGGGTTAGACTCGTGTGCGAGGGAAGATGAAGACGGTTGCAATTTTGTTGGAATACGATGGAGCATGATGCTACGATAAGGAAAATGACTGACTTCGTGAAGAGAGTGACCGCACTCTGGTACAACATGGGGCTTTTCTCCAGGAAGTCTGAAGCTGAAGCTCAGCGGTTCAAGACATACAGGACATTCTTGTTCGTCTTCGATATATTCATTGTTGGATACAACAGGTAGAGGAGCAGGCGGCATTGCGGCGTATGGATGGGGGTTGTGGCTGTCTGTGGCGGATGCGTTGGAAGTCGAATAGGAAGAGCGGAGAGAATTGGAAGACAGCGAACGATCGGGTGGTTTGCGCTGAAACACAGATTGTAAACCTTTGAAAGCAGAACTCTTGGCTGATTTTGGTGGATTTGGCGATGGATAAGTACTAGTGGGAGAGAGATGAAGTTGATGGGAGTGATGATGGTCCAAAGTTGGGTGGCCAATTAATTGATTGCGCGGGGACCGGGCTGACGACGGAGATGGTGGTTGTTGCTTCATTACTAGAGAGTGTGTTTATCGTCGTCGTCGAAGACAGCGAGCTCGACGTTGTCGTCGACAGATAGTAACGCTAAAGTAGCGCTGGAAGGAGAAAGAGAGGGTATAAAACCTTGGTGTAAACTATGTCGTGACTGTTGACGTTCAAGGTCGAATTCAACTAGTCGGTACTTGTCTTCGTGGCTTGCTCGTTTCCTTCGTTGACGTTGACGGCTAAACGTACTAATAGTATGAAATAAAATGATTCTCTTTCGGCATTGTTTCTAGTTTTATGCAATGACCCTCACTTTAAGCGCTCGACCATGCGCTGCGCATTGTTACTAAGTAGAAATCAGACATATTCACTGTATCATAGGCGATGGGTAGTGGACAACAAGAGCTTCCTCAACGATCATCAAGGGGGCCAGCTACGTTGGAACCTAGCCATAGGTCCATGTAGGTCCTTCAATATCTTAAAATCCAACCGCGAGACTTTTGCATTTCTCACCCTGGACCGGTACAGCGTGTGAGCCTCGATGACCACATCTTTGATGCCATATCTCCATATGACATTATTTCCGGAAAACGTCAATCGCTGAGATCAACGAGCAACATATCGACAAATTTCGGGGGAGGCTCGTACGGAACCATCAGATCCTGTGCTTTACCCGCGGACCTGCACCCGGCGGCTGCGAGAATCACAAGCCACAGCTCGCAACGGGTAGTAGGCTTCGACTCGTTGCTCCCTCGAAACAACGTTTTCTTGTGTCGGAGACTGGTTTGCAACGTGGATAAACAGATAACTAGGGCACAAGAAGACGGAATTTCCAAACGACCGATCCGGATATCGGCTGTGATCTTTATCGATATGACTTCACGCAATTGTAAGTACGCAATTCTTGAAGGAATTACCCACGACTCACCTCGTAGGCGTCATCGAAAATGCATGAATGAACACAGTAATAAAACGTACAGATCATAAGCCGATATGCATGAGCGAGCACTCCCGTTCACACATATCAGGTTATGGAGTTCGTCACACTGTTTTGTTCAGCCTTGACGAAGCTTTGCTTTTGAGCCCCGCTATCGGCTGCTATCGGTCACCCAAGAAAAATCTGTTCGTGATACCGAGGAGTGAAAGTGACTGTATGGTGCGCGCCATTCCTATGTACTGCCGCGAATGTGCGATGCGCTGGTGTCGATCAGTAAATCACCTTGCGAAGGCCTGAGCGTTCCGATGTGGAATGCAAAGACCGGCCCAAGGATGAAACGACTCGGAGAGCCAGGGAGGAAAAGACAAGCTTAGGATATCGATACAAGATGGTTGATCGTTTCTTATATACTGGTGCAGACTGCAGTATGGTGTCAATCAGTGAATCGCCTTGCGAAACGAACAAACGAACAAACAATTACAACTTTCCTTTCCCGGACACCTTGTTCACACGCCGTCACTTGCAGTTTAACCATTCACGGCTACATCTGTTCCTACAACCCTGGTGTGGAGGCCCTCTGACCAATGCACATGCTGATCGTAAGAGGCCCTCCATGTTGTGCGAGTATGCCTGGGACGATGATTGCATCGTAGCAGTGCTTGGCGCGCCAATCTCCAACTCATCCGGCAAACACCAGTAGGTTTGATGTCTGCGCACGGCCTTGGCAAGAGCTGTCCTCTTTGTAGCTAACTCAACAGCTGGGCTGTCACGATAGCGTCAAGATTCTGCCCGACACGCATACCAGTAACCACCCAATGTCTTATTCAGACTCGGAGGGGTCGAGCTCGAAAATTTAAGAGCAAGCCGGTTTCAAAGTCTTGGCGCACGCGAGAACTCTTCTGCAGCTCTGTAACCTTTTTTTTCCTGCGACGATAGGCTCAATGTCATAAAGTTTATTTGTTCCTGACAACGGAGGTGACCGGTGCAAAGTCTATCAAAGTGACAACTGCCAAGACCTGGAAACCTCAGGAGAAGTTTTTGGCGAGAAATCATTCTTTCGCCCAAGCCGCGTCCTCGCTGTTTTTGAATTACGCCTAGTCAACGGGCGACCTTCGCATCTCATCGACACCGAGGCGAGCTTGATTTTTGCATTTGCTACTAACGACAACACACTGCCATCCTGCTAGCAGTTCGATTATAGAGTCATCTGCGGAGGTTGCCATAGCGGTTTTCAGGAGTACACCGGATGAGCGGCTGCCAGATGTTGGTTCCTCCTATAGTGCCCTCGGAATCATTCCATTGTCTTGCGACCGAAGTACGGACCACAGGCCCAACCAAAACAGGACAATATTATCTGATCCCGCACAGCAAAGTATGTAATCAGGATGTTTTTCATGTACAGAAAATTTCATTTGTCCGGCTCACGGTTCTCTGGGCTTGAGGGAAAACATGACAAACCTGGACCTGCTCATCATTAGCCCGGACTCCGACTCAAGTGAAGCCCCTTCAGCTCATCGCACAAGAGCAATGGGGATGAAACAAAGGGCCGTTCGACTCGCGAAGCGCGCCATCAGCAGCGTGGCTCCATGTCTGTCCCGCAGTCCCAGTCCAGACTTCAGCCGAAGAGGGAATGGGTGCAAGCGACTGCTAACTGGCGGGTCGCCCATTTGACTCGGATCTGGTGTGCTTGTTGAATGTTCAAGAACCGGGATCTGGAAATCCCAGGAAAGGAAATTTGCGGTTAATCGCACTCTTTGTCTCGTGATTGAGGGAAGTTAAATCACAGTCAAACTGTTTGCCCCAGGGCCGAATTTGAATAATTCCAGATCTCAATGAATTATGGCATGCGGTGGTACGCTTACGTGTTTATCACAAAAAAACCGCCAAATGCTCTGCTTGTCAGAACGTTTAAAGCTTGATTGGACTTTTGCTAACGATGCTTGAATTATAACCCCGGAAAACCTCGCATTCCAGTGTCGACAGCAAGCAAGAGATGACTCGGATGGGCAAAGAACCTGCAAAGATTGAGGCTCAGCTCACTTTCCCTCCTCTCGACGAAAGTCATTATAGCTTGCGCCCCAAAGACGCTGCATTTTACAAGAAGCTCACCGGAATTGAAGACGATGTCGCCCTGAAGCAACATATATTAAATGTGCAACAGAAAGCATACAAGGTAGTTGGCCCCTTTACCACGTCGTTTTTATTCATAACAAAACTCACTTATTCACGGCCAGGTTGCCCCTTACGGTAGCATCTTACTGTTATCTTTCCTCAGGTATTTATCTTGTGTGCAAGTTTTGACTGAGCTGATACACAAGCATCATCCCTTCAGGCGAAACCTGTCGGAGCTACCTGCTTATCAGCAAATCGTGCGCATCGGACGTACACGCAAGAACCCATTGCTCCTTGACATTGGCTGCTGCTGTATGTGCTCTCCCTTTGTCGTCTCCACAGGATTCTGATGCACAGTTTACAGTCGGCAATGTCCTCAGGGAAGCGGTTTTTGATGGTTTTCCTGCATCCGGGGCGATCGGAAGCGACCTTCATCAAGGTGAGCATAGCATTCCAACTTGGGACATGACTAACGAAACACTTGCAATTGCCACAGAACTCTGGGATCTGGGGCATGAACTTTTCAAGTCGTCTCCAGAGACCTTTCCAGGTCACTTTGTAGGTGGTGACGCCTTCGACCCGGAAATCCTCGCCGTGGCCCCGCCTGCGACAGCAGCAGTTCCAATTCCCGACCTCAACAATCTCACTTCTTTGAATCCTTTACATGGATGTTTTTCCGTAATCCACGCAACAGCGTTCTTTCACCTGTTTAAAGAAGACAGGCAGCTGCACTTAGCCCGTGCTTTCGCTGGCTTGCTCTCCGCTGAGTCAGGCTCGGTCATTCTCGGGGCGCACGTAGGCGCACAAGAGAAGGGTACCGTGAACAAAGTATTTAACGGTGTCGAGGTCGACATGTTCGCCCACGACCCAGAGAGCTGGATTGCCATGTGGGATGGTGAAGTATTCCAGAAGGGGACGGTCAAGGTGGAGGCAGAGTTGAGGCAGGAAACATACGGTGCTGTAGAGACGGACGGACACCCGTTGTCTTTGTTCTGGTCTGTGACAAGGTTGTGATCTCCTTGCCACTGGTAGAAATCATTATATTGGAGATACCCTGATGTACAATCGTTGCCATCACGGTCCTTTGCCGTCGTGATGGAATATAATTTTTTGTCTCCGGTGAAATGCCTGAATTGCAGGTTAACGCAGGTCTTTAATGTTGAACAAAGACAGCCACGCAACTATATCGTATACCTTAGCTTCATCGGGATCTCATTTCTCCAAGTCAAGTTAAGGTCGTCCATTAATTTAGGTCTAACAAATCCAAGAATTAGTATTGCAGTCGCAATTTTATCCCTTCCGTTGTAATTTCGATAACGACTCCGATGGACTCAGTGGTAAAAGAAGAATAAAAATGATATCGCTACAGAACATGGAAGACAGATACAGGAAGCCTCCAACTCGGGTAATGCTACAGTGGTAGGCGAAAATAATAAGGTGATCAGAATAGTTCACCAGATGAGGTATGAGTATGTATTATGACAGTTATATCCGTTATAAGCGACGAAAGACCCCCGCGGACAACTTGCTAGTAATGTTCATTGCCGCTGTCAGCGGACTTAGCCTCTGCTGGGACTTCAGAATCCAACTCGCGTATAATGGTATGAAAAAACTTACGCGTATCTCCCGTGCAGTGCACTCAGCGTCGCCGATCAGCAGCGTGCATCCAATCTCGTTGATGACATGCTGTGATGTCTTCTTGCCATTGAGACGGAGTGGAGGTGGTGCCTTGCGTCTCAACCTTTTAAGCCCCACTACCTTCTCAAGAGCGGCCTCAGGCTCTGGAAGCACCTCGTGGAGAATCTGGGCATCGTAGTCTCGGAGTGTCGGCGTCAGGATCATCGGGGAACTGCCTGCTGTGCTTGTCGGCGAAGCGCCATAGAAGGCCGCCGGGACACCGTTCCCTTCAGCATATTCTACTCTCTTACCCGAGCCCCTCTCTTCGGCCTCTCTTCGGTAGGCCGCCAAGTCGGGTGGCCAGGTATACACCAGGTTGTTGTCCTCGACCTCTGATGCCAACCGCGCTTGCAGTTCCTCGAACTCTGCATCATCATATTCGGTGATGGCAATGTTTTTCCAAGGTTTGTGTGATAAGTCTTGAGACGATACCAACTTCGCAGCAGCAGCGTATTTCTCATCGGACGGCACTTTGGCGCTGACACGAGGAGGCACGGGTGTAAGAGGTGCGGCCTTACGACATTCTATAGGTGCATCCGGGTTGAAGTTGGAAACGTGAGGGCGAGGGCGAAACATCCAAGAATAGTTGGGGAATGCATGAAAGTAATGCTCGCGCGACTGGATGGACTGCTTGTGTGTCGAGTTCATCGATATGTCACAGCATCGTCCCCGCGACCGAGACACGTATTTTACTGGGGCCGAAGACGCGAAGGAGGGGTTCGGTTGGCCAACAGGATTCATGAAGAAATAAGGCGAGAACTTGATGCTGTTCATTATATTCACGTGGAGGGCTGACGGTTCGATTTGGTGGCGTGGAGGAAAGCTGACTGTGGCTTTCGCAGGGGTAAATAATGGAGGAAAACGATTCGTGATGCCGAGGGTATGCAGAAATTACTGGGGAATCTTAAAGCAATGAAATAGCAGAACAGTCCGCAGCGAAGCACAGTATGAACGCGAGGTGATACACCCGAGCTTGGTGGTCGTGACAGATAGTCAAGAAAATTTAGTCAAAGTCGAATTTATGGCCGAACGGAGTGGCACCAATAAATACCGAAGGCGGTCTTTGACTCTTTGTTACTTGTAGAAGACCCGCCAAAGGTCTTTGTGAGACGGACTTTGTCACGCCTTGTGACACCGCCACTTCCGCTGCTGTGGGGACAAGGCTGGACAAGGATACAGTATGCTTCATGCTTGTAGGTTGCATCATTGACGCACCAGAAAGTAGCTGCTGAAATGCGATGTTATTAGTATCACAATAAAAACAGCGAATTCACAACAAGAACGATTTTCGCATAAACCACGACCACCCATATATGCCAGATGACAGTCGAGAAGACCGACAATAGTACACAATACGAAGCTCGGCGGATGTCAATTTGTCTTTCTTTCATCTACTGTACTGATATTCACAACTCACCCATTGATACTTCCCACAAATTATCAAGGTCAATCAAGATTCAAGTGGATTTTCCGGATGATGCGATACCAATGACGACAGCAGCGACCACAAGGGCGGTAATGATGAGATCAATCTAGGATCTGAAGGATGCGATATCGAACACGCATGGATGCTTCAGACTCCAGAGATCTAGGGACCTTGAATCTTGATGTTTAGCAAGATGACTGTAACAGTGCCAGGTAGTCAGCAAGGTTGCTGAGTGTTAGGCGGTGTTTTTTTGAAGACGAATCTATCCAAAGCAAGACAACTAGTAGCGTACATGCATCTAATTTTTGCGGGTGCATTAGCGGCAGGTCGAGTAAGACGGCCAGAAACTCACTGTTCACTCCACCTCGATGTGAGATCACGCTTTGTTCGATTGCAGTGCGGATGACAGCTACCTTTGCATCTGCTTTGTTAACGTAGTTATTCGATACCGTCTAGTATCGTGTTTGATCGGGTGTAGGAGCGGCAGCAAGGTGGAGCGTCATCATGCATCCGAATTTCGATTTTGCTTCATTGTGTCAATTTGCATTATTGCCGCCCGAATCCTCGATTAATCCGACACTGCAGCTTGCAGCCAGGGTATGCTCCTAGTTTTCTGAGCTATTGATAGAGGCGAGGACGAGTCCGCGCTTAAGTTTGAGCTCTTCGGGATCTCCATGAGCGATGAAATCCTATAATGCGCCCATTTCGATCGCGAGCATGGCCGCAGCAGATTTTGCTTCGGATACGCCAGGTCGGTTGCGCAAGAACGAGTGCTTGGGACGAGATAAGGCCAGCTTGTCCTGCGGTAGTGACACGCCTGGGCCTGTGACGCGGCACCGTGAGAAATCCTAGGGTAGTGTAGAATCTGTAGATCATGTTTTTTGTCGCTCGAAGCCTCGAACTCACTCAACTTTAACTCAATTCCAACTTGCAGTTTGAATATCCTCGTTAATGATCAGCGCTACATAGCATGTAAGTATCCGTCTGCGTACAGGTTCTAGACCGCTGTATCCACTTCTCATCATATTTACAGTGCTTGTCCTCTGTGTCTGTACTACCAATGTCACACAGTGCATCCGAGTCTTAGTACATTCGTCTTGTATTGAAGGACATGAAACCCTTGATATGAGCGCCCATCACCTTGCAAGTCCAAATTGATTCCAATATGTTTCGAGTGGTTATACGCCCTAGGATTTGTCGCAGTGCCGCGTCACATAAGCCGCGTTAATATCGCGTCAAGACCGCGTCAATTTCACCGAATCCAGCTTGCGAGTACAAATTGGTGGACACGTTTCAAGCGTCAACTGTGAGAGTGAGATAAGAGGAGCTCCGGGACGAAACACCGCTCGCACGAACGTCCGTAGAGGAGCACAACTCTGGTCACTATCTCGTTCTCGGCCTTTCCTTCATCCTTGGATTCGTTGTGAATGCTTCAAGTTGCCTTGACGAGTCATGTTCGTCGAGTGATAGTATGCCCCGTTCTGCCTTGGCTTCTTCAAATACTTGCTAAGTTACTTGCAGTTGCAGCGTTTCAACACGCTGGAATTCAACTTCTTCGGCTGGTCTCTGCGGTATCCTATACACCCTGGTGTTACATAGTGCATCTGGAGTCACTTTTGGATGTGAGAGAGGGGGAGGTGTTCATGGTTGACTGAACGACCAGCACTTTCTTTAGGGCCGACTATCTGCGTTATCCTCAATGTATGAAGTGCATGTTTAGAGGTCTTTGGACGGGTTGTCAAGTTGTCAACTGCTTCTTTGCTTTGCTGACTCGTTCCTCCGACATTCGGCAACCAACCATAAAACTCTTTCCTCTGTCATTATGTATGGTTTTGTTCACTTACTAATTACAAGTTCCTGCTATACTGGTCTAGGGGACATCATTCATCATTCTAGATCAATTTATGCGTGATATTACAGCGATACCCGACAATCGCTGTCCGATTCAGAGGTAGCGCCGCAACGTGTAACGGGCTGCCCGACGCGCCATCTTTTATGACAAATGCAGGTTATGCTTTTCAAATCCCTTACTAATCCTCCCATGCAGCCGCTTTATCATATCAAGTCCGTCCGACATCCTCAATCGTCTTTGCTCGAATCCTATATAGGTCGAGTCGATTCTGCTGTCGTTCCTCGTAACCCCAGACCAACGCCACAGAAACTAGTAATACCTATCACACAGCATGAGTCAGTGGCCATCTCTTCTAGCAGGTTATGAAGGTGCAGAACCTCTTCCAACCACTACCAATCCTGACGGGAAATCCCTGTACAACCCACCTGGTCCTCGCTCGGCCGCCTACGAGGAATTCCCAAAACAATTTGAACCGTCTAAGAATGGTTTTGACTTCCACAGTGAGTGACCCTATCATATGTTAATGATATCTCGATTTCACCACCAATACTAGTATATTACATACCCACCGTAGCTGCTCAGGTGCAGTATGTGAAAGAACTACACGAACGTGTAAGGAGGGAGTTTCCAGAAGTAAGGTTCTGTCTCTGGCATTTTCCAGGACCCATTCATTCATTCCTCGTGACGTAGTTGCGTATCTATAAGATCTGGGATAAACCAATCGGTACGCATCCGCTTATCCCATAGATGCAGCACAGCGTGGTACTCACCCTTCTACTTCCAAGGTCCCCACCCTACCGCCATGTTCGAGGTAAATACATTCAGCCCCCACCAGACCGGAGCATTCTTTTCCTGGCTTGTGGTCAATCGGGGGCCTTGCGAGTACGGTGTCATATTTAGTGTCTCACGTCAGCTCATTAACTCTGCTATGCGTTTCAAAGCGTTCTCGTCCACCCAAATACTGGCGATTCACTCAGAGACCACGTGGAGTTGGCGACATGGATTGGAAGGGGATGGCCAATAAATGATGAATTTCTGAAACGTCACCAATAGAAGAAATACTTAGATTCGGAGTGTCCTCTTGTGCGAAATGTGTATCCTCTTGTGTTGTTTTAGGTTAAGGCACTTTTTATTCATGCATACCTTGACATATATCTTGGCTTGCTGTGAACTCTGGAACGTTTGGTGATAGATCCGCATACCAAACGTTCAACTTCAACCGGACGGGGGCGGCCTCTGTTTCCTGCTCTGCAGTTTCGCATACTGCAGTTGCCTTTGAAGGTGGGGGAGGTGCATCGTGGTTGATTCAACTTGACTGACGTCTGCAATCTGTTGTTTAGAACTGACTTTGATATGCAATACACTTTCAACTCATGAAAGCTGTGTGAGGATGCTATATTAGTATATATCCGAGATCAGGCCTCGGGCTTATCCGAAGTAGCGGAGTTCAGACCTTTTCGTCATGGTCTCATGGACACTGGCAACACCAGCCAGTATGTAACTGCATCTGACAGGCTTAGCATCTTAGTTTCGATCTCTCAATCCACCACCGCAGTCCTTTAGTGACCAGGTCACTCAAGTTCACGCTACGAGGACAACACCAGCGCTTTTCTAATCGCCTTAGGGCGTTGCTGCCTAGCCTGGATAGTCTCCCTATAAGGAGATGTAAAGCGCGAGTCCTTCGTATTAAGAGGAATGATATCAACGCCGTCGCCAGAGGTGTGCCTTTTCGAAGAGTATTTGCTATGGTTTAACCAAGTCCAATGATTTGTCTCGGACGAACCGAGGCTCTTGAGCACTAATGCCGCAGAAGCTTGTCCCACTCGTCGTCGATGTCTTTGAACGGGTCATGGTTATGAAGTCCGCTTCTCTGGGCTGTTCCTGACAACCGAGGGTACCAACTTTGTATGAAACTCTTGTCAATCGCGTCATTTGTCCATCGCGTCATTTCTCCGCTACAATGTTCATGTCCCCCTGCTAAATCCCTTCTTACCCGCGATCGCCTAGGGATTGTTGTTCGTCTTTAACCATTTAAGGCGGTCATATTACAGCAATGCTCGTCAATGTATAGCGCTTAGCAGTCGCCGATCAGCGCTAGCTTTCGCTACCGGGTCAATATTTTCCACTTGTTGAACATTGATCAGTTGTTACAGGGACTAAATGATCTATCTGGACCTCATACTCTACTTATAACTGGCAGATACACACTGGAACTCGCATAATTCTGTCTCCTACAGGTATCCTCTACTCTTGTTGTCGTCGTTGCTCGTAACGCCAAATGAACGCCACAGAACTAAATAATCCCTATCCTGCGATAGATAAGAGTCAATGGCCATCTCTTCTAGCAGACTATGAAGGTGCAGAGCCTCTTCCGACTACGCTCAATCCCGACGGAAAATCCCTGTACAACCCACCCGGTCCCCGTTCGGCCGCCTACGAGGAATTCCCGAAACCAATTGATCCGTCTAAGAATGGTTTCGACTTCCACAGTGAGTGAGCCTGTCACATGTAATTGGTACCTCGATTTCACCACCAGTTACTAGTTTATCACATGCCCGGCGTGCCTGCTCAGGTGCAATATGCGAAAGAATTGCATGAGCGTATACGGAGGGAGTTTCCAGAGGTAAGTTTTTGTCTAGCGTTGTCCAGCAGTCGTTCATTTATTCACCGCGACATAGCTGCATATCCATAAATTCTATGATAAAGCAGTCGGTGCGCATCCGCTTTATCCCATAGATGCAGCAGTACAACGTGGTACTCACCCTTATTTATCCAAGGCCCCCACCCTACCGCGATGTTCGAGGTAGATACATTCAACCCCCACCAGACTGGAGCATTCTTTTCCTGGCTTGTAATCCATCGGGGGCCTTGCGAGTACGTATCCGAGTCATAAATATAATAATAGTGTTTTCAAATTAGCTCACTGACTTCTTCGAAGCGTCCTCGTCCACCCGAATATTGGAGATTTATACAGAGAGCACACGGAGTTGGCGACGTGGATGGGAAGGAGATGGCCCTTGGATGATGATCGTCTGAAGAATAGGACGAAAAAGTTCACACATTGAGGGCGTCATGCTGTACGGATTTTTTTTAACCCTCTATAGCGGTCCTATGTACAGCAAAAAAAAATTGCACTATTTATTCATTGCACTTGATGCGAACTCCGGAGTCGGAGCGTTAGCTATAGGGAATACATAGATCCGAACCGGCTCGCTTCCGAGATGGAACGACTTTCGGGAGGGTACATATGCCGTCACAGTCAGCCGTTTAGCCAATACAGCCCCATCTTTATCTTTCACCACCATCATCACCACCCACCATTATCATGGAATTTACTCCAAGACGTATACTAGATAATGCGCTCGACGCTGTAGGCAACACGCCTCTCATCCGGCTCGACAAGATTGCTGCAGAAGAAGGCCTCAAGTGTAATCTCCGTACGTGCGCTTCTAGCGAGTGGAGCCCGTTCAAAGTCTAACTTATGTGTCCCGTTTTGACCTAGTGGGTAAATTGGAGTTCGTGTCTGCAGGCGGGTCCGTCAAGGACAGAATCGCGAAAGCGATGGTTCTCGCCGCAGAGAAGGAGGGCAAACTTATTCCCGGCAAGAGCGTCGTCATTGAGCCCACGTCCGGCAACACCGGTAAGTTCCACAGCTCCCGAGTCCCCACGACTTCATGACAACTGACGCGGATACGCAGGAATCGGACTTGCGATGGCGTGTGCTATCAAGGTAAACACGCCATTGTCGGGTGCCTGGATGGTTACTGAATACTACAGATAAGGGATACTCTGTCGTGATAACCATGCCTAAGAAAATGTCGCTTGTGAGAACAGCAGTTTATCACACGCGTTTGTTCAGTCTGACATTGAAGGGGCATACTTTTTGGTTTTATAGGAGAAAGAGGCATTGTTACGTGCGCTTGGTGCACAGGTTATCCGTACGCCTGATGAGGAGCCTTGGGATTCGCCCAGGAGCCATATAGGTAGAGCACCCTACTGGCGTGATTAAACCCCTCGTGGCTGAATTCCTTAACGATCGTAGGTGTGGCATGCAAGCTTCAGCGAGAGATCGAGCATGGGATTATATTGGATCAGTATCGTAATGTGGGTTGGACTGGGCGAGCTGGAGTTTGTTTTGTGCTGATTGATTGTGTACTTAGGAGAACAACCCACTTGCTCATGAGTATACTACTGGACCAGAGATCATCGCTTCAGTAGTCTCAACGCCGTCGACGTCCTCGAGACCTTCATCAATGAAGGTGGACGCATTCGTTGCTGGCGCTGGCACTGGTGGTACCATCACAGGCGTCTCGCGTGCGCTCAAGAAGACACATAACGCAGACTGCACCGTCGTCGGTGTCGACCCAGTGGGTGAAGCTTTAATATGGCGTTCAGCCCTTTCTGACTTTGACTCAAGATCGGGAGCATTCTTGCTGTCCCGGACAATCTGAACTCAAGTGGGGAAGGAAGCCCATACGTGGTCGAGGGTATAGGCTACGATTTCATCCCTGATGTTCTGTCTCGGGATGTCGCGGACGTGAACCATTGGGTGAAGACGGCTGATGAGGATGCGTTCAAGGCTGTACAGGCTCTCATGAGGAAAGAGGGCTTGCTCGTTGGTGGTAGCAGCGGAAGTGCCCTTAGCGGAGCATTGACCTGGCTCAAGTCAGACCAGGGGCGAAGAGTCGCTGAGACAGAGGGATTGAATGTTGTCGTTCTGCTTCCGGACGGGTGAGTCGTTATCATTCGATTTGTTGCCTTGCCCTGCTGACGTCGTTTCGCTTAGCATTCGGAATTACATGAGCAAGGAGTGGTTCTTGAAGAATGCATTCCACACAGAACATTCAGACTTGGCAACCCGAATTGCGGGCATCCTGGCTCAGGAGGAGATAGTTCCTATTCAGCAAGCTAGTCTCCTCTAGTGCGGCCGCGCACTTGTTCTTTGACCGGAGTTTTCGGCGGATCGGGTTTTTTTTCAGCCACTTTTTACTTTAATCATTCACAATAAGCGCATAGTCTTGATGAATCACAGTACTGCCTTTTGCACAACTTTCCGCAGTTTGACTACGAAGCGCGGCAAAGCCATTTCCACATATATGTTGAAGGCACGACATGTTTTCAAGCTTCAAGGATGACTTGTGTCTGATCGATTCACGAACATGTCGATCTGGAGCTCATTTCCGTGCTGCTCTATGAATGACTAGAAGTTTGATGTCACGTTGTTTGGGGAATGTGAACCGATCAGTCTTTCTGTTCCGCCGGGATGTTCTTATGGCATCAACAAGAACGGTGCTGTACATGGGGGAATGACGCATCTACACAACCTTTGATATCTCTAAACCACAGCAATAGCTCTCGAAGGAACTTCAAACTTGGAAGCATATTCATCAAACAAAACTTCTTTAGCACTGATATCTGCAACCAAGGGATGGGAAGGGTGCTGGGTCGACAAGCGGCTGATGTGGCCCAAAGTCAAAAAGCGCTCGCAATCAGAGAGCAAAGAGACTTGCCTCCATAGTTCATCAGCTTCGCCCTTTTTGCTGCCACTCAAGCCGGCAGCTACGACCATAGCAGCGAGCATGTCGCTCGTTCCTTGCTCGCATTTGGCACGCGAGAGGATTGATTCTGCTTCTTCCAGATCGCTCTGGGCAGGAGAGAGTTCGCCACGGAGGATACGGACTACTGCTCTGCCGACGAGAAGAGCGGCAGAGGAGATGGAGGGGTTTGCTACTTGCTCGTTGTAGAAAGAGAGTGCGGGTGCGTATGGTTCACCTGTTATGGGAAAGACGTCAGGTATATCGTATGGTAAAGCTGTTGACGCACCGCTTGTGCCTTGTGAGCCTGTTACGAGGGAGATGGCTGATTCTGCTAGTTGTAGGACGAGTGAATCTGGGTTGGCTTTCAATGCAGGTGCAAGGACCTTCTGTGCGAGTGCTGGACGAGCTAATGAAAGGTATATCTGAGATAACAGCGCAGCTCTATCGATTAAAGATCAGTGAGATGATAAAGAAGAAAAGGTGATACTGACGGTTCATCGCCAGCTTTCCCTTCTCCGCCTAGGGTTTCGAGCGCTTCTTCTATTTCGCCCGCACGAACGAATGCAGTTCCTGCTAGTACTTTGACCATTTCTTTCTCCCATTCTTCAGAGTCTTCGTCATCTTCTGTCTCTACGCATAGGTCGCGGAGTGTTTCTAGGCCTTCTTCACCCCTTGCGAGTGCGGCGGCCGCTCGGAGGGCAACATTCTCCGTGTCACTAGGGACGAGGGCGAGTGCCGATGCGGTGTCCCCCAGGGCGAGGTGTGCGCGGACCTTGTAAAGAAGAGTTTGGGAGTAGTCGGAAGAAGAGGAGTCTGGAAGTGGGAGTGATATGAGGGCGGGGTATGCACCGAGGGTGAATTGCTGTTTGATGAAGTAAAGGTCTGAAGAAGTCATGCTGGTGTTGTGAGAAAGGATGCCAATTGATATTTTAGGCACAATGAATTGGATTCTGCTTAGCGTCTAGCTAATTGTGGTTGTGCGCAGAAGAAGGTAATTGTGAACTCTGTCTCCTGAATCCTAAACTAGATGGAAGGAGGTAAGTTGTTTCGACGGGGAATGGGTAAAAGGTATTACTTACTAGATACGTGTTAAAAGTCAAATCACGTGCTCACAGTCGCGTCAAGTCGCGTGCCCAATCAAGTCAAGGTTCGATGATCTTTTCTCACAATGTTGCTTCTAGGCGTTCATAGTAATCACGAGATCGAGGCGCTTGGCAGACAGCGATTATTGAAATGTGACATTGAGGCACTTGATCTATGGGTGTTCGGGGTCCACATGATAAATGAAAACCTTCCGCGACGGCGCGTACCAAGTTCGTCGTTTAACGCTGTCGCTCGTTGAGAGGAATACTTTCCTCGGGAATCGTAGTAGCCTATGTATGTTGAGGTTCGCGGAGATGTGCTTTCAAACGCCGGCACCGGTTTCGCATACCTCAAATCCCGTAAAGAAGCAATACAAAAATGGTGATATGTAAATGTAATTGATGTGGGCGCACCCACACGCTATTCGGTTCAAACTCGAACTGACATCCCGGTTCCTCTCCTCGGTACCAGTCCCCTACCTATAAGTATCCCCCAAATGTAAGGCGCTCAACCTCAAGGTCCGAACCATCTTCCTTGCCATCTGCCATGACCCTCAACAGATCCTTCTCCTCGCGTTTTTCGCCCAAGAGCCAGGCCGTAAGTGTTTAGAACTCTCTATACAATCTAGTACTTACATTCCATAGAATGGTTCAATACCATCCTCACTTGCCGATGTCACTCCTTCCTCGAGCGACTCGGGCACTGTGAAAGCCTTGGCGCACATCAAGGACCTCGTATGCCAATCCTTTACAAGTCTTCAACCACTCTTAACAACTATCTTGTGTAGATGAAACGCCCCGTCGAAGAAATCAACGAGTCGATGCTAGTCAGTTCTGTCGACCTTGCCTTTCCCACACAATTTAACCTTTTCTTCTAGTCTGCTACTCTTGATCTCATCGCCCATTCAGGCGCAACTGATGACCGCAAGATGCTTGTAAGTTCACAATTCACCCCCAGCACAGAGCTTCCTAATCATTGTCTGTCAAGTTGGAACACTTGTTGTCCTTCATGGCCAATCACCCTTCAGGCAAGATTTCAAATATGGCTCGCACTTTCACCATCAAGACCCGTAAGTAGTGTTTTACTTGGCATTGAGCCAAGACTCTTAACTATGCTCTAGTGTATAACGACCTCGCCCACCCCCCTGCCACATACATTGGGCCCGAGTTTCAGTTCCGCGCAGCTGATGGTTCAGGCAACAACCCTGATGCTCCCAACCTCGGAAAAGCTGGTACACCTTATGCACGGTCCGTTCAAGGAGCAAACCCCTTACCACGCAACCAAATGCCCGATGCCGGTCTCGTCTTTGATACCCTGCTCCGCAGAGAGAAGGTACTTGTCTCATAACATTCCCTTCAACCTCTTACCCAACTTGATTTCTAGTTCACCGAGCACCCCCAGGGTTTGTCCGCCCTGATGTTCTCCTTTGCAGCACTTGTCATTCACAGTGTATTCCGCTCGGACCACACTCCCGGCAGGCAACATATCAACATGACTTCGGGTTACGTTGACCTAGCCCCCTTGTACGGAAATGATCAAGCAACGCAAGACAAGGTTAGGAACAAGGACGGACGCGGTTTGCTTCACCCAGATGTGTTTGCTGAGGATCGTCTCCTTTTCCTTCCTCCCTCGGTTAGCGTGCTTTTGGTCTTGTTCAACAGAAACCACAACGTATGTCACTTGATTGTTTCCACGGTTATTGATTCAAGCCATTCGATCACAGTACATTGCCCGTCGGTTACTCGAGATCAATGAACGCGGTACCTGGAAAGATCCTGCCCACCACAACCACGTCAGCCACGCTCAACTCGCGAAGCAAGATGAGGAAATCTTCCAAATCGCCCGCCTGTGCAACTGTGGATGGTTCGCGGCTGTTGTTTTCTCCGACTACTTCTCTGCCATTTTGGGCCTTGTCCGAAAAGGGTCGAGCTGGAGTCTGGAGCCGTTCGATGAACTTCGTGATGAGGATCACGCAATCTTCGAGCGTGGCCGTGGTAATGCTTGCAGTGTTGAATTCAACTGCTTGTATAGATGGCACGCGACAACCTCCGTCGAGGATGAGGAGTGGATCACTCTCCAATTCAAGGAGCTTTTCCCTGATAAGCAACCTGAGGATATCACCTTGAGGGACTTTTATAGCAAGGAAGCGGTGCTCGTGAAGAACGAACCTGATCTTGAGCACTGGACGTTCGGGAGGTGAGTAATCTCGAGACCCACGGCTGGTGCTACTGCTCAAATCCTCGTGCAGCCTTCAGCGTGAAACCGAAGGTCCCAACAAGGGGTCATTCAAGGACACTGATCTTGCGAATTGGCTCATGGGCGCGTTCGTGACCAATCACATCTTATCTTGTGCTAGAATTGACGTATTCTCTCAGGACTAACCATCGTGCTGCTAGCTTTGGTGCTCGTAGCACGCCCCCGATCATGCGTCTGCATGAGATTATGGGTATCGAGGCTAACCGAGCATGGGGCGTTTGCTCGCTCAATGACTTCAGGAAGTTCCTCGGCTTGAAGAGTGAGTGAGCTGCCCAAGCCATCTGTCCTGCGTGCTTAGTGTCGTGCAGCATATACCAGTTTCTTGGAATGGAACCCCAACCCCGAAGTTGCTGACGCCGCTGAAAAGCTGTATGGTCACATTGACAACTTGGAGTTGTACGTCGGTCTCCAGGCCGAGGAGACCAAGCCTCTTATCGAGGGTGCAGGTCTCTGCCCAGGTAAGACCCTTTCATTCAGACCCTACTGATGAAGACTTACGTGCTTGATCACCAGGTTACACCATTTCCCGTGCCATTCTCTCGGATGCCTTCGCCCTGACTCGTGGTGACCGATTCTTCACGCAGGACTTCACGCCTTACAATTTGACCGCCTGGGGTTTTGCCGATTGCCAGCGGGACCCTGAAGCTTATGGTTTCGGTTCTACTCTCGGTCGTCTCTTCCTTCGCACGTTGCCCAACGACTACACCAAAGACAGCATCTACACATGGTTCCCTCTCGTACACCCAGACTCAATGGAAGGTTACCTGAAGAACCTTAACAAGCTCGATGAATACTCTCTTGAGCGGCCAAAGCCAAGCGGGCCTGCTACCACGGTCAACAATTACGTGGAAGTCGGCCAGGTGCTTCGCAGCACTGACAAATACGTACCCGAATACGTCGACCGCGCAGCAGAGGTCCTGAAGGGCAAAGGGTGCGCTAGGCAATATTCCTACTTGGGTTAGCGCTAACCAACGATAAATAGGTTCTTTACGGCATCTGCAAACGGCGTTGAGGAGCAAAAGCGGTTCATCAATGCGCTTGCTCCAACACCTGAAGCTATATCGGCGATCGGGACCTACTTCAACAACAAGACGAAGGAACTTATCGAGCAGCATTCGTTCTCTTTGATCGGCAAGAACGTTCGTGCTGTTAACATCGTACGCGATGTGCTGAAATCCGTGCCGTTGCATTGGGCTGCTACGGAAATTGTATGTTGATGTTGGACCGACGATCCAGGGTATTAACTCATTATGATCGTAGGCTGGCATCCCCCTCAAGACGAAGCAGCATCCTCATGGTGTATACACCGAGTCCCAGTTGTTTGATATGCTTGCGGAGATTTACCAGTCAGTCTTGACATGCTTTTTCCCTCCTGTTGATCGCTGATGTTCTCCCAAGATTCGTCTTCCTTGAGGTTGAGGCAGCGAACTATATGCCCTTGAGGCAGAAGGTGAAGGAGCATGTGCACGAGCTGACGCACCTGATCAAGAGTGCCCTTGGTAGTGCTGGGAGCAAACTGCCTTTCGCTAACCTGATCGGCACGATGTCTGGTATCTTCGGCAAGAAGAAGAACCACAATGAGATTGTGAAACGCCTGTTTGAGTTTGGTTATTCTTCCGAGCACGTCGTGAACTCTATTCTCGCGTTCTTGGTCGGCGCAACTGTTGAGATGACTCTTGGTATGTTTGTTCTGTTGCTTGTCACCGAGCGAATCTCAGATGTGACTGTTATAGCTTTGACGAACGTCGTCAACCTGCTCCTTCACAAGGAGTATGATTCGGAGGTCACCATTGAAGCGGATAAGAAAGTGGATGCCAAAAGCCTTGCTAGTCTGACTGCTTATATTACTGATGCACTCAGTATGTTTTCTGGTTTGGCTGATTGACTCATCTTCTGATGTCCGGCTTAGGAATCGACCCACCTTTCGCTGGTGTCTACCGTGTCGCTAAGCAAGATGAAACCATAGAGTCGTTGAACGTCAAGCAAGGTCAACGCCTCTTCCTGCACATCGCCACTGCAAACATGAACGAGGACGCATTCCCCAACCCTCGAATCTTGGATACCACCCGTACTCCCCGCGAGCGATACCTCCAAGGTGACGGATGCTTCAAAGTCCTCGGTGACGATCTTGCAAACACGATCATGGCTGAAGTCCTGCGCGCCGTTCTATCCCTCGGCAATGTCCGTCGCGGACCTGGTCAATCAGGGAAACTTGCTCGTTTCCCGGATACGGCGCTCCCTGTGCTGCATTATGCGTATTTGAATGAGAAGATGCTGCAGAGCCCGTGGCCGACGTCGATGGTTGTTAATTATGATGTTTCTGCGTGAGGTTGTTGGTTTTGGTTTTGGTTTTGGATGATATCAAAATGTTGTGGTGTTTATCGCATTCTATATGTTATACTAATGTTCTTGATTTACTGCTGTTCTGTTCGTGTTGTGATGTTGAGCTTGAGGTGTTCTTGGAGCTTGGAGTTTAAAAATATTAAGCTTGACCAACCGATGACGACGTCGCCTTCCAAGTGCTTAGTAATTGCGTCGCAAGCTCGTGCACCCGGTAGTTCACCTTGGTTCACTTCGGACGGTCCTTGGTTCGTGCTGTTCCAGCCCAGCTGGCCTGTTGTGATATCTTGTCCTTGGCTACAGAGTGTGTAGAACTGGGGCGACATGCAGGCACCTCCGCTAATCATGAACAATGACATGTGATGTCTGGCCAATCTTAGGCTGCTCCAAACTTGCCCAGTACTTGCCAATATTAGCCTATGCTCATAGTAAGTCGAGTTGATGCAACAGCTATCTTCATTCGTTTATGGTCAGTCTAGGCTCGGGGGAGACTAGCCTCATAATGTGAGGTTCGTTGTTCAAACGTTCATATCTTCGAAATTCCAATATCGTCGACTTTTCCAAGCCCGAAGGCCATACTATGTCTAACCGAGTTTTATTCGCAGAACCGTGGCACCAGTACTTAGGCTCGTGTGACCAGCCTGACGGCCCTGGCTTATGCACCAGGGACAATTGGCGAAGCCAGTGCTAGTGTTCGGGATTTACCTAACGCCCGTCCCTTGGCCCCCTGCAAATGATCTCCGACTTTGGCCCTCGTTCTTCTACCAGAGAGATCAATGACAGCTCGGCCAGGAGAATTCGACCACAATGATGCTCGCCGTTTCAAGCACACACGCATCGGTATATGGGATCTCTATGAGGGACGCAAATCAGATTTGCCACGCGTACCAGCTTCATCAATATCGAAGACATATGCGCAGATAATCGAAAGCGCGCCGTATTTAGTTCGCATGTTGAAGGATGTACTCAGCATCAGAGGATGCTCCGTGCTTTTTCCCGCATACCTGGTAGTGGAAGTTTTAACTTCCCTCATACCCGCTGTTTCCCTGTGGTACGTCACAGCGTTGAGGGCGACTTCCCTGTACATTCCTAACGTCATTGCGCAGGTACTCTGGACAATTGCTTCGCCTTGTAATGCCCTTTCTGCTTTAATCTGCACTCCCAACTTATTTCGCACTAGGTCGAGAGCGCAATGGAGACACGTACTGTGGACACAACGGTGCTCGTCCATTTTGCAGTAGGAAATCTTATATGCACGGCCGCTACGCGCTTTCTCAGATATTCCCGAACCTGCATAACCCCCCCTCTAATATTGTACATCAAACAATTTTACAACGATCGCGCATTTCACTCGGCCGTCCACCTCGACTTGCCCGCATTTTCAGCTCTTGATGGCTCGAGCATGCGGCAGGGGCTCTTGTTGGGTCACGTGTCCGACGCTTGGGATACCATCCATGTGTCAATGGATATCGCAATGATGATCATTCGTCTGCTCTCTCAGCTGTTGGTTCTGATTACAGTGATGTGGGAACAACAGGATGGTCCACTTCTTGTGATTCTCAGCTTTTTGCAATATATATTGCCCTGGGATAGCGCGGGAAAAGGGGTGGTCAGATCCATGGGTAGGTCAACAGCCGATATTCTAAATTTTGTCTAAGTCGGAGATGTAGTTTGGGCCGCGACAACGACCAATGAGGATTTTGTTCGCATGAAGGGCCTGGGGAGGCTTGTTTTTGGGAAGAACCACCGCCAGGAGCTTGTCGCAGGCAACCTCAGCGAATACATCAGTGCACGTATGTGTACGCGCCTTGCCGGACAATTTTATACTGACTGTGCCGAGACCAGAATTTTGCGAATCCGCTGAGCGCGTCGGCAATGATGCGGCTGATTTCCTAGAGTTGAAAAGATTTCGTTCTTTCAAGGACTGTCTGAGCATCGCGTTCATCCTCCAAGAAGTAATGTATTTGCTACCTCAGGTACCCAAAGTTGATCTTGGAGTTGACGAAGCTGACTAAATCAATAAGATCGCCGTCACCTTGCGCGTCGTGAAAAATCCAATGACCACTCCCCTCTCCCTGGCATCACTCGTACTGATCAAGCAAGCCTTTAATCCTTTCAGTGACGCCATATTCTCATTATTCGACGCATCCTACCTTAAGGCCGTACTATCCAGAATACGCGTGTTATATGAGCTAGAGAACATACGGAATGGGATGGTGGACGGCACGGAACCGTTCCCCGAGAACCAACAGTCTCTCAGGAGCGGTATTTCTATTGAGTTCAAGTTGATTGGTATTCGTTGCTTTATACAGTCGTTTCTGATGCATATGTCAGGAATGTTTCGTTCCGGTACCCTGGTATGGACAGGTGTGCTCTGCGGGATGTATCGTTCAGGATTGAGGCTGGTCAGCTTTGCGTAAGTATCTCCGCTTTTGTGGTGCTCTCTAACCGCGTTAGCAGGTCGTTGTTGGGGTGAATGGCTCTGGAAAGAGTACGATCTTGAAACTGATATCCCGCATCTACGACCCAACAGAGGGCACCATCCTCATCGACGACCGCGATATCAAGACCTTTAGACTTGCTGACCTCCGTGCTGCTATGTCCATCCTTTTCCAAGACTACACCCAATTCCCCCTCTCCGTAAGCCGTCCTCGTGCACTACAAAAGCAACGCATCTAACGCACACGCAGATGCGCGAAAACATCGGGCTTGGCAACCCCGCCCTTGCACATGATGGCAACAAAGTTCGCGAAGCCGCTCGTCTCGGCGGCGCAGAAGACTTCATCGACGAGCTCCCTGAAGGATTCGATACTTATTCCCAGCGCTTCACAATGGATTATTATGGAGACCTCCCTGAAGGCACCACGACGCTCTTCGGGCAGCCCGTCGACTTCTCAGACTGCTGTCGCATCGACGATGCACATCAATCCGGATATCTAGAATTCCGGCTCAGTCGCGGGCAGGAGCAGCGGCTTGCAATGTGCGTGACCGTACCTTGACTTCTTGAGTGTCGGTGTTGACTGTTCGAATAGCTCCCGCACATTCATGCGTTCATTGGTCTCCGAAACAGAGCCTTCCGCTGGCATGCTGTTGTTCGACGAGCCGAGTGCCTCCCTGGATCCTACGGCTGAATACGGTGCGCTGCCGTGTTTGTTCAGGATACCAATAAGGTTATTGTAACTGGTGGAAATAGATCTCTTCGAGCGTCTACGGAAGTTGAGGGGCAACAAGACCATGATATTCTCCACTCACCGGTTTGGGAATCTCACCCAACATGCGGATCTCATTTTGTGAGTTTCTGTTTTCTCGAACGTCGATGCTCGCTGATGTGGTCATCGCAGGTGCATCGACGAAACTGTCCAGGAAGAAGGGACGCACGATGAACTAATGAAGAAAGGGGGGGAGTATTCTCGTATTTGGGGTCTACAAGCGAAACCTTTCATTTAACGACCAGATACCGAGAACCAGCAACAATAACCCTGATTATTATGTACCACTTATCCTCACGCTTGCAGCACTGTGCAGTTATGTGATAAGAACTAGTCAGGTAACTATATATACAAAAACGCAAAGTGATGGCCTTGATAATGATTGGGAATCCGTTTGTTCAAAGTGAACCCAGGGTCCTAGACGTGTGCTGCTGCTTCAGAAATGCCAAGTACTTAGTTGAACTTGAGCTTCCGTTACCGACGGGTAGTATACTATTAGTTACCACAAGTTCGTGCATCCCCAGATCTCGTGCATCGCTCAAAACAACACTTTTCTACTACAAATCTTCGAACTAATACATGCATATGGAATGATAAATTTTTAGAACGCCCTACGAGCTTTAACGGATGTGATCTAATAAGAAACAAAAGAGATAAATTTTTGGTGGTGACAACGGTTTGTGTCACTCTCAATGTCACGCACGAGTGCTGGACTTTTGAAAATGGCCTGTGTGACGATACTGTGACTCCGTTACATTTGTGTGACTGCACGAGATGCGGTGTGCACGAACTTGTGGTAACTAATAGTACTTGGTGCCGTGCATGCGTCAGCTTTTGCGACTGTGGCGCAGCACCAACTGCCGCCGGCCGGTGACGCGGTCTTGACACCCACGGCGTAGACGATACTAAGCTCATTCCGCATGGCATGAGGTCCACGTATTTATAAGTCTCCATTCCCTTGCTGTTGTCTTACTGTATTTCTCTTGCTGTATATCAAGCCACTAAACCCGGGACCGCATCGCCTAACCGTTCCAACTACCCGGTCATGCCAGACGTCCATCTGCTTGTCCTTATCCATGGAATGTGGGGAAATCCCTCTCACCTTGCTCATGCGAAAAAAATCATCCAAGAGGTGAAGGGCGAAGTCGAAGACAGCAACATCAAGCTTGAAGTTCTTGTCGCTGAGACCAATAAGGATGAATCCACATATGACGGAATCGACTGGGGAGGTGAAAGAGTGGCCGAAGAGGTAATTCTATTTAATACCGTCAACCATTATGAGCATTCTCAGCGCACATAAGCCAGATTCGACAGAAAACCGCGGACCTGGAGAAGGAAGGTCGGAAGGTGACTCGCTTCTCGGTCACCGGTTATAGTCTTGGCGGCCTGGTTGCCCGCTATGTCATTGGGTGCGTGTGGGAGTCCCCGCTCTCGTTGATGGTTTAACGAGGAAACCCAGTGTCCTTCACCAGTCGAAGTTTTTCGAGACGGTGCAACCAGTGAATTTTAACACGTTGACTACCCCACACATCGGCATACCCAGGTTCTCTTCAACATTCTCCTCGATATCCGCATTTCTGGGACCAAAGCTTCTTTCCCGTTCGGGCGAGCAGTTCTTCTGCGTCGATAAATGGTCTCCACGAGGAAGGCCACTTATAGAGGTGCTTGCTGATCCTGATCGCATCTTTTATCAAGCATTGCTATTATTTCCCAATATTAGAATTTATGCCAATGCGTAAGTCCAAACAGTCGCGCATTTGTCTGCTTTCCCTGATTGTGACATCAGCATCAATGACTTGACTGTACCATACGTCACTTCCAGCATCAGCGCCGAAGACCCCTTCGGCGAGTACGAGAAGAACGGGATCAAAATGCAAGTGTCTGCTTCGTGTTGCACGAGTTGATTTTGACCGTGTTTTAGTGATTTTGACGAGAAGTACAAAAACGTCATCAAATCTTATTCGGTGCCTCCTTTATCGTCTGTGACCGCGGCAGAGCCGCGAAGCTGGTTTTCGACTATCCGTAACTCGCGCCCGTTATTACCTCCCCTTTTCCAAAGAAACTTTCCTTTGAACTTGGTATGTAAATATTTTCTGAACTCGCTGCATCATCTCATAGCAACGACATAGGCCATCTATACCCTCCTACCAATCCTCTTCCCGACGTTTATCTGCCTTGCTCTCATCCGCCTATCGTTTCAGTCGCACCAGTCTCGTGGTCGACTAAGGCACCTTGAAGCGGATTCAGCCCGAGACAAACTTATTCACATCATCGGGAAACTGGAGAGCGAGCTTGAAAGCGTCGCAGTTGATTTATACGATGATCCCGCTGGCACTCCCATCGCTGCATCGCCGATACCTGATACTGACCCTGCTGATAAGACCAACTCCGCTGCGCCTACGAAAGGAAAAGAAAAGAAGTCACGATCAAAGCCGCCTCCATACCAACCTTTGTTGACACCCGGTCAACTTCAGTGCATAGAGACTCTCAACAAGATACCGCAGTTGAAGAAAGAGCGAGCTTTCTTTGAGGGTGTACGCAATTCTCATGCAATAATAGTCTGTCGTGACCCCAAGTTGTTCAAGCATCATTTAGAGGGCGAGGGCGTGTTACGACATTGGGCGGATCACTTCGAGCTGTAGCTTTTATTGTGTTCTCGTTGTATTGGTTACTTATAAGTTACAGGTAGAGGGCATTTACAGAGACAATACTATCGACTTAATAGATTTACGCTCGTGATGGTGCGTCACAGCATGCTGTTGTTCGGGAGCTTTTAATTTTATAATTCTTTGTCTTGTGACTTGCGGTTGTCTGGCACTGTCGAATCTCGACAATAAGTCGTCGCATAGCGATCATGAAAGGGCTTTCAGCGTCGGTTTTCTCGCGTCTTTGTTTTGCATGGGCTTATAATCCACGCGACTCGCCATCCTTTGGTCTACTTTGGTTCTCCTGAAATCTTGTTTGACCAATATGCCCGCCATTCGACGCGGGAGTACATACCTCGATGTCTCCACGACAGCACACACGCCTGAGGGGCGTCTGAAACTCGATAAACTTCATGCTGGTCGCAACCTTGCGTATCAGAATGGTGAGTGTCATTTTTACTTTGACCTTGACATGTCGTGAATGTCTGCCATATAGCTGTCTGTACTGCTTTGCTATTCATTTGCGATGAAAATCGCGACCTTGGTCCCGCGGATACCTTGAGCGTATCCTTTAAAGATTTCCAGACTACAAGTTCGTCTGTTAATTTCTGTTCATGTGTTCACATCGTCTCATTGTGGTCCAGTGAGAGGTCGGGCAAGCGCTGCTGATATGAAGATGGGCTCTGGGAAGCATCCTCACTTGCGGCGGCTGCTCTCATTCTTTGTAAGATGTCTCCCGGTCGTGTGAGACTTGTATTAGTACTGAATACGCACGTCCTACTTTCACAGTGGGAGCATGGGCACATCGACTTGACCTTTGCTCACAATGGCCGTCAGCGAAACGTGGTCCAAGAGATCGATATTCAACCAAGTTTTCGGGAAATGCAAGTGCTCGCATATAGTCAGCCAAAGATATGCACTCATCCAGTCTTCTGCTCTGTCACAGATATCGCGGCTTTCAGGAAGTCCTGGACGGGTATGGAACATTATCAGCACGGGAGAAATACCGTGCATATATGTCGCTTGCAACCAAGGTATTTGGCAAGGACCGAACACCGACTGTGCTTGAGGTAGGGCGAGTATGACATCTTTTGTGGGGTTTCCTGACACGTATTACGAGAGGCGGCTAGATGTGCTTTCCAATATTCCAGAAAATATCAGGATTTGGCATCCTCTTTGCATCGAGGAAGAGATGCCGATGATAGTCAGGTAAATACCGTCGCGGACAACGAAGTTAATGAAAGTGATGACTCGATGGACTCAATGTCAGTAAGCATTTTATATGTTATTGGGTATCGTGTTTATTGTATACAGGCAGTCCGAGGAACCCCTTGACTATCAGGTCGTTCCCTTCACTCCGTGAGTGCAATTCCGCTCGCTCATACACTGTACTGATATTCAACGGCAGCGCTCGCGCGCTGAGCTATAGCCACAGTCATCAAGACATTGGCCTCCCCACACCCGAGTCAATGCCTCGGCGACATGTAGCCTTGTTACCACCTACATCCCCAGCATCATCCTCCGAGGTCATATCTTCTGGTAATGATGCTCACAGTCATTCTGATAGGCAGAACCCTCAGGCGTCTGGCTCGCGTTTCGGCTACATTTCTGTCGTCGCTGGCTATGCTGCAGGTTTCGTGCAAGGTTTTAGATCGTCATCTCGCATGTTCCTCCCAGAGGTAGGGCGGTTTCGTTTCTCGACTACGGTGGTAAAGTTTGATAAATGGCGCAGATATCTTTGCTGCAAACACAAGTCACAGATCTGCAAACGTCCTTGACCGCTGCAGAAGAGCATCTTCATGCGGCAAACAGGACCACCCACGCGTCGCAAGAGCGATGCTTAGCTATGCTTGAAGATCTTAAAAATGCTCGCATCAACATCACCGACCTCGAAAATCGTGCTTCAAGTGATGCAGTTGAAAAGGACAAGTTGCAACAAGAAGTTGGTCAGCTCAAAGCAGAGGTGACACGGCTGCAAAGCGGTGTGGAATACATAACTCAGTTTGCACGAGGGGTAGGTTTGTCCATTGTTTTTCACCTGCTGCACACTTACCCCCTTCTCCGGATCTGTAGTTGATGCCGCTGTAATTCTTGATCTCGGACACAAGTTTTTCCGTATTTCACTTGACGAGCAATCGCACGTAATTCATCGCATTTGTGATATGTACTACTAGTTCTAGAGCGGTGAATGCTATGTTGATATCCTGGCTGTTCCAAAAGCGCACTAGCTTCGCAGCATCTACTAGAGTCTAGAGACTTCTTGGTCTATTTCATTGGATACATTGTATTAATAATTAAGAGGTAGCATACTGTTAAAAGTAATCCGACCCAGAGTCCCGGTGAATACTATAGTGCTACATCGATAGTGGAATAATGCGTCAGACAAAAAAATGAATGTGTGCGAGTCAGCGGGCCGACATTGCTAATATCCGTGCATGCGCCTGCGCAAAGTTGTGATAACATAGATGCTTCCTCTCGGAACTATTCAGACCAGCATTGCACTGCGACGGCGAGAGGTGACAAGGATGAAATCCTTGGGAAGAAAAGAAGCGCGTTGATGTTTGCGGGTGACACGGGTGACGCGCTTCCATGCACGAACGACCTGGCGTTCAATAAATTTAGTGCACGAGATGCGTGTGTTTCTCCTATGATCAGGGAAAAAGAAGATCAGTGAAAACTTTTGGCTGTCGTAAACCGTCCCTTACATGGGCTTAGATTCAACGATCCAGGGCTCGGAAGTGAGGAATGCATGGTGGGGGACAGCGCGGCTTGTCATGTTGGATGTCGCGACGAGTGTGAATGTCGGGTGGGTAGTGAGTGAGGGATCACAAGTAGCCGTCTCAGAAAAAAGATTTGACCAGCTGCCGCTAGAGTTAGAATTTTGTTAGGACTTAGGGAGCACTCAAGGTTTTATACGGGCTACCAGTCGGACGAGTTCCACAACAATTGGGCGATGCTGTCATGTTACGCGGAACAAAAGATGTATATTGTCCTGACACCCACAGTTGCTGCTGGCACCACGAAGATGTTGGCTTCGAGAACAAAAGGATAGAATGAGCGACAACAACACTTGCCTTATTTGGACGAAGCTCATTGTTTTGCTGCTTTAGCTTGCAACTGTTTGTGTCGTTCAATACCGCCACAGCCCACAATCCTGCGGTCACTGCAGGGCCACGCATGTCATCTCCACGCTTAGGCACGCTAGGTTCGTTCATTGCACGATCGACGTCAATCCCCCTACTCACAAATGAATTGATTTCCAAAGCCAATAGCGTTCTATGTTCCTTTCTCTGACCGGATTTTTCAAACTCATGGCCAACAACCACTGGTGGTCTGGACGTGTTGCGGCGCTGTACGGGTTGCTATTGAGCTTCGCCGAGGAAATGTGTTCTCTCGTTATGTTATAAACGCGGATGACCGGCTTTAAATCCTTCGCTCCAAATGGTCTCGAACTGGGTGTCGGGGCTGGGCCCCGCGTCATCGTCCGTTTCGCATCACACTTACGAGACTAGGATCACCAGCTCCATCCCAATAGCAAGATCACACGTTTTTTCTTGTTCTAGTACAGTTCAAGGGTGGAGCCGTTCTTGTTTTGAGTGGCAGATTCTCCGTCACGCAATGCACAGAAGATGATACCTAATCACCAGTGCCCTACAGCAATAACCCGAATACAGCTCTAGGCTATCCTTGACCAATGCCTTTGACCGCTATGGACAGTGCGCACTTTCTTATCTGCATTCACCTACCAGGGCCGATCGTTTTTGATGGGGTGACGCACGGCCATGCATTGAAGTGCCTTGACCGCAACCGCTATGAAGGCCGCCTAGCCCCTGAAGAAGGAAGAGTCGGATCAAGATCGCTTGCAGCCAACTTGTTGTTTCAGTTCCTGGAATTAGGTTTATGTGAAATCCATCAGTAGTGCGGAAGATTTCTCATTTGGAAACAGTTCGGACATTTGATCGTTCGCAGTCCTGCTTCAAGCTCTGTGGGTGCGGTTGTTGGAGCGTACGGTCGCATTTTCACTGGTAATGTGCGGTATAGGCGACGGCTCGTCGTGCTATGGTGTACCGATTAATCACTTTATGTAGTAGAATCCCCCCTATCAGTTCATGTAGTCTAATTTGAAAATGACCGCAAAAATTTCAACCCATTGATTTTCCGTTGATGTTGGATTCAACTTGTTATCTCAGTCGCATCTGTCGAGCTAGTTATCTTCTCAGATGCAGCCAGCGAACTCAAGATGCCGTTCCTGGTTCAGATTCACATTACGGCCAGCGGCAGGAAGCAGTATGTAACGCTTTTTGGCGCTGCCTTGTTGTTTCCGCGCGGTGGCAATTAATTGACGCTTAAGTCGACGGCCGTGAGTGCTGTTTATAGGTAGGCAACACTGAGGTCAGCTTGTGGTTGGACCACGGCCTTCAAACTCGTACCAATACTAGTAGGTCCCTGCACCCAGTTCCCCCCTTTTTATATCGACTGTTCACAATCGCAGTAGTCCAATACCCAAAGGATTGCCTCCCGCAGTGTACTTCAAGCTCACTGTTCGGCACTCGTTCTGCTTGTCATTCATCGTGGACCTACTACGTTCGACAACACTCTGTTGATAACGATACCGGGACTGTAATTATCATGCCATCAGGTACTCAATCTACAGCTTACAAGAAGCCTGCTGCGTCCGCATCTTCGAAGGATTCATTTTTGAAGACGCCACATGCCACTGACCAGCAGGTTACACCACGCGTTCATTCCTCTATTTCTTCCAAAGAGAATGTAGGCAGTGCCAGCCCATCGATTTCAACGTCTTCCACTGCATCTCCGAGACTCGACCAGCGTGAAGCATCTGCGGGCACATCCACACTCCTTCCACAAAATCATTCCAGGCGCAGCAGCCTCCGGTGTCGCTCTCAATCTAAGGATCACTCTTCATTTGTGGGGTCTTCTGAGATCAAACGTGTCAACAAATCCAACCAGAGCTTCTTGACCGGGTTCTTTCGCAAGCTAATCTGCTGCGTCGGCCCCAATACCCGAGCTCATGACATTGATGTTGATGGCGTGGCAAGTATTGGGTCAGGTCCTACTTTGCGGACCCACAAGACCGCGGACAATGATATGAAGGAATTTTCTGAAAAGGTACCGGAAGAAACTAGCCTTGCACTAGTAGCTCCGGTGCCACCCTCAAAGGAGCATGGCCAACCTGTTGCGCCTCCTAAAGACGTGCTACCTATCGCGGAGACTGGGGGCGCCACCAGTGGGGCAGTGCAGCCGCCGGGTTCTTCTGTTCCTGGCCAGGTATTGAAAACATCTTCAAGTCGCCCGTCCGAACATGGTATCGAGTCAGATGACTTTCCGATTGATGAGCTAAGCGAGGAAGACGAGATGTTGATCAAGAATGGGGGTGCGGGCATTCCCATTGGCTCTGTGAGTAGATCCCTTGGTTCGATGAAACTATTTCTAACTTGAAATTTTACAGGACGGGAAGCCATGTCCGCTTTTGCCACCTATCGCGCCTGAACATACTGGCAAGAAGTGTCTAGTCCTGGACCTGGACGAGACCCTCGTTCATAGTAATTTCAGGGTACATTTTACACTTCGACTCTAGGCCTGTTTTTTGACTTGCCCCGCTGCCAGGCTATACCAGATCCAGACTTTATCGTTCCTGTCGAAATCGAACACCACTGGCACAACATGTACGTACAGAAGCGTCCAGGAGTGGACGAGTTTCTTCGGCAGATGGGCCAGATGTACGAAGTGGTAGTGTATACCGCAAGTCTGGGTTCTGTACGTTTATCACAGGCGGCCGGGTGTAGTATTCAACTGATGGCTTTCTTAACCTTATTTTGACTGCATTTAGTATGCGGATCCGGTGATGGACTATCTTGACATCAACAAAACGGTTTCGCATAGGCTCTTCCGAGAAAGCTGTTTCCGATACAGAGGAAATTATGTCAAGGTTCGTTTGTTCCCACGAGACAAGGTTCCACATCTGATTATGCTGGTTTCCAGGACTTGTCGCAGCTTGGACGTCCCATGGCAGATACCATCATCATCGACAATTCGCCGGCGTCATATATCTTCCACCCCACGAATGCCGTGCCTATTTCCTCATGGTTTAACGATCCTCATGATACTGAATTGATAGACATCTGTCCCCTTCTTGCTGACCTCCATGACACGAAAGATGTACGGAGCGCGTTGAACACTTGTATGTGAAGCCCAGTTTTATTTATCGCTGACCTGGGGTGTGCTGGCAGTATTTATGGGACACTGGTGTTGTAAACGTTTATGACCTAAATGACGAGACATGACATGTGTATGGATAGATGTAGACTCGCAGAGTTGAGAATACATTGTCATAGCAAGTACGACAAGTAATATGACACCCCATTGTTATATAGAAAATATTGCGTACCGAGAGGTATACAGCACCTACACATGTTTGTTGGGGTTCAAAGCAAGCACAATTCGTGAAGTAAGTATCATGGGGACAGTTGTGCGAAAGCGAAGAACGGAAAAATCCTAGCTGCTAAACGGCTGAAATCGTACCCATCTAATATACGTGCGATCCTCAGTAGTAGTTTCCATCATCGTAGAAGTTTCCATCATCGTAGAAACTGTAATCATCATCATCATTTTCCAACGAGTCATAGTCATATTCGAAGTCGTAATTTTCGTAACGTTCGTATTCATCCCAGACAACGTCAACAACCACTTCTCGCAACCACTGCACGTCACGGGCACTGATACCCGTACATGCAGTGATCGCAAGGTGGTCTAGCCCCCGACCTTCGTTAACACGATCGATGAGCACGTCAAGGAGGTCAAGAGACTCCGAAGGGTCGAACTCCTGGTTGTCAAGGACAAGATGGGAGAGTGCTGGAGAAAAAATGGGTCCCTGTTGTGAACGCCCGCCTATGTACGGCGATACGCTGTGCTTCCGTGAACGCAAAGATTTGAGAAGATCTCTGAGAGCCTGGGGTGGTCCTCGCAAGTTGATGTAGGTAAGATTACGAGCGGCGCCGCGGCCAAGAAGATCATTCCAGAAACCATCCCAACAAACAAAGAAACCTTCGATGCACAAGGCCTCGAGATTCCCAAGAGGGACAAGCTGCCACAAGTCGCTAAGGATTGCCGTACTCATTTCATCGGGAAAGTCGAAGTCAAGAACGACAGGGCGTTCTGCCGCCCACTCCGAATCCAGACGAGTATCAGTCATTGACCCCGCCCACGAAGCAGGGTTCCGGATCGTGCTATATTGCACATGAATGCGACCGACGGCAAAAAGCCGCATGGAACGCAGGACTTGTTGAGACTTAGCTGGAGTATCTTTGAAGCAACTTTTCAAAGCACGAGAGATGACGGGGAGGCTTAAATTCCATTCTTGATTCGCGCTCCCAGATGAAGATACTCTGCATCCGAGATGAACGTCCAATATTGTCGATTCAGGCAACTCGATGCGAGCTAGCGCGTTGGCCATTTCCAATACTTTCGCAACCAAACGTAATCGCTTTAAGTGGGGAAGTCGAACATTCATGGCGCGAGGTGCGCGAGGGAGTGATGTCGTTTGGAGGGGAAGAGTCGGGAGAGCATCTTCTAATTCTAGAGTATGCAGAGCAGGCATACGACGGAGCGCAGATATCAACTCGTCTAAAGTTGGAAGACACTCCGGTGATAATCTTTTGATATCAAGGACAGTGAGTCCTGTGAGAACGGAAGATGCCCATGATAAGTCACAGCACTTGATTTGGAGGTTGCGAAGGTTGGGCGCGAGGAAAGAAGTCGGGATTGCTATCCGTAGTGTTCGTTCAAATTCTTCTTGCAAAGAAAGCGATTGTAGTTGAGGAGCGGAACAAGATGATAACTTGTTAAGGAATTCCATAATACAGCGGTATGTCACGCCACCATTCAAGAAGGGGAGAGAGACCTCCTGCAAACGCTCTATGTGCATCAACGCCTTTTGGACGCAGTCCATACGATATCGTTGGCCGGTTCTCAAGTTCAAGGGAGCCATTTTTGACCTCATGAGCATTTCTTCCGTGCCCTGAGAGGAATTGAGAAATGGAGTAGCCCATAAATCCGGTGTCCCGAGAGCAACCTCGCGCCAGTGGCGACAAATATGACCAACATTAAGCCATGACAGAACTGCAGGGTTATCAGGAACATAGAGTAGCTGTGTCTGCTGGGCATGATGGACAAAAATGTCGCCAAGGATCTCTGGAGGGATGGAGGATATGGGAGACAGACTATTTCGGCGCGTCCGAAGAGCTCGCATTCTCTCTTGAAGCGCCAGAAGTTCATTGTCGATCTCTGTTTGAGCTGTCGAGATCAGGGCGGGAGTGTCGATGTCTGCGGTAACCATTAGTTCGGAGATGCAGTAGGTAAACTCCACAACTTGGGGAACAATAAACAAGCATCAGTTTTGGTGCGTTTGAAGTTTTCAATTAGCACGTACAGCTATAATCACAAGGACCAGGTGGTTGGGCAATGGGTATAGCTGGAGACAAGAGTATTACCTAAATAATTAAAATTATTTAATTAGGATAAATAAAAATACTTGGAACGCGCAAGTCTCTTGATCAAAGTGTTGCTTAAATTCCAAAGGACTATTATGTGACAAGCATATACAACAGAATGAACACCACAAAATTGTATCCTAACTATGGATGCAATGCACCCAGCATGATTTTCAGGAAGAGTATCCGTCACTGTAAATATCATCATCGTCATCGTAATATTCTTCTTCTTCCACGTCATAGACATCCGAGTCGAGGTCGGAGTTTTCGCCGGAACTTGCATATTCATCCCAGCTCACATCAGCCACCACCTCTCGCATCAACTGCACGTCACGGGCGAAGATACCTGAGGTTTGAATAATCTCAAGGCGGTCTAACCCTTGACCTCCGTTGACGCGATTGATGAGCACATCAAGGAGACACTGGTGTTGTAAACGTTTATGACCTAAATGACGAGACATGACATGTATATGGATAGATGTAGACTCGCAGAGTTGAGAATACATTGTCATGGCAAGTACGACAAGTAATATGACACCCCATTGCTATATAGAAAACATTGCGTACCGAGAGGTATACAGCACCTACACACGTTTGTTAAGTAAGTATCATGGGGACAGTTGTGCGAAAGCGAAGAACGGAAAAATCCTAGCTGCTGGACGGCTGAAATCGTGCCCATCTAATATACGTGCGATCCTTAGTAGTAGTTTCCATCATGTTAGAAACTGTAATCATCATCAAACGAGTCGTGATCAAATTCGAAGTCGTAATTTTCGTAATGTTCATATTCATCCCAGCTCACATCGGCCACCACTTCTTGCAGCAACTGCACGTCACGGGCGAAGATACCCGAGGTTTCAATAATCTCAAGGCGGTCTAACCCCCGACCTCCGTTGACGCGATCGATGAGCACATCAAGGAGATCAGAGGGTCGAATCAAGTTCGCGCTAGAGGAATCAAACTCTAGGTTGTGAAGGACAAGATGGGAGAGTGCTGGGGAAAAAATGGGTCCCTGTTGTGAATGCCCGCCTATGGACCGCGACACGCTGTGCTTCCGTGAACGCAAGGATTTGAGAAGATGTTTGAGAGCCTGGGGTGGCCCTCGCAAGTTGATGTAGGTAAGATTACGAGCGGCGCCGCGGCCAAGAAGATCAGTCCAGAAACCATCCCAACAAACAAAGGAACCTTCGATGCACAAGGCCTCGAGATTCCCAAGAGGGACAAGCTGCCACAAGTCGCTAAGGATTGCCGTACCCATTTCACTGAGAAAGCCGAAGTCAAGAACGACAGGGCATTCTGCCGCCCACTCCGAATCCAGACGAGTGTCATCGAGACGAGTATCAATAATTGACCTCGCCCACGAAGCAGGGTTCCGGATCGTGCTATATCGCACATGAATGTGACCGAAGGCAAGCAGGACTCGTTGAGACTTAGCTGGAGTATCTTTGAAGCAACTTTTCAAAGCGCGAGAGATGACGGGGAGGCTTAAATTCCATTCTTGATTCGCGCTCCAAAATGAAGATACTCTGCATCTGAGATGAACTTCCAATATTGTCGATTCAGGCAACTCGATGCGAGCTAGCACGTTGGCCATTTCCAAAAATGTCGCAACCAAACGTAATCGCTTTAAGTGGGGAAGTCGAACATTCATAGCGCGAGGTGCGCGAGGGAGTGATGTCGTTTGCAGGGGAAGAGTGGGGAGAGCGTCTTCTAATTCTAGAGTATGCAGAGCAGGCATACGACGGAGCGCAGATATCAACTCGTCTAAAGTTGGAAGACACTCCGGTGATAATCTTTTGATATCAAGGACAGTGAGTCCTGTGAGAACGGAAGATGCCCATGATAAGTCACAGCACTTGATTTGGAGGTTGCGAAGGTTGGGCGCGAGGAAAGAAGTCGGGATTGCTATCCGTAGTGTTCGTTCAAATTCTTCTTGCAAAGAAAGCGATTGTAGTTGAGGAGCGGAACAAGATGATAACTTGTTAAGGAATTCCATAATACAGCGGTATGTCACGCCACCATTCAAGAAGGGGAGAGAGACCTCCTGCAAACGCTCTATGTGCATCAACGCCTTTTGGACGCAGTCCATACGATATCGTTGGCCGGTTCTCAATTTCAAAGGAGCCATTTTGGACCTCATGAGCATTTCCTCCGTGGCTTGTGAAGAATTGAGATACGGTGCAGACCATAACTCTGGTGTCCCGAGAGCAACCTCGCGCCAGTGGCGACAAATATGACCAACATTAAGCCATGATAGGACCGCAGGGTTATCAGGAGCATATAGTAACTGAGTCTGCTGGGCAAGATGGACGAAAATGTCGCCAAGGATCTCTGGAGGGATGGAGGATATGGGAGAGAGACTATTTTGGCGCATTCTATCTTGAAGCGCCAGAAGTTCATTGTCGATCTCTGTTTGGGCTGTCGAGATCAGGGCGGGAGTGTCGATGTCTGCGGTAACCATTAGTTCGGAGGTGCAGTAAGTAGACTCCATAACTTGGGGAACAATAAACAAGCATCAGTTTTGGCGCGTTTGAAGTTTTCAATTAGCACGTACAGCTATAATCACAAGGACCAGGTGGTTGGGCAATGGGTATAGCTGGAGTCTGGAGACAAGAGTATTACCTAGATTATTAAAATTATGTAATTAGGATAAATAAAATACTTGGAACGCGCACCGGCAAGTCTCTTGATCAAAGTGTTGCTTAAATTCCAAAGGACTATGATAATGTGACAATCATATACAACAGAAAGCAGAATCGGACACCACAAAATTGTATCCTAACTATGGATGCAATGCACCCAGCATGATTTTCAGGAAGAGTATCCGTCACTGTAAATATCATCATCGTCGTCGTAATATTCTTCTTCTTCCATGTCATAGACATCCGAGTCGAGGTCGAAGGTTTCGACGGAACTTTCATATTCATCCCAGCTCACATCGGCCACCACCTCTCGCAGCAACTGCACGTCACGGGCGAAGATACCCGAGGTTTGAATAATCTCAAGGCGGTCTAACCCTTGACCTCCGTTGACGCGATCGATGAGCACATCAAGGAGATCAGAGGGTCGAATCAAGTTCGAGCTAGAGGAGTCAAACTCTAGGTGGTGAAGGACAAGATGGGAGAGTGCTGGGGAAAAAATGGGTCCCTGTTGTGAACACCAGCCTACGGGCCGCGAAACACTATGCTTCCGTGAACGCAGGGATTTAAGAAGTTCTTCGAGAACCGGGTCTGTCCCTCGCAAGTGCATGTATGAAAGATTACGGGCAGCGCCGCGGCCAAGAATATCAGTCCAGAAACCATCCCAAGCGAAGAAAAAGTCGAAGTACATGGCCTCAATACTCCCAAGAGGAACGATCCTCTGCAAGTCGCAAAGGATTGTCCTCCTCACGTCATCATCAGGAGAATAAAAATCAAGAATGACAGACCACTCCGCCGACAAATCCAGATCCAGATAAGACGTTAATCCCCACGAGGGAGGGTTCCGGATCGTGCTATAATGCAAACGAATGATGCCAAAAGGGGAGGACAGTTGCATGGAACGTGGGATTTGTCGAGACTTATCTGGACTGCCTTTGAAGCAACGTTCCAAGACACGAGAGATGATGGGGATGCTCAAATTCCATTCTCGATTTGGATTTTCTGAAGATGCTCGGCATATGAGTTGAACTTCCGATGCTGTTGATTCAATGCAAGCTAGCACGTTGGCCACTTCCAATGTTTTCGCCGTCAAACACAACCGTTTCAAGTGGGGAAGTCTAACGTTCATGGCACGAGATGTAGGAGAGAGTGACACCATTTGGGGGGGAAGAATCGGAAGAGCATCTTCTAGTGTAAGAGAGTGCAGAGCAGGCATACGACGGAGCGCAGAGATCAACTGGTCTAAAGTCGGAAGGCATTCAGGTGATAGATTTTTGATATCAAGGACAGTGAGTCCTGTGAGGAAGGAAGATGCCCATGATAGATCACAGTGATTGATTTGAAGGTTGCGAAGGTTGGGTGCGGGGAAAGAAGTGGGAATTGCTATGCGTGGTGTTTGTCCATGCCCTACTTCCAAAGCAAGCGATTGTAGTTTGGGAGCAGAACAAGATAATAATTTGTAGAGGAGTTCCGTAATGCAGTGGTGCGTGACATACGTCGTGCTACCACCGGGGGACAGGTTGAGAGAGATCTCCTGCAAACGCTCTATGTGCATCAACGCCATTTGGACGCAGTCCATACGATATCGAGAACCGGCTCTCAATTTCAAAGGAGCCATTTTGGACCTCACGAGCATTTCCTCCGTGGCTTGTGAAGAATTGAGAAACGGTGCAGACCATAACTCTGGTGTTCCGAGGGTAACCTCGCGCCAATGGCGACACACATGTCCAACGTTGAGCCATGAAAGAATAGCAGGGGCCTCAGGATTATCCTGATAAAGCAACTGCGTCTGCTGAACATGATGGACGAAAATGGCGCCAAGGATCTCTGGGGGGAGTGAAGATATGGGAGAGAGACTGTTTCTGCGTATCCGAAGAGCTCGCATTCTCTCCTCAAGCGCCACGATTTCATCGTCAATCTCTACTTGAGCTTTCGAGGTTGAGGCAGGACTGTATGTGGTTACTTCTGGACAGGAAAGCGTCATATCGCAGGCGATTGATTCTCTTCGAAATGAACTCATCAGTTTTGAAACATTTAGGTCTTCAACTGACGCGTACTACTAGAATGAGACCGCGTACTGAACCACCGACTGGTTGTTTAATTAGGAGCGAAAAGCTGATTTCCAGAGTCAAGGACTCAGAGACGGGTACCAGTGGGTATTAGACAGAACGTAAAGGTCTGTTTGGGGAACAGGGTATGGGCCACCTACATAAATAGATAATCAATATTAATCAATAATAATAAATAGCTTTGACAGGGAACGAAATGATTCATTTATTCGACCGTCTTCAAAGCTTCAAGCTTAAAGTCTCTTGCATGAGCGTTGCTTAAATTTCGAAGGTGAGGATAGACAACAGACTCGAGCGTTGTGACTGACTACAAGGTAGAAGTCTGGTTAGGCGAGTCTGATAACTCAGCAATACTGTCGAGTACACATCCGATGAGTGCACTGATGAGCATAACTATGTATACGTCCATAAGGTAGGCTTCTGGTGGTCCATCTCCAAGCACGTGGTAGTGAAATAAAAGCATCAATAATGGTACAAGAGAAACAATGTCAATGATTCAGTCTGCAGAAATGGTCTCGAGCGTTTTGCTCCACTCAACGACCTTGGGATGTGCTTGTACCTGAAGGGGGGTGTGAGCATGGCCGTACATGGAAAGAACGAGATCCTCGCCTTCTTGGGATCGAAGTTCATAACTTGCAAACCTTCCAAGGATGTTGCTCGAGATAGTGCGACATATGCTTGTCCTGGACGGGAGTGGTTAGTTCAACGAGGACATGAATCGGCTACCAGAACGAACCCTTTTCGAACACTCTGCCAAGATCTACCTTGACTCTCTCGAGTGTCTGCCCTTGCGATTTGTGGATAGACATTGCCCAAGCTAATATCAAGGGCAGCTATAACCAAGAGTGAGCTGCGGGGACACAATCAGATAAGCAAACGCCGCACCTGTGTCCTCGACACTTGTATCTCTCCGCTAGGTAACTCGACTTTCCAGTTTTCAGGTATAATTAGAGCTTCCCTGCGCCCTCTGTTTGGCACCGAAAATTCCACGACCGGCATGAACATGTCCTTCGTCGTCGCAGTTTTTTTCCTTTCTGACTTCGGCTTGCTTGCATTACCGTTGCCATCGACATCGTCATAATCGCTCCCGTACAACGCTGGGTCGGCAAAGCGTATAATCTTGCCCATGCTGCCATTGACGAGCATTTCGTCCATGTTTTTGATCAACATGACCTGGGCACCAACACGGAGGACAAGCTTCTTCGGCGCCATGAAATTGGCAAGCATCTTCTCGCGTTGACCTGGATCAGCAATCGTCCCGCCGTCCGAAGCATCGTACTCTTTTCGCTCGGTTTCAAGATGAGACATGCGGCCACTGTTTGATCTATCCACGTCCTCTCGACGAGGGAACCTGCATTGAATCAGTTAATGCGGCCATTGGGTTGAGCAGAGGACTGACAGCTCGGTTGCTCCCAGACCGTCATCGTAGACAATGGACCGTGACAAAGACTTGAACCGGGCAATAGATTCTTGCGAAAGCCGCCCGAAACGCATTTCATTGAGCATATCAACAAATTCTGAAGAATGCTCAGCATATAGGCAGTGTTACAGATATCCTCCTTACGCTGATCTTTTTGCCTGAAAACTTTGGTAAGATTGAACGTGCGCTTGATAGTCTGGCTCCAGAGCTGAGCTTCAAAAGCAAATTTGACCTGACTAGTACCCTTCGTGACGGGGGGTAGTTGGAAGAAATCGCCAGTGACCACGACCTAACAATTGTTTAGTGGTGTTTAAATGAAATTTGACTGCGAGGCGAACCTGAATTCCTCCAAAGGGTTCTGGGGACTTCCGTATCAAACTGCCAATTCGTGCAAGCTTGTCAAAGAGTTCTCCGTCCAACATCGAAACTAATGATATGACATATGTGACGTGGAAGTCTGCACTTGCTAAATGATCGTACCTTCATCGACGATAAGGACCTTTGTCCGCAACCACCTCGACGCAGCTTTCTTGTTCTTGCGGACTCTGATGACAAGCTCTTCAGCAGATCCTTCTCCGATGCCAATGCCTGCAAATGAATGAATAGTGACGCCACCGATGTTACATGCCGCAATTCCTAGTCATATGATGTCAGAGGACATCAAACAGCGAGTATATGCGCCCTCACCCGTTGATGCAGTAATGGCAATAGCATCGGGAGATTTGACGTACTTCTTTTGCAATGTCCGAATGATTTCTCGGAGTAAGACCGATTTCCCAGTACCTGATCGGCGTGAATATGACAAAATCAACAAAAGGAGAATTTGTATACTACTTACCAGCACTACCGGTGTAAAACACGCTGCTCCCGCTTTCCACGAGACGAAGGATCTGAGTCTGTTCCTGACTAAGGAACACTCCAGCAAGTTTGGAGCCAGGCTTTGATGACGAGGCAGCGACGGTCGATGGCTTCGACTTTACTGCAGGTAAAGAAAAACTGCTCGAAGACTTGAAGTTGGATGAGGAGGATAGCGTGTCGTCATTCCAGCTGGATGGAAGTTGACGCTTCTTTGCCGGCGGCTGATTTGGAGCAGGTGGGAGTGATCGTTTGGTCCCGTTCGCTATCTGTTTCGTGCTTATTTCCGCTCGCTCTCCAGGCGGTTGCTTCCCTGTGAGCGCATCAAGCGCAAGTTGGATATCTTTCAGACGCTGCGATTGAGCCCCAGGTGGCTTCGAAGAATGGGATTGGGTGGGCTGGGTGGCTGGCCATGAAATACGGTCTTCAGACTGAGAACTGCTTTGCGACCAGTCGCGTTTGATTGTGCGCAATCCAGAAAGCGCTGATTGGCTTCCATTGGACATGTTGGCCGTCAACGTTTCAACCTTGTCACGGAGCAGTGCGGAGATCTCAGAACCGCGACAGAGGCTAGATATTGATCAAAGCGTCGTCAGATTATGCCAAACACAATAAAGATGTCAAAAATTAGCCGTGCACGAAGTTAAGTGATCGTCCTAGAAGTTATGTTTGACGCGTCTGATCCTCAGCAAACAGTTGAAACACGGATCAAGCGCCGCGGCCAAATTCGCCATCACGTGCGACGCGCTTATTACGTAAATTTTATGTTCACGCTTGTCGAGCAACAGATAGTAGACTCTGGCTATACTGTGTTCGTCGGAACTGAGTACTGAGTACTGAATATCAGAATGCCAGTGAATAGATTATCAGAAACAGTTTATTCCACTGATGCGGGCTCTGCTACATCCACGAGTGATATAAAGTAGCATCGAAAGATTCAAACTAAACCTTTGAGAAGGAATGTGGGGCAGAGTATAACCATGACAGACTTCCTGAAGGATGAAACCTGTACTTCTCTACTGCCCATCTCGACGTTGATTAGACGTAGAGACGACCGTTCGTCTGGGCTCTTCACCAGAACCGGTACAGGGTGGAAGCATTAAAAGCACTGTCCGGGCAGAAAGAGGCCCTAATGATGAAGAGAAAAAGAAAAAATTGCCTTTTTATAATATTCGACATTTCTACCAAACATAGCCAAATACTATGTCAGTGATCGCCACTAAACCAATGATCGCTTGTGCTTCCACTACTAAGCTCAGAGCTGTAATGACCAACTTGAAGACGGTCCTCGAACGTCTGAGAAGCTCCAAAGTCAAGGAACGACAAGAGGGAATAATTTCTCTCAAAGAAGCCTTCTCACGCGATGATGCTGTCCTCAATCTTGGGGATGGACGCGCCTGGCTGGTCGTGTATCAGGCCCTCTTCACGGCAGTCACCAGTGAAAAGGCAGAATGCGACAAGAAAGCTGCGTCAGGCAAGAGTGCATCGACAGGTGCAGCTGCCTCGCGCAGACTTGGGGATGCCGCCGCTGCCGTTCGTTGGCTAGTGGAGAGAAGCATCTCCAGGCTCACTACCAAAATCCTCACACCCCTCCTGGCTCATCTCTTGCAGATGATGGTTCACCGTGGGCAGCTGTACGCTCCACTTACTCTTGACTACCTTAAGACCATCAAGATACTTCTCAGCTGGACGCCACACATGGACCACATTGATGCAGCCACTTGGATCAGCATAGCTGAATTGGCTTTTAACATCATTTTGGGCGACCCGATAAAGAGAAAGCTCGACAACGATACTGGGGAGAGTAATGATGAGAGCATGCAGGCCGAAATTTCCGCCATGTACCAAGATGACTCCGACGAGGGTGAGGATCATGAACCCTCTACATCAACCCAAAAGCGCAAATGGAAGGCAAGGGAACACATTACTACGCCTGCTCCCAGCGGTATGCGTCCTACAAGGTCACACCATTCGGTTTCCTTAGAGCAAGTCGAATGTGCTTCCCTACTCGCCCTTCTGTTCCGCGCTCCCACAGCTCCCTTCCTATCAGAGGATGGGCCAGATCTATCACCTGCTATCCTGACCCGCATGCGACGATTCTTGGAACGCTATCCCAGTGACGCGTCCCTTCACCATGATTACCTTCTTGCCCTGCAGCCAGTATTGTCTCATCTTTGCCTGAATCGGACGAAGGACGTTGAAACTTTCGCTCGTTCAACATGGAACCAACTAGTCGGGCTGTGGGGCACCAAGAACAAGCGCATGAAGGAAAGTCTTGTTGGCATTTTGAGAACGCTATTCCCGTTCTTAACAGCTGCACATGACGGGCCGTCTTTTGCTTGGGCTGACGGAGTGTACAAACTTTGGACCCTCCTGAGTGGCGAGGCCGAGAATCGCCGGGGTCTTGATAGTCTCTCTCTCGACTCCTTGAGGCTCGAGGTTCTTCCTTCTGACGCCGAACACTGCGGACGTGGGGTGTTTGTCGCTCACACATTCAGGGCCGGATGGCATTTTGATTCTTCTCAAGCTCTCGCGTGGGCTTTAATGGAGCTACAAGCTGATTGTGCGGAGAAGGTGAGCCCTCATACACCGATTGACTTTATGCAAATTGACCTCTATAATGCAGCTTTTCGATCACTCCGAGTCAACGCATGTTGGCACTCCGGACGGTGAAGGAAGCCTAGGAAAGCGTGTCAAGCGTGAAGACCCTATTTTATCTCTTCTTCATTCCATACAGTCGACAACCGCTTCCGGCGTTCGGACGTATCATCTCCAAGTTCTCCTATTTTTCATTGATCGGCACTGGCCGTGCCTCCACTTTGCACTCCAACAGGATGTAATGAGCACCCTACTGCAATTTGTCTCCGTTGATGATCCCATCATCCAATCCTGGACTTTCCTTTGCTTCGCCGCAATTGCACAGTCAGATGGCCTTCAGAGTTCTCGTGCAACCCAGTCACCATCAGTCACCGTACGGACCGCAGCTGTCCTCCGCGACTCCGCTGTCTGGGATCCTGTGTGGACTCATGCCATGCGCAGAGCCAATGTACCTGTAGTTTGCAGGGCAGCATGTCATACCGCATACACACTTATCCTCCACTCCAAGCTCTTATTAACATCTCAGCGAGTTCTCATCGAAATCGAGACCTTGGCGAAGGATCTGGATCTGCAGGGCCCTGCATTTCCATATGATTCTGTGTGTTTGTTCCTGGCGCAATGCTTGCGTGTTGCGAGCCAAGATGTGAGGCTATACAGAATGCAGTTGGAGGAGAAGGTTCTTAGCTGGCTTCTTGATAATTGGAGAATTGGTGCAGGACAGGCGGTGAAGGATACTAGTGGAAAATCCCGGATGCCACTTCACAATATTGGTGATATTCTCGGGTTGCTAGAGAGCATCTGTGGAACCTCAAAGCGCAGCGATCTTCTTTGTCGCATATTGCTTCCCGATTGTGCGATCGTTGAGCTCATGAAGGAAGAGCGGAAGACCAAAGTCATCCGCGATTTCCTGCTTGATGCTCGACTCCCTTCCTTCCACAAGGGCGCCGTATCTTCGGGCGGCGAAGAAATTACACACAGCTCTGTCAATGATGAGGATGAGTCGATTATCGACTCCGAGCTGGTTCAGCCTCGAGGTCGCGAGCGTCGAGTGTCTTCGTCTCTGCTCAAAGCGATGGAATCTCTCGCTGTCGAATGGGATACGTTCAAGGAAACCAACGCCCACCCCACTGCCGAAAAGCTCCGGCAATCACTTGATGCTGTTGTGACCGCCTTTGCGTTCGAGGCCCTACTCGTATGGAACGGAATGCGGTGTAATCGGCGCGTTCTGCAATCCGCCGCTCGAGTAATGTCACTTCTTGCACCACTCCTAACGGATGCACGTTGGACAGCAGATGAACGCGTGCTGATATTACACGCCCTGGAGCCTCTGGTAATGAATGGAGAGGAACGCAGTACGAACGAAGAGTGGGAAGCTATGTTGGGCCCGGATCTTGGTTCTGGCATTAGATCCCATACTCTCAAGGGCCTGAAACGGAATCTCTCTGAGAGACATCACCTTCACACAGTTCGACGACTGTTCCAGCGTGTCTTTTGGGCAAATGCAGACGTGGGTTCTCGTTGCGCCATATACCAGTGTTCGATATATTGACAGATCTTCAGATACAAGATGCTTTCTCTGCAGTTTCTGATGCCCTTCGGATATCACTTCACACTATGACAGGCCAACTTCGTAAAGGAGCGCAAGATGTTCATGCTCTGGATGCGGACGGATTTGGGGCTATTAGGACAACTCGCACAGGACCGCCGACACAAGAGGATGCTGCTCATGATGACATCACGGCTGCGAACCAGTACCTTGCTGACCTATGTATCACATTCCTTGCGACGACCCCTGTTCTTCGATCTTCATCTGCAGAAGCTATGCGAGACAAAGAGCTAACAAAGCTCATAGTCGATTGTCCCGCAGAAAAGTTACTTTTGATAGGCAACGCAGTTCTAGGATCAGTTCGACGGCGGGTTTTGAGTCTTAGCATCGATGTCCTCAACGAGCTTCTTGACAAATTCGAAGATCTTCTTGGCTCACACACTCATGGTCGCAATGTTAATCTGCAGGTTATGGCTGTTGATTTACTGGACTCCACTTCGCACATTTGGGTCCAGAAGTCAATCGCGGACACTGATGTCGGAGATCATATCCGCGAGTTATGCGGTTGGCTCAGTCATAACATGATAAAGAGGAAATTTACTTCATGGAAAATGCGCGACTTCGCTTCCCAATTTTTCTCCAGGTATATCGCCCAGGATCCTTCCGAGTCTTTTTGGCCAACAGTTTGCCAAAAGAAACCCGTAGAACGACCCTCCACCATTATCCCTATGCTGAACATGGATCAGGATATCCGTGTACGCTTCCGGGCCGCAGTCGTCAGTGCTCGTCTCTTTACCCTGGCTCGCTTTGCTGGTCAGAACTCCCTTGACATGTATAATGCCATCAAAGAGGGGTTGACAAAGGATCTCTCGAAGTGAGTCTTGACTACTTTCATCGTCTAATCTACTGACAATCAGACAGTTACGAGCAAATGCTCACTCGTACTTTGTGCCTCGGCAATATCATGGTTGTGAGTTCGGCTGCGAGGCGTGGACCCTATTGGCACTTGATAGAAGCGGCCTTTCATAGCCCGCTTTACACGCGTCACATCCAAGCGACTCTGACTGGCGTTTCTGAGAGACTTGGGCTCCCTAAATTGTCAGACCTCTTCGAAGCCTACGCTTCGCAGATTGCATACTCCATTCGACAGGCTTCTCAGGACGTGCTTCGTCTCTCTCCCCAGCTCCTTGGCTACCAGAATCGAAGGGAATGCGCAGAAGCAACCTTCCGTCTTTTCACTCCGACTAATGTCATGGCAGGCGGTGGAAATTCAGAAGCGGTTGACCATGGCCGTAGACTATTCCTGAGCCACTGCGCTGCCAATCAGAAGACGGCTGCCGACGGCTTGCAGGAATGCTTGGGTGATCTCATCGGATTCCAACTTGTGTTTTGGTTGGATGGTGGAAGAGTCGATTGTAATACACCACCGGAGCAGTTAAAAAAGATGTTGCAGGACAAGGGTGTCGACCTTGACCAAGAGCAGGGTTTCAACAGTTGTGTAGAAAAAAATGCAGCGAGCATTGCAGCGGCAGTGGTTCGGTCCCTAGGTGACCAGGACTTCTCTGTCGATGGTGCGATCATGCAAGCCATCAAGGCACATGATTCAAGCTCCTCTGCTCAGGTTTTCAAGGCTCTGTCCAAGTACAGAACCTTGGATGACTTCAACCTCCACAGCCCGAATCTTCCTGCGTTCGGCTCATCCACTGTCTTGCGAGCTCTCAATTGGTGCATTTCTCTCGCGGTCCCCGAGCACGTCGAAGCCATATCCTATCATGTCCTCCACCAGCTTTTCTCCGAAGTTCAGAGATCACCGTTAGTCAATGAACAGATCCGCCTGCTGAATGGCATTTCTCTTCTGGTAGCAGTCCGTCATGAGGACTTCTGCGAACCTACATTGCTCCACACTCTGATTCATGAAGCAACATCTCTTCTCGCTCAGGCGGACCTCGTACATGCGGCTCGCTCATTCCTCGAATGGGGCTTTACCAAGTATTCATCGACGAACCAAGTGGATCTAAGGTTTCCTGGTTTGCTCATCCGAGTGTGCGCTCAGGCTCATGATTATTCACTGGCCACCGGTGACGTTCAAATCGCGGACATGGGCAAGGGCCTGTTACATTGGATCGACAGGCAAGCTCTCGAGCTTTGCCGAAGAAAAACAATCAGGCCACAGGTCATGAAAGCCTTGTCAGCTTGGCCACATCAGCCCTCATCTGAGCTGTTGTCAGTTTATGACGACATCACCGCGGATGATCTCTCGTCGATACTGAGTGACTATCGCATTGCATCCAACAAGTTTCGCCTCGTCAGACGGCTCCGAGACCTCGCAGAGCGGCGCGTCTATGATCGAGCGCAGTTTGCCAAGACAGATTTCTGGCGCCTAAAAGATTTCATTCCTCCCAGGGACCAGCTCCAACCTGACGATGTCGATGCATTCGCTTCTTTATTGATTGCGAATAATGGTGACATCTACAGCTTCGGAAGTGAACAGCCCTTTTTGCAGACGGTGCGGGGACGACACCGGCGCAATGCAAAAAAGCGGGATGTATCACAGATGGAATCTTCACCTCAGCGGGCGATTATTGAAACGCTGCTCGCTATGGTAGACGGGACCTTGCCACAGGAAGTCAGTCTCGCTTACTCAACCCTACGATCCGTTGTATCAGCTTCCTCATTGGACACGCTCCTCCGTCAATCTTGGCCTGTTGAATCGAGAGCCGCTTTGAATTATCTCGAACAATATCCAATCAAAGCGAGGTCTCGGCGTGTCCGCAGTATTGATGAGCTGCAGGCGACGGTCGAGTGTTATCTGGAGTCTGAATTCTGGAAATGGATCAGCGAGCTCACTATCTTGCTGAGCGATGTGCTTAGTGCCGTGGACCCAATTTACGCACAATTCTCAACGTTTTTGGAGCGAGATGTTTCTTTCGCAGACGATATGCTTCCCGTATTGGTTCACACTTTGCTGCAGAACGAACTTGATCAGCCAGAATCAACGGGCGTGTCCTCGCGAACTCGTCTATCACAGTATTTCAGCGCCATGCTTGCCATGGATAATATCCATTTGTCCTGCTTAAGGTCTATTGTCGATGTCGTACTTCACCTTCGCACCTTTCGCCCGAAAGGTTCCACTGATTGTCTGGCTCACGATAAATGGCTCGACATCGATTACATGCTCCTTGCGAAAAGTGCAGTGACATGCGGCGCGTATACGACTGCTCTTCTATTCCTCGAACTCGCAGCGGAGTACCAGTCCTTGGACATGGACAATGCAGCAGGCACAGAACACCTCCTTTTTGAAATTTACAGCCACATCGACGAGCCCGATGGATTTTACGGGATCAAGACCGCTGATCTGCGCCATTTCCTCATCAAACGGTTTCATCATGAGAAGCAGTGGGAGAAAGCCTTTCGTTTCCATGGTGCTGCCCTTGAGGCTGGAAGCCCTGAGGCAGTCGATACGGACGGTCTGCTCAGTTCTTTCCATGCCTTCGGCTTCGACCGTCTTGCTATTAACACTCTCCAGACATCCCAGATCGGCCTTGATACGAGGAATTCGTCGTCTGCCATGTGCTATCAGCTGGGTTGGCGTACTGAAACCTGGGACTTGCCTGACAATGCAGGAGATAGTTCTGGAGCCACACTTTATCAGGCACTGCGAGCAGTGTATAGGGAACGGGACCCGCGGGCAGTCGACGCCATTGTTCGCAGCTCGCTTGACGATGAAATGACCCGCCTGCGGCAGCTTGGCACTGAGAACATTTCGGGTATCCGCGAGGTTGCTCGTAACATCATGTGCCTTGGCCAGATTACCCAGTGGAGGAGTGATTCTATGCAGCAGCAGCTTTCAAGCAAATCGGAAGATACCCACAATCTGCCTAGGCTCGAGGAAATTGATTCTGATATCGAGTGAGTTTTGAGAATGAACGTGATCTAGCTTTCGTTGATGTTTCTCATGTGCGACAGATTTACCGATTTGGAACAGATTCTTGCAACGAGGATCTCATTGGTACGGTCAGTCAGGCAGAAAGAGGAACGAAAGCAAATTGGCAGTTTCGCTACACCGCTCGTCCGTGGAATTCTAGACCTCGAGAAGCGGTGCCTCGTCCGCCTATCCATTGCCGCTCGGAAATCCAATCAACTGCAGGTTGCACTGAATTCTATCGTGAAAGCCCAGCGGCTCGAGAGAAATGCCAGTTTCGAGGTTGCTCGTGAATTCGCCAACGTTCTCTGGCTCCAGAAGGAGCAAAAGTTGGCAGTGCAGTACCTCAAGGACCTAGTAAATGATCAGGAACTTGGTGCTGACGGCGCAGTAGAAAAGGCGCTGTCGTTGGCTCGACTGGTGCGCCTCTTTTTTCTGTGATAGCGTAGGCTATTCATATCTGTGACAGGGAGACTGGATTGCCGAGGCATGCTTAGAAAAACCAACCGACATCAAGAGCAGATTCTTTGATCCTGCCGTCGAGCTCGCCATCGCAGCCGAGAAGCGGACGGACGTTCGCGATCACGCATGTGCCACTGTTTTCCGCAAATGTGCACTTTTTGCAGACCAACAATATCATTCGATCCTGAAGTCGTCAGACGCCATGCGTTGGCACATCTACAAGGAGCGGAAGAAACAAGAGGTCAGGCAGAGAGACACCCAACTGCAAAAAACTCAACAAGGAACAAACGAGTACTTGGTATTGATTGAAGAACAGAAAAAGGCGCGAATTGTGTTGGCTGAAGATTCGAAAGCCTATGCGAGCCATACAGGAGCGCGAGACGCGTTCCTTGAGCTGGCTCTTGATATGTACTCTCGTTGTCTGGCTTCCTCTGATCGTTTTGATGACGATGGTCCCATCCGCTTCTCATCCCTTTGGTTCGCGAATTTCGACGACCATGACATCCAAGACAAGCTCCAAGCCGCTCTCGATCGCGTGCCCTCCCGCAAGTTTGTCTTCCTCTCCCATCAGCTGTCTGCTCGCATGTCAAAATCCTCGACAGAGCTCCCGAAGAATCAGCAGAACCTCCAAGGGCTCGTCTTGCGCATGTGCCAAGAGCACCCTTTCCATAGCCTGTACCAGGTATTCTGCTTACGTCCAGAGCAACCCCAGGGCGCGCGAAGGACTTCCTCCCGAATTGAGCCCGCATCATCGCAGACGGATCGTGGTGGAGCTGCGAGCGCCATCTTCGATAGGCTCCTCAGCGATCCCATACATACAGCGAGGGTCCGATCTATCGAACAGGTCTGTAATGCTTCTCTGCAATGGGCAAAGTATCCCATCAAGGATCGCACCACAAAGAAAACCGATAACGCACTACAAATTCCCGATGCTTTGCTCATTCGGAAGCTGCGCGACGTCCAGGTTCCTGTAATGACCTGCCGTACAGCTGTTGATCCAACCCTCAAATACAACGACTGTATCTGGATCAGTCACTACGATGCAGCATTCATCACAGCCGGGGGTGTCAACGTCCCGAAGATCAGTGTCTGCTATGGTAGCAATGGGGAAAAGTTCAGGCAGCTCGTACGTTATCCTCATGAAATTCATACGGGTTCTGACACCAGCGATCTCTGCAGTTCAAAGGCGAAGGCAACGACGATCTACGACAGGATGCTGTCATGGAGCAAGTTTTCCACCTGTGCAACATGGTACTGCGATACGACAAAGAGACTCGGAGGCGAAATCTTAACGTCCGCGATTACAAAGTCCTACCTCTCGCTCCCCAAGCTGGAGTCATCGAATTCGTTGGAAATACCGTCACCCTCCAAGCCTGGCTTCAAGACGCTCACCAGAAGTAACTTCTACCTCCCGTCTTTACTAAACTCCTACTAACGTACTCGTAGGTACCGCCCCGAAGACATGAAACACACACACATCGCAGCAACGCTAAAACATACACGAGAAAAACACGGCGGAAAGGCCGAAGCGATGGTCTTGGTCTTCCAACAAATATGCCGACGAAGCCAGCCCGTGATGAGGCACTACTTCACCGAAAAACATAAAACCCCCATCACCTGGTTCGCCATGCGTCTCAACTACACTCGCAGCGTCGCCACCACTTCCATCGTGGGGCACATTCTTGGGCTTGGGGACCGCCATGTGGCGAATATCTTGATCGATAATGGGTCGGGAGAAGTAGTGCATATTGATTTAGGGATTGCGTTCGATCAGGTGCGTTTGCATGGTGTCCGATGAGGCGTCTATTCACGTCCCGCAGGGTAAATTGTTGCGTATCCCAGAACGAGTGCCATTCCGAATGACACGCGACATGGTCGACGGGATGGGGAAGTGCGGGACGCAAGGCGTGTTCCAGCGTTGCGCAGAAGAAACCCTCCGCGTTCTACGCGACAGGTCAGATGTCATACTCACTGTACTTGAAGTGTTCAAACATGACCCGCTGCATTCTTGGTACGTCTCCTTCTCCCTCCTCCCTTCCGACATTGACTGACCCCCACAACAGGACAGCGAGCGAGCTCAAGATTAAAAAAGTCCAAGACAGTACAGCTGAGCCCCGAGTGGCCCGCGATGCGTCCCGCTTCGGTGCTATAGCACTAGATTTACAAAGCGGGTCAGCAGACGAAGCCGCTGACCGTGCGCTTGCTGGCGTTGCACGCAAGCTCGACAAGGCGTTGAGTGTGGAGTACACGGTCAACGAACTCATCGCGGAGGCTACGGATATAGTAAACTTGGCGACTATTTACCAAGGTGAGCTTTGGCCATATTCTGATTTCTGGTCTAGTTGACCGCTGACTCGTTTGATAGGATGGAGTCCCGACTACTAGACTTCGATGAGTCCTGATTATTAGACGTCGATCGAGGGCGTTTTAGAATGATTCTTCACTTATGTTTATATCGCTTTCTCGGAACACACAAGTTTTCATCATCAGTGCTGCATGTCCATCCTGTATCCCTAGTCATTCTCATTTCTATACATCAATCAATCGTGCATACACGACAGACAAAACGACATGAGATTACATCAAACAAACAACACATGGAACAAAAAAATTCCAACGTGAACGAGCGCAAGACAAGCACAAAAGGTCCAGTCGTCGTCACCATCACGTAGGCATAGGTATGGGGGTAGTCACGAGGGTAAAAACAAACAAGGGCTAAAAAACGGAGGGGCGAAAAACAAGAAAAGAAACAAGCAAAAATGATAAAATTCTTCGCGACGCGCGCATTTTTCGTCTACAACTATAGCTGAATGGATGATTGAATACGACACGATTGTTGTATGATGAGGGGAGAAACCCGGGGATGCATGCATGTATTACAAAACTCGGTATACGGATTTGGTATCAGCGAGCGCGTTTACAGTGGGCGGGTAGATGCAAGAGGTAGATGGTTCGGCATGGAGCAAGAAGGTGTAGCGTGGGTTACCGTCTGAGCTAGGAAAAGAAGAGTGGAATGGAGATCACTTGTTTTTAGCGATCTCTCGTGCTGCTTTGATGAGGGGTGCGAGCGTGCGCAGTGGTTCGCAGAGTTTGAAGAACGGATGCTGCGAAAAAATGAGGTGTGGGTCACGAGGCACCGAGGAGACACTCACCTGCAACAACTCGCTTGCCGTAGGGCGTTTCTCAGCGTCCACCTCTAGTGTCTTTGCGAGATAATCGCTAAACACCGACGAGAGCGCCTCAGGGTTGGCGATCGTAGGTGTTCCGTTGGTGGCGATGAGATAGAGTGCTTTGAGGGGGTTTTGGTTGAGATACGGGGGTTCGCCTTCGATCATTTCTGTGTGTTGTTCAGAAAAGCACGAAAGAGACGGCCGGAACGCATACCGATGGCCATGATTCCCAAACTCCAAATATCAACCTTTGGTCCGTACTCTTTCCTCGTCACCACCTCCGGGGCCATCCAATAAGGAGTGCCTACCATCGTCGTGCGCTTCGAGCTCGCAGGGTCTGAGATTTGCGCACAGAACCCGAAGTCCGCTGCGGGGGCATCAATATCACACGGCCATAGGTAAGAGGCCACTCACTGAGTTTAATATCCCCCCCAAGACTCAACAATACGTTGTCACTCTTAATATCCCTATGAATAACGCCATGGCGGTGGAGGTGTTCCAGTCCCTGGCATGTCTCCCTGCTCACAGCTGCAATCTGGCCCTCTGTCATCAAGTTGGCGGTCACGACGTCCGTTAAGCTTCCCCCCTCCATGTACTCCATCACGACCCAAAGATCGTTCTTGTGCAGAAACGAGTCGATGTAGTTTACAATATTCGGGTGTCGAGAAGCACGCATGACGAGGATCTCGTTAATGATGAGATCTTTCTTGGGTTGTTTGTCGAGGTCCATTTGCTTGATCGCAACGGATAGGTTGGTACCTACTTGGTATGCTGTGTACACCCCTCCAGATGCCCTAAAATGGCTGAGTACGAGGAAGAATGGAACGCACGCCACTCACCCTTGTCCGATCTTGACAAGGTTTCGGTATAGCTTCGTCGGGTCCGCATCCGTGCATATCTGCTGCAACCGCTTGATGATATCATCTTCCTTATCACCGCCACCTTTCTTCTCCCGGCGACGCGGAGTAGCGATGCCGGTTTGCTTTGCAAGGGTTTGGGGCTGCGGAGGTGCTGGTGCAGGCTTGGGTTGGTCACGATCTCTTTCACGCTCGCGCTCACGTTCCCGTTCCCGTTCGCGGTCTCTTTGACCTTTGACGCTGAGATCGGTCTGACTGGCACCGATGCTGGGGGATCGGACCCGGGCCATGGTTGTATTGGCGCGTCCCAGGTCCTGGGATTTAGATGGTTTGGGAGGGGCTCGCTGGGATGTGCTGCGGTCAAGTGAAGCTGCTGGGAGGGCCGGTGCTGCACGAATGGGGGTTGTGGCGGGTGACTGGGCATAGGGAGTAGACGACGGAGAAGTAACGGGCTTTTTGGGTGGTGGAGGGGCAATGCGCTAGAAGGAGGGAAGGTTAGATGAGCGGAGATAAAGAACATAGGGCGTACCGGGTTAACGAAACCTTCATTGACGCTGGTGGATTGGTCCACGCCTACAGCACCCATCTTGTCCCATACGTCGCCCCTTCCTTCTTGATAGAACTTGACGATTTCCATAACGGCCTGGGGGTTCTTTTCTTGTTCGCTCCTGCTGATACCGGATTCTTGGAGTAGCTGTTGCCATTCCTTTGGGAGACCTGTGAACTCGCCAGTGGAAGAGTTGAAACCGACGTGTGTGAGGTGAACAGGATCGTAAGGAGTGCTTATTTCTGGACGCTTGGAAGGAGCAAGAAAGTCGAACATGCCACCTAGCATGCCACCCTTTTTAAGCTTCACAGTCGTGGCGCTACGACTGCGAGTACCAGAATGTGTACTTGTGATTGCGGGTAGATCGGGAAGGATGTCGACGGGCTCTGTAGTGTATGGAGTATCTGTGATTGGTGCTGATAGACGGCGTGCTGCGATAGTGCTATTGCCAGGAAAGATATCGTTTAAAGTGGCAGTATTTGCCCTACTTGGACGAGGAGGAGGAGGAGACATGGGTTGTTTGATTGGAGCTGCAGCGAAAGGATCTGGAGACGAATTCGTCGAAAGGCTGTGTTTCCTGCCTCTCTTCTGAAGGCTATTCCGTATTCTTGGTGAAGATGGGTCGACTGGAGTTTTACTACGAAATGAGGGTGGTGGTGGTGGTGCAGAGCGAGAAGGAGTCAAGGAAGGCAAAGAACTTGAATAAGGATCTTTGTAACTGTAGGTCGCGGCTTGAGCAGCAGCTTGAGCAGTTAAAGCTGGGTCTGCTAGTAGATCCGAGTACTCTTGAACGCTCTCTCTTGAAGGACGGTGATATTCAATGGTGATTTTACTTTGGCGGCGTGAATTGTGTTGCTGCGATGGTGTGTGTCGATGGACACTCATCTCTGCTGGTAACCGTTGCTGCTTTGATGGTTGGCAACCTAGAGAGTGTGAATAATTCCGTCGTCACTGCGAACGACGACCAAGACGACGCAAATTTAAATCGCCAAAGTCGATCAAGACGATGTCCTTGAGTAGTCTGTTGGGTCAATGGCCCTTGCTCGATGCAAGCAACGCCCTACACTATATTTTGATGACTCATCATTAGGTTTCCCACGAGTAACAAAGGGCAACTCCGTTGCACCTTCATAACAACCAGACAAGGGTAACCAGTTTGGACCCCTCAGGGTCAATCGACGCCAATTCTTGGCTAACGACAAAGGGGCCTCTTGGGGCCCTCCTGTACGGTCCGAGTCCATTGAAAAGCATCCGCAGTCGCGCACAAGCAGGCACAAGCCCACCCCCAAGTACTACCGAGCGCCACGAGCGCTTACGGAGTAATGATTTACCCATTCATCCCGCCGGTACTGCCTAGACTGGACATATGATGAGTCCTTCACGTTGACAGGGGCTTTCTTCGACTCATCATTCTTTTCCCCTCTCTCGTTCTAATATTCGTCCATGACCCTCCATGACTTGCCGCACCACCAACGGAGAGCATACCGTAAAAGCTGACGGTGAAAATTGCGACCCAAACCCTCATTTCCGGTGCCAAATCAACGGAAAAACAAACATTATTCAAAACAAAGCAGTGGAAGAACAAGCGAAAGAGACAAGCGAAAGAAAAGATCTCTCAGAGCTGGGTGGACATATCAGGGATCATCCTGTATTGCGCAAGAAGAAATGTTCGTATGACTTGCGCGACGACTTTCACACTCTAGAGGCGCCGTCAAGCAACGCGTCGTCGTCGCCAGCCACGAGCAATGTCGCATCCCCAGACGCCAATAAAGTCACATCTCCAGATGAAATTATCGGCGCAGTCCCCAAGCAGCAGGCGGAACTTGAAGACGTTCCCGCTCAGCAGCCACACAAAGATGAGACAGAAGATCTGACCCCGTGCGACCGTGAGTCTTCATCTGATGCGAGGATCACATCGCTAATGACGAAAGACGACTCACGACCTCATGACGAAAACGTGCCCGAGCACTAAACATCTACTTTGATGTCCCCTCGCCACCAAAAGCTTTCACCGGACCCAGCCTCAAGCCACCACAAACAAAGTCTCTCACCAGACACGGATCCAGATTCAGGTATGATAAAACAAGTGGCATCACGTTCATGTCTACCTACATACATACCTCCTCACCATCATACAATGTGCCACAACCGTATATATACTAGCCTCTATCTCACATCTCATTCACTGACTTGATTTGTAATTGACTCGGACAATCATCACTGGTACTTGCACGCTCCCCGTTTGATCAACTCGTGTCAGCCGTCTCAAACTCAAAAGCTTCTGCACCACCCCAACGGAAAGTTGAAGACGACGTGGTGCGCGGCCGGATCGCAAGCGAACTTTCATTACTTTCTCGAAATTACAGGGGTAATACTTAAGTGGGTCGGGGTTCCAACGTCAAACCCGTTTCGTCGACAGTCCTGCAGTCACCACAGACTGATCTTTTTGACTTCATATTCATCACCAACACCTTAAACAGTACATTCGTTGTTAGGATGGCCGCGCGTCAAGGCCAGCTGAGATTGGACCAGAAACGAGCTCGCAGTGTACAACATTAATATTACGGTTAAATACCAGAATGCTGACACCTTTTTCGAGACAGACAACCTTCCCCGGCCCACCGTTAGTAGTCCATTAATACTCACGGCTTCAGAATTCCAACGACGTAGTTGACGGCATTATCTACGAGCTCCTTGTATCATGGAATTTGCTTCGTCTCCTGCTCCAGCAGAGGAATCTGCTGTTGATGACTGCACCGTACTGCTGTTACATGCAGTGGGCTACGCGAAGAAGGAGGGGTTCTAAGGACAAGAAAGGACATCCCTTTCGTCATTTGTGCCGAAAACAGGCACACCAAACGGATGTGTGCATCATTGATGAAAACCACATCTTGCTCCTTGCAATGCAGGAAGACAAGAAACACATGGACATGGCCTAAACCGCAACTTTGCAAAAGCGTTGCAAACAATCAGACTCGCTGACGGGTCTTCGGTCAGCCGCGGGCCCCTTTGACTCCAAGGACCAAGGTCGGAATCGCTATGAAAGGCACCGCACCAACTTTCTACGAGATTGAGGTCACTACTGCACTCGTGACTGCTGTTATGGGATCGATCGCGACGCGTTCATCACGTGTTTATAAAATCAACCAGTATATAATCGACTCACACGAGACTCGCATAGTGGAGCTCCTCATGCCAGTAGGATCACACATTAGAGTAATAACAAAGACAAGGCAGGCCACTTAAAAAATCTAACATCGATGTTATTCAGTTAATTTCACAGCGTACTCCGACAACCTCGCACCTTGAAATACGATTATGTTCGGCACCAACAGTTGTGCGCCGTTGACGTACACCGTTGGATCCGAACATAGTGGCTCCATGGCTATACCTTATAGACTCCCATGACCTGATAATTTTGCACACGGACCATCTAAATTCCCCGCTGTCAATAAATTGTCCGAAATGTTGACGTTACTGACTCTCCCATTTCATTCCAGACTTTCAATTTCAGTGCCAGGATGTCTTCTCCACTCTTCCTGGGCTTTGATTTGTCCACCCAGCAGCTAAAAGCAATCGTGATTGCGGAGGATGCTTCCATTGTGCACGAGAGCGCCGTGCATTTCGATCATGACTTTCCCGCCCATGGCACAACGAATGGTGCGGTCAAAGGCCCAGACGAAGGTGAGGTGACGAGCCCGGTGCTCATGTGGCTCGAAGCTATCGATCTCGTCATGCAGCGCGTTAAAAACGCTGGCGTTGACCTCAGTGCTATTGCCGGCATATCTGGTGCTGGACAAGTGCGTGTGTACAAATTTAATGTGAAGTGAGCCTGATTCATACGTAAATCAAGCAACATGGTTCGGTGTACTGGTCTGAGGAGGCTGAAAAAGCCCTTGCTGCAATGGATCCAAAGCGCTCATTGGCCGACCCAGGCCATCTCGCACCCCATGCATTTGCATTGCCCAATGCACCCATCTGGCAGGACTCTTCGACGACCAAGGACTGCCGTGACCTTGAGGCCGCTGTTGGTGGTCCACAGGTGCTTGCAGATCTTACGGGAAGCAGAGCCTATGAGCGGTTCACAGGACCCCAAATTGCCCGGGTGCGTAGTGCACACTGTATTCCCAGTATCCAATGAATGAGTATTGATTCTAACTCTGCGAAGATCCGTCGCCTCAAACCCGCCGCCTACCGTAACTCTGCGCGCATCTCTCTTGTCTCTTCTTTCATCCCCTCACTGTTCCTCGGGCATATCGCCCCGATTGAGGTCTCTGACGCGAGCGGGATGAACCTGATGAACGTACTCACATGTAAGTGGGACGACGCGCTTCTCGAGGCGTGCGGTGGTCCCGAACTACGTGCTAAAATCGGCCCTGAGCCTGTCCTCGGCGGCACGATTCTCGGACGCATCTCCCGGTGGTGGGTTGAGCGCTGGGGATTTAACCCAGGTCTGCGTTTCATTCTTCATTGGTTATAATGTCTCTCATGTGTTACCTATAGATTGCATAATCGCGCCATTCACGGGCGATAATTCTGCGACCGTCGTTGCCCTTTCCGCACCAGGTGATGCGCTCCTGTCCCTAGGCACGAGCACAACACTTCTGTTGAGCATTCCCCCTGCCGACTCGCCCCCTGCCCGTTTCACTACTTCGCACCTCCTCTCGCACCCTACAACCCCCGACGCACAGATTGCGATGCTTTGTTACAAGAACGGCGCCCTTGCGCGGGAGCAGATCCGTGACCGCTGTGCTGGTGCAGACTGGGCACGGTATAACGAGCTCGTGGAGCAGTCGCCGCAAGGTAGCTCTGGGTTCATGGGATTCTACTTCCCCCTCCCCGAGATCATCCCTCCAGGGGTTCAGGGCGAATTCGTATTTCAGTGTAAAGATAATGAGGAACCACAGCTAGTGCATGGACTGCGGCCAGATGCCTCACAGCACGCACGCGCGATCCTCGAGAGCCAATTCCTCAGTATCAAATCGCGCATTGCTGCCATCCTTCCGGCGCACTCACCGCCGTTGCAGCGGCTGATTGTTACTGGGGGTTCATCGGCAAACCAGATGATCCGGCAACTCGCAGCTGACGTGTTTGGGATGCGTGTCTACGTTGCGGAGAGCAAGGAGGCTGCGGGAACGGGAGGCGCAGTGCTCGCGAAGTTCGCGTGGTGGAAGGCGCAAGTTGGGGGCGCGAGTGGGAGCTTCGAGGAGATGACATTGGAAACAGGTGAGGTGGAGAGGATGAGGCTGGTTGCGACCCCGAAAGGCGAGGTGACCAAGGTATATGAAGGGCTTGTGGATACCTATAGGTGGTGCGAAGAGCGGGTGGTGAACCTATGTGGCGCTTGAAGCGTGATGCACTTTGCACCTGGAGTGGACGTTGTATCTACATATGTACTGGCAGACCATAGAGCATGCTTTCTTTACCTTGTTAAATAATTTTTATTAGAATGAGCGACCGTCTTCCTTCCGTCTATCAGATCTGGCTAGGGGAGACTACCACTGTATGAAGAGATCACCATAATTGGCATCTTCTGAAATTCAATCATATGTTCAAGTTGAGACTTTTTCAGTACACCTTCCATCGGGCACCACTACTGGTATGTTCATCAATCTGTTTTCTGGCTGACTCCATCACGATCTTTACGTCTACAATCAAAGAAATTGCACAGACGGAACATATACGTAATGTATGACCTGCACGACTCGGAGAAATCACACTCTCCCCCTCCCAAACGACCTATCACCGAAGTGCAGGCAGGGGGGTCAGAGTCCTCCAAACGCGTGAGGATTGAACACCAGGAGCCCGAGAAGACCCTACGTTCAACCGAACATGAGAACCCTTCCGACACTCCCGCCGCCGATACAAAGCGGGGAAAGCGGGATGCAGCGGGCTGGGCGAAGTCCAGGCGGGGAAAGGACAAAGATACGAAGAACAAGGGACGTAGGCGGGGGACGCGTGATCAGGATAAGGATGGCGAGAACGAGGGTCAGGAGCAGGGCCCTAGAGCCCCGCGCCTGCCTAAGAAACAGAGCGCGTTGCTTATTGGTTTCTGCGGGACGGGGTGCAATGGAATGCAAATGTACGCTGAATTTCTCTTGCGCCCTTATTTTCTCGGTTTCTTTCTGTCTTCTGTTCCTGCCCCACTAAGGAAAACATTTAATCTTTTCCTCCCGTCCCTCCGCTATGCCTGCACTACTGAACATGTGTGTGCAATGAAAATAGACAACCCAACGTGCGGACAATCGAAGGTGTCTTGTTCGACGCACTCGTGCGTGCTGGAGCAGTCTCATCAGATAACGCGGACGACCCCGTGAAGGTATGGCACATTCATCGTGCATGTCATAATGTGATGCTCAGAGGCTTCGTCTTTCCAGGTAAACCTAGGGCGCGCTGCGCGTACTGACGCGGGAGTCCACGCAGCTGGCAACTTGGTTTCTATGAAACTAATTACCGCGATTCCTGGGGTGGAAGACTTCGTAGCCCGTGTAAACGAAGAACTCCCACCAGAGATTCGTGTTTGGGGCTCGGTATGCATTTTCTCTCTTTTGTAAGGCAAGAAATAACTTTGAAGGGCTCAGGTCCGCGTGCAAAACTCATTCAATGCTCGCATGTGGGTTCCACGAGTGTCATTTCGCTGGTTTCTTACAAGCTCTCTTTCAGGTCTTGCGACAGTCGCAAGTACACCTACTTCTTCCCCTCGTACCTCCTTATACCTCCAAAGCCGGGATCCGGATTTCAGCGTGCATATGAACAACATACACAGTCCATGCAGGGTGTTGTCCCTCTAGATGCTTCCGCTCACCCCTTCTGGAGTGCACCTGAGTCTCGTTCTTCCAGCTCTATGGATGATCTCGTACGCAAGCGCTCGTGGAGGATAAGTGCAGATCAAGTAGAGCTCATCCGTCAAACTGCAAAGAAGTTCGAAGGGACACATAACTTCCATAACTTTACTGTTGGACGCGAGTTCGGAGATCGCAGTAATCAGCGGCATATGTGGAAAATTGAGGTAGGCTGGTGAGATTGTGGTTAGTCAACCTCTGATAGCATCTCGACAGATATCTGATCCTGCGGTCTATGGAGACACTGAGTGGATAAGCGTCCTCTTCCATGGGCAGAGCTTTATGTTGCATCAAGTGAGCTGGGTTTTTTCTGATAACGTCGCTCTTACTCATTTGTTTAGATCGTAAGGGTTGTACTTTGATAGCAGTGATACGATGATAAACTGGTCGCAGCGCAAAATGATGTCCGCTCTTATCTTGTCTTGTAGGACAGGTACACCAAGTCAAGTCATTGACGAGGTTAGCTTCCGTGTTACCTGATGAGGCAAACAATACAATTTAACCCTTTCCGCAGTTATACGGGCCGCGCATGGTCATGGTCCCAAAGATGCCTGCTCTTGGTCTCCTGCTGGAGTACCCAATATTTGACTCATATAACAAGAAAGTTACTTCGATCAATGGGGATCTCGAACCTTCTCATCCAGATCACCGACCCGAAATTGATTTCGAAAAACATCGAGAGTCTATCGATGCATTCAAACAGACCTTTATTTACGATAATATGCGGGGCATTGAGGACCGTGACGGGGTGTAGGTTCCTCTGACTGTGTTTGCTGCCACCTAAACTGATGAAGAGAAACAGCTTTGATGCCTGGGTGCGCTCTATCGACACGTATGGAGGTGATGATCTACTGTATCTGAACCCCAAAGGTATTATTCCTGCGGCTGCCGTTATAAAGAAGGGAGGTAAAAGAGATAACCCGTTCAAGGAGAAGAGAAGGTTTGACCTGACGAGTTTCCCTGATAAACAAGGAACCCCGAATGTAGAAGACGATGAGGAGACAGAGAGCAAACTGAACAAATCCCGCTTGGAGGATATGGAAGGCTAACTAGTAGTTGTGTTTCTTATCTTATATCACTTGCAAGGTGCACAATCGGTGCACAATGATATTTCAAGGACACAAAGCAATATAATGAGCCCATCTCTTCTACAGCCTGAGGTTTCAACCCCATGTGGCACAACCAATTGCTTGCTTGCTATATCTCCGAGTAACTGAACTCCTGGCACCCTTGGCATCCATATAAGCGTGTCCAACTCTCCGCGATTAACTGGTCCCCTACCGCACAATCATATTCAGCCGTACGCTAGTGCCTTTGTACAAGATGTGCAAGTGGGCTCGGAAGGCGCCTGAGCAACTTTTTGTACGAGACCTTACAGGTGATGCCCCACGGCTCGTAAGGGTCACTCGACAAGTGGACGTCGCGATCCGTATCGCGCAATTGCATAATATAAGGCTTGACGCGTGGCTCCCAGAACATGAAGGAGAAATACTGTGTTTTTGTCTTCCCACTTAGTTGAGAGAGGTTTCTGGTAGCCTGCCCATATGTGGCGAAGACAAATCACGGGAGACGGCACGTAAGCGATACCTCGTACAGCGTTGAGCAGGAAGAGAAGCCCTTCTGGAGAGACTGGGAGTGGAGTTCTGCGCGTCACCTGCACAAGCCACACAGGGCATAGTAGAATGCTAAGGTGGGCGATACTGAGGCCTGAGGGGCTTAAGGATGTTTCGTTGGATACCATATTAATCTGTGATTGCAGGAAAAGTGTTGTCAGCCTGAGGAAAGGGTTGGAAATAATCGGATGAGGGGAATACGTGTCACGGTAGCCATGGACGTCTTCATGTCATCACTTGTGATTATAATTGAGGGGTCCTTTACCTCGTGACTCTTCTTTGGGACTCCTTGGAGTGCTAATTCACGAATTGATTAGTGCTCCGTTGCTACATCATCATGATGCGGCATCCGCACTAGCCCGAAGTTTCCATGATGATGTCCATTGATACTTTTAATGTTAGGTTGTATTGCTCGTCATCAATAACAGCCGAACTCCCCGTTGAGGAGCCGTGCTTGGTACCTTTGGTGAACGCGTGCCTTCTAAATCGTGCGAGGTCCATTAGAGGCGCTTGAACCAAATCCACTGTGCACATAGTAAAGCAAGACTTGCATATATTTTGCTATGATCCCGTAGAACTAGTACCTGGACGACGCACTAAGGATAGTAGTGATAGGCTCTACTCAGTCGCCATGAGGTGAACACCACAAACAGAAGCGCGACATGCATGTACTGAGGGTGTCAAAGTACCGGAGCAAGTTGACGACAATAGGCCAAGAAAGCGGCGGACCAGTGACGGACGTCAAGCGGCATGATAACGACCGACATCATTCAGGACTGGAACTTCCTCATCAACTGTATCTCGTCGAGTAATGCTTGCAATCTGTCATCCTCGATCTTAACCAAACTGTACAAGAACGTTCGTCATCTTGGTATGAACAAATAAAATAAGAACTCGTGCGTCACCTTGGGATGACGCTCTTTGCCTCCTCAGCATCGACGGGGCACAAATTGGCGATTTGAGCGGTTTCGAATTGCGTCAGAGCGGGTTCACGTCGAAGAGTTCTAAGATGAAGCCAGGTAGGAAGGATAGACAGCAATAATGATAATAGAAACTGACTCTCGCACCGCGCTGGCGGAATCGGTGGTGTTGAATTTAGCAAACGTCTTCACGTACTCGAGGGTCTTGTTGTACACACTGGATAGAGGTAAGAACACGGACGAAGAGGAGTATAGAAGTCATACGCAGTGTCTGGCGCATCCTTGTCCCTATTTTCCAGTAGATACTTGACTTCAGAGATCAGCAAGCAACCAGCATTGTTGAACTCTGTAAAGAAAAGTGAGAACAGCGTTACCAGAAAGCACAAGAAAACACACCTGCTCCGAGCTTGAGTGCAGAAGCATCTTCGTCCTCTAGCTGAGGCCTGTGCCGAAGTCGGGTGGTCATGTTCAGCCACAGTAACAAGTTCAGTTTGTTTGGCAAAGACCTCCGAATATAACAACTGTAAGCAGACACAAATAATGATCATGGGCAAAAAGCACTTGTATTATATGTTTACACATTTTTATGATATATCTAGTGAAAACAACCTCGAATTCCCTGTGTGCGAATACATGCAACGATAGCAACGACATGCAGACTTAGCTAGCGCAAAACAATAGACACAACATGGGGCGGCATCACTGAAAATGCGTCAAGTCCACTTCGAGAGCTGGGAAGAATGAACTCACCTAAATCCTAAGTCGCCAGAGCAACAGGAGGAGAAACTTTCGGCACGTTTGAGCTAGCTTCATTATCTTCCACCGATACCATCGCCATTTTGTCAACCAAAATGGCATTGGCAACAGCCTCGCCGCGTAGCTTCTCGATCTTGTCCTTGTCCTGTGAGCCCCCTGGTGGACTACGGCTCTGAGGCCCCCCGGGTTTCCAAGCTCCCTTTGGATTGAATAACTCTACATTTCCCTTCGGCGGCGGCCTCTCAAATCCCCCATCCGTGTCCTCAAGTCGGGTATTGCATGGAGCGCCTATCGCATTAGATTGCGTGTTGGAATGATTGGCGAGTGCGTTTCCGTGCGAAGTGTTATTCCCTGGCATGAGAATGGATCGAGTCGATGATAGGTTCGTCCAGACACCTGCAACAGCCGGTGTGCGCTTCTCAGGCGTGGGGGACATAGTCGATAGAGGAGGGAAATCTGTAGGCTGAAGTGAGACAGATGGATTTTGATGGCCGCGCTGGGAATTGTTCCTGGCGGGAGACATAGTTCGGGAGTTCATGGAGTGATCGTGATGCCGAGGGTGGGTGGCGTGAAGTGTGGGTTGGGGTTTCAAGCCGACGGCCCAATCGGGTCTCGCGGGTAAAGGATGTTGGGATGAGGCGGACGTGAATGTCCTTCGTGAAGATGATGAAGTTGTTGAAGACGACTACAATAGGGGAAGTAAGTCAACAATAGAGGGGGCAGAGCCATGTAAAATAACTCACAGCTGTTGACGACGCTTCGTCGCCCGCTGATATCCTGCCACAGGCGCTTGTGTTTGAATTGCCAGAAGGTCTTCTAACCGATGAGCTCAGGCGTGGGCCCACCACCTCGCCACCACCAGGACGGCCGCCCGCATTGTTCACACCGAAGCCGCCCATGCCCACCCCTGGCCCATAACTCCAGGCACTACGCGCCGGAGGAGCCCCACGAGGCTTGGGACCCATTGAAGGTGAGTGGGTCAAGTCGCCAGGATACGACCGATTCGAGGGCATGGCGTCGCTGCCTCCAGCACCATTCATATATCCATTACCCGGATAGTGTCCATGGTTCTGAACAGCAGGAAGTGGTGATTGTGCGTGTGGTACGTGATGGGGCTGGGGGAAGTAGCCAGGCATAGGGTATGGACCATATGGTGGAACAGGAGGCGTAAAAGTGGAGTATTGCGACGCCGGTGGCGCGACCGATGGAGTAGGAGGTTGCTGCGCCGTATGTTGCATGGGAGGATGAGGAAGTGATTGTTGTTGCTGAGCGGGTGACCATGCGTACGGTACGTAAACGCCTGGATGTGCGGCATGTTGAGGAGAGGGATACGCCTCCATTGTCCCATGCGCCGCCGAATTGTCTGGTGCGTGCATGGGAGCCTGGGGGTGGGAGTACGGATAAGGGGCGTAGTAAGGATAACCAGGAATATAGTTTGAGGGAGGTGGTGGTTGAGGGTATGCGTACACATAAGGATTGACATAACCAGGTTGTACAGGGGGTTGGGCCCCATCGTACGGGGGAGCCGTCGGGGAAGGTTCATACAAAGTGGGGTATTTGAAAGAGGATGGTGATGGTGCTCTTGACCCTCGGGAGCTACTTGAACCACAGACGTTAAATACAGGTGCGCTCGATCGGAGGCTTCGCGCAGACCCGTTTGAGCGCTTGCTGTCCCTTTTATCGCGTGCAGCAGGTCCAGACCACTCGCTCTCCGTAGTAGGTGAACTGACAGATTCAATGTCAATGTCGCCGATGCTACTGGTCTCCCCAGCACTCGTTACAGAGCCAGAAGTAAGGCTGATTGTCGAGGAGCTAGCGCTCAAATCCTTCTCCTTGCATTTATCTCTCTCCTCGAAATCCATAAAAATGCGTGAACGTGCTTCATTATACGCGGCCTCGCGTTCTGCGATCGTCTTGTGCTTCTTGCTACTGCCAGTAGCATTACTTCGGCCACCCTGACTTCCAGATTCGGATGGCTCTACATCGGAAAGCTCAGCGTCTTCTCCAGCAATCGAACCAGCCTGTGAGTGTGGTTTTGACCGACCACGGTCAGTAGTAGACCGCCGCATGATTTTGATAGTTGGGTGGGTTGAGGGTTGGGCAGGAACGAGGGCCGCTATGCGACGGGTGGGGCTATATATGACCCGGGTGAGTTGTGATAATACGGTGTGAAAATATACGAACATTCTACTATCCACTGTAAGAAGGACGCTAATGGTCTTCGTAACGGGGTCAGTGTCTGGCGCCAGTTTATAGTAGGCAGAGCATCTGTGCACCAAAAGGCGTTGATATGATGTAGCAGGCATCAGATCAAGCCTAGGCCTAAAACTAAAACCCGTCAGTACATCAAAATCATTCGGCGTCAAAAAAAGCCGCAGAAACAGCTGCGCCGCGTGAGCACGCAGCACTTTGTCGCACATCGCGACGCAAAATCACCATGCACAATGAGCAGACAAAAAGACGCACCTTCGGTCATTGATTAAACTCTCCATCTGCTCACCGAGCTTCAGGACGTATATCCTATCTTTACTTTTGAGGGCTTCGATAATCTGGGGATCGACGTCGGTGAGAAATGTGCTAGCGCCCTCCAACTCTGCGAAAGTATCAGAATCAGAGCGCGACGGCGACTGGACATTTGCTGGTTCGATAAGAGGGGGTGATGTTGAAGTCATGCTTGGAGCGAGACTCGACTCTAGCTGAGAACTGGAGGATGTGTGGGACAATGCAGGAGATGGGGATGAAGAGCAGGAGATATAGGTCGCAGGAGATGCTGAAAAGGAAGGCGTAGATAGAGGCTCTGTATCGCAATACACAGCAACCAATGCAAATATCATGGCAATGTTCAGACCACGCATTCAGAAATTATTTGAAAGGGATCTAAAGGCTCAGACTCACGAAACGACATGGAGAATTTGAACAGTAAATGGTTTGTCGACGTCGTACACTGCAATTAATGACCTGTCTAAAGAAAAGGTCAGGACAAGAAGATTGGAGGCATCTGGTGGTCTAGGGGAGCGTAGGTGTTCGGGATGAAAGCCTAACAGGCCCCAAATCCCAAGCTCAATTCACCTCTTCCCACGACCCCAGTCTCCACAGCATGTTCTAAGGCACTTCCACAGTCCACACATCATTTGCCAAGAAGCAGATTATATTCTTCATATGATAACAAAATGTACATGTACGCGCGTATATTATACAGGATCTTCAGTGGGAGGAAACTTCTGAGGGATTAAAGATTCGGTAAATGTTGTAGCCCGAGCTGTTGAATCATATTAATAATACCTGTTGCCTTCAACAGCGACGTTACGTACCAGAATACAAACACACAGCACCCATACCCTGCTAAAGCGAGGGCAGCTTTGTTGAGCGTTCTGCTCACGCTGGGATCATCTCGAGAGATCTGAAACACATAGTCCTTAGCGGCGGTTCCGAAAAGCATCAGAAGTCAGATCCTCACCTTCCAGAAGAGTACGCCTGGAAGGATGAACGAAATAGTTGTGGATCCGGTGGTGCCAACGAAGGAGAGCACTACATCGGGCAAATAACCAAATCAAGACGGTCACTTCCTCAGCATCGACCAAGCAACGTACCCATTTGGAGGTTATCAACGAAGTAGGCAACAACGAAACCGAAACCGGTAATGGCAGCGGTCAGCAGCGTGTGCTTGAAAAGGGACATGTCGGCAACGGCATGATCCTCATCAACAACTTCATCATCATTATCACTGCCAGGAACCTTGGTAGGGGCTCCTACATGGAAAATCTTGTCCAAGCAGTTCCTGCAGGGTTGTACTTGCAGTGGATACGAGAACGTGATGAGCAGGACGATGGCCAGCTGCCCAATAGCGATAAATATCGATGTCGATGGATACATGGCGATGATGTTAGCGCCGACCTTGGTAGAAGTCGTTAGTGTACGCACGATACAAGAGCGAAAAACTATGATTCACGTTGGAACCAAAGGTCAAATAGCCAAAGAGTGCGATGACCTCATATACCAAGATGGCACTACCAATGGAAGTCCCAACAACGATATTCATGCGCTGCTGCGAGTTCGCCTTCAGTTCATTGAAGATAGGGAACAGCTAGAAGAACTATTTAGCGCATCATCATACCACAAAGAAAATCCATACGTTCTGGGCACACGTGAACGCAAAGACTTGCACAGGGAACGTCGAGATAAAGTTTGGCGTAAAGTGAATGAGATGGATTTCGCCAGCTGGAGCTGTACCTTCTAAAGGACTGAAATAGCATGTAATGACAATGGCCACAAGGTATACTAGGTCGCGCGTACGTAGTGTTAATCAGCTGTCTCAGTGAATGATACGACAGGTTTAGGCTCACCGACGGAAAACAGGACGATGTAACTCGCGTGTCTAAGGCTGTCCAAACGACGAAAGGATGCAAGAGGGACTAAAATGAACATAATGATCGTGATCCAATTCCGACCTGACAGGGCCCACGCAGGCGGATTAGTAGTCGGCGAAGTCAAATCATGGTATAATGATGCCACAACACTGGGCATGAGTGACTTGATGATTATGAGATAGCTAAATGCCGTTAGAATTACCTGAAGAATAAGCTGAGGAACGCTCACCTGATAGATACTCCGAAACACTTGATAGCTATCGCAGCATCGAAGAATATAGCAGCTTGCGGGAATGTAAGCTGTGCAACCGCGAAAAAGGAGCTGCTTCTATGCGGAGCGCGTCTAGCTGATAACGAGAGCAGGTACAAACCGAAAGCGCCAACACCACCAGAGAATATGCATGTGATGATTCCTGGTATGATACCAGAAGAGGCCATAGCCTGAATGACGTCAAATGAGCACAAAACCCCCCTACAGCTCTGCGAGACCTTACCAAAGGAAATGTCAGCATACCTGCATACAGGCCAATCAGTTCTAAATAAATTCATACATTGAACGAAGTACACACCACTGCCCATGATCGTATTTGTGAGGTTGCTCACGGAGCTCAGTATGCTCGCATGACCTTCCCTTTGCGTTGCTGAAGGAGCAGCATTCCCCCCAAGAAGGGCACTGTGCTCGCTATCACCTGCGGTTGCGTCAGCCGCCGTTGTGAGCACCGCTCCGTATTTCTGCACCATCTCGTATGAATCTAAGTCTAGGTCTAATGACTCGGAACTTGGGCTGGCAGCAGGAATCGAGTATCCGCTGCGAATTGGGTGGGATAACGCACGCACGGGGCTTGGCCAAGTACTCAGAGTCAATGATAGGGAGTGGATAAACTGAGCCAGCGTGTGAGAGAACGATAAAGAAGGCAAAAACAAGGAGCATTCCTCCACGAGGCAGCCGCACTTCATCCACGTGCTCACCCCGTTTGGTAATCCGTCTCCGAACTCAACTTTTACGTGGGTGCGAGACTACCATTTTACATACTTGATTGTTGTGAGACTCAGATCTCAGACATTGATAACGAGGTATACTATGACCACTACAGGCAAAGACGAAACCATATCAAAGCTGTGAAAAACAAAGATAACACGACGAAAAATAAATAAGTAAAATGCTCAATACCGAACACGACTATGACTACTTCCCAAGCGACCAGTCTGCCGCTCCTTCTGACGCGCCTGCATCCGCTGGTGTCGTAAATTCGTCATAATCTGCTTTCCCATGGGGGACAACTCAGAGGACGATGCAGGCGAGGGTTTGTCCTGCAAGTGCGGTGCACGGAAACCAAAGGGTCGCAAGGGTGTCTTTGGCTGGGGAAGCTGCGATGTCGCGTCGTTTTCTTTATCGCGCGGAGTTGTTTGAGCGGATGAAGATGCCTCGACTTTTGATTTGTTCTTTGCAGGAAATGACGCGCTTGCGAAAGAATGAAGTGACGAGCCGTTGCGTGCAAGGATAGGGGGCTGGTTATCAGCATTCAGATCAATGGTTTTAGAACGCGGAGATGAACGCGGACGAGAGGAAGCAGGTATCGAAGCGGCCGGATCTCCGCTGATGATGGTAGCAAAACCTGGATGTCTAGCATCCGCATTTGACTTCTCTCTGAAAGCGGGTCTGGGAGAAGTGCCCTGAGCCTTTATCTCTGGTAAAGGTGGGAAAGTATCCTGCAGCCGAGGCTGGCTGGGATTTGACTTGGATCGCGAGGGACTCTTGGTCAAAACGCGTGGACCGCGTGGACCTCGACTGCTTTGTCCACTGCTACTGCTCTGGCCAGTATGGTTGATAATTACAGGTTCAGACTCTGTGTGTACAATGTGATGTGGTGGCTCCTCGTTTAGAACTGGTGCAGCTGGCATAGACTGCGAAGGGGGAAACACGAGTTGTGAAGTGATCTCGGCATGAATGGGTTCAGATAATTGAGTATCGCTAAGAGGAGGTTCGACACCGTTGGATGCCAGGTCTGACATGACGCGTGAGAGGCTAGTAACTTTTCGCGTCGGCAGCCTCGAGGGACGCTCTTCAGGAATCTTTTTCTTGTCAGCGAGAAACCCGAATATCTGCGAGGCACGTTGGGAAGTCATTGGATTCTCATAAGGCGGATTGGCGTGGGCATGGTGCGTAATTTCAGTGGAGGCGCTGAGCTCCACTTCAAGAGAGGAGAATGTGGGTTGATTTTGTGCAGAGGTGTCGCATTCAGTAGAGAGTGTGATGCTGTGGTCAGCGTAGCCGAAGGGAGAGGAATGGAAATGGGGATCGCGTGGTGTTTTAAGTTGAGGGGAAGATGTCGAAGAATTATCATCTGTTTCACTGGCGGATAGTCAGGAAATGATGAATTAGGAAAAACAAACTGTCACTTACCATAGGACATTCTCAGCCCATTCAATGTCGCTGTCATCGCGGTGCTCAGAGCTAGAAGGGTAGCCTAATAGCTGGCTAAAGGTTGAGCCAGTACGACGTCTTTTCAGGCGTCTCTTGTCTCCTGCGACAGGCGGGGTATTAGAGAAGACATGAGAGTCTAAGCATCCATTCTCATCATAAGCATTGAGCAAGCTGGCGACGGATGGGTCCTGGCGAAGGCGAAGAAGACGGTTCTGATCGCGGGGAGTGATGGGTACGCTTTTAGAGCGGCGTCGTGCAGAGTCGGTTATATTTCGTCTCGGAGTGACAAGATTATCCATAGGAGGGTATGCATTCGGGAACTCAGTGCGGCTGTGTACTGTGCGACCGTGTACGGTGACTGTGTAAGTGCTGCGTTGGAAAACGCTATTGATGGTCGCTGTGGATGCAGCAGGCGTCGGAAGAACATTGTTAATGGGATGAGCTAGGGAAAAGATAAGTATTCGAGAAGAGATATTGGTCGTAAATCGCTTACGGAGAGGTGGAAGTGATGCGTAATTCAAGCCTGATTCAACGCCGCAACGCGCAGAAGAGGAGCGCAAAAGTCGGCTTACTGCCGCCTCAGCATCTTCCTCCCCTCGAGGCTGCAGGTACTGGGGTATAGATTCAAGGTCATGATGCACCAATTCTCGTCTCTTTGACTTCTTGTTCCCAATCGAGAAGAATTTCTTTAAGAATCCCATGTTAGTTATTGGTTTCGTTGCCCGGTTTATGGACGTGGTTTAAACAGCGTAAAGGATCGTAACGAACGGAAGAAAATGCAAAGAGTCGATGATCTGCAATCTCAACTACAACCAAATAGTTCACAACAACACATATGCGCGTCGTATTCAGCACGTGATATTGATTTTCATTCTTCCGCTGTACATCATGATTGCGGTAGGACTAGTAAAGGTGCGGTATCCAGCGCAGGCGCCACACTTCGGTTTATACGCCAGGTGATACACGTCCTGCACTCAAGCTGAACGACAAGTACCCCTGCCATGGACAAAGATCACTTATTCTTCGTATCGAGTTTTCGAACAGAGACCACGGGGCAAATGGGACGAAACTACTATCTCCCAGTCCGAAACCAACACATATCGTCGCTGTACTTGATGCAGTAGAAGAGATATTTATACTGGTCCCAGGACGCTCAGGGACAGGTTATAGCGGCGTCTCTCAGTACGGGGAAGGATGCCTGCCCCCATCGCAAGAGATAATGGTGTTCCTATTGAGGTTCAAATTTGCTCCGTATTTTCCCAGTTTAAAGAAATACGCGTCTCCCTGCGCATGCCCCTTGAAGAAGCCACGAACGAAACGGAGGGCCCAATCAGCGCGCCGGTACCGCAGTTCTGGAGATGGGGCTTCTTGGAATGATGTACGAATCTTTTGCGAACAAGTTCAAGAGACGCTTGCAAGAAGGAGGATTGGTTTAACGCTGACGTCGTTCCCAAAATAGAAGCGCTCCCAGATCCTAGGAGGGACCAGTGATCGATAGAGTAGGGTGAGGCCTATGACAAGTTCCAGTTCGCAGTCCGAAGTCTCCGAGTATGCTTCCGATGGGCCGCAGATTCCACTGAGGACCAATCCAACAAACACCTTGCCATGCAGCCTCTCAGAACCATAGTACCCATGATCAATCATACCGCACTCGCTCTTCAAAGCTTGTTAGCAGATGAAGGAGGTACATACCGAATACCAGCATGAGAGACCGAGATATGTATGTATGTTATCAGGTCCGCTTGATCGTGACTAGCTGACATGGACCCTTGCGCACCAGACCACCTATATTTCTGCTCCGGAAATATCGTTACAAAGTTTTTTTTTATCTGAGTCACCATGTAGAAGCGCTGCTGAGAATTGTCGCGTGTTCATACCACATGGGTCACGTTCTGAACATCCTCGAACTCCAAGTCGTTCAACTCGAAGAACAAACTTCCGCTTCCCGCGTCATTGCCCCATCATCCAAGATATTCTCGCGGAGTTGCGCATAAATTCCAAGACAGTTAAAGAAGTCACTATACACGCCTGGTCTATCAACGTCTCAAAAAAGGCGTGTTTCAAGGGCAAAAAATACTCTTCACCTCGCGAGTCCATTGTGAAGCGCTGCTCCTCAGGTATCTCTCTCTCAATGCCATGTATCCTCCTTTCGGCTACATCGGGAATCTGAAGCTTCGCTGTAACCCTTGCTTCGCGTTGTTGCAGGCATAGCACAACGAAATAGTCAAACCAGGAGATATGAAGTCCTTCGTAAAAGGCTGCCACGATAAATTGGATACGCACTGGAGTGCTCTCACATTCGATGTTGACCTCTGGAAGCTCAAGGGTATCGTAAATGGGCGGATACTCAGCATGACTGAGTTAGAGAAGTGTGCTACCCACTTTGCTAAATGTGCCCTAAACTCACTCCTGTTACAGACAGATTCAACATATTTACGACTCTACCACGGAGGAATACCGAGGAGTTGGCGTTTTGATCGCGAGGGCTGCGGTGGATTTGTATGATTTACACGCTGGTCAGCGAAAGGCCATGTTGTAACCCTTTTCGTGTATTGTGGGCGGAGTTCTGCAGAACAACAGCGTCGGCTTTCGTTCAGCAATCGTTGCCGCAGAATTTGTTTATCCAAATCAATAAGTTAGTGCTTCGACCCGACGCCCCCTATGAGTGAACTGAGCAGTCCCTAGGTGTCGGAGTGACAACACGCTGTGAAATTAGATGAACCATGATATCAAATATTTTGAGCGGCCTTGTCTTTGGTAAGTGCTGCGCTTTGGTCAGGTTCACATGGTAGGGAATTCAGCTGTAGTGGTCGTACGCTTGCTTATATACTGGTTGATTTTCCAAGCACGTGACGAACGCGTCGCGATCGAGTTTGTTCTTCGTGCGCGCACAAACCTTAATATTCCATTGATATTCCAGGGTATAAATACAGCGTGCCCCCGCATATCAATCTCAGTTCAGCGATTCATTCCCCTCTTCTACGCGTAACAGCATATTCTTACGATCTTCATCCTTCTCAATCAGCATCTACCATTATGATCTCTTCCATTACGACTATTACTGCCCGCGTCGCCGTCACTGGCTTTCTTACTGTCTTTTGCTTCAAACGGACCGTCGTCGACAATACCGCTCAGGTCCTATCCGAAGCAGAGAAGGTCTCCGCTGGCCTCATCGCATACTCTATCTGCATGTCGACCTTCACGCTTGTTCTCGCCGCCGACGCAGCTGCACAGAGGATTCTCAGCAAGGACGCCAAGGACATGCCCGCCGCTCCGAAGGACGGCGACGCCGACTTTAATCCTCCATCCACTAATGACAATACCGCCTCCGCTACACCTAATCCTGTCGCACTACATTATTTGCAGCCATCTCCGTCTCCATCTCCATCGCGTTCAATCGAATTACAACCATCTCCAGCTCCATCATCGCGTTTAATCGAACCACAACTATCTCTGCCTCCAGCTCCGCCGCATTTAATCGAATCACAGCCACCTATGGCTCAATCTCTCTTTTCTTCGCATTTAATCGAATCAACGGAAACCATATCCATTCCAATCACCTGTTGTACTTGTACGCCTTGCATCAATCTCACTTCGCCGAACCTCTACTGCAAACGTCTGTCTATTGATTCCAACATCACACTCCTACCCTGCGACAACGACTTCATTACCAACAACTGTAAGTTATTTGATGACCAAAGCATTGTCCATGACTCGGAGGTAAGACGCAGCGTAGCCTCAATTTCAGCATTACCTGATGCTTGAGTTTCTAGGATGATCGTTCTGAAAATCAGCCGCTCGACATCCTGATTTCGTTAATGAACGCTCTCACTCTCGATGACCCGCTTCGCCCATTCAAGCTTCGACCACTCATTCTAGTCACCAAGCGCAACACAACACCTACTATTCTGTATCCTCCGCTCCTCGAACCCACATATCCTATGGACGCATCGACCCAACGCATGCAGGCGCTCTCTCTCTCCGATCGCCCGCCTTCCACCTCAAAGCTGAAGCCTCTAATTCTGGTTACGAAGCACACAGCTGGTCGATTGAAGCCTCTCTCTCATAGCACTCTATGCGCTCTCACTCTCGATGACCCGCCTCACCCATTCAAGCTTCGACCACTTATTCTGGTCACCAACCGCAACACAACACCTACCCAACGTATGCAGGCGCTTTCTCTCTCCGATCGCCCGCCTTCCACCTCAAAGCTGAAGCCTCTAATTCTGGTTACGAAGCACGCAGCTGGTCGACTCAAGCCCCTCTCTCCTAGCACTCTACTTTGACAGCCTACGACCAAATCGATAATGCAGACCCGGACATCGGCCTTATTCACTGTCCCCTACGACCTGGAGCTCACCACCCCAAGTGTTTTAAGGCTGCCTCTGCGCTCGCATACACCGTACGCGCACCATGTCTCCGACATCAGGTCCCCTACGACCAATCCGGACGACGGCCTCCTTCTGTCCCCTACGACCGGAGCTTCACCGCCCACGAAGTTGAAGGCCACTACCAGCCTATGCACACACCATCTCGCACATCTTCGACGCCAGAGGTCCTCACGACCCAATTTCGACGACATACTACTCGGCCTTCTTTATTATCTCCTACTAGACGATATTCTATGGCCACCGCCACGGTCACGCACGTATCTATCAGAGGAAGCCAATTTTCGTTTTTCTACTACCTCTTCGATCTGTATTTCCCTTCAAGTTGACTGGTACGACTCATGGACTCATCTCTGGCATGTATGTTTCATTATTTTCGTTCTTTTCTCTACGTCATCATCGATTTTTTTTCTCCTTTACTGGTACGAGACAGACATTGGACTCATTCACTCTTATCACGGACTTATCTCTGGCACGCATTTTTATTCCTCTCATTTCCTCCTCGATATAGTGACCTCCGATTTGTGTTCTCCTTTTCTGATACGAGACGGACAACGGGACTCATTTTCATTATGGACTCATCTCTGGCGTGTATGTTCATTCTCTACATCTTTTTTCCTTGACTGGTACGAGACAATATCGGACTCATTTAGTTTCATCACGTACTTATCTCTCTGTGGTATAGATCTTTCAGTCTTTCAATTTTTTTATCTACACGGTAGCCTTGTTCGATTTGTTTCCCCCTTTTCTCATACGACTCCGCGTGATGTATGTCTATTTCATTGATCTTGTTATATTATACTTTATTTTGTGCATGTATGAGGACGAATACAAAAAGCTTTGAATATGACTTCTTCCGCATGAACATCAGCATTAATTCAATGTGATCACCGATTAATAGGCTGATGAAACCTGTTTGGATTTTGTGCTCATCCAGTTAGCATTAATGGGGCGCCTAGTACACACGCGCATACTCATCGTCTGTGCCACAGGAGTGCTAGTGAAGTCTGTTTTTGACTAGGCTTCTGGCCCCGCTCTACATCTGGAACCCATTACGATTAAAGAATTCTGACCCTTCCAGTCAAGATTGTTCGGTCATGTCGCAGAATTGTTAGAAGTGTTGAAGGACAAAGGCAGAATGGGCTTGAGATTGGCATCCTTGTTTAAGCATCCTAAAGGATACCGATGAATACATCGAGTCGGATGTCATCGACGAATTTGAATCTATCTCGAAGGCCTCTTTAGTGGTAACTAGCACAAAATGACGGCGTGTAGTCAATATATTCACTGATCAATCACGCATTCATGTTGCGTAGTCTGCTTTCTGGAGGTTCGTTGGCCGCATCAGGAATTTGTCCGTCAACGCAGAGTTTACCGTGCTTGACAACTTGAATTTTGTCACACATCCGGTAGTGCCAGTGTCGGCGTCACTTTGGTTAGTCCTCTGAATTTTCATGGGGTCTTTCGCTGCTCTCGCGCGCGAAGGACCTTCTTGCTGGCTAATCTTGCGGCCTGCACTGTCGCGAGGCGTAGTGAGATCAATTAATTTCAGAATTCTTATCACGAACGCGACAAAGTCTTACCTGATAATCATATTTTGTACTTACCTCCGCAGTTCTACTCGAACGCTGAGGTATTTTATCTCGGCGTGCTTGCCGGTTCACTAGGTTCAAATCTAGTCCTTCGATTCTCGAATGATGAACGACTTTTTTCACTTACATAATGGATGGACGATTCACGTGATATGGACGTTTGAAAGTGGAACCTTCGAAGTTATGCTGTTTCTGCGACGATGCCGACGCCGCTATTGGTCGTGGGCAGCACTGTCCGCGACTTTTGTATGCTAGAGCGAAATTTCTTGTCACATATCAAACTTGTTCTATTGTTGTCGCTCATGTTCGCCTCGGCGTTGCTTGGAATCCGTCTCCCTGGACCTCCTGGCACGGGACAGTCTGGTGATAGCTTGGGGTCTTTCGGTTTACCCATCGCGATTCTCCAGTTTATCGCTGCCATGCTTACAATCGCTGCAGCATTCTGGGAGTACCATACAGGTCTAGATGATTTAATGAAAGTTAGGGCATTCTTTGTTGTAAACAGGCAAGTCTGCAGCTTCAAAGACCCTCTGATTATGCTGATAACAGTCGTCCGCAGAATACATCATATCATTATGGCAGCTGTCACGACCATTATTGTGGCCACATGTATCATATATGTGGTCAAGAGCAGTTAGTGTTTGCCAGGTGTGGCAACTCTTTCGTGACTTGCATTATCGTTTCTCATGCTCCTTCCATCAAGGGGCATCCCTCGTGAGAAGGAATTGTGATTCGCGAGAGTGTGTGGCCCATGACTTCGTGTCATCATTCCCGCGATATCATCCTCCCTCCTCGAGGCAGATAACGACCAAACGGACCACGGTGCTGTGCAAAAGTTGTTTCACTTTATTGTCTTTGCATTGGGATACGTTTCATTGAAAGTTTCAATGCATTCTGGTACCTCTCACGCTCTTGTATACTATACTCAGCTGTATTCGATACATCTTTTCGAACTCTGATGTGTGTGAGACTCTTGCTTCGCTGACCGGAGCGGTTTTCGCTACAAGTGGCAAGCCAGCACAACTCTCTCGATTACGTGATGGGCTCGCGGAGGTCAGGAGAAATCCTCGTTCCACGAAAAGACCCGGGAACCACCAAAGTGTCCTTAAAGTGTCACAGACCCCTTGCTCTTGACGTTATCACACACAGTCTTCTTTCTTTCTTTCATCAATGAGAATCAGCAAAAAGATTGAGCAGTCCAGCAAGGAGGGCAAAATATGGTGGTCATTCGAGTATTTTCCGCCTCGGACAGCTCAGGTACGACTTCATCGCGGTCATCACACATGCAATTATCTGGAAGATACCTGTTCATAGGGTCTGGAAAACTTGATTGATCGTATAAAGCGCATGACCTCATTGGGCCCAGAATTCATTGACATTACATGGTAGGCGTTTATCTTTAAGATGAGCGACCACTTTACGCCCTGTGAATAGGAACGCTGGTGGCCGGACGTCTGATCTCACTTCACATATGGTGAAGACGTGTCAAAGCTCGGTGGGTATAGAAACATGCATGCACTTGACGTGTACGAACATGCCTAAAGAAAAAGTTGACATTGCTCTCCGGGTGTGTATCCGCGTGCGATTCGTCTGTATGTCCACTTGAATATTTATTACAGGAAGCAAAAAAATCCGGTTGTCGCAACGTCTTGGCCCTTCGTGGTGACCCACCCCAAGGAAAGGATGAGTGGGAAGCAGTCGAGGGTGGTTTCGTGCATGGTATTGACCTAGTCAAGCACATCCACAACGAGTACGGGGACTACTTCGATATCGCAGTGGCCGGTTTTCCTCAGTTCCATCTCCTCCCGCCCAAAGAACGCGACCTCGAGATGAAGTACCTTAAGGAGAAAATTGATGCAGGCGTCAACTTCATTTTCACGCAGATGTTCTACGATGTCGATCTCTTCATCGGCTGGGTGAATGCAGTCAGAGCAGCTGGAATCACAATACCAATCGTTCCTGGTATTGCTCCTATTCAAACGTGGAATGGCTTTTTGAAGGCGACGTCTCTTGCGAACACCAAGATTCCGCAATCTTTCTGGGACGCTTTAGAGCCCCATAAAAACGACGACCAGAAGGTTCGGGAGATTGGAACTAAGCTCGTAGCAGAAATGTGCCGGAAGATTCTCGCAGCTGGCCTCGGTATCCAGGGTCTTCACTTTTATACCATGAACTTGGAGAAGGGAACGAAGATGTTGCTGGAGGAGCTGAGCCTCATGCCTCGTGTAGAGACTATCAAGCCTTTGCCCTGGAGACAAGTATGCGGACTCCCTCCACCGCTCAATTCCTTATTCTCATATTCTGTTTCAGTCGCTGACACCAAACCGACGGCAAGAAAACATCCGTCCTATTTTCTGGGCGAATCGGGCCGAATCATACCTTTCGCGTACTGAGGACTGGGATGAGTTCCCCAATGGACGGTTTGGTGACTCACGGAGTCCAGCGTATGGCGAACTCGATGGATACGGCATCTGGCTCAAACAAACGGCGAGTAGCATATAATATAAGTCATCGATCCAGTCACTGACTCCTACTACAGAAAGAGGAAGCTCTGAAACTTTGGGGAGAACCAAAGACGTTCGCAGAAGTCGCATCATTATTTAGTCGGTTCTGTTTGGGTGATCTCAATGCTCTCCCGTGGTCAAATCAAGCAGCGTCTTCCGAGACCTCCGTCATCGCCTCGCAACTCGCCAAAATGAACGAACTTGGCTTCTTGACGATCAACTCTCAGCCTGCCGTCAATGGCGCAAGGAGCGACGACCTACAGTTTGGTTGGGGTCCAAGTAATGGGTACGTGTACCAGAAGGTAAGCACGCGCCCTCGATATGCAAGAGCTCCCTCTTGACTCATCTGCCATCTACTAGGCGTATCTTGAATTCTTTGTCGGCCCTCGATTACTCGAAATCCTGCTCTCCCACATCGACCGCGACAGCAATATGACGTACTATGTCATCAACAAGCAAGGTGACCTGAGGACGAACACTCATTCCGACGGACCTAACGCTGTCACATGGGGCGTTTTCCCTGGCAAGGAGATTGTTCAACCGACAGTTGTCGAGGCTCTGAGCTTCATGGCGTGGAAGGTGAGTTGCATTTGGCTCGCTACGATCCTTGTTAATATCGCCCCACAGGACGAAGCATACGAACTAGGTGTTAAGTGGGCCAACGTTTACGAGGCAGAGACGCCATCACGCAAGCTCATGATGGAGGTCTTCGAATCATCATACCTCGTCAACGTCGTCCATAACGATTTCAAGGATCCACAAGCCATCTTTGAGCCCTTCTTCAAGGCAGGCGCTGAGTACGCAGCTCAACACACCAACGGCTCTGCTGCACCCCAGGCGCTTGCAAACTAGCCTCGATTCAAGAACAAGATCTATTTCGCATACCCTCACCTTCTGCATTGCGGGTTCAACCCCCGTATGGCATGCATTTCCAGCAGTGCTACTCGTACTACTAATATTTGGCATTCACCCATATCACTGACAGACAGTCCTCATTTCATCGCATCAACTGCCACAGCTTGTATATCAGCCACCACTGCATCAACTGCACACTGCATCAACTGCACGCATCCTCTCGATATAGTTTCCACGAGACAAGGGATGTCTATTGTAAAAGCCGTATACGAGCAACTAATAGGATTGTTTACATGATTACCCGTGATCCAATCTCATCACGTCTGGATAGACGTACCAGTCATAGATATAAGAGAAAAAATACACCCAATCTCTCATCGCATTAGATAAGATCTGAGAAGAAGAAATCGGTATTGCTTGGAGGAGGTCCCGCCACCAGTCCACTGGGTATATCAACCTTCTCGCCTGATAGATCTGGAAGAAGTTATGGATTTCCTCTGCGGCACGAGAGGGCGATCGACTCACCAAGAAGTTTAATCTTGAGGCCGATTTCTGTCAATGCTTTGATGTACCCTGCTGTCTCTTCGGACGTGACATGACCGCTGTCTCGCCGAAGCATGTTCAGCCCATCAGTCCAATCTGCCCAGCGGGACTGATCCGACGCGATTTGGTCCGCCAGGGAGCCTTCGGTGGCCGTGAGGAGCGAAAATGACAAAGGCGATGGGGCGAGGTTATTAGGCGGAGGTAGATCGAGGTGATCTCGCAAGATGTTTGGCTGAGATGCACATGTGCCTGTGGCGATCTGAGTGATTGCTGCGATCTCAATCCGTTCTGGTAGATCTTCAAGTCCATTTCGAACAGGGAATTGGACCGCACTGTCCACATAGTGGAGATATTTCAGGCCGTTGTCCTATCGAGCCAATGAGCTTACTTTTGGAATCACGCATCAGATCCATACCAGTCGCATGAATCTCCATTGTCCGTTTGGCCGCCGCGAGAGGCTGTTGGATGGTGTAGGGATGCCGTTGGCGAACCATGCCCCTTGAAACAGGCACTGTATTCGTTGTTGACGGACGAACTCGGCGGACTCGCGGGTGATCTTCTCTTTCAAGTTTCTTAGTTTCCCACTATCAGCTAAGAACCCCGGGATCAGATTGCAACATTCTTACCGCACAGGAACCTTGCTTAGAAGGTCGTCTTCTGCTTCAAGCTCTTGCATCTGCCTGTCCCTTACAGCGCGGTATTCGCAGTCGAGGAAATCGCGCTCCACCTCGTGCCATGGCTTGTTATTTTCCCTTTGCAGAGCCACCTTCACCCTTGAGGGAATCAGCGGTGAACGCCACACTGATTTGGAGAGATTATGACATACTGGCTTCGAGCGAGCGCCACAATACGAGAAAAATCACCTGCCGCAGAGCCACTCTCATTCCACATCCGCAAAAAAAATTGCGTGGCGAGAGCATGGACCCTGTAAAAATTGAGGAAGAAAGGCTGGTATGTTGTTGATGTTGAATCTGAGGATGGGTATGTTAGATGAGTTGCGTGCTCCGCGACAGATTACGGAGGGCTAACATGCAGGAGCGAAAATCACCCAATGCTCTGCAAGCAATTCAACAATTTCATTCGAGGCCCTTGCAATGGGGCACCGCCTGTCTACCGGACGGCTCAACTGTTCCAATATGACCTGACGACGATGTTAGTGTTGGTTTTTTGATGATTAGGGAGAGCAAAGAAAACACACTTTTGAGAACAGATCCGGGTCGTCTGCAACAAAATTACGCTGGGATACGATCGGTCAGGGGGTCATACGGCGAGAATGACAATGCTCACCAAACAATCAAGCCCCAGCTCTCCCACTTCTTGAAACTCGGATACCAGATGCTCGCTTGAAAATCCAAGCTTCCGCCACTTCAACACTTCACCATCGTTATCTCGCCCTTCCTGAACTCTGCTACAATTCCATATATATTCAAGAGCAGACTCATGAAGCGGCTCGACTTCGGGCTCGACAAGCGTCGATTTCTTACGGTATGTCACACGCACGATATTGGCTTGGAAATCGAGAATCGAGGACGTAAGGTCATCTATATTATGTGACGACATGAGTCGCTGAAACACTCCGTGAGTGGCCCGTGAAACACAAATTGGGTGTCACGCACTATGACCGCTTTCCGAACGTTGAGCCGCTCTAGTTCAGAGATAAACTCATCCCACTCCGTATCATTGACATGCGAAAGCAGGGAATTGATCAGCATCATACTACAAACATGTCAGTGCCTGTCTTGTTTGAACTGCCTGTGTTGCGCATACCTATGTAGAATCATCGCAGTATCCGCGCTTCCAAGCCGATTTACGACAGTCTCCAATGATCCTTTCTCCCTCCGCATCTGCTGGAAAACGATCTGGAAACCGTACCGATACACCGAGCCAGGTGGTGCAACAGGGGGACTTCTACTCGAGCTGGCGATCAGCGGTCCAGGCGCATTCATTGGGTCAGCTTCGACAAGCTTCTTTAGAATGGCAGTGGCGGGGCGGCAAACATTGATGAGGGAACCCGGAGAAGACAGAATCTGGACGACTTTGAAAACGAAAGTGTTGTCGAGAGTTGACCAGCCGTAGTCCAAGTCCATCAGGTTGTGCATTGCTTCGAGAGCGTACTGAAATAGATACTTAGGATCTGGCCTTGCACTTGGTCAAAATGACACGCACTGCAAGTGTGTTTCCGTGGTCGGTGCAAATAATATCCGCGAGTACAGAAAGACCCCCACGAGTCAAAAATTCCTGAACAAACTTTTCTTCCTGAGAGCACAGTTACTGTTGACACGAGCATCTACGAATGAATAAATTTGACGTACTCTGATGAACTTCTTTAATGACCAAATAGATATTTTGAAGGCTTTCTCATCTCGGATGATAAGTTTCTGGACGATTTCTGCTGCCTCGATATTGGGGGCATTGACCAGTCTGTAGAGCGTTACAGATACAGCGGCATCAGTAATATATCTCGATCATGATCCCAGTATTACGCACTTGAGATTCGCTTTGTTCTTGATCTTCTTCCGTAAATTCTCATTCACGATCAGTTCATCGGTATCTTTATCCCTCAAAGCGAAATTGGAGGAGGGCTCTGTAACTTTGAGATTAACGCAGAGCTGCCGGACTACATCATCGACGGTGAGTGTAGGGTCGATTCGAGTGCGAACGGTCACGCCCTCCTTGGTGGTAACATTGTTAGTTGGAATAAGTCCTGTCGACCTGGGACGCGTGCTATTCGTTGCAGGCGGTGCGAGAGTCGTGCGAGAAGCGCCAGGCGCTATAGAACCATTGGTAGTCGACATAAGGATATATGCGAGGTGAGAGCGAGATGGAGATATTAAATGAATAAAGATGGTTTATCGGGGCGAGCTAGGATCCAGTGGGATATTCCTGAGGAGATGGAAGGCGGTTATTATAAACGGACGTATTGCAAAAAGTTGTGGTCAGGTATGGAATACATCGTCTTCACCACGCATCGTAAGACGCGCGGCTCTGACTGACGTGCAAATATTCTCGAATTTCATCGCGCCATCTGTAACGAAAGAGCAACATACTCACAGTATTTTCTTATCCAAACCCCGAGACATGCACTGGCAAGCACTGACTAGACCTGAAAGAGGGAGATGAGTATTTGAATGTGGATGTGGATGCAGGAGATGAATGTAAAGGTCAGATTATGCTGTGTATCGTCTGCATGTAATGAAACATTCGGCCTGACGTGCAAATATAAAGATAGAAAAAGGCTCATCAGATAGAGCTACTCCGGATGGTCACTCACCGAATTCGAGTGCTCTGAGACTGCCAGCCGCCTGGGGCAGATGAAGGGAACGAACTAGCGCGATATGCGATGAAAAGGAATGGACGGTGGTGGGATGAAACGTGGAATAGCCTTGAAAATCTGATCAGCAGACAGGCAGTAAACAGGTGATCTGCACTGCAGAGCGGCGCAAACACGAGACTTTGATGAGCACCGCCTAGCTCTCCACAACGGCGACGACGACAAAGTTTGAGCAGAAATCAGTACAAACAAGACGCGTTGAAGCGCGCAACCAGACTACCGTGAGATCCCGTCGCTTTGATCATCCATCGCATCATTTCTTAGACTACTTCACAGGCACTCGACGATCATCGCAACGATAATGATCTGCACGACAGCCGAAGGTTCTCTGAACCCATTCAGGACGAAAATCAACCTGAAACCTTGTGAATAGACACATTTCTATTGACTCTGCAACGTCACTGTCGTACTACTACGTACGTACGGTTGCAACGAAGGTCTGGACTCTGAACAGGGACGAATCAGCCGCGTCGCGTAGGCTGAGCTGCCAGTGAGTGGAAGACGTTAGGTGAGGACCACGGCTAGAAGTCTCTTTGGCTGACCTCATGTGTAGCCAATTATTGTAGATCACAATTAGTACACGATGTACTTACTTGCAATTGCAGAGCAATTCATGACGGTGCCCGGCACAAATATCAAGTCAGCCTCTTTGAACGTCATGCACACACTGAGCGGCTGACTACAAAACGAACCTGTTGGTCTCTCTTTGTGCTAACTTCTGGACTACCGTACTGGTTTACCTTCACTGCCCGTTGTTCACCATGTCGTCCCATATCTTCCCAAAGTCTTTCGCCGTCCAACGCTCGGATTCTCCAGCGACATCAAGTGTGAGATCATCGACAAAGAAACCTCGACCCATCCTCCGAGACTTGCGAAACACTCTGGCTCTGCAGGCAGCTGAGAGCGGTCGTTATAGTATTGAACAAGGTGGCCCCTTTGACACTTCCTCTCCCCCTGTCACAGAAAGTTCCTCCTCCCCCGAGCGTCGTAGACACCACGAAAATGGCAAGTATCGATCCAGCCCCATTGCCTTCCCTATTACCCCGCAGACTGCACCGCTTAATATGCTAGGGTCCGCACCTGCCGATGCGCTTGCCTTTCACGTTTGGAATCGCGAAACACCTCTCGAGGAAGAAAACGTCTTCAATATCAAGCGTACCTCATCGATGATCACTTCGTATTCTGATCGTGGAAGCCCCAATATCGACAATACGCCTTCCCCTCTAGAATCCAGGCATGTTGCCATCCATCAGTCTACCCAACCGCTCAGACTGTGGCGTGTTCCGCTGAACCGAGGCGTCGTCGACCAGAAAGCCCTGGTCTTCACCATCCCTCCGTGCTCTCCCACAATCTCGCTCAGCCCACCTGCTGCATCAAGTTCTCCGATATCTAACCTTGTTTCCAAACGTTCTGGTAGGACGTTCAGGCTCATCCCAACTCAGGATGACCGCTTCGTGCATGCTGTTGCAACCGACCTGACTGACCGCATCGAAAGCCCGTTGGATAGTCCGTGCTCGTCCTCTCCAACACATTTCGGCTTCCCTCCCGATATGCTCGCACTGCTTCAGGAACTCGATGAACTTGCCGGTTGGGTCCAGGATTTTCCATGCCCCAAAGGGGCTTCGGGGGCACTCGATATCCTCACCATTGGCTCAACTGTACCTGTGTCATGTCCGCATGCGCTCCAACGGCTCGGAAATGATCTAGGTGACCATATTCTTCAAAAACCCGTGTTGTCGGATAAAGGTAAGAGGCGGAGGATGACCGAATCCACGGATGATGATCTGTCTGAGGTAAATCAATTTGCTTTGTTGGCATTTTTCCAGGATTGATCTAGATTGATCTCAGTTGAAGTGCCAATTTCCAACCAGCCATTCGGCTATCCCACCAGCCAGCACACCCATCGCAAGGCGGCGATCAGCTCGATATATATACGAACCTCGGGTACCTATCTTCATTTCAGATCATATTCTCCAGATTGACGGCCTTGTAGGGCGCACCATCATTTCTTGTTGGCAGCTCAACCTCGCCGGTCGCATACCCCGCAGAAGGGTACCGGAGTCCCCCTCGCGAAGTCACCACACCTGGTCCGACATCACCCATAACCAGTTTCACTGTAGGTACTCCCGTCATCCGAACATGTGGCCGCCGCTCTGTACCCAATGTATCGCCGCCGCCTATGGTCTCCCCGCCTACTGGTATGCCGTCCTTCAAGGCGTTCTTCAAGAGGTCACGTTCCAATACGATGTCAGCCCCCCGGTCAAACACTCTTGGGAGGGAGAAGAGGATATTTGGATGGCTGAAGATTTAGCGCGGGTTATGGTAGTGCCAGTGCATTTCTTGATTTTTTTTTGGTTTTGCGCAAGTTCCGCGTATTGGTTCTCGTCACCCAACATTTGTAGTAGTTTTCCGCTTATAATTCCAATTTCAAATTCATGAACCGTAGACATCCGAGTCGTACGTGACTATTATGTTTGGCTCTGCAAGCACAGTGCGACCCTAGACATCCTCCTCCAGGACTTCATGATCACTAAGTAAGTAGTAAGTCTCTAGATCCGTTAAGTCTGTGCACTTGTCAGCCTCCTCAACCGGAGGGCTAAACGCCGGAGTCAGCCGTTCGCTCAGACATGGACTCTGGTGTTCTTGCTAATGTTGGTCCGTTTGCATCGTTCTAAGTATTGTCTGCTTTGCTTTTTTGGCTTCAAATGTCTTCCGGGTCGCCCTCACGTATCCCTCGTCCCTCAGGTCGTCCACCTTCCGGGCCAAGCTTGCCGTCCCCGCCGTCGCTTGAGATCGCCACCGTCCTCGCTCAAGCAGGCCCGTTCGACGATCTCAAGTCGCTCGTTCCATCGTTCACAGTCAGCACATCAGATGACGAAGGTGACTTGGAGGACGTGCCGCCCTTCCCCAAGGATCACCAGCCACCTATCTTTATCATCCAGGGCCACCGTGCTCAAGTGCCATTTGCTGTTCGTCCAGGCGTCATCGCTCTCGGAGACATACATGCAGATGAATACACCGCTCGTATCGTTCTCTCTGCGCCAACAATACCGCGCATGAACTTGGTCATGAAGGAAGCGCTCTTCATGAACACTTGGGTCGTGAGTTGAAGATTTCCCTTCATTTGTCGCTGTAGTTGACAAAGCGAATGTAGGAGAGGCTAACTCCTCAGCGTCCCCCTAGGCACGTCCCCTGGACTAGCGATAATCCTGTTCCTAGGCGCAATTGGATTTCCGAAGGCTCCATCTTTCCGGCCGAAACCATGAAATCGCAAAACGGGAAGATACGACAAGCACGGGTAGATCAGCGGATCCTGAATGGGCCTTCCAAAGAAACAGACCCTCAGTCTCCGCCCTGCACTGCAAGCATAATCCGAAACCATAGGGAGACTGCTGTCATTTCGAAGGAAAGCCCTGGGCGCCAGGCAGGGTATAATCGGTGGTCCGTTCACGTTCCGACGAGTGCTATCAAGCGAGAAACAGCTTCATCTGGACCAGGACCCAGTACACCCATCCGCGGACAAAAGGGGACACGGGCACAGTGCTCCTCGGACAGTCCCGTTCTTGGATCTTGTTCTGATAAGACAATAAAGCAACTGACATCAACATGCCGCAAGTCATCTCGCGCGTTGCCACAACTCGGTTCTACTATTAATTCCCTAGCTATTCGAAGAGGCAAGAAGGTGTCTGGTTTGCAACTCAAGGAAGTAGACAATATGGATTATCCTGATATTCCGACAGCCTTCCGCGGTTCTCCGACTGTTTGGTCTCCGAAATTCGATCCTGCCGTTCCCAGCCCCAATGGCAAGCTTTTCACCGATCACGGTAGCATGCTATCAAGCCTCAGATCGCAATATGCTGCACTTACGAGTGGGATCTCTACGCCTACGACGCACAAAAACAAGGAATGGCAAGATGCATTTATTGACTCGGACACGGACTCTGTATCGTCGCCATCATCCTCCCGTGACGATGAGTGGGCCTTTGAGAATGACCTCGATCTTGACCTTCAAGGCGCCGTCGACAATGTGTCTCCTACTCCGACATCTTCATTCACGCCTAAGATCGCACCAGATAAGCCGAGGATTTCTCTAAACTTTACTCCAGATCGTTGTTCTACTCCAACTCGTTCTCCCACACTTCCTAGTCCGCAGTCAGCAATCCCTGCCGTCAAGGTTTCTCTAGCGCCTCTGACTGGTCCACCACGCGTCCCTCTTCCGCCTCGTCCTGTTTTAATTAGCCCTTCCACCCCTCCGCGGGTGAAAGGAATTTTAAAGAAGGTCAAGAGCGTCCGCTTCGAGGATATCAGAGGCAGTCAAGATGTGAGCCTACTCGTCGCGCCAGCACCAGAGTCTTCAACAGTAGCAAAGCGCCCTTCTCCTCTAAGGAACAGCTTCATGGCCCCTATCGATGGCGCTGCACCGGCAGCAGACGCAACTAAGCCTGCGAATACTCAACCAGGGACAGGACCTACCGCACTGCAGCCTAAGGCAGACCAGAAGCCTGCCATCAAGAAGAAGCCACACATGATGAAGTCCAAGCTCGTTCCCAAGGGTACTATACTCAGCTCTCATCGCATGTCTGAGGTGCCCATTCTGAAATTCGTCGACACCAATGTCCGCCAGGAGGTCCCACCTGTACCCGAGCTCAACGCGCCGGCAACCTCTACTCCTGGCCGCCATAACCGTGTCGCCAGTACAGAAAAGGAAACCGGGCAAACCGCCCTCGCTCGTGCACGCAAGCGATGGTCGACGATGAACGAGAACGATCTTAGGATGGGAGTCGAGGGTACTGCACCCAAGAGCCGTCTTACTACGCCTCTGCGGAACATTTTCAAGTTCAAATGAATTTACATATACCTGTCGTTACTCTTACCCCCTACATTCATTATTTCATAGTATCGCTCTTAAATTATGCTTGAACCCTTCTCTAAGACTTGTTACTCGCCAAATTCGTTTGCCTCGTCTTGGTGTTATATGAGCTCGCGATCTTCAAGGCCTGGTGGTCTAGTAGTATGATTCCTTGTTAGGGTAAACCACGTTTCGAGGAGGTCCCGGGTTCAATTCCCGGCCAGGCCCAAAGTTTTGCCTTTTTGTCTCAAAGGGCCATTTCCTTCTTTCTCGCAAGTCCTGGCCGACCTTCGCATCGGAGACCCCTTACCGCGATAGTCTATTACCGACTCAGCGGTACTCACCGATTTATCCATCATACGCCAATGGGTTAACATTTGAAATGATGACCCCGGCGCAGCGATCAAGTGCTACCGTTAAACTATTAGATTCTGATCAATCGAAACTCTGATTACAATCTTTGGGGATGCACATAAATTATATGCCTCACATATGGTTGTATAGTTTTTGCGCGACTCGATCAGCAGTGATCAAGGTTTGGTGCCAGCACCACATCAGCGTTTCCGCGTACATCTAGTTATTACGCGCGCACAGGGTCTGTCTAGGGGGTAGAGAGTATCTACAAGACTGTCGCGAAGGACTGCAAGTTGGAAACGTAGGTGCCCCACCTTCCTCCCTGCCAGCTAGCGAAATCCTTCCACGCAGCACTACTTTCACCATTGGTAATTTTGATCCAGGTGAGCCACGCTCCAAGGATACCGTCTGCATACGAGACAGTGTTTCCCATAACAAACTTCCCTCCCCCATTCTTCGCCAGCCATCCATCTACAGCAGCAAGGCCCTCCTTGGTCTTAGCCCAGTCAGCATCACGCTGGGTACCAGCAGGAGAAAACTCCTCAATCTTCTTCCCATAGGTTGCTTCTCTGGTTGCCCTGAAATACTTCTCACTGGACGGATTCAGGATGTAGCAGCTGATAGCGAGCTGGTGGGGGAAAATGCTTCCGATGCCTCCTATAACACCAGCCTCTAATGCTGCCATCAGGGGCTTGGTACCGGGGGGGAACAACGTATTTCCACCCGGGTAAGTTGCATCGAGGTATTCGGCGATAAGGAAGGAGTCAGAAACGACCTTTCCGGTATTGGGGTCATTGATAATGGGGAGGGTGTATGATGGGCTGCCGTCGGCCTTGGCGCCTGTTGGTGGCGCCCCAATTTTCTTGGCAAGCGCCTCAATGTCAGGGTACTCGACCCACTGGGTCTTGTACGCAACACCCTTGATATTCAAGGCATATCTAAACAAGAGGTAAGTGACTGCCCTTGATCATTACATACACGAAGCACATACCGGGTCTTCCAGGTGTTTGGGGACCACGCATTCACCGACAGGGTCGAGGGGAGGTCGTAGAAGATAATCGGAGATGACATGCTGTTGATCGAGTGTGTCTGGGTTCTGCTATCTGAAGGTTCATTAATACCTGTTCGGGACTCCGCCACGGGAATGGAAACAACAAAAATACAGTAGGGTGCATAGAAGACTTCTCACAATATTGTCACCTTACCACGAGACGTTTTGTTCTGGCCCCCGAAAGGTGTGATGATGCATGTCAGACAAGGGAAAGAAACTAGCATCTTACCTTGTTTTACTCGACGCATGTCAGTTTTCTCTCAAGTCCTGGAGTGTTCGTGATGACATCAAAAGGTTCCGATCAAGAAGCAGAATGGAACGTGACATGATACGGTCGTACACCCACATCTAAGCCTGAGAAGTGGCCCATCAATTCTTATAAACCCCAAGTTCGGTCGTTGCTCTCAAAAGCCACGACCGCGACCCAGATGTCCACCTCTGAAGGCGCCTCGTCCAGCAAACCCGATTCGAAACGCCCTGGGCATTATAGGCGGACCCCACTGACCTGGCTCCCGAGGATAGTCGCGCGGCGACTCGCTTGTCTCGCGCCGGGGAAACCGTCCTGGCATGGGAGGACCTTCGTCTTCGTCGTTATCTTTCTGAACATCCGTGTGTGGCTATTTTGATCCAGAACTTTTAATCAGCAGGCAGAACTTCAGTCAGCCAAAGCTCTCACCTCTAAATCAATAACGAGAGCTCCCATATGCCATCCAGCAGCTGTTACAGCAAAGCAGAACATCTTCTCCTTCTGTGCTTCCCCGTGACCAAAGCTGACTTCCGCGGGCTCGGATACGCCCGGCGGAAACGGCCCGCCATTGGCGACAGCATTTCTTTTGTGTTCTTCAGTTCTGTAGCCCCCTGGGTGGCCAGGTGGAAGCGTGGCAGGATCACCGAGGCCGAGCGCACCTCGAGAATACTCACCCCACGTCAAAAGCTTCCCGGTGGATGTAAGAGCACCGTGATGGTAATCTCCCAAAACAACGGAGATAACGTCGTTGTTTTGAAGTGAGGGGAGAATCGAAGGTTTCGAATCGGCATGTGTTTCGTGAGAACCAAAGAGAATGACAGAACTGGAACCGGGAGAATAAGCAACAAATGTTTGAAATTGCGCCGAGATCTGGGCGACGGTTCAGCTGGAGCGGACATTCGAAACTCTGACGAGATCATTACATGAGTTATCCGCAAGCTCTGCGGCGGTTTCAATTGAGAAGAAACATAAGCGGGGTGCTGCTGAACCTTGTCAACTTCAGAGAAGTTAGGAAGCTGAAGATATGTGAGGCAGAGATTGTTCCAGTAGTAAAATTAACCCACATATTCCCATCCGCCAGACCGAACAGCACCATCACTTTCAACAGATATCGAGAGAACATGACCATGATTAGTCAACCCAATGAGCCGGCTCTCCAACGCTGCAATCTTGACAAGTTTCACAGGTTCCGCTGGCGCAAGTGGCATCTCCGGTAGTTGAGGCAACGGGGGTAGCCTGGTGGGTTCTTCGTGAAGCTCCCATGTCGAGCAAGGGATGACATCTCCCTCTGTGGCGTGACATTTTAGATCCGCAGCATCCATATCCGCATTTCGTGCGGTGATGACATCCTTTAGGGGAGCAGCGAACGGCCACCAGACATATACATCACCAGATTTGGTTAGGACTGAGGAGAAGTTCCACCCGGATTCAACTTGCGCAGGAGTAGAATCAAACGAAGTTGCGTCGAGCGCCAGCGTGTCGAGCCTGAAGGGACGGCCCCAGCTTAAAAAAGTCCATACGTGATGATGATCGTCCAGTGAAGTAGCATGCAAGCGTCCACAACTAACAAATGTGAGTGAGTATTTCACTTGACGCGCAAGAACGCTCTAACCTGATGCTCCGCGTAGGATAAGGCATGTCAAGCTTCAATGGTGCTGGAGCTGGTTTTGCCGGTTCGGAGTACCCATCGTGTACTAGAGCATACGATGTGCCATTCAAAGTTCCTGAGGACGACGTTAGTTTCTGTCCTCGATGTCACATAACAATCTGTAAACTCACCCCACACGTATACGCTACCATCAGAATCCAGTGCAAAAAACGCCCTTTGAGGAACGACATAAGCCGCAGTGTTGACATAAAAGACATCAACAACATACCATCCAGCAGCTGAAAGACTGACTATCCGGGCGCCTGATTTGATCTGCAACTCAGCTGGGGAAGGGACATCATGAAGAGTCGACTTTGGTATCTTCTTCAACCCTAATCTTCCCTTCGAAGGCTCGCTACATGAAGTAATTTGACTAAGCGGAAGAGGTTACGACATCGCGGAAAGAGACGATGGCTTACCCCCATACATACGTCTTGGGGTTGCGCAAACCTCTGTAAAGACGTTTCCATCCGCTGATTCGGGCGGTCCTCTCGTCTGTAAAATTGAAATCCTCTTCTAGTTTCCTCTTCCAGAATGTTTCGTCGTTGCACAATCGCGCAAAGAAGTGATCTGTCTCTCCTAGATGGATGAGATCCGGAATAGCAAGCCAAGGCAATAAATTATCCAGGAGAACTTCAACAGGTAAGTCAGAAAGCATAGTTATTGAGTGAACGGTTGTACAGAACTTCAGTGGGTAGGTCAGAGAGCACAGAGCTGCGGGGGAGCTGCGATCACAATGATGATGTCACGGGTCACTGCCTGGGGGGTTGATCGATTATCATCATGATGCGAGGGGGTTGCCCCATAGCCGTATTAGGAAATACTGGATTTGTTCATTGGCGACTTGGCCTTCTGCATCCATGATGGCGAGGCCTTCTTGAAGTCGAGGAGACACACACCCGAGAATCACGCCTCCAGAGTCGATGGGGCAGACTTGTGCTAATAATTGTCTAGGCCGTAAATGATTCGCGCCCACTCATAGCAGTACGTGGCTATTGATTCATCCGCTTCCCATCAACGTCTCATCCATACATGCACCCAGTTTGTTTGAATCCTGTGCATAATAAATACCGGTCGTTATCTTATGCCTCCCGGCGGCTCCACCTCGCTACTGGCCTCATGTGCACTTGTAGTGACGGTGGGGGGACTCCCAAATGTTGCTTCGTATTTCGAAGCCACTCGCGTCAAAATATCACCCTCTCTCGCAAGGTTGACGTGATTATTGGGAGATCTTTGACAAAGCTACTACTCCTTTTTTGTAGATTTCCAGGCTAGCCAACAATCCTCACCTAGGAACGATCAGCAAACGCTATTTTGACAATGTCCTGACCGTCCAGGGCATGGTTCAAGACATTAAAGCGAAGTTTCTAATCAAGGCCATCTATCGCGATACCGCAGCACTTTCTGTAGTAGTGCCGGCAGACCGCTAAACTGATAGTGGCGTGCTCCGTTTTACTTTCCCTTTCTTTTTGTAGTCGATGTATCCGCTGCGGCTCCGCTCCGGTGAGCCAGGGGCTCCGTAATGCCCTGCCTCGAGCTGCTGTTATTATCACTTCGACTCTATCTCGGCTCTGAAAACACAGCGTTGGCCATGTGGGTGGAAGGGATTCCTGGGCTATATTGGTTCGCCCACCGTAACACTGATTACGACGACAATTGTACGGTGCAAATATTATTTCTTGTTTTGCTCGGTATGTTGTTTGTGTCTACAACAGAGTCATCCTGACAAGTTGACGGATCCTTGTTGTCCCGATGGGTGTACTACGACATACGTGATTGCAATGCGCATTCAGTAAACCCATGCGTATGTACGCAGCACAGTCTACTGCCGTACATTATCCCGTGAACGATATGATGCTGTCCCCAGAGACTCACGGTTTGGGCGGACTTCCGAGCGACCAAAGGCAGAGCTAAGCAGGCATCGATATTTATATACCGACTTACATGATGGTGAAACGCACCTGAAGGAGATAATCAACTTCCTTAAGCACGTGACGGCCGCCAACTACAAAGTCACCCCCACAGTGGCACACAAAGGAAGGCCACATGCGAGATCTGGAAGGTGAAAGGGGGTTGGAAGGGCCATCGTTCATATATCTGAATTGATCTTCCTTTAGCTTCGAATCGCACCCAATAGTGGCGAAGCTTCACATAACGTTTGTTCATTGATATTTCTTTATCTGTCATTGTGAACAATTGCGAGCCTTTATGTACAGATTGTTTAATTGGGTCAGAACCTCATTTCTAAAGTTTGCCACTTTTATATATAACAGACATGCATGTTCGACTGAAAATACGTCTGTATTACAGCAATTGACTGATGCCGAGAGTATTAAAACTATATAATCCGGCGGGCCGCAAAACAGACTAATGCAGTACCCGCGGCAGGAATAAACAGATAAACGTAAAGGGAAGCCGCAGACAATTGTGGTCGATTTCGCTGACGCAATGTTGTTAACGATGTCTCTCGGTGTTCAAGCAACCGGCAATGCACACATCAACATGATCCCCGCCCCCCAACCATGTGGGTGCACGCAGCGAAGGGTTGCAAGCCAGAGCTTTATCACCATGAGCAATCATTCTACCCTGTCATAACCTGATCAAGTTGCATGTCAGCCAGCGGTATAACGTATTGTAGAGGTCCAACTTGGAACACCCGGTCACTAACTCACCTTGGAATCCGAGGAGCGTTGGGGTAGAAGGTGTGGGTGCGATTTTCCGCTGTATCGCAGATCAAAAAGTACTGGCCGGATCAGCCTCGAAGGAAGTGCCTGTCTGTGGAGCGGGAAATTGCGGCCGCATGAGAAAAGACTCTGGTCCAGTGCGGGCGCAACACAAGCACGGCCACTCCAATGCACGGCGTCGTCGTCAATCGTCGTCGTCGTCGTCGCGGCATGAGCGTGGCCCATTCGGAAAGACAGTGGCGTACAATAGACCTCATGGTCATGCACCGCACTCTGAATCTAATACAAGCGATATTATATCGATATCGCCTGCCCATCAAACCCGCATTGCAATAATGCTCAAACTTTGAACTTCGGGTGTATCTTTGCAGCGTTGCAGAAAACTCAATCTATGACATTCATATACGCTGATCGCGATGGGTGCGGTTCGTTACGTCATGTTCCCACAACTTCGGAACTTTCATCAATTGTCCAATTGAAATCCATGAAACAACGTGCCCCCCAAGCTCTCTTTTCAGGTCTAATTTTTTATCACCGCTCTTGCCTTGCAGGTCTATTGGGTTTCTCATGTACAGAATCAACTATTACTGTATACGATGACGATGTATCCTCCGTAAAGTACAGCTCCATCATTATTGGCCGAATGGTCTCCTGTGTAATGTGAAGGAGATATCGTGTAAAACATGAATGAATAAAATATTGAAAGCATAGCAAAAATTGGGGGAGAGGAACTAATGTATGTACTCCGTAAGATAGTAGTCAATAGCATGAACAATATAACTTTCACAAAGGATGGAGGTGCTGATATGTGGCATGAAAGGCGTGAGCACCATCGTGACTGACGATGGTATCGTGAAAAAACCCCAGGTCGGAAAGGAGTGGAGGCATCGCAAATGTAACAAGGAGAAATCCAAATCTTCATCACCTCACCCACTTCGTCGTTTTTCGTCATAGCTCCCATGCCCAGAACCAGGACGGTTGTCGCCGTATACACCATACGAAGCATACACATCAAGGTCCGTAGTGGCTCCCGGATGCTCATAACCCGGCAGAGGAGTCAACAGCGTGCTATTGGTTGGAAGCCGACTCATGGCCGCGTGCGACGAGGGCATATTCGGCTGGGCGTATGTGGGACTGGTATTGCGACTAGCGGAAGGGAAGAGGCCACTGAAACGCTGCTGCCGGCGCTCGTAAACGTCTTGCATGTCAATCTCATGCATGTCCTCTGGAGACGCAGTCGGCGTAAACCGGTCAACATGGGAATTTTGCTGCGAGCGAAGATGGTAGTCCACGTCGGGGTATGAGTCATGCATCCCGCGCTGGAGATAAGCGTGATGAGTTGACCTCCCCATCACTGACGCAGCAGCACGAGCATCAGCTTCCTCCTTTTTCGATTTACGCCATTGTTTACGAAGCTCTTTGAACTCTGTAATACACAACAGTCAGCATTGATACTTATAAATAATGGCGCGAAAATTCGACATCGCATGGTGCCGAATAAACCCGGGTGAAACAAGACTCACCGTTTGGACTACGCTTGACACCGTGTTTCTGCATGGTAACGTGGGCATTCAAGTGGTTTAGAGTGCCATATGCCTTGGCGCACGAAGGCCATGAACACCTATATAACCGCTCAATCTCGTCGTAGCGCCGCCTAGGACGCTTCTTGACAGCATTTCCAGGTAGGGCCACGAAAGAGTATTGCTTGCCATCAGAACTTGAGCCTGAAGCGTCAACGAACCGCCTGGCCCCGTTGGATGATGTAGATGTGCCTGTACCAGGGGGTGATGGACCGTAGTCCTCGGAAAGTGTGCCGTAGGGCATACCAAGGAAGCCCATTGTAGGTGATCCCTCGCCACCCGAAAAATTAGGATTAAGAGGTGAAATAGGTTCTTCTAGGTCAACACCGTCGTAACAGTGTAATGGAAGTTGATCTTTGTCGTTCCAGGGCGATCCTGACAATTGATCGCGGGCCGGGGCTGTACGTTGAGAGGTATAAGGGGCGTACAATCTGGGGGATGATTGTGACGAGGTGTAGTGGTGTTGCAGCTGTTGATATCTTGCGGAGGCTAGATCGGCTGAAGAACTCGTGGAATAACCGCCTATTGCGCTGCCATACATGGCTGGCTCGGACATGCGGCGTTGGTCCAAGAGGGCATGGGCGTATTTATCGGTTCCACGGGAGCTAAGGTTGGACGTAATTGGGTAACGGCCCATATCTGGAGGGGAATAGGAATTTGCCGATGTGGAAAAATGATGCTGATGATGGGGAGCACTGTACGGCTGAGGAAATGAAGCAGTTGGATGATCATCGACGGAAGAAGGGGAACTTGAGACATAACGAGCTCCGTTTACTGGTGAGGTTGTTTCGGCACTGCGTGTATTGGATAAGAGGGAGTAATTAGAAGTTGAATATGGGAGTTGTGCTGGCGGTTGTTCATACGAGTGATGAGGTGCATAGGTGTAGTTTGTTCCCGATTGGGAGGAGAAATCATGATCATCCTCCACTGTCATAGGATCCAGAAGACTGGAGAGGTCGTGAAATGAGAAGTTCTGAGCGACACGAGGACGAGTTATGTTAACTTGCTTTGAGGCAAGTGCAAGAAGAGGTGGTGGTTGGAGGAGAAGTGGTGCCTGCATTGGATGGGAAACGGATACTTGTGTGAACCGACTTAGAAAAAGAAGAGTTGAGTTTCGGAATGAAGTCGTTGAATTCGAGGAATCTGTGACACACTTGGTAGATTGTCCGATTAGGTGTCGAGGTTAATATACGGTTACGGTAAACACATACGTGACAAAGAAAGACATGAACAATCTGCAATCAAAGTAAGCACCGGAATGGGCGTAAGTATCCAGTCTCTAAGCAGCGCTCGAGAGCGGTCAAGTGCTAACAACGCTACATCGCTGAGCTGTGTTCTTGTCTCAACCGCGCTGATCGTTGTCTTCGATTCAGCCGATTCAATATTTCAGATCTAAGATCAATCCCGTGACTTTTACATACACTTCTCAGCGTTGCTTCTAATTTCAAATTATAATCATTTGGTACATTATTACTATAAAAAGTAATATACGTCCTAATTGTTAAACTCACTTTTTCAAAGAATTTAACCCTGAATAATTCTACCACATGATTACATCGGTCATCCAGTTGAACACCGCTTCCCGCAAGACCCATCGAGAACTCCATAACTCCAGCGTCCACCACGGAACTTCACACTCCCCATCCCTCTTGAGTGTACGATGTCTTCGGCCCCGTAAACACTCCATACCGTTACCTTGTGGCAATGCCATCATCAATATCATAACCCGGCCCGCTAGCACTGCCACTGCCAGTCTGTAGTACATCTAGTGATCACTACGAATTATTACACTCATCGACCGACGGCAGCGCAGCCCCGACAGTTTTGCATGTGGCATTCATTGCCAAGTCGTCCGCCCATCTCCCTTTGTTGACGTTGCAATTTCAATGCCACCGGTTGGCAAGCAGTCATCGCCAATGTTATCACAGAGCGCCTTTCGCTTCCTCGTGGTTCAATGGCAGTGAATGCGACCAAAATCCACTATCAATCGGTGTCGTTTCTGCGGAGGACATGCTAGTATATCAGAAGAAATGTCACCCTGTTGAACAGCCAGCCAGCTGTCAGACTTTTTCAATAAATCATAACCCATACAGTCACAATGTTCACAAGCTGAGCAATACGATTATACAGCAAGTTTCAAATACCACCATATATCCATCATCCGAATAACTTTCTCCTGTCTAAACGATCGGCAGACTTTTGACAAGCCATGACAGTCAGCGCCACTTTGCTCGGTGATTAGATATGCCACAGTGTACCATCAGCACATCCGGCAATACGCATTGGGTACGTGGTTAGTTTCACCCCATTTACAACCGCACCCCCAATACGCCCGGATCAGAGGTTGGCAAACCACTGTCAGTGCAATGTCTACACATAATGGGGCGACAACTTAGTTCAAGTTTCAAATCCAAGATAAACTTACCGAGTTACCGCCGCACCTGATGGCAAGGCACGACGTCGGGTAGTCACCTACCTCCGGTCGAGCGCAAGTCTCGGACCAACACAATCGATATTGATCAGCTGATAAAGCCCGAGCCTGTGCAAGGATCTTGCAGCATGTATTAGGATGTTGGGTTTGCTTAAGGCCGTTAAGAAGGTGATAGACAAATGATAAGCGCATCTCTGCGTACCTGAGCACAACCATCGCCCTCGGTCCTTCAAGGACTTCCTGTCCATGAGAAGTTTTTATTTATTTTCCAGCCCAATCTGAACCTGACTGAGAAGATATCTCTCATGCATAGAAGGAAACTTTCGAAAAAAAAGTACCGAAAATTAATCATGGCGGAGTATCAAAGACCGGTCCAGATTTGAAGGTCAGGGGGAATCATTTCACAATCGCAGGTGTGATAACGAGACGAGGGTATTAACATTGGGGATCCGTGACCAAATCACCTGGCCAAAGGAAAGGCGAAATTCAGTTTGGTTGGGGTTTCCGGCATAAGTGTGCAAACGGCTCCGTGTCGGGAGAAGAAGCAGCGATAATGGAGAAATTGAATTGGTCGGCCGCCCTTGTCGGGTCGGGCACATAAATAATGGAAGGCTTCTTCAGCCTGGACCCTGTAAATCCAATGGACTGCGTCATCGTCAGAGGGCAGCTGGCTACCTTGCGTGCTTCTATCCAGCCTGAACAGGCGAATCGAGGGCGAGTCCCTGTGAGTTCATGGGGACGAGACCACCTAGGAACGAATGCACATGCGTGTGTGCATCACGAGGCCGCATATGAACTTAATTACTTTGCGGAACCCTCAACCAAAGCCTCGAGCCCATCCGAAGAACACACATAAACAATCCTTGAATGGTCCACAATCGGAACCCAGTATTGAAACCCACAATTGGCAACAGCGAAAATAGCGGATAGGGCAGCCACAGCGCACATGTGGACTGTGTCTGGACTTCCCTTCTGGTCCAAATTCTACCGGATTGAACTGTAATAAGGGAACCGGGCACATCCCGAGCCCCGAGCGCAGAAGAGTCAATGACGGGAGAACGTACGTGAATGATGACTAGCCTCGTGCTGACCGTGTGGTAAATTTCTTATTGTGGGGGGATGGGTTTAAGTAGCCGAAGTAGGATGACCATCGAATGAAATGGCGCCACAACGGACGAACCACACATAAAAATGCTTCTTGAAAAGTTAGCGCTCTACCGAGCGACGGAATGAAACAAACCGACTTGTACCATGCGAAGAACAGAAAATGACAAGTGCCAGCATCATGAAATACCGTTATGTACGACAGAGTCGGACAGATTGTGACAAAAGTGGCACATCAAACCACAGCACCTTCCTAAAACGGGTCACTCATCCACGCCAGCTGTCAAGTGGCTTTACGCTTCTTGCACTCGCGCCGCGACGATGAGCAGAGCATCTCAAGCACCGGTCACAAGGTCGATGACAAGGAGTATGACGGCACCTGCCGTCAGGCGCTCCACAAGGCTTAGCGGGGTGCAAGGTAAACTTCACAACAAGCTTTGATAACCATGCATAACTAAAGCACCCGCTAATTCGTCATTGACGTACTACTTATTACAACTGATCCATAGCTCCAAAGCATACAACTGCGCCGCAGCTCCTCAGACACAAACACAACCGCGTACTAGTAAGCAGGGATGCGGAGCATCTTAGGCAGTTCAAACGCGGAAACGGAAGAACGGCGCGCGCCGATTGCATCGCTTCAAAGGATGCGGGGAAGGCTGTTTCTCTCCGAGTCGGTCGTTCGTCCACTTCCGGGGCCCACAGTACTTCGGGTGCATCTGACAATGTCTCCGCCCGAGAGGATGAATTAATACTAAAGGAGAAAGAGTTCCGGCTCAAATCTCGAACGCTCGAACAACAACTCGCAACTGCATCCCAGAAGGAGAGAGAAGCCGCTGCCTTGCTCCAAGAATGCAAAGAACGGTTGGCAAAAAGCACCCTAAGGCAGCTCGAAGATTATTTTACGTGCCCTTTGTAAGTAGCCCTGCATCAAAACTGAAACTTGTGTGTGAGTTGAACTCAAAAAAATTAATTATGTGTTCAACAGGTGTTTTGAGATCATGTGAGTTGATTTTAATCAGGTTTCAAATGGATGCATTGAATAATACTAGTATCTTTGATCGTTATACTTAGGGCTTGCCCGTATAGTTTGAACCCACGACAGTGCGGGCATACCTTCTGCGCCACTTGCATTCTGAAATGGTTCTTCTCCCGATTGCATCGCGTTTGTGGAAGCTGGCATGAGCCCGTGGATTGTCCAATGTGCAGGAGCGCTTTATTTTACACCCCCGATAACGTTCCGCGCCCAGAATTCTCGTTCCCTTTCACACCCAACAGAGCGGCTGATAACGCGATCCACGGCATGATCAGCACTTTCTCCAAGGAGGCTGACTCTGGAAATATCTCGCCATCTAGCTCACTTGCTGACTGGGGAGAAGATGGTCACGCGAGACAAGAATGGTGTCGAAAAGAAAGGTATTTGGCTCACCCAAGAATTCAAGAATTTTCCCCTCAAATGCACCGTCTTTAATTAATTAGAGTTGGACGCCATGAGATGACAACTCTCGCTGCATCGTGGACAAACATGCATGGAGATGAATTCGTTAACATCAAAAACAGACTTGAAGTATTACATTCATAGAAAACGACTGGTGTTCGACTGGGCGAGGTTTACAATGAGACAGACCAATACGGCTTTGGGGACCCACAGAAATGGAGAGAATGTCTCAAGTACGGAATGAATTTCTTGTCACCTGTATGGAGTTCCACTCTCCGAGACATCATTGTTGATTGTTTTTTTTTGTGAACATAATTTAGCAATGTACAATTTCTGTTGTACATGTATTCGATTTTTTGAATAGTGGGGCCGACCGCGGTGACTCGTTCAACGGCTGGATTTATAAAACTACAGATAGAAACAACGGTCTCTCAACCCGCGCATACCTAGAACATCCTGAACAACGATGTTGTGAGATAAAATCCGAGCTGCAGCGAGCTAGCACGTACCCAATCACCAGGCGTTAACCAGAGATCAGCAGCAGAATCCATTTTGCCAAGAACCGCAGCACCTTTCCAAGCCAGTACGCGAGGGTCGACTTCTTTTGGAGGTGGGATAATCTGTACTTTGTCCATGCTGGGGACCAATGGTGTGGCGATTGCCTGCAGCCTTGTTGCAATGATTCAATATATCTGATGTATGAACGCCTTCTGTAACTCACCTGCTCTCCAATGCATGGGCCATTCCAGGTATCAAAGCGCTTCCCCCAATGACCAGAACGGCCTGGAGATGCTTGCGAATTTTATCATCGCCCCCGGATGCCCGAGCACTGTTGAAGATAGCAACATCGAGAGGAAGTTTACTTGCTTCAAAACAGACATCGATACCGAGACCACCATAATTCGAGCTCACTGGTACGGAAGACTGAGCAGGTTGAGGCTGTGGAGGAACGGGCATCGGAGATGGTTTTCCGTCGCCTTCCACATCAATTACATCCATCGGTGCATCAGCAGAAACTCCTCCGGATGCTCCTGCATTAGATGGTGCAGAAGATTCGACAGCCGGAGGTGGTGTTGCATGCGCAGTTGATGGCAGTGATACCTCTTGCTGTTCTTGTTTTCCGCCGTTCTCTGTAACCGCAGTAGTCCCTGCCTCGGTTTGTGAATACAGCTATGGCAAGACAGCTGTACGTACCATCGGGCAACTGACTGATGGGAATCGGAGACTGACGAACATCCGTCGGCACTGTAGAAGGCGGTGGCAGTAAATGTTGCGTTGAGATGATCATCGCTTGAGTCTGATGGCATGATGTAAATAAACCTGTGATGGAAACAAACAAGAATACGTACAACATGGTCGGCTGCATGCTCTATAATTTCCTCAGTGACCGGATGGGGTATGGAGCGCAGACCAATGTGCTTCCTGTCGAACTCTATCACACGGGGCTCGAATATGCACTATGTAAGTATCGAAGGTGTCAGCTGGCAGTTAGATTGATGAAGAACTGTTGTCAGCGAAACGCACCATGGGCGCGAGTATTATCTCGTCATAAGCCCGTAAACCGTACTTCTCCGTGGGTTTACCGGGCTTGCGCACTACAAAGTCATACAGATTGAGGGCAACGTCACCCTACAACACTCTAAGCATTGGCGAAGGCATCACGTGCGATGACTCACCTCCGCTAGTGTACACAGTCGTGCTTTCAAGTCCTCCATGACGGCCCAATCATACCATCGCGCGAGATTGATATCGCGATAGGGAAAACTTATTCGTTCTAAGAGGACATACAAGAATTCAGTAATATCATCTCCGCCCATATTGAGTGTGATTCTAAACGATTAATTAACAATAAACTCTGTATCAGATGTATACCTTACCTCGATTCAGAGATAACAAGACCTTCATCAACGCATGCTATGCTAGAGTTGACAGCGCCAATGTCAACAACACACGCGCTACTAATTCCTGCGCCGTAGGTTGCCGCTAATGATTCCTGCCTCACGTCAGAACTCGTTGATATCAATACACGCGTGACACACCTGCTGCACACAGATCTGCTTGAATCCTAACGAAACAAAAAGAACGTTGACGAATTCGCGCACGTATGCCCGATCATAGAAGTCTGGGATGACAAGAACAACAGAATAGTCCTAGTGGTATTGGTTGATACTGTTTTTAGGAGTGAAACACGGCGAACCTTGTAATCGGGCCGCCTTACGTTCAACCTTTCTCTCAGTACAGTGCTGATAATAGTTTCAACGTCATCCAGTATCATTTGGTGTGACGGATAATCCCTGGTGTTGAAGTTCTTTCCGTGGATCGGCCACTTCACTGAATAATTCAAGAGTTGAGGATCGGACAACCGGAGTGCCTAGTATGAAAGACTCAGAGAACAACATTCAGAATTAAAGTATGATACATACTGGTTCTCCGACTAGAACTTCTGAATCTTCCTGGGGGTCCTGGATCCAATCGACAAGGAACGGGTCATTAAATTCGGGGATAATTTCAGGTTTGAATTGCTCGTTAAAGGTCGACGCGATGCTTGCCGCGTTGGGTGTGACGCGAAGTTTGTAAAACCTCATCCGCTCGCGAAGCGAAACAATAATTGACCCCATTTTGGTATCAAACTGCATGAGCACTTTAGAACCCTATGCAACATGGTGAAGGAAGAAATGTATGTACAGGATCATCTGAAGTGATATCGACCGCGTATTCGTCTCCGTTGGGACTCGCAGATACGGATAGCTGTGGCGCTTGCCCTTTTCTCGGGCGCGAAATACCCTCGACGTAGGTCGGAAGTGGTGTCGGTGGCTTGTGTCTGCGCGCAATGACATTTGGAATGGAGACGGGAGTGACATCTGACGCCCTGCCAATTCTCAGAAAGCGCGATCCAGGGTGGATGACAATAACATGATAGCCACGTCTATTCTAAGCGGCTCAGTGTTACCATACGAAAGACCAGCCCAATCATGCAAATGCCCACCTCTGGTCCGGTGAGGGAGCAATTTCCTCTGCCGCCAATTCTTTCTTTCGGGCTGCATTACGCGCCCAAATGGTCTGCGTCTCCGATTTCAAGTAAGAAGTGCCCACATGCTTGGGGTTTGGCCTGACAATAGTCCGATCGTCAACACTCGAAACGCAGTCATGGATCAACGTCTGTCAACGTACGCCAGGGGCACATGCATGGATGTGTAACGCATACCAGAGTCATCTTTTTTCGCGTTGGGTATTCCCCTTGGCATATGGTACTGTGTTTAGTTTGTGCAGGTGGAAAGCAAGTGAAATAGGAAGTATGAGACAAGTGTCATCTATGGCGTCGGCTTCTGCCGGCGGTTAGATGGCTCAAACAAACTTGCGAAACGTTGGCTATTAGTAGAGAGCAAACATGGAGATGCTATTGTATAGGTACAGAAATGTAGAACATGTGGATATCTATATGACATATATCGACGAGACAACAGCCAATGTCAAATCGGCTACCAAAATGCACACCTATCAAATAAAATTGAGCTCAATACAATCAGGATAACAAAGTCATCTTACCATCCAGAAAAGCATTGACAGAGGTTCTCCAGTGAGGTGGCCTGCAAGATAAGCTTATCCACTTGAGCTGTAACGGGAAGGACGATGTCATGGTTGAAGTCACGCCCTGATAATCGGAGAGAGGAATCATCAGTAACGCATAGGTGCAAACGCATGGGAGAGAATCAACCTGTGAGTTTGTGCTGGACACGGTTGTAGACAAGCAAGGCCCGCTCGTTCCGGACCTCTTGCCTCGCTCCAGGTCCCTCGACAACCTCTGCAAAAGTATTAGTTTCTCACTTCTAGGCGTATGCTAAATCCGCACCGTTGAAAATATCGTTTTCATCTGCGCGCAGCTTGCGAGTTGGACCTTGAGGATATCCCGAAACTTTAGCAAGTTCAGCAGCACGGGCAGGATCAGTTTCGCCATCTGCTATTCATGTGAGTCAGTCAAATGATGATAATGAAATGCAACACACCTTCTGGTCGGCGTGAATCGACGTCAGCTTGCATGAGCCGCCAATTGATCAGGGGATCATAAACGAAGGCTTCCAGGACTGCCATCAGGGACTCCTTATTGGCGCGCAGCACGGACATAGTAATTTCACAGGTATGTCGGAAACTTCCTTCAATGCCGCTTATCTGTAACATCACTGTGAGCCTGAGAATGCCTGCGGTCTATTGCACAAATTACCTCCATGGCATGTGTGAGCATACGAGTGAGCCTGAACGGAATTTTTTCGGGGAACTTCTCGCGATGCATAGCAACTTCAAAGCAGTCGCCGAAGTCAATATGAACGACTCTGCCAGTCGTGCGCACCAGTAAAAGGTTGGACGGATGACGATCTCCGAGACCCAGAATATGGCCAACCATGCTGTTGACCGCCAGAGAGCGAGTATAAGTTGCACGGCGTTCGAGCCAGTGCTCTGAATTTGCGCTTTTCAGCCATAGGACGCGATAAAGATCCTGGCCGGTGGTATTCTCTAACGCATATTCAAATACTTCAACCTTTTGCAGGAGCGTCAGATTCTCGTAATCCGGTGCCATCTGGAATATATCAGCAGGTGAGACATGTTTGAATAAAGATGCATACCTGAAGCATTAGCCGATACTCTATGTTCAAAAGGACTTTGCGAGAGTCTCGATAGTCGCGAACAAGGACGTGCAAAGTATCGCTATCCTTGACCCAGCCCATGAGGCCAGCGTTGGGTGCTAATGGAATGACAGAGTAACGCTGGATGTGTAAGCGTCGCTTAAAGCTATTGGTGTCAACAGACAGAAGGGTATTGACAAGGCTGAACAGCTGCATAACACGCTCGTCTTGACGCAAGTCTTCGTGCCCTGTATATGATGGAATCAGCAATATCATAGTGTTGAGGTGGCCATCCTGTTACCTTTCAAAACATACTGGTAGTCCTGTCCGTCACTACCCTTCAGGGATAGTCGTCGTGGCCGTTGCTTGGAAGCTATGACAGTGAGCTTGGTAGCGAATGATGCAATGCGAACGACGGGTCGGCCACTATGATATGTTCCTTGAGTCGGCCAATGAGTACAGCGCGGTAGCAGAGTAAGATCCAAGGTGCATACCAGGCATCGCTAGATCAAGATCGCGGGCTTT